TCAGATGATGCACGTGAGAAGGCAAATGAATCGTTGAAACAATTGGGTGATTCATTGAAGGAATTCCATCGTAGAAGACAAGAAATCTTGGAATCTAAACAGGCTGAAGAAGATGAAAAGGTTGACGAATCTGCTAAAGAAAGGCCAGATGAATTCCAACACGTTGATGGTGAAAATGCTGATTTTGATACTCAAGCATTGGGTGCTGCAGACAAAGATCAAGTTCAATCTATTGATGAAGATAAAGCCATTGACGATGATGAAGAACAAGAAGAGTCTTCTGACTTACAAGAGGAAATCAAGCAAGAAGAGAAACCAGAAGACGAAGAAATGAAAGATGCTGCTGATGATGATGACGAAGAAGTTGCAGATGTCAATGAAGAGAATCCTGATGCAGATTTTGAAGGAAAATCAAAGAGTGCTTTCATTGGTGAAAGAAAGATTTCAGATATGGACGATGATATGATGATGAATAGAGAAATTGAAGAAGATGAAGATGATGATGATATTAAGATGGAAGAAATTGGAAACACAGACCTTGATGAAAATGAAACCGCACCTCCAATGACCTTGGAAGAAGCACGTGACTTGTGGAAGAATAGTGAATTAGCAACTCAAGAATTGGCATCTGGTTTATGTGAACAATTGCGTCTTATTTTGGAACCTACTTTGGCTACTAAATTGAGAGGTGATTACAAGACTGGTAAAAGATTGAATATGAAGAGAATTATTCCTTATATTGCATCTGATTTCAAAAAAGACAAGATTTGGTTAAGAAGAACCAAACCATCAAAGAGACAATATCAAATTATGATTGCTGTTGATGATTCTAAATCCATGAGTGAAAGTAAGTCAACTGAATTAGCGTTCCATAGTATTGCATTGGTTTCAAAAGCATTGAGTCAGTTAGAAAGTGGAGGATTGTCCATTGTCAGATTTGGTGAAGATGTCAAGGTTGTTCATCCATTTGATAAAGCATTTAATTCTCAAGAGACGGGGGCTAGAATATTCCAATGGTTTGACTTCCAACAAACAAAGACAGATATGAAACAATTATGTAACCAATCATTGCAAATATTTGAAGATGCTAGATCTAGTAGTCAATCTGATTTATGGCAGTTACAAATTATTTTATCGGACGGTGTTTGTGAAGATCATGAAACTATTTTAAGAATGGTTAGAAAAGCTAGAGAAGAAAAGATTATGATGGTTTTTGTTGTCATTGATGGTATTAATAGTAAAGAATCAATTATGGATATGCAACAAGTAAGCTATGTTCCTGATGTAAATACTGGTGCATTGAATTTGAAGGTTGACAAATATTTGGATTCATTCCCATTTGAGTTTTACGTTGTTGTTAAGGATATTAATGAGTTACCTGAAATGCTTGCTTTGATTTTAAGACAATATTTCTCTGAAGTGTCATCATTGTAAATAGAGTTGAAATAAAAATAAATATATATATAAAGAATTATTATTATTATTATTAATATTATTATTATTATTATTATTATTATTATATACTAGTAGCAAAAACTTATTAAAGTAAACCCATTTTATTTATAGCTCTTTATATCCTCCAACAAAAAAAAATTAAAATAAAAACTAAAACCCTAAAAACGAAAATTAAAAAACCCTTATAAATCTATACATAGAAAACCTTATCTATTCTTTTGAACTCTTATTATTTAAAACAACTTTAGCAACGATTATCGACATATCGTCAACTTTACCACCTTGACTGTGTTGATGAGGTTCTTTCAAGGCATTTACTTTTTCATTATAAGGTGTGTAAGCATAATCATCAAAAGCAACCTCTTTAGCCTTAACCAACAATTTACTAGCAATATTCTTTACGTTGAATTTCTTCACACCAACCCATTCCTTCAAGTAATTGATAATTTCCCATTCATACAAGTTATCAGATATACCATCAGAGCACATGACTATGTAATCATTCTCCTGCAATTTGAATGATTGGATCCAGGCAATATCTGAAGGTAAGTGATCTAAAGTATGAGTACCAATTTGTTCAGGACACATTTCAGAAATCATTTGTTCGTGGTTTGTTTCGATAAGTTCACCATCTCTAATAATGTAAACTTTCGAATCTCCAATACTAACCATGGACAATAAATCACCATTCAACATACCAAGTACCAATGTCGATGACCCAGTCAATTTCTGTAAATCCATTAAATGTGAAGTATGCAAATAAGAATCATCTAAAATTTCTTCAATGTCACGTCTTTGTAAATGACGAGGAAATATTTTGATTTTGTACTCTGTCAATAATCTACTGAAAGTTTCCACCATTGATCTTGACCAAACTCCACTTGATGCATCCTTTCCATTTTCTTCCCAACCACTTACACCATCGGCAACAGCAATGACACTAGGAGAAACAAGCATAGTATCATCTCCAGCTTTAATACTTAAAGTATCGCTAGGTGATCCTTTTGGTCTTCTTCGTGGAAGCAAACTATTCAACTGAGTAGGATCAGTTAAATCACTCAATGAATTGATTGAGGGGACTATTGAATCTGAATGATAACCAAAGGAAGCATGTCCGACTTCTAGTTTGAATTTATCGGTAGCTATTTTCTTGAGTTGTTCATGAGTAAACAATGGATATTTGACAAAAGGAATCAGTTCATCAACAGGATTATCCCCATATTCTTCTTCACTTCGCGGACTTCTTCCTAATCCCAAAAAGTAGTTTCTTGCCCCCTTGAATATAGAAGATGCATAGGTTCTTTGTTGTATGATGGGAAGTACTGTGCAACTGATGGCGCGTGACTGTTTTAGTAGTGTACTCCGTATTGTAAGTGACATGATAAGTGGTGATGATGATGATGATAATGAGGAGCAAAGTAATACAAGCAAAGAAGAAGTATTTAAAATACAAAACTTTAGAAGCAAAAAAAAAGATCACTTGAAGGAAAGTTGAATGGGATGATGATTGGATAGAATTTTTTCTTTTTTTTTTTGTATTTCCTTATTCCCCTCTTCCTTGATGATTTCGGATTTTACATTATAACAAACCAACTAATAACAATATTTGGTATTGTACTGCATATATGCCCATACACACTTCACGCGATGCCTGGTGAGTTCAAAAAAAAAAAAAAAGAAAGAAAAACCAATTTCGGAGTTTTGAGCCTCCGTTTTACCCACTTAAATTCCCTAAATAGGAATATTTCACCGGACTATTCTTTGACGTTACATTTCTTTTTAGTTGTTGTATTACTAGCGGTTAAGTGTATATAGTAATTTGTTTTATGATCACATGACATCTGATGGCATCTTCTGTTTGTCATTGAATATAATTACATTGTGACAATGTCATATATGTAGATAATATATTATCCAACAATTATAATTTCTTTATCTATTCCTTCGATGAAGAACAATTCATTGTTTAATATTTGTTTAGGAGTAGAGTATGCTTTTCCTGGTTCCTCCTTACTTTGAAAGAAACAATCCCTGCTTTTCCCGATGGCATGAAACTCGAAAAAAAAATTTTTTGCAGAATCACAAAATCCAGGGTTCAGATTGCAAAAAAAAAAAAAAAAAACAGAAAAGAAAAAGCAATAGTAGTTGTAGAAGTATAGTCATCTCGTGACCCATTAATATTGAAAATAACTCTGAAGGCTACAGGTGGTTGTACCCGAAATTTCCCAAAAGGCAACGGTTTTTTTTAATTACAAATTAACTCCAACCCTAAGTAACCGGTTAGTTGATCAACATTGTTCAAGGGCCACTTGTAGATTATTTATAGTGAAAGTGATCTCTTGTTGGACGTACCGAGATTTGGTATAGTTTTATGATAATAATACTATATTAACTAACTGTGTTTGTGACCAGGCAAGTCCTTGGTTTGATTGTTTGCAGCAATACGAAGTGATCTTGACTATAGTTCAAGAAATTTGAAGATCTTTAATTTGATATTGATTGCACTTTTACCCAGTATAATTTACTGAGTAAAATACACAATAAAGTGATGCTGCCTCGTTTTGCTGCCAGGATCTTTGTAGTCTTCTTCTTCTTCTGCAGACATATCCATCATTTTTGTGGGTGATTCAACTTTGTGTTATTGTGTAGCTCGTTTTTTTTCTCTCTCTCTTTCGTTTATCATGTGAAGATTATTGACCGTTGGACAAAAAACAAAAAATGAGGTGCTCCACTTTAAATATGTTTATCACTCACATCAAGTTCAACTCCCCATAAGGCAATAGTAGAGAGGCTACAGGATGATAAAAAAGGATAATTACACAGACCATACTTCCAGTAGTCGCATACGTCATAAACAACACACCAAGTTATATTTGGGCGTTGATAGATTTTATATTGGATATTTGTTTCTTCTGGGTAAAACAGTTGTACCAGTTTTACAATAGAAAGGATCCTTTGAAAGAATATGTCAAGCAATTATCTACTGTGAACAATTATAATGAATGGAAACAGGTTACTTCAGAAATCGATAAACTAACAAATATGGATTTGTGGAGGCAAAACTTCATTTCTAAAAACTACGATTATGTGTTGATTGATGAAAGATTGAAACTACTAAAACAGGCAAGACAAAATGAAGACAGTCAGTTGATAATGTCATTATTACGAAGTGGACTCATTCGGAATTTTGGAGGTATAGCCCAAAAGAGGCTATACTTGAAGAGTTATATGGGTACGAAATTTAAAATAGAGGAATACTTGAATGAAGTATTGAACTGTTTGGATTACCTTAGTGAAGCCTTGAATAATGACAACGATCAATTTATCATGAATAGTAAACAATTGAAGTTGGATTTTTTTCATGATGCTCGACAATCGTTTGGACGTACTGCTTTGTTATTGCAAGGTGGTTCTTTATTTGGGTTGTGTCATTTGGGTGTTGTAAAAGCATTATATTTCAAGGGCTTATTACCTCGATTAATTGGTGGTAGTGCAGTTGGAGCTGCTGTGGCTTCATTAGTCTGTACTTTAACTGATAAAGAGTTGATTCCTATATTGGCAAATATTGGTGACTTGATGAAAAACATTGATTTGTTAAACCATGAAATTGATGAGAGATACGGAAATGTTGTTGAAAATGTTGTCAAAAAGGGTTATTCACAAGATATTCTTTTGTTTCTTAAGTTTGTACGTGATACCATTGGTGATTTAACTTTTGAAGAAGCATATATGAAAACAGAAAAGATTTTGAATATTGTTGTTCACCCAACTAATCAATGTGTTCCTTCTTTGCTCAACTATATAACCACTCCGAATATTATCATTTGGACAGCGATTTACGCATCTATTGGGACTGGTGTTTTGTCAGATGATGTTGCCCTTTATGTTAAAGATTTCAATAATGAAATTGTCTTGCAAAACCCTGATATCGAAGTAAAATTCCTTAAACCTCAGGATGTTACGTATCACCAACAATACTTCAAATCTAAAACCAAAGGAAGTACAACAACTAATCATGAGGGTGAAAAGGTAACCATGTTTTTACAACAACAACAGTCACCATACACAAAATTGACAGAATTATTTAATGTTAATCACTTTGTCATCAGTTTAGCCAGGCCATATTTAGCACCTTTAATAAGCAATGATTTGAAACACTATCATTCATACGGAAAGATTAAGTATGATACAACAAAAAAAGTTAGAACATCCTCAGGAGGAGAAATCAGTAAAAAAGATATTGAAAAATACGCCAAGGACACCAGCTATAACTTGATGAAGAGAATAAAGACGATTATAGGTTTAGAAATTCAACATAGATTAATGGTATTGAATAAGTTTGGAATGTTGCCTGATCTCATGAAACGTTTTTTCATTGATGAAAAACCATCAACATTGCAATCATTAAGTTCAATTAGAGAAGTCACGATAGTTCCTGAATTGAGATATTTGATGCAGGATTTTGGTAGAGTATTTGATGTACATAAGACTTTTGAAAATATACCTTATTGGGTGTTAGTTGGAGAAAGATCAGTTTGGCCATTATTCCCATTATTATGGACTAGATGTGCAATTGAATTTGCATTAGATGATTTATACAACATACATAGAAAAAGAAATTAACGATAATATAGTTTTATTTGAAAGTCCTTTGTTAAGTAATAAACATATTCCCTTTCATTTATCTTCAAGTTTGGTAAATTATAATAAGGAATTGTACCCTTTGAAATTGTTAAACTTCCAGTTATATCTTTTGCTCTACCAGTGTTTAATGGTTGTAAGGAAATATTCAATTGGGAACGATGAAATAATTTAATCAAGAAATCACTAGCCTTGAAACTTGGATCTGTAGATAATAATGATTCATCTTTAATCACATGTTCTTCTTTTGAAGAGATTACAAATAATTGTTTACATTTTTTATTCAATTTGATAATATTGAATAATAACTCATCACTAGTTATATTTGTTCCATATAATAAAATTTCAGGATTTTCTAAAAATACAACCCCATCTTGATCAATTTCAATATCAAACATATTTGAAATATCTTTAATTGGATTTTCTGGAGTTTTAATCAATTCAGTAAATAATCCTGTGAAATAATCAATAAATTTGAAATTTTTATCATTATGTTCCAAATCAATGTTTTTCTTACAATTTTGAATATATTGCTCCTTATTATGAACAAATGAAATCACACTGACTTTACTTCTATTTTGAACTCTTTTCAAATCAGTATTAACTAAACTGGCACTACCGATTAATGATGTTTCGATAAGACTATTAATTAACCATGTTGGGGTGGTAGATGGATGATATGTAATGGTTGATAAATAAGAATATGATGAATTAAGAATATCATTTGATATTAATGAATTATCTTTGAAAAAGATTAAATCTTGACTTGAATTTGACATTGTTCTGTAACGGGTTAGATCCAATACGGTATTGTTGTTGAGTTCTTATGTGAATCTCTACAAATCTGTAGAATTTAAAAAAAAAAATTATTCAAAAAAAAAAAAAGATTTGAATAATTCCGATGGCTATAATTATAGAATATAACCAAAAAATGAAACGTACGGGAATCGAACCCGTGTCCTCAGCTTGGAAGGCTGATGTTCTACCACTATACCAACGTTCCGAAGAACAACTGCAAGAACCGGGAATCGAACCCGGGGCCCAACGATGGCAACGTTGGATTTTACCACTAAACCATTCTTGCAACTCAGCCAATCTGGCTGCTTGTTGGAGTTCGAAAATATTTGAGTTTTTGTGAATAAGTTCAATTTGTTGCTTTGATTCTCAGACAATACCTATTAAACGACATACCAGCAGGGCCATTGTTGTATTTTTTTAAATTAATCCACATGATTTAACACCACATTGGCTATAATGTATGGTTTTTATTCTTTTAAGTCAATCATTATGATAGTTGGGTGTTTTACACAAGTCTTTACTATTTTGTGTCCCGATTATATATTTTAACTTACATGCCTAACATTTGAAGGAGAAATTCATTTAGATCAGCTATGATCTCTTATATTCAATCTAAGATTGTGTAAAAACCATCAAAGGCTATTATTTCATAATTTGTATTTAAAATAGACTTCTGTGTATATTGCATTATTTCGTAAAGAATTTGAATAAAAATTATACTAAACCCCCATTTCATATCGGAATTTTTTATTTTTTCATTTAATTGATAAATTTTTTAACTTTTGAATACACTACAAAATCCTTCTGCTATGTCCCTATGGAATACTAATATAATTTTATATTGATGCGGTTCTTTAATGCAGTAAATTTTAACTTTTATAAACATTTGCACGTGATCGCTTCTCACTGAAAAAAGTCTATAATTTGCACCATTCTTGCACAGTAATACTTCTGCCATTTGACAAACAGCTAAGCCCCAATGCTCCTTATTCGATTATAAAAAGACCAATTCAGCTCCTCAAATCTTAAATTTTTAATTGACTTAGATCTACTTTCGAGTCTAAACAGAAAATAATAACAACACTTCTATTTTGAGAGTTAATTGCCATTTTGTTTCTTGTCTTTATTCAATTCATAAACATGAAGGAGAGTCAATCTATGTCTAAAAGTACTCAGTACAAAATTGCTTTTGCTTCTGCGTTTTGCTTTCTGTTGATAGTTATGATCATGAAAACTTTGATTGAGTTATATTACAATCGTCCACAAATTAACCAGCCAAAAGAGACCGATTACAAAACGCAAAAATAATGTCAAAGTTTTTTTATTGGGTAGATAGATTATCGCTGTGAGGTTAGTTATGAATTTGAAGTATTTTAAATAATTCATTGGTAATAGTTTATCAAACAAAGGTTGTTCAGATGTAATGTATATCTTTTCAATGGTCGAGAGGATCTCTGATGTGACTAAACGACAATAGATATCTGATAACGGAAAATTTGATATTATTTTAATCCTGCTGTCTTGGCTGATGTGCTATATTGAAGGATTGAATTGCCGAAGTATGTTGGGTTGTCAGTGATTAATATTATTCAACCGTTACAGGAGATGAGAATCTTTATATATAAAACAAACGAATGTTGTTATGTTTTATGCAAAAATTATATATCGGTTTTGATATAGTCTAGATCAGAAGTTCCATAATTGTACATAATAAATTACAGATTAGTAGAACTCGAAATCATATAATTTCAATAAATTGATTAATTAGATAATATTGGACCCGGCAAATAACTGCATTACGTGGAATACACGACACCAAATCTGCAAATTCTGAAGGCTTCTTGGGCATAAAGCTTCACTGAACCAGTTTGGTGGATATCTAACAATATATAAAAGACCTATATGACTTTATGACTAAATATTAACTCCTATATAGATTCATTGCCTATAAACTAGATAAATCGTCTCTTTACACATTCCGAGAGCTTTCGATTGACATCGGGTGATGCCGTTCAATATAATTAACCTTGATTGGCTATCAATTTTATATATTAATTGTGCTACGTATTGTAACCGGCAGTTCAAACATTTTTGTCTTAATGGCACACGTTTACACTGTTGGTATGACAAACGCTTAAAATCAGGAATCTGTTAAAGTTCCCGCGCAAATATGGCTGCTGCTATATGTTTTATTCCTTTTCTTGTTCAGAACAAGCTTGGCTGCAATAAGACATCCCAGTTAGCACCTTTGCAAAAAGAGTAATCAACTTTTCATTATTTCTAAAAATATGTGGCCAAAACTATTTGACTAGTCTTACTTTAATAAAATAGGGGTTAATTGGAAAATAACCAATAATTAAAACTATCCAATGACAATCCAATCCTTTCAGCAACTAGATTCACCATGTGTCGAGTATGAATAACTCTTAAGGTATAAGGGGTATAGTAAAATTAAAGTGAAGTGATATCATCATTTTTTTTGTTTCACAAGTTGTTTATTTTCTTATTGTTTAGATGCCCATTGTTTAGGTTGCTTATCCTTTAGGCTATTCATCCTTTTCGCGTGTTCCATGGATGTTAGCTTTATGTCAAATATAGTGAATCGAAGTCTCATATAGCTACTTCATATTTCTTGGCCATCGGTTTTTTTTTATTTCACTTTTTGGTCTATCTGTTAATTATCAAAATATTGGCAGATGCTTGTCTACCAGCTACCAACTACCGAATACGTGAATATGTGTACATGTTAATTCTTTTTTTTTTCGAATTCAGTGGAAATTATATAACAATAGTAATAATAATTTTGTTGAACATTAGACTTCAAATATTAAAGTTATCTAGTTTTTAGACTAAAAATAATTGACCAATAATACTTGAATATTTTTAAATAAGGTAAATACCGATTTCACTTGTCAAACACACCAATTGCCACGCCTTTTGAGCCAATGGTACTAATTAACCCCATTAATATAAGATTCTATATTCTATATAGTAGTTACTATTTACTTCATAACTTGTTTCTTTACTTGCTTAATACTCTGAAGTTGAATATAAATAGATAATTACTCCCCCTTGATTTTTGCAAAAGTTCTTATACTTCAAATCAGTTATTGATAATACAGATTTGAAAAGTATTATAGTAACTTCCTCTACAAGTTAATTATTATTGGATACAGACTATATTCGAAGAGCTGACGATATTTGGTAACATGAAGAAGAATCAATCTACGTCAAAAAGTACCTACTACAAAATTGCGTTTGCTTTTGCGTTTTGCTTTCTGGTGCTAGTTATCATCATAAAAACTTTGATTGACTTCAATTACAATCAAATAAACATTAGCCCAAGAATGGACAAGAGATTCACAAAGGGGACCGGATTTCAATCTTTTAGTAGAATAAATAAAAGGGTTGATTGGAGTCAAATTGCACTCAGTTTTGGTTTGAGTATCATTACCGGTGTTGCTACTGGTGCAACATATTTAAGTGGTATGTTCTGCTCTACTCTACTGAAGTACTTGGTGCAATGGCCACAACTGGCTTACTTGCTGAAGGTGGTTCTGCCTGTGTTTTGGCTGCAGGAGTAGCTTTACTTTTCAAATCTGCAGAAATAGCTGTTCAGAACTCAAATTCTGGCTGGCAGTGGTCAAGCGGATCTGACCTGACTAAAAGATACGAGAAATCAGACAATGGGAAAACAGGTTTTTTAAAATCTATTGATTTAACAAATGAATTATATCAAAGAAATACTCTGAGTAGCATTGATTTTGAAGCTTATCACTATAATATGTTGGGGGTTCATTTAGTAACAGGTACAGGTGAATTTGGTTTAGCAAAGGTTGTTAGTGCATGGAACACAACTGAATATGGTGATGAACCCCAGGACCATTTCGCTGTAGTTTTACATTATGTGTCAAATACCAGATGGTCCGGAAAGCTGATACTTACAAATTATGGGTCAATGCATCAGGTAGCTCGGTTGTTTGCAAGTAATGAAAGCGACTCTTCCAATACTCCAAGATCTGATATTTATTGGGTTACTTATGATTGGGATGGATTCAACGAAAATTTGTTAAGACAGTACTGGACCAACTTGGATGATGAGAATATTACCAGCCAACAAAATTCAATCAAACAGCAAATCGATTACTACAATTCCAGAGATGATTATGCTGTCAGTAAGATTTGTATGCCATTAGGGTCAGGGGATGCAATTGGCCAAAATACGATTCTTTTAGGAGAAACATACGCGAACCAATTTGGCGGCGTTGATGGTGAGTGTGAACTGGGTTGATACAACATTGTTTATTTACTATTTAAAGAGGAATAATGTAACTGTTGGTTGTTTTGAGTTTGTTTATTATTTTGTGTTTGATTTATGTTAATGTTCTCTATGTTGCAGAGCATTAGCTACTAGTTTATAATATTTTATATTTGTTTGAGAATATATATCAATTTATATTAGTGAAAGATCCGGGTTCATGATATAATACAACCAATGTAGTTTTTATTTCTTGAATGAACAACTATTATTGTTGAGTCTATTATTCATTCATTGTTTGGTTAGTGTTTTCAATGTGTCTCAAGGCGATTCGGCTTCTACTATCATCTAGAAAAATAGATGAAATGGTTTTTTAAATTGCTTTAAGTTAGTTTTTTCTATTAATTGGAAGTTCCTCAGATCTGGCTAGTGCTTTTTCAAAATACACCCAGACAATTGAATTCTATCAATCTTTGTATACTTTATTTTTGGGCCAATCATTGGCAGAGCCCCTGTGCGAGCAGAACTTCCAACAAGCAGCCAGATTGGCTGAGTTGCAAGAATGGTTTAGTGGTAAAATCCAACGTTGCCATCGTTGGGCCCCGGGTTCGATTCCCGGTTCTTGCAGTTGTTCTTCGGAACGTTGGTATAGTGGTAGAACATCAGCCTTCCAAGCTGAGGACACGGGTTCGATTCCCGTACGTTTCATTTTTTGGTTTCTTGATGAACTTTTATTGGTTGATGTGTAAGTAACCCTGAGAGAATTACCATTGGTATTTTCTTAATGATTTTCCACATCGTGTTGTGATCATTGATCGTTCGTACTTTTTTTTTCAGTAGATGAATTTTATTTTTCTTTTTCTTTTTTTTTTTTATTTTAAACTTTCTCCGTGTCTCATCAAATACTTGAACGGTTTATCACGACAGGGAAAAAGAGAAAATAATCTGAGTTTTTAATACTACTATACTCTAGTTTTTATTTTTTTTCATTTCCAGTTTTCAATGCATGCTTGGTGGTAGATTTTCTCAATCAATTAGATTTATTCATAATTTAAGAAACACAATGAAACGACCAGTAAACGAGACTATTACTTTAACACCACCAGAAGAAAATATTCGAAACGTGTTAGTTGGGTACTGTGACTACTATAACAAATTGAATAAAGATCCACTAGAATTAAGAATTACTGGTGGTTGGGTAAGAGATAAATTATTGGGTAATGATAGTCATGATATTGATATTGCAGTGAATCACCTTACTGGAGAACAGTTTGTTAATGGATTGCATGAATATTTGAAGAAATATGAACCTGAGTTATCAACAAATCATGTTCATACAATTAAAATGAATCCTGAAAAATCCAAACATTTAGAAACTTGTACCACGAAGTTATTTGGTATTGATATAGATTTTGTTAATTTGAGATCAGAAGAGTATACTCTTGAAAGTAGAGTGCCTACCATCGAGTTTGGAACTCCAGAAGAAGATGCTGTTCGTCGAGATGCCACTTTAAATGCATTATTTTACAATTTGAACAAGAGTGTTATTGAAGATTTTACTAAAAGAGGTTTAGATGATTTGGAACATGGAATTTTAAGAACCCCTTTACCTCCAATCCAGACTTTTTTGGACGATCCTTTAAGAATTATTCGATTGATAAGGTTTGCTAGCAGATTCAACTTTGTCATCGAGCCAGAGACATTGAAGGCGATGAAAGATGATCGTAACAAGGTTGCATTGCAAAACAAAATTAGCAAAGAGAGAGTTGAAATTGAATTGAGAAAGATTTTAACCAGTAAGAACCCGGGTTATGGGTTGCAATTGATCAATTATGTTGATCTCGCTGGTAGTATCTTTTATGTTCCGGAGTTGGAGAAAGAATTTGATATAGAAACATTGCAAAAGGCAAGAACTCAGCTTGCGCCACATATGGAAATTGCTAGTATTATTTACCCTAACTTTAAACATATCATCTTAAATTCTACTACCAAAATGAAGCACGAATTGGGAACACTAATATCAAGTGATGAATTTAAGAACATTTTCTGGTTGACAATAATCTTGCACCCATACGTTCAAGTTAAATCACTCAAACCAAACAAAGACATTTTCAACCAATATCTCCGCTTAGGACTTACTTCTAAGAAGAGTGATATTGCAAAGGTTACTGCGATCAACTATAATGTTAGTCAAATTGCAAAATTATTCGAGGATCCAAAACTGGTTAAACGATCTGATCTTGGTTTATATTTGAGAAAGTTCCCAGGTTATGCTCCATTGAACTTACTTGCCAATGCACTTTTGGAATGTGTTGCTAAGGTGGCTATGGATATTCATTTGCCTTCTGAATTACCTGTTCCATTTCCGGAACAAAGTGAAGAAATTGTTAATGACAGTAAGATAAACAGTGCTATTAGCCGAGTTGTTAGCAATTATGAAAGTTTGTTTAAACAAATAGAGCTTTGGGATTTGAAGCACGTGGATATGATGAAGCCATTAATTGACGGAACGACCTTGTCCAAGACCTTGGGTATGAAACCAGGACCCTGGTTAAGGCCTACTACCGAAGAAATTTTAATTTGGCAATTGGACAATCCTGACTTATCACTGGACCAATGCTTAGAATTTGTTAAATCTATTATTCCAAAGTATACTAAGTAGAAAGACGTTGTAAATACATACAAATATATATCTTTACAAAGAGGTAGTAGTATTCATCACGTGTAGTTGATACGGGCCTATATCGCACCGGAATTTTGTTGTTCGTTCTCAAAATCTTACAAAGTAGACCATGCAGGAAACTGGAAAAAAAAATGGTGAAAAAAAAAACTTTAGTGGAAAAGTTAGTCATATTTGAATTGAACCAAATTAATTGAATTTCTCCTTTTTCTTCAATAAGTTAAACCTTACAACAACTAACAAACAATGTCCATTGAGAAAGTGCCAATCTTGGGTAAAGAAACTATCCATGTTGGCTATGGCATTCAAGACCATATTGTCACTGAAGTGGTTGACAATTTGGCTTCTTCTACTTATGTTATAGTTACCGATACCAATGTTGAGAAGACTCCACAATTTTCCAAATTAACTAATGATTTCACTAAAGTATTGAATGAAAAACGTCCTGACTCAAGAGTATTGACTTATAGTGTCCCACCAGGTGAAAATAATAAAAACAGAGCTACAAAGGCAGCTGTTGAAGATTTTCTTTTGCAACAAGGATGTACTAGAGATACTGTCATAATAGCCGTCGGAGGTGGTGTGATTGGTGATATGATTGGATTTGTCGCTGCCACTTTCATGAGAGGTGTCAGAGTTGTCCAAGTTCCAACTACTTTATTAGCCATGGTTGATTCATCAGTTGGTGGTAAAACTGCCATTGATACTCCATTGGGTAAGAATTTTATTGGTGCTTTCCATCAACCTCAATATGTTTTTATTGATGTTTCCTATTTGGAAAGTTTGCCAACTAGACAATTCATCAATGGTATGGCTGAAGTTGTTAAAACTGCTGCTATTTGGAACGAAGAAGAATTTACCAGATTAGAAAACTTTTCCAAACAATTTCTTTCCGTCGTTACAGCAAAAAACCCAGACTTGTTGTCTATTAAAGAAGAATTGGTTAAAACTGTTTTAGAATCTGTGAGAGTTAAAGCCGAAGTTGTCTCTTCTGATGAAAAAGAATCTAGTTTGAGAAACTTGCTTAATTTTGGACACACCATTGGTCATGCTATTGAAGCTATTGTCACCCCTGAAGCTTTACACGGTGAATGTGTTTCCATTGGTATGATTAAAGAAGCCGAATTAGCAAGATATTTGGGAATTTTACCACCAGTTGCCGTTGCTAGATTATCAAAGTGTCTCGTTGCCTATGGCTTACCAGTTACCATCGATGACAAATTATTCTTGCAAAGAGTTGGTCCTAAGCGTCACAACATTGAAATTGATCTTTTATTAAAGAAAATGTCTATTGATAAAAAGAATGATGGTAGTAAAATCAGAAGTGTTATCTTAGAAAGCATTGGTAAATGCTACCAATTGAAAGCACATGAAGTTTCCAAACAAGATTTGACTTTTGTTTTGACTGACGAAGTCTTGGTTCACCCATTCAAGCAACCACCACAAGAAAATGTCATCACTCCACCAGGTTCAAAATCTATCTCCAACAGAGCATTGATTTTGGCTGCTTTGGGTACTGGTACCGTACGTATTAAGAACTTGTTACACTCAGATGATACCAAACACATGTTGGCTGCTGTTGCAGCTTTGAAAGGTGCAGAAATTACCACTGAAGATAATGGTGAAACCATTGTCCTTAAAGGAAATGGTGGTGATTTAGTTACGTGTGATGAAGAATTGTACTTGGGTAATGCTGGTACTGCATCCAGATTTTTAACTACTGTTGCTTCATTGGTTGGCAAATCCGAATCAAACGATCACGTTGTGTTGACTGGTAATGCAAGAATGCAAGAAAGACCAATTGGTCCATTGGTTGATGCTTTAAGATCTAATGGTTCAGAAGTCCAATATTTGAACAAAGAAGGATCATTACCTTTGAAGATTACCGCTGGTAATGGATTGAAAGGTGGCCGTATTGAATTGGCTGCTACTATTTCTTCTCAATATGTTTCATCCATTTTGATGTGTGCTCCTTATGCCAAAGAACCTGTCACTTTAGCTTTAGTTGGAGGTAAGCCAATTTCTCAATTGTACATTGACATGACATGTGCAATGATGAAATCTTTTGGTATTGAAGTCACCAAATCTACCACAGAAGATTACACTTATCACATTCCAAAGGGAACTTACAAAAACCCAGCAGAATATGTTATTGAATCAGATGCTTCTTCTGCTACTTATCCATTAGCATTTGCTGCCATGACTGGTACTTCATGTACTGTTCCAAATATTGGTTCTTCATCATTACAAGGTGATGCTAGATTTGCTGTTGATGTTTTGAAACCAATGGGATGTAAAGTTGAACAAACTGCCACTTCCACCACCGTCACTGGTCCACCAAGAGGTCAATTAAAACCATTGCCACATGTTGATATGGAACCTATGACCGATGCATTTTTGACTGCTTCTGTTGTTGCTGCAGTTGCCCAAGGTGACTCTTCCACTACCATTACTGGTATTGCTAACCAAAGAGTCAAAGAATGTAACAGAATTGAAGCCATGATTACTGAATTGGCTAAATTTGGTGTTAAAGCCGATGAATTGCCAGACGGTATTGAAATTCATGGTATTGATATTGCTGATTTGAAGACCCCATCAATTGAAAAAAGAGGTGTCTGTTCATATGATGACCATAGAGTTGCTATGTCATTTTCATTATTATCTGGTTTATGTAAAGAACCTGTGTTGATTTTAGAAAGATCAACCACTGGTAAGACCTGGCCAGGTTGGTGGGATATCTTGCACTCCAAGTTCAATATTGAACTTGATGGTTACGAACCACCATTTGGTACAGACAAAGAAGGTACAAAAGCTTCTGATAAGAGTATCATCATTATTGGTATGAGAGGTACTGGAAAATCCACGTTGTCAGAATGGTTGGCTTCATTTATGGGATTCAAATCTTTAGATATGGATGTCTATTTGGAAGAAAAATTGGGTAATGATATTAAATCTTTGATCAAGGAAAAAGGCTGGGAGTATTTCCGTGAACAAGAAGCTGCCATTGCTAAAGAATGTTTCTCTAAATTTTCTAAAGGTTATGTTCTTTCAACTGGTGGAGGTATCGTTGAAGGTGCAGAAAACAGACAAAGATTGAAGGACTACATCACCGCTGGAGGCATTGTCTTACATTTACACCGTGACTTGGAAGAAACTGTTAGTTTCTTGTCTGTTGATACCACTAGACCAGCTTACACCAGTGAAGTTAAAGAAGTGTGGTTAAGAAGAGAACAATGGTATGATGATTGCTCCAATTACCATTTCTACTCCAGTCACTGTAATACTGAAGAAGAGTTTGATCACTTGAGAAAATCTTTTGTTAATTTTATCAAGATTATAACTGGTACTGAAAAAGCAAGTATTCCAAGTGGTAGATCTGCTGCTCTTAGCTTGACTGTACCAGATTTGAATGCCATTTCTAGTCAATTAGGTGATATTGCAGTTGGCGCGGAAGCGGTTGAATTGAGAGTTGATTTATTAAAAGAAACTAGCTCATCATTTATTGCTGATCAAATTGCAGTAATTAGAAAACATATTGATTTACCAATAATTTACACTGTGAGAACCGAATCTCAAGGTGGAAAATTCCCAGACAATAAGGTTGAAGAATTGAGAAATTTATTATTGCTTGGTGTGAAGTTGGGTGTTGCTTTTATTGATGTTGAATTGACTGCTCCAGTTGAAGTTATCGAAGAAATCATCATTAAGAAGGGCTATACCAGAGTTATTGCCTCATATAATGATATTGCTGGTAAGTTGGGATGGAGCAATGTCGAATGGACTAATAAATACAACCAAGGTGTTTCTATCAATGCTGATATTGTGAAATTGATTGGAAGAGCTTCTTCTCTTCAAGACAATTTAGAATTGGAAGTATTTAGAAAGCAAAATACTTTGAAACCGTTGCTTGCTGTTAATTTGGGCTCTCAAGGTAAATTATCTCAAGTATTGAATACTATTTTCACACCAATTACTCAAGAATCACTTCCAAATGAAGATGGTTTGTTGACAATCAAAGAAATTAATCAAATTTATTTTGATATTGGTGGATTAACTGCTAAGAAATTCTGGGTTATTGGATCCCCAATTCAACATTCTAGATCACCAAACTTACACAATGCTGCTTACAAGGCATTGAATTTACCATTTACTTTTGATAGATTTGAATCCACTGATGCTGATCAAGTCTATAAGGAATTGATTAACAAGCCAGACTTTGGTGGTTTAGCAATTACTATGCCATTGAAATTAGATATAATGAAATATGCTACTGAATTATCTGACGCTGCACAAAAAATTGGTGCTGTTAACACTTTGGTTCCATTAGAAGGTGGATATTTAGGAGATAACACTGATTGGGTTGGTATCACTAGTTCTTTCACAAGAGCAGGTGTTCCACCAAATCCACGTGTCAATGGTTTAGTTATTGGTGCTGGTGGTACTTCAAGAGCTGCTATTTATGCATTACATCAAATTGGATGTGAAAAGATCTACTTGGCTAATCGTACAACTTCCAAATTGAATGAAATTAAGGACTCATTCCCTAAAGAATATAACCTTGAAGTTTTAGAAACAGAAGATCAAGCTGAAAAGGCACAAAATGTTGGTTTGGCAGTTTCTTGTGTTCCTGCTGATAAACCATTGGATGAAAGTTTATTACAAAAAGTTGAAAAGATTTTAGCAAATGGTGAAAAATCAAGTAATGGATTCAAATCAACTTTATTGGAAGCTAGTTACAAACCAAGAGTAACACCAATGATGAAGATTGCTGATGAAAAATTCAAATGGAGAGCTATTCCTGGTGTTGAAATGTTGGTAAACCAAGGTGATAGACAATTCCAAATCCATACTGGATTTACTGCCCCATATGATGTTATTCATCGTGCTGTTGTTGAAGAATAGACGACTATTATTATTATTCTTATTATAAATAATTTTAAAATTTAATATACATGTATAATGAAAAAAAAAAACATTAGGTAGTGAAGGATGAATACACTAAATTTTATAACGATAAATTTTTTGTGCCCCGTCATCTCCGGGTTTTTCAGTAAGGTTCAACTTCCAACAATTAGAGCCTATAGCTCAGTTGCAACAGCAAGAATGGTTTAGTGGTAAAATCCAACGTTGCCATCGTTGGGCCCCGGGTTCGATTCCCGGTTCTTGCAATTTCTTTTTTGTCCTTTTTGCAACAATTTGTTATCCTCAAGCAAATGTTGCTTTTTTTTTCTTTTTATCTACTAATTCCAATAGATTCTATTACGTGTACCTAGTTAGTTTGCCGATCATATCTACTTTAATTGAACTTGTCTATGAATTGTCTACAGCATAACACTATACTTCGTCGTCAAAAATTCCTTAAATAATTTGTTGTCAACTGTGAATTTTTACATGACAACGTGAGGTAATAATTACCAGTAAGAACAATCACTTCCATAAACAGTATTTGCCCACTTGTCAACAAAAATAAAGTATTTAACTGATGCTATACACAAACTCTAAGATCTCATGTAAACCTAGTAGTAAACAGAGTTACTCTGAAAGTGATTGACTAGTAGTCATCGTGTGCAAAAAGAAGAGCCAAAAAGGACAAAAAAAAGAAATTGCAAGAACCGGGAATCGAACCCGGGGCCCAACGATGGCAACGTTGGATTTTACCACTAAACCATTCTTGCTGTTGCAACTGAGCTATAGGCTCTAATTGTTGGAAGTTGAACCTTACTGAAAAACCCGGAGATGTCAAATACGCATTAAAATGGTGTTTTATTTAATATAGATTCTCTTATTTAAACACTCAATTTGTCTAATTTGGTTAATTCATTACGAATAACAAGTATCAGTAGTCTATACTTTACTTTGGTGTTTATAGTTTCATTACAATTATGTCAGAATACTACAAGAAAACATCTTTGAAACAAGTAGTTAAAAATATATTGCGAAGTTGAATTTAGATTAAAGTTTTTTTTTTTGTGCTAACAATAGAATCACTACCCCTTTCAAAATTATATTGACAATTATTATCAAATTAAATGTAGATAAAATCAAAGACTAATATTCAACTAATTAAGACGAGATATCTTTTTCATTCTTTAATATTTCTGTCATGCCCATACTAGGGGAGATAAATTTTTAGAAATGCAGGGAGACCAAAAAAATAACAAAAAAAAAATAAGAAACATTAAAGAAATTGTTTCATCTTGAAATATTAAAAGATTACATTACGCGTATCATTGTTTTTCAGTTAGTCGAGGAATAAACAAGAATTATGTACCGATGAACCAGCACCATCATACCCCCTGAAATCATATTACAAAAAAGAAAGCGATTAAATGAAAAAAAGGTCATTTCAAAAAGACATAAATTCCTAGCAATATATAAATAGCATCCAGGTAATGATGCTGATATGGATGATATTTATTTATACAAGCCACCCTTTTCTCTTTTCAGTATTGAATTTATTATACAGTGATTTACGAAGAGGCAGTGTAGATAAACCACTGCCTTGCTGAGTAAGAAAAAAAAAAAATTACTGACTGACCGAATTGACTACAAATACACGCACTCATTGATTGATTCATTCATTCACGCACGCACGCACGAGAAGAAAAAATAAGAAATAAAAAATAAATCTACAACACACTCACACACAAAACAATACAATACAAAAGAAAGAAAGAAAGTACTGTATTATTTTAGTTAGTATAATAATTCCCCTATTTCCTACATTTCTTACTTTACTTTACAACATTTGGAATTCTTCTTTTTTTTACTCTCTCTATTAATTGATTCAGTTTTTTTTATTTGATCTTTTCTTTGTCAATATTAATTCAGACAACATGTTTCTTTCTGATATAAAAAGAGATGTACTCGATAGTGCATCAGATGCTGGTAAATCAGTAACTTCTTTTGCCAATTCTTTTAAAAGTTATGATACATGTATGAACAATACTGGATGTAAAGTGGTTTTCATCATTGGTTGTGTCCTTGGTGGACTTTTAGTTATATGGATTTTAACAACTATATTTCAATGTTTATTTATGGGTGCTAAATGTATTGAAGCTTGTTGTTGTTGCTGTTGTCGTGGTGGTAATCAACAAACTGTCGTCTATGAAAAACCTCCACAAACTTATGTCAATCCAAATATGTATCCTCCTCGTTATGATCAACAATATGCTTATCAACCTCAAGCTCCTCCAATGACTGCTTATCCTGGATATAATAGAAATGCTTCTTCTGCATCTGAATACAGTTATACTAGAGGTGATGGATATCAACCTGTCGGAGGGTATTCTCACAAATCAGACCCATTTAGTGATCGATACAAGAGCTAAAGTGTATAGTAAATTTGAATAAAATGAGATCAGCGTTCATATGTTACCTTTAAGAGAATTTGATAATTGTAGAGATCAAATTTACTATTTATAATGCATACATTAATATCAAACAAGCAAACTATTTATCACCAGTGGTTGATTTGATAAACTTTTTACTGCGGCTGAACAACTTTTTACCAAATGAACCAGTTGTTTTACCTAAAGACCCTGTTGTGCCTTCAACTTTATCCTTAACAAGGTTAACAGTAGTACGAAGTGAAGCATGTCTCCTAAGATCATTATGAGCAGCATTTTGATAAGCTTGAGAAGCAACTCTACCAATCAGTAAATGGGTGTTGAATGATGGTTCTTGTTTTAATGCATAATTCAACCAAGTCTGAATTCCAGAATCATATTCTTGTTCTTTAAATAAGGCTTGTTTCAAAGCCGCAATTCTATCTTGTGGTTGAGAAATAGTAATGATACTCTTCCAATCAGAAACAGGATACTTTCCCGGTGTTATTGCTGATGGAGTATTCACCTTTGGAGTAACACGAACAGTGGCATCTGTTTTCATGGTTGAAGTTGACGTAGACCTGGCTCTCTCTGTTGTTTCTGAACTGTCTGATGCTTTTCTTGCATCAGGTGGAATTAAACTATGATACTTTTGTGGCAACAAATCTTCCTTTGAAGCAGCAGGAGTTAATCGTTCCTCTTTAAACAATGGTCTTTGGTAAATATGATCACCCAATACTGAATCATTAAAGGAAGACATTGTCATAGCTGGATTTATTGATTGATCATCACCATGGTATTGTTCAACTTTATTAGTTTCCTCAGTATCACTATGTTCATGTTCATCTTCACTTGCCGGATCCTCTCGAATACTTGGCATACCCGCATCAATGGTTTCGGGAACCGATAAGGAACTTGAATTGGAAATTTCTTCCGCTATACTAGAATTTGTGTTTCTAATCTTAGTGAAGTTATCATAAGTAGATTTTTCTGGATTATAGTTAATTGATTCACTATCATTATCATTGATGAACTGACTACGGAATCGATCAGTATTAGGAGTCCATCCACCCAAGTTGAATGTCGCATTACTCAGGGTTGAAATCCTTCTTGAATCTCTAACATCCTTAGGTAAAAACTCATCGGCACCATCAGTTCCCTTTTGTGAACTAGTTTCCATGGATAATATTCCTGTAGATAATGACCCGGATGAATGCACCAGGTGCAATTCAGGAGGAACTAGTTCCAAACTTTCTTTTCTAGATCCATCTTCATTAACAGGTTCTTTAAGGTGACCAGATGTGGCATCCTCTTCTTCATGTTCTACTTCTTCTTCTTCCTCTTGTTCATGCTGTTGTCCGTGATCTTGTTCTTGTTCATGTATTTGACTAACTTCTTCCGCTTCCTGTTCATGCAATTCATCTAATTTTCCAACATCAATACCTGGAAAATCATCAGAAAATACAACTGATTGTCTAGGAGGTTTTCTAACAGATTGTCTTCTACCAGATAATGTATTCAAATAATCATCATGTGCCTCTTTCTGTTGAGAAATGGATAATGGTTTAATTGGGAAAGAATAATCATCATCATCATCATCCTCTTTATTATTGACTTCTTCTTTATAATCATGGTGACTTTGTTCATCTTTCTGTTGTAGAGGTTTCTCTTCATCAAATTTACTGAATGAAGTATTCTCAAAATCAGGCAATGATACATCGTGATCCAATGGAGGTAATATATCATCTGATTTATCCCCTCCAGAAGAATTGTTTAACTCATTAATAAATGAATCGATATCTGGTTGGGAATCTTGGGGAACATTTAAACCACCATCAGCATACTCATCGTTACTTGAATTCTGACTGTTGTAACCCCAATCATCATCATCATCATCATCATCACTTAAATCAAATTTGCGTTTGTCCACCGATAAAACCAAGCCCGGTTGTTCTTGATTAGTGATAGTTTTGGTTTCTTCAAGAACATTAGTGGCAACTGGATGCACTGGTTCGTCTTTTTCTTCTTTGTCTTCTTCTTGATGTTGCTCTTTTGAAAATTCAGTGGTTTCTTGATGCGTGGCCAAACGCAACGATATTGGCTCTTTTTGATAGGAATATTCGGAATTGAAACTAGTTTCAGATGCAACTGATGGACTCTCTGGAGGAATGCTAGCTTGGCGTGAATAGCTATAAGTTGGTGTCGGTGGTTCGAAACTTTGATGTGATGACTGATGGATGAGTGGTTTGACATTTCTAGTATCAATTGTTGGAGTGTTTGAAGTTGATTTCGATGAAGATTTTTGAAAATGTTCAACTGTTTCATTGAATCCCACTTCAGAGCGGACATCATCACTATCATTCATATCATCTTCACTACTATCGGAATAAATACCATTATTGTTACGTTTATCAACTGATAAAACCAAACTTGGCGGTACTGATTCATTGAAGGCGGTGGTTTCATGTACTGGTACATCTTTAGTAGTTGAAGATGGAATCACAGATTTAAAATCTGCTTCATCCCCAATTGAATCATTTTCATCTTGGTCATCTTCTGGTAACCCATCAAATACCTCTTCTGCGCTCTTTATGTCCTTTCTATAAATTGATAATCTTAATCCTGGCTGACCCATAGATGAAAGTGGATGAGGATTCTCAGGAGAATATTCTGGTTCATCAGAATATTTCAGGTCTGGATTATAAAATGAATCATTGTTCAGTTCAACTTGTGGGATCTCATCGTCACTACTGAGTTCACCAACATGCTTGTCTTTATCAATTGATAAAACCAAATTGCTTGGTGCTATATCTGACTGGGGGATTGTACCATTTGTAGTGGCTGTGTTACTCTGTGCTTGATTTTGGTACTCTTTAATGTCAACTGCTGGAAGAGGAGGAACATGATCACTCGGTAATTCAAATCGTTGAGGAGTAGGATTTTTCTGTGGTTGTTGTTGTTGTTGTTGCAGTTCATAATCTTCATCTTGATACTCGTATCCGTCATCGTTTTCATAACCATACTCGTCGTCTCCCCAGTCTCCATAAGTAGGAACAGAATTGACCCATCTTTGAGACTTTTGTCTTCCAAATCTATCCGTCATAATTGATCTAAAATGAATGTATTGTTGATTTGATTATGAATAGTCAAGATAATGTAAACAATAGGGAAGAAATAAGAGGAAAAGAAAAAAAAAAAAAAAAAGAAAAAGAGAAAAAATGAAACCAGATCATGTATTTATTTTTTTTTTTTCTCCTGTCGACTTTATTTTTTTTTTTTTTACAAACAGGAACAAGAATTTTTTTTTTCGTGGTGCGTTTTTGATGTCTGCCGCCAATGGATACCCTTTTTATTTACTACTGGGTCCACTTCGTCGCGGTAGGGTTGAGTATTTTTAGATTCTATGCTGCGCCAGAAAAATAAAAACAAGTTTACGTCATACAATACACAAAGTTATACGAAGCAACATGTTATTTTCCTATTTGATATTTATATCTATTCATCATTATAATTTACCATCTGGATCACTGTTTTGGTGGACTATAATATCTGGGTAGAAATCATTGATAATACCACCACCAGTTTGCCACATGGCCCCATCAACTACCAAAACATCACCAGTGACATAAGAGGCAGCAGGACTAAACAAAAACACGGTGGCGTCAGCAATATCTTCTGTAGTACCTTGTCTTTGCAAAGGAATCTTCTTCTCCAATGGTGTATCTGAAGGTGGGGCCAATCTCAGCATACCTTCAGTACCAGAAATAGCACCTGGAGCAATACAGTTGAATCTAATACCCAATGGACCTAATTCAACAGCAAGAGCATTACTCAAAGCATCAACACCAGCTTTAGCAGCACCAACATGTGCTTGCATTGGAACACCAGTGTAGTGCAAAGTAGCACTAACAAAGATAACAGATCCCTTGTTTTTTCTCAATTCATCAAATGTAACTTTAACGGTATTGAAAGAACCCAACAAATCAATATCAATGACGGATTTGAAAGCATTTGAAGACAAATGATTGAAATCACACAAGAAATTACCAGCAGCACCAGCAACAACATAATCAATTCTACCTAATTCGGCAACTGTTCTGTCAACAGCTTCTTTAATTGTTTGAATTTTACGAACATCAACACCACCGATACCTATAACTTTGGCACCTGGTCTTAAGGATGCAATTTCTTCAGCAGCTGACTCTGTCTTTTCAACATTTCTACCAATAATAGCAGCATTAGCACCTAATAAAACCATTGCTTCTGCTTGAACACGACAAATTGAACCCGCACCACCAGTGATGAAGACAACTTTTCCGGCGTAGATATCTGATTTCCAGACACTTCTCTTAACATAAGATTGATCTAAGGTATTTGGCATTGTAGTAAATGTAGTAATCTATTTGAACACTAATTCGATTATCAAAAAAAAAAAATATGTATTGCCAAAAAAATAAAAAAAAAGTGGCAGGAAATGTAAAGTACTTATAGACGGAGTTTTTTTTTTTTTTTCATATTTGTATGTTCTAAGTTTTATGTATGAATATCTAGCACATCTTCCTTTTTTCGGTTTCCTATTGTGTTGTCTATTGTGAACTTGCTCGGTATAAATCATTTGACTTGCGGGGTTCCATGCATTAAAACAAAAGAGAATCACTGTTGGGAGCAGTGCATATTTTCTCCACCCATGTGAAATATCCACCACCAGGCAATATATGACTGCAAAAAAAAAAAAACAAATAATAATGAAAATATATACAGATACAGTTAAATGATGACATACTTCCATGTTTCAGATCGGAGTTAATCACTCACTTCTACACGGAGATAGAAAACCCCAACTTATTAAAATAATTCTATTAAAGTTTTAAATATGTGATTCTATATACACGATTTCTATGAATCTAGTTTTTTATCGGAGTTGTTACCGGAAAACAAATCCAATTGCTTTAGTGCCATTTGGTAAAGCAAAAGCATAATTGAACTTTGAATACCGGTCCAGATAAATCTGGGTCCAACTCCAGAAAAGGCTCCTAGTATACCTTCATGTTTATATATCGATACCAATGCTTTCAATGTAGCATTCCTGTTTAGTAACCTAACAACAGGATTGGTAATTATATGTTTGTCAGATATCGAACTACCCAATTCTGCAGTATTCATTGCTGTTTGAATACGTGTTTTAATAACATCAAGCGGTGTTGTCAACACACCAGCTAAACCCCCAGCTGCGGCACCTGTGAATAATTCTGCAGAAATTGGCAAGTCATCCGAACCCAGATTTGAATAGATAGCCCAACTACGGAAAGTTTCGTAGAATGAAAACTGTAACGCACTAAATGGTAAATCTCTGAACAATGTTTCTTTATAGCCAAAAACAAACGTTCTTGGTCCTTCAGTTTTATATATAGTTACAATTGCATTCCATAAACCTCGATAATTATACCCGCATTCTTTTGTGTACGGATTATTGTACTTACCTTGTAATTGTAATCTTGTCTTCAACACTTCAGAAGGAACATAAAATACACTTGATGCCAAATCACCTAGCACTCCTGCAATAAAATAAGCGAATGTATCATTTATGTGCCAATCATTAATCATCTTTCGTTTGGAATATTCATATGTTCCAAAAAATGCTGCTGTTGAAGGGAAAGATCCCAATACTGCTGGTGTATATCCACCATATAATCCACGAAAGAACCCTTCTTCTTTTAGTATTGTTCTATATGCTGGTACCATGTTTTTATATTTTGGATTATGTGACAATCCTTGTTGTCTAGTTTTAACAGTGTCCAAAGAATGCATGGTACTATCACCCACTACACCACCAAATCCACCAGCTAACATACATTGCCAAATTGGTTGTACTTTTTCTTCTCCGTTATTTTGGTCATCATGATTGGCTGGGGGTGGTGGTGATTTCGTTCGATGATGAGCCTGAGGGTCTTTGTGATGATCGTGGGGTTCGAATGTTAAGGGTATAGTTGAAGTTGTGAAAGATTGTGACATATAAATATACTGAAAATATTGAATGATTTATCTTATTCTTAAAGTATCCTTATCAACATAAAGATCTGTATATGGAATCAATAAAAAGAAAAACTCAAGTAGTGAAAAGCGAAACCTAAAAAAAAAAACAAAAATAGAAATTAATGCAAAGTGAAAATTGAAATGTTGTCAAGACTCAGAATGGAATTTATGGAATTTTATACAAAAAAAATATTAGAAAAAACTGAGGAATTAACTTTAAAACAAAACAATTAATATGGCAAATGAATGAATAGTTATTGAGATGGCTAATGGTATTGGAAAAATGGTACAGTTATGACAGTATTCAAAATGTAGTATTTTTTTTTTCTGATCTTTTTTTATTCGTTGGATTTTTTTTTTTTCATGCCTTCTATGTTTTTTCGGCCCATCCATTAAGTGAGAGGCATTGTAGGAAAATGGATATAGCAGCCGAGGGCATGAATAAAGAAGGTTATTGAGAGAAAGGGTCAATATAGTCACCTATGTAAACTGAATGTTCCATTAACCAGTCTCTATGTAGTGACCACACTTTACATTTTTAGTGTCCTTTTATTGTTAGATCCAAATAGTATCACCCTCTGTTATATCTTCTATACACGCATTAGAATACCAGATGAAAAAAAAAAAAATAATATCGATTTATATTGTCTGCATCGTTCAATACCTATTCCATTATTTCAATACTATGATATGATACTACTACAACATATTAAACCATTATGCCGAAACAAACGTCTAATACAGTCAATACGAGACTACCGAGTTATGGCTATCGAGTCTTCTTGTGATGACTCCTGTGTTGCCTTGCTTGAAAAATCCCCATCGGAAAAACAACCAATAATTATAGATCAATTTAAGAAAACCCTACATTCAGCAGATATTGGAGGCATAATGCCAACAGCAGCATATAATTATCATATGGCAACAATGGCCAAAATGGTTCGAGAGTTTTGTTCTAAACATGGTATATCATCTTTAAATCCACCTGATCTACTTTGTGTCACCAGAGGCCCAGGTATGCCAGGATCTTTAAGTGCTTCAACTGAATTTGCTAAAGGATTATCTGTTGCATGGAATGTTCCTTTAATTGGCGTTCATCATATGTTGGGTCATTTATTAACGGCTAATTTACCAAAGAAAGATCAACCAAATTCACCACCTCCACAATATCCATTCTTGAGTTTGTTATGTAGTGGAGGTCATACAATGTTGGTGTTGCTGAAGTCATTAACTGAACATGAAATTATCATTAATGTTTGTGATATAGCAGTGGGGGATTCATTAGATAAATGTGCCCGTGAATTAGGAATGTATGGAAATATGTTGGGTAAAGAGTTGGAAAAGTATATCGATGCCATACCATTTGAAGAAAAACAAGAGTTTGATAACATGAACGTGGATACAAGAATATCCAACGAGTTGAAGTTTAGATTGACATTACCGTTTGGTGCACCAAAACATGGTATTTCCGAAGACATCAAGTTTGCATTTGCTCATTTTTTAAGTAATATTCAAGAGTATAAGGCAAATTATTATCCTGGTGGGGATAAACTTGATGAAAGAACGAAAAAATTCATTGCATATAAAACACAAGAGTTTGTGTTTGATCATATAGTAGATCGAATCAATATTTCATTCAAGAAGCATGGACTTTGTCATAGAAATAGTGATGGAATTTTGATTGGAGTTAAAGACTTTATATGTTCCGGAGGTGTTGCAACCAATAAGAGATTGAGAGAAAAATTACTGACCAATTTAAAGATTGAAGAATTAGGTACTGATAAAATTAATTTCCATTTCCCAGATTTATCATTATGTACCGATAATGCAATCATGATCGGTGCTGCAGGAATTGAAATATTTGAACAGTTGAGGTTGAAAACTGATCTTGGATTTACTCCTATTAAAAAATGGCCATTAGATAATTTACTAGATGTTCCAGGATGGGAGAAGATAGACGATGAGGAATATAATAGAATCTGTAAATAGTATTAATACATATATTAGAAGATGAAAATAATAATAATAATAATAATAATATAAATCTTGTACATATACACTATCATTCGAATTCAATGTCTGTGATGGATTCAGTAACAGATTCAGCATCGGAATCTTCTGTTCTCTTTCTTTTCAAACTATTTGGAATCACTTCATTTTCATCATCCTCAATAGTATCTTCAGGGGGCATTTGATCCTCTGGTTCATTACGGTGTCCCAAAAACGCGTCTCGTATATCATACAATTCGATGTATTTTCTCCATGCTCCATAATTGAATGTTGCAATATTATGGGTAGTTGTCATTTTGTGATCCTCTTCTCGAGCTTCTCTAATTTCTTGACCGGTAACTCTTTCAATACAAGGAATTCCATGTTCATCGGTATATAATTTCAATCTACCATCTTTAATAAGAAAACTTGTGTAAAATAAATTCTCCACACTTTGTCCAAATGAAAATGGATTTATGAAAAATTTGAATAAATTCACTCCTTCTCCATCATCCTTTTCAATATATGTACGATACACCATTTTAACCATATTAGCTGTGTTTTGTTCTTCGTTTCCTGATATGTCACTTGCTTGGACTTGTCTTGCTGTCGTGGATGATGATTTACCTTTAGTATCATCAATGTTTCGAGTTCTTACAATCTTTCTCTTTTCTGCTTTCAAAGGGCCATTTAAGAAATCAACCAGGATTGGTTTCTTACTAACTTGATGATAAAGTATCCCAAGTTTTAACCAATTGGTTTTATTAAAATTGTGTTCATCATTAACTGAATCTTCATCATCTTCGTCATCATCAGCTTGATAGTTATCCAAATCAACATCATCATTAGTTAGGAGACTTTCATCAGTGACGGCATATCTTTTCAAACATTTCAAGAATCCTCTTTCATCAAGCGATACCCCCAGATCACCAAAATTATGATTTCTGATACTCAATGCTGCAAAATCAGAAACTTCTTTAAAAACTTCAGAATCTTCTAAATGAATCTTTGTATCCTTGACCTTTTGAGTTTGAACTCGAGTATATAATTCAGAAATTTCATCAATATATCCAACCAGAATGGCTAAACCATTACCTTTCATAGCATCGTTAAAATGATTCTTAATTCGCTGACGAAGTTTTTCATAGTCTTCAATCTGTTCTTGTTTAGAAAATTTCTTGGTTCGTTGTGTTTCTTCCATGGTCATTTGGTGAGATGTAGTCGTTATTTGCTAAACAACTTGTAATTAAAAAGAGAAAATAAAATTCTGTCGTCCTTTGTTTCTTCACTTAAATTTTTTTTTTTTTTTTGATGTTAAATTACAGAACGCGTCGCCAATAGTTCATAATTTTTCCTTTCTCCCTACGTGTTTGACAACCAATTATGACAGACTTAGATACAAGAACAATCAAGAAGCTAGATGAATCAGTGATTAATAAGATAGCAGCTGGTGAGATTATTATTCAACCAGCAAATGCATTAAAAGAAATGTTGGAGAATTCTATTGATGCAAATGCAACTATGATTGATATACTAGTGAAAGATGGCGGATTGAAATTATTACAAATCACAGACAACGGTCATGGAATCAATAAAGTTGATTTACCTTTATTGTGTGAACGGTTTGCTACGTCAAAATTATCAAAATTTGAAGACCTAGAAAGTATTGCCACATATGGATTTCGTGGTGAAGCATTGGCTAGTATTTCTCATATATCAAGATTATCTGTTATTACCAAACAGCAAGATTCTAATCTAGCATATAAGGCATTTTATATGAATGGTAAATTATGTGGAGCTAATTTTAAACCAGGGGCCAAGAGTACAGAGCCACGCCCCACAGCAGGTAAAGTGGGGACCCAAATCATAGTGGAAGATTTATTTTACAATATCCCTTCAAGACTACGCGGTTTAAAATCAAAAAGTGATGAATTTTCAAAGATTTTAGATATTGTTGGTCGTTATGCTATCCATTGTGGAGATGTGGGTTTTAGTTGTAAGAAATTTGGAGACCCATTACAGCAATTGAATACAAGACCGAAATTGCCCATAAAGGAGCGCATCAGATTGGTTTATGGATCAGCTATTGCCAATGAATTGCTTGACGTGGAGAATATAAAGGAGGAAGAGCTTGGGTTGATGAAAGTGAGTGGTGTTTTGACAAATGCAAACTATAATAACAAAAAGAAGATTCAACCAATATTTTTCATTAATCATAGACTAGTTACTTGTGATCCACTTAAAAAAGCAATTAATTCCATCTTCCAATTTTTCTTGCCAAAAGGTAGCCACCCATTTTATTATCTTAGTTTGGAAATAAGACCAGATAATTTAGACGTTAATGTTCATCCAACCAAACGAGAAGTGAGATTTCTTAATGAAGATGAAATAATTGATGTTATTGTTTCCAAAGTACATGGGATTCTATCAAGTGTTGACACTTCACGAAAGTTCAAAACACAGACAGTTGTTACAAAAAGACCCAATGAAGAAATCGATGAAGGTATGGAATTACCTAGATCTCAAGTGACACAGCCATCGTTGAAGAAATATCGACAGGAAAATAAAATGGTTCGAGTTGATTCTTCTCAACCAAAGATAAGTTCTTTTATGCAGCTGCAGGAAGCTGGAAGTTACCACGAACATATGAAGAAGGAATTTGTGAATATTTCCTCACTGATGATACAAGAAGATACCAGCGAAGATAGAATCCCTAGTGTGCAAGTGGAAGAGATTGAAATTGATGATTTACCAAATCAAGACGCAGTGGTAGATGAGGCACCTCCTTCTTCTCCACAAGCAGATATTTTACCTGCTGAGTTGACTTCACCGGAAAAAGATAAAGTGCAAATCAATTCAACTAGAAAACAAATCCAGGTGAATTTGGATTCGATTGCTAATTTGAAAACAGAGTTGACATCCATTGTCAATAAACCTTTGACGAATATATTCAATCATGCAGTTTATGTGGGTATTATAGATCCAGTCAAGAGATTATGCTGTTTCCAATATGATGTTAAGCTATTCTTGTGTGACTACGGAGCAATGTTGCTAGAGTTTTATTATCAAATTGGATTACAAGAATTTTGTAACTTCGGCGAGATTCAGTTTGGTCTGCCAATAAAACTTGAAGAGTTGTTAGCTCCATTGTATGAGATCAATGATAATTTGGAGCCGATGAACAAAATCATTGATACAATTGTAGGTATGAAGGAGATGTTTTTTGAGTATTTTCAGATTGTAATAGATGAAGAAAATAGATTAACCACATTACCAATGTTAGTTGCTGGAGTACAACCTGATTATAATAAATTACCATATTTTCTATATCGATTAGGAACCAAAATCAACTATGAAGATGAGCAGGATTGTCTAAAAGGTATTCTTAGACAAATTTCATTGTTTTACCTACCAGAACCCTCGGAAGAAGAAAGTAAAAGAAATGAGTTTGAACAACAATTAGAAAATATATTGTTTCCGGAGATAAAAAAACAATTTTTAGCCCCTAAAAATATGTTGAGAGATGTGATTCAAATTGCTGATTTACCAGGTTTATATAAAGTGTTTGAAAGATGTTGAAAGAATCTTACGACATTGATGTCTTATTTTTCTAACACACGGCTGCCAAAAAGAGTAGGAAGTTGGAAGCAAAAATTCTCACATGAGTTCAAAAATTTTTTTTTTTGGGTGCCGAGTTGCAGATCTTTTCTTTGTGTCGACTTCTCCACATGATAAAAAACAACAATAACGAAAAAAAAAGAGACAAGCTATCAGATTAACTACTCGGAACTAATGTACGAAATTAGACTATTGTTGTCAATTTGATTTGAGTAGTATACGTTTGAGATCATGGTAAATTAGTTAATTTAATAGCTGTGTAGATCAATTGAAGTTACAAGGGATATATTGATTTTTTTTTTTTTTGCAGACGATCGGTAGTATGTCTTTGGTTAGACCAGACCTAATGAGAAACACCAATAGATTCCTAATAGTTGGTTATTGATTTTTTTTTTTATCACAGACCAAAGTGTTTCACATATAGTACTGTCTTATCACCTTAACTTGCATATTTAGTAGAACAAGAACCTTCGTGAGAAAAGAAAGATGGAATCTGTGTTAATCTATTGTGTTCACGATTATCATCATCATCCAGTGGAACAAAATGACAACTGTGATAAAATGTCGTCGTAAAGGAGGAGTTAATTTCTTGTTTAAGTAATAAAAAAATTTCCGTGGTGCGTTCCCGTGCGTGTGCTTTATGCTTTGCTATTTACCACCACCACCACCACCACCAACAGGGGAAAGAAAAAAAAAAAAGAGAGAAGAAAATTTGCAAAGAATTTTAAGACCAATTTAAGAAGGTAGAAATAAACTTACAATCTATAAAAATAATCCATAAAAAAATTCAAGTGGATCTTTTTACTTCTTTTTCTTTCTGATCTATCATTCTCCTTATATTCTTTTGAAATCAGTATCAAAAGTATTACCATCATTTAGTGTGATTTACCATTATATCATTACTAAATTTGCTGTATATCTACTTTTGCTAACAAGAGTTTAATTTTTCACACAGTTTGTCTAGATTGAAGGACGAAATAAACAAACAAAAAAAAAAAAAATAAAAAAATCTAGTGAGATTTTATCTGCCTCGTGTTATTTCAACAAAGTATCAAGATAGCCAACAACAGATAGATCCCATTATATTTGTCCAAGATGTATATCGAGAATTCAGTCAATGAAAGGTATACTCGTACTTTAAATTTTGGATGTTTCCCCAAAAATGTCTTGCAATTCCAAGACACTCAAGATTACTTTCAACAATTGGTGTTTGTTGATTACCAATTAGAGTTGTTGATTGATAATGAATTCAACAAGAATGAGTTGTTATCTTTAGAAAATTTGTCCCAACTTGAACAAAATCCAAATAGTGTAAATTCGGCTAATGAAAAATTACAACAGTTGATTAATTATGCCAAGTCAATTAGTTTGAATTATGAAAATACATCCAAATCTTATGATGAAAACTTGTATTACGTCGTGTTAATGGCGCATTTGTATTACTTGGATGATAATTTGAACCACATGAATAAGCTTTTGGGATCTATTGCTGTCCCATTTCAAGTTTCTAAAAATGCAAACGCTTCTAATTCCAGTGTGAATCAAAAGGAGTTTATCGAATATTTAACTGTTAGATATTATGTGTTGTTGGGATTAGTTGGTGGGAATAATTCTAATGTTTGGTTAGAATATTTACAGAATTATAGAAAACCATTTTCTAAAAGTCAAGTTGTGGCAAACCATTGGTTGGATTTATTATTTCGTAATTTGTCCATCAATTTGAGTAAAAATGGTACCATTCCGTTTTCTTTTGTCAATCATTTGAGAAATTTATCATTTTTCAACAACAAATTAGCCATCATTGCATTTTCAAATTATTTATTACGTCCAGAAAATTACAAATTAATTAATAACTCGTTCAAGAGCGACTATACTACATTTTTAATCAATGAAATTGAAGAAAATATTCTTGTTAAAAGTCAATTCCCCAATGCCATTACCAATGATACGACTGCTATAGAAGTCAATGACTATATAAATAACCTTTATGAATCTTTGAGTTATGTCCCATTCAATTTGTCAATTTTAAAACCAAGCTTATCTAAAAAGTATCTTCTTGATGCTACCACCAAAACATACCAGAGTCGAATTGTTTTGTCTAATTTGATCTATACCTTGATTGATTTGAATGATTATGACGAAGCATTAGCAGTGTTTAAGACATATATTGATTATTCCAAAAAAGATCAAGAATTGAAAGGAGGTTATATTGATGATATTTTAAGTATCATAGACACTTACAGTACTTGTGTGATTCATTTTAATCCTTTGAAAAGTTTTAAAGATCATAAGAAGTTTCAATATAATCACGATTCGATGGTTCTGGAAATGTTGAAACAATTTGTGGTTGAATTGTTGGGTTACATGAAGAAGTTGGAAGAATTAATTGATTTGTCATATGACGATGACAATCATGCTAGTGATAGAAATCCATTGAGTTTCTTGTACCGAAAGTACAATATGAACATTTTACAATCAGACAATTCGCAATTTATCGAATTGATTTCAAAAGCATGGTACGCCATTGGATACTATTACTATTATTTGGCCAATTTTGAAAGCTCCAACCAATCACTCTTGAATGCAAATGTCAACTTGGTATTGAAATACTACAAGAATAGTTTAATTGTCAATTCAACCGGGAATGTCTTTTACTTGTTTAGTTATGCTTTGGCTTTGGCCAATTCCGGATCATTGAAATCATCATTAAAGTTGTGTAAATTCATATTGAAGAAATATCCTGAATCATTCAAGACTTGGAACTTGTTAGTTTTATTGTTGACTTCTTTTGATAATGATAACGCCGATGTTGTTAAACCAGCCACCAATTTTGATAATATTTTACCCTCAGACTTAACCAATGGCAATAGTATTGACGGTCAAACAACACAACAAGATCCTAATGGATATGTTGCTCCAAGACCTCAAATGAGAGAGCCAGAAAGATTCATTAATAAGGCATTAAATATATCCGGGTTGTATGTTATGAAACATAAACAGCGAGATATCAAGTTGACTGCCGAGACAAAGTATGAAATCTTACAATTAAAATTAACCCAATTGGCTGTTTTGGAATCTATTCATGGGTCTCAATATATGATTGATTATTTATCTGAAGTATTTATTTTATATCATGAACTTTTTGAAGTTCAATTGAAGAGTGCACCACATGTTGCTCAATCGTCAAGACAATTCGGAGCCTTGGATAAATGGAGTCATCGACCAAGTTTTATTGATCCATCACCAAATGCTCAAAAAGTCAAGCATGAATCATTTATTCCACCAGTACCAAAATTTGAAGAGTCAGATTTGGAACCAAAAATGAGTAATCATTCAAAGAGTGGATCTTCAAGAGTTGATAAATTAAAGAGACTTTCAAATATAACTTCAAAAGACGGGGCAATTGGTAGAAGAGGTTCTTCTATTTATTCTTCAGTACATCTGAAGATTAAGAAACCAGAGCTGAAACATAGTAGTAATGGTAATGGTGTAGTCAAATCACCTCCATCAATAACTACTTCACCAAAACCGGCATCTGTTGAGAATTTCATTCCTGAAGAGACTTCAGCTCCATTAAAAGCTACTGATAATATAACTGAAAGAAAAATCCTTCAAGAAATTTGGTTATGGACTAGTCGAGTTTTCTTGAAGGCAGGATTAATTGAAGAATGTGAACAATGCATAGTGGAGGCAGAATCGATTTATGAACCAAATATTAAAACATTTACTGCATTAGGTTTTTTAACTAGTAAGTCAAGAAAATTTTTATCATTACAAGAATTTGAAAGATCATTGGAAATTTTAACAACTGATTCAACTTATAAGTATAATATTAATGATTATAATTTGACCCTTTTAGGAATTGCCAAATTATTTTTAGTTGATGATGAACAGAAAAATTCATTATTTATATCCAATAAAGATTTAAATATTGGATTGATTAGATTGAAAAATTTACTAGAAGATTTCTCAAATGTATGGATGGGTGGATATAATAATGTTGAAGTTTGGTATTATTTAAGTAAAATTTACCAATTTATCGATGATAAAATATTATTAACCAAGAGTTTATGGAAATGTATTGATTTAGAAGACCAAAGACCCGTTAGAGACTTTATTTCATATGAGTTGTAAAATAGTAGTTTGTGTATAAGTTTATATATATATATATATATTACTGTTATTATTAAATAGACGTATATTTTACCTAGTACACCCCTGTTGTTGTTGTTTGTGCAGCTATTGTACGAGTTAATGCAAATCTTCTGATGCATGTTTAACCATGTCAACACGACCTCGCCTTAGTTTTTATTAGAATGTTTTATGAAAGAATGTAATACGATCAAGGTACATTAAATATCACCACATTATCGTCATTAAATGTAATGTACCAAAAATCTACTTCTTATTTTTTTTTTTTACAGTAAATTCAATTCACATATTTTTAGCAACCAGTGTTAAATAAAAAAAAAAAAAAGTCGTGCATTTGTGTACAGAAAATATCATCTACAGCCGGGTTTCGGTATATACTTTTGACAGAGAGAGAGAAAGAAAGAGAAAGAGAAAGAGAAAAATTTTCTAATTTATACAGCAATTGAAATCACGATAATATAAACTACATATACAATTTTAATATAATTCAAATAAAATGACAGATTTAGAACCAAAATCAATTTTATATTGTGGAATTTGTTCATGGCCTCCTGAATTTTGTGAATTTGGACTTTCAAAGAAAAAATGTCAATCATGGTTAGAAACAAATGATTCAGAACTTTATTCAAAAATTTATTCAAGTAATGAATTACCAAATATTTCAACATTAAGTTTAGAAAAAGAAGATAAATTATCTAAAGAATTAGCTAAAAAAGAACATAAAGAAGAATTAAAACAAGAAAGAAATAAACAATTGAAACTTCAAAGTAAAATTACAATTAAAAGAATTGAAAGAAATAAAAGAAAACATATTATTTCAATTTCAGGTTTAGAAATTTTTGAAATTGATACTAAAAAATTAAGTAAAACTTTTGCAAGTAAATTTGCTACTGGTACAAGTGTTGTTAAAAATGCTGAAAAGAAAGATGAAATTTTAATTCAAGGTGATGTAAGTGATGAAGCAAAAGAATATTTAGAAAAATTATTAAGTGAAAAAGGTTTAGATGATGTTAAAGTTGAACAAATTGATGATAAAGCAAAGAAAAAGAAAGCTCAAACTGCTTGATTTGTTTTTTGTTGAATGGATAATAAGAGAGATATCTACATATTATTTGAAAAAAAACTGGTTTATACATGCACATAAACATTAGAATATATAAATATATATATATATATATATATATATAATCAAGCATTCTAAATCTAATATTGTTCTTGTTGTTATCTAGTATTATAAATAAATAAATAAGTAAACCTATTATTACTATTATGAGATTAACTTTGAAATTGAAACTTTTTCTTCTTCCATAGTTGATGAATTATTTGGCGGCGATTTTGAAGCTTCTCTTTTTAATACATTAATACTTGGTAGTTTTACATTATTAGAATCAGAATCATATTTTTCTTCCTTGAGTAAAGGAGAAGTTGTGGAAATAGAATGCTTTTTAATATTATTATTGTTATTATTATTATTATCATCATTATCATTATTTGTTGGTGAAGTGATTTTTGGAATACTTGGTAATGTAATTGGTGATTTTTCTGTTGTAGTAGAATTAGTAGTGGCAGATGTTTGTGTAGGTGATTTTCCATCTATTGAATTTGATCTATTAGTATTAATTGGTGGTAAAATATTAGATGAGATTTCCGACTTGCGTGCTGCCTCATTTTTATCAGCAGAAAGACGAATATTATGGGACGCAATATTTGCAACACTTCCAGCATTTGATGTAATTGGAACTACTGAAGGTTGTTGAGACAAAATAGGTGACAAATGAGGAACACTTGATGGATTACTCAATGGTTGTGAAGACGGTACTTGAGGCTGTGGAGTGAGAATTGTACTTTGTGCATTACCTTGTTGAGGAATTGGAGGTGGTAAAGTTTGAATTGCTGGTTGTCCTGGATGACCTTGTTGTTGTTGTTGTTGAATTGTTATTGGCTGTGGAGCTAAAGCAGTTGTAATCATTGGTGTAGGTTGGGCTGAAAGGGTACTTGTTGGTGCATAAACAACTGAACCAGTTTGTGTTAATACAGGAACCAATGGACCATATGGAGATTGAACAATCTGTGGTGAAGGTATATGTCCTGGCGGTATATGGGTCATTGTAGCAGGTTGTTGTTGTTGCTGTTGCTGCTGTGGAGGTTGTTGGCCTTGTGTTGGAGGTGGCTGAGTTTGTTGTTGTTGGGGCGGAGTACGAACAGTGCCAGCTGTTGAATTCGTAGAATTTGTTTGCGGAGATGACGAAGTGTTGTTTTGCGGTGGTTGAATTCCTGGAGCAATAACTGAATTAATAAATGGTGATAAATTAGCTGAACTTGCAGCGGCTGCAGCAGCACTCATAGACATATTGGGGGCCAATACGCTAGCACCAGGTGCAGCACTCAATGGATAAGCCGGTAATGCAGCACTTCCTGGAGCCATTGCTATAGGTTGTCCATGTTGTGCACTCATCATACCTGGTTGAGGAATTATATTATTAACACCTGCACCATTCCCACTTGTAGTACTTCTCAGTTCATCAATAAACTTACCATTGGAATCCAATTTTTCCTGTCGAATATTTTGGTTATACTGAGCAATTCTAAGGGCATTTCTGGCATTATTATCTAAATTCAAATAAGCACAATGCAATTTCCCTTTTAGACAATTCAAACATGCCGGCAAGGTTTCGTCACATTTGATTCTTCTTTTTTTACAAGTGCCACAACCCAAATGTGAATTTCTATGTTTTCTTCTGGAATTCTTCTTCTTTTTCATAACACTGTCTTTAAGTTGACTATCGGATCCAGATGTTGTACTATTATTGGTGGTATTACTGCTATTAGTACTGTTGCTATTACTACTATTTGTGCTACTATTATGTGTTGTGTAACTATAATTCAATTGTTGGGGTTGTTGAACTTGTGCTTGCTGGTGTATTGAAGTTAAATGTGACAAATATGCTGGGGCGGAAGTTGAAGTATTTGAAGATGGACCTGGTTGTAAAGGTGGTAAAGTCATTGGTTGTCCTTGTTGTTGTGGTTGCAGTAAAGAAATTGGCATAGGTGGTGGGGGAGGTTGGACTTGATGATAATCAGGTGGTGATTTATTTGTGGAGGGTGCTTTTTTAGGCGGGTCTGGGTTTTTTAATGCTTTATGATAAATGTCCATCATTGGTAAAAAGGAGGATGATTCCGTCGGGGGGATTTTCACAAAAGGGATCAGGGATATATGTGTTCTTTTATAAGAAAACTAAAAAAAAGAAAAAAGAAAAAATCGTAATATTGATTTTAACGAGGCACTGTCGATAACTGAAAAAAATATAACTAAGACAAGAAACAAGAATGTGTATTTGTTTGTGTGAGAAATGAGGTGTTCTTGAGATTGCCTTGACTAAGTTATCTTCAGGGTAGTTTAGGAATGGAAATAACAATAACAATAATAATAAGAAGAAGAAGAGAGTGGTTAGTTGATGGTGTTTTTTTTTTTTTATTTATTCAAATTAATTTGCTTTAATCAGAATAACTGTTTTCTTGCTTTTTATTATTAATTTCTACCATCTAGAGCCCATTATTATTTATTTATTTTTTCTCTCTCTCTCTCTCAGTTCTGTTCTGTTCTGTTAAAAATAGCAAAAATGGTAAAAAAAAAAAAAAAAAAAAGAGAATACGGGAAAATTAAGAAGTTTAGTTTGTGAGGAGGTAGTGTAAACATGCACAGCCAAAAGTATTGTGTGTGTGGATGTCTCTCTGTGTAAGTATATGAATGTGTGTGTGTGTGTGTGTTAGCTTGCTTATTTGTAAATTTACGAATAACACAAAATTGAAATTTAATAAGGAGAAATAAGTACATAAGAAAAGAAAGAAAAAAAAAGTTACTAATATGCAGGACACACCTGTATACGAGGGGCTTACAAAGAGCCGATTTGGACAAAAGTATTTGTTGATATTAATGATGTAATAGGATGTCATACATTTACACCCCATGTGACAAATAAAGCGAGCAACGAATCTAACCGTAACATGACGTCAGGTCAAATTAGGTTTATATAAGACCCATTCATTAGCAACTCTTTTTCTTCTATTATTACGACCCATGAATAATAATGTATAATAAATTAATACTAGAAGAGAGATACGAACCTTTTTTTTTTTTGCCCTGTATTTTAATTCTATTTCTGGTTGCTTACTTACTTACTGTATGATGATTATTGTGTAAAGTTTAAGATGCCATTCTTATTGTTCAAAAGAAACGGTAACCGATCCTTTTTTGATCATGGGCCGACTTTTGTTAATGGAGCAAAAAACGATACTTTCCGCAAGTGAAGAAGTCAAAAGCAGTCCCAGCTTCTTCAAACGAACAGGCTTGCATAAACACACAAAGTATCCTAAATGATATAACAACAACATCAATAAGAAGAAGAACAAAACAGCCGGGCACAGTTTCCACAAAAGATCCCGCATGCCCTGTGCGTTCTAAACAATTCAACAGGAATACCCAAACTAATTATGAATTCCGCTAATTACTCAAAAATGAACGTTTCATTTCAGTTTCAACTTTAGAGGAAGTAGAAGAAGAAGTAGAATGGACTAAATAATAGATCGACAGTCTAAGAAAATGAAATGACTTTCTTACGTATATGGGATAAAGAGCAAAAAGAATATTATTATTAGAGTGGAGCAAATAATGACAAATAAAATTCCCCTTTCCTATTCCCTTTCCTTTCATTGATTTGATCATCGTATCACAAACACGGATTTGCATGTTAATTCCGTGTACTAAGTAAATCGTCCACGGAAGAAGTTCATTGGTGTGTGTGTGATTTACTTTTTTTTCGTTTTTTTTGTCCGGTACATCACGGCCCGTAATCAGGAAGGTGGAATCCCAATAGTACAGAAAAGGTTGGAATATATGTAATCACATAAACTTTAATAGACAATTCTGTAATTGTAATCAATGATGCAGTACACATATTTATTTTTGTTACGATTCTGTATAATCTTCCCGTAATTTAACCCGAACCAGAAACCATATGGTGACGATGACAAACTCGATAAGATTTTTAGGCTTATTAATCACCTCCAAGAAACAATATCCTGTAGTTAACTTCTTATTGTCACTGTTGCCCATTGTATGTATTATTATTTTTTGATCTGTTTATGTAACTTTATATTGTGTCAACGAATCTAGAAGTGAATTATCCTGGTCGGGGTGCGTGGGTTGGTAGGTTGTTTGAACAATTGAATAGGCAATTGGGATTGTTCACCTGATTGTAATTTGGTGTATAAGGTTTTGTACTGAGTTTACGGAAAGGTCAAACAAAGTTCCTAATAAAGAACTAAATCAAACAATAGTTGGAGGAATAATTATTGTCATCATCCGCCTCACTGGAATAATTTTTTTTTATTTTTATTTTGTCATTTTTTATTTTGCCCGTTGCTCAGCATTGTTTTCTTTACCCCTTTTTCGGTTTTTTTTTTATTTGCCCTTGTCTTATTGTACATTTCTTTCATTCTCTTATTTCTACTAAATACGTAAATCTCTTGCTGATTCAAAAAAAAAAAGGAGTGAAAGTAAAAATAGCAAACCAAACATACCATGTAATAGATCACCTCAAGGAGGAGTAAATTCTCTTAAGGAGATTATAACCTCGTACACGACCATGTCGATGATGCTGTGCCTAACCGGTGACTCACAATTGCAGTATAATTTGGGAACTAGTTTTCTTTTTTTTTTGACGTCCTGACAGCAAATTCCGCTCTGTTAAATTCAACTTTGTGTATGAATTCATACATTAATAGCTTTTACGCTCAATTGATTTTGTTTTTTTTTTTTTACAATTCCATCATAAGAAGAATTTGTCGATACGAATAGGAAACACAAACTAACCTGAAACTAGGCTTGGTTTTATTTAGCATTTATTTTCCCAGGAGGCTCATATTGTCCACTATGCAACATTTTTTTTGTCGGCGTTTGCAAATTAATGGTGGGATGGCTTTAGCTATGATGAAGATACTAAGTCGTTGCAGGTTATCGGGGAATATGCCCCGAAATCCCGGATACGGTTGTGATTTTTTATTTTTTTGGTAGAGAATCCGCTCGTTATTATGGTATATTTTTGAAATAGCTTAAGATGGTCAACCAGCATGTGTAGTTGATAAGCCATGGTTAATATTTGATTATTATTTTTTACATAATCCAAACAATTCACTGGTCATATTTCCATTACATCTGTATAATTCCCCTTACTTTCTTAAAGTTGGGGGAAGTTATCTGAATGATAGTTTTCGGTTATCTCGATATCCAACTTCATCCGAAAGCTGGATATAATCTCAAATTATTGGGAACTTATCTCCATAACTCATGACCTCTCAGTAGTCTACAGTTTAATTCAGTTTAGTAGGAAATTGCGGAGTTTACAACGTAGTAAAAGTTTACAAAATTCGACACTAAAATGAAAATATTGTAATTACTATACGCACTAATTGTTGTACGGGACAATCTTTGTGCAAATTTTGTTTGTTGGTTAGTTTTGACATTGTTTCAGCTAATGGGTAAAATCTCTTAATGACCGCAAAAAAAAAGGAAAAAAAAATCTATTAATAATACAAATATAATATCTTGAAACATTCATGTCTAAAAAGAAAAATAAATAAAATGACTAGTGAATAAGAACAAATAGATTGTGATAACTGAAAAGCAAGATAACAAATACGAATTACTTCAAATGAAAAGACATGAACAGTACTCTCACTCAACCATTCAGTTTATGTGTCGACATAATTAACTTTGCCACACCTCTTTTTTAAAAATCAATTTGACACAGACTAGGCATGAGACATGGAATGGAGTGACTTCCCAAGCACGAATTTTATGCACGATTTGAGCTATTATTACACAAAACATCCGTCACGTGTGAAGTGCTCAAAAAAAAGTTTGAACCTAAGTCGCAGAAAAATAGTTTTCTCACTATAAATACATAGTAACTGAGAAATCTTATTGCAAAGTTTTAAGACATAAATACTGGCAAACATATTGTAATATACACCATACAATAAAACATTTATTCATAATAAATAAAGGAAATATGTTATATATGTCCTAGAAGCAACTGTAGACTATTTTTGGGTGTTTTATGCTTGTTTTAAACAAATTTTTAAAGCCGGTATAAGAATGTAGAATTTTAAAGGTAAATTGTTGCAAAATTTAACCGAATTTGATTAGAAAAACCATTCAATGATCAAAAAACCCAAATACACTACTATAACACTATAAATATGATACATTCTTTACATATTGATCATTTAAAACCATTGTAAGTTTATCTGTTATTGTATTGAAGCAATTAATGGTGTATACGTAGTATAAACTTCAAATGGCTTACTTTATAGGTACTTATTCGCTCCTATAGACACCAAATAGTAAATATAACGGCTTTATAGTAATTATAGAGGTATAATTATTATAATATATAGATTATATGGCAGTTTAAGCACTGTGGGTGTGGTAAATTAGTCTTAAAAGTAAGTATTATATAGGTATTTCAACCAGTCTTAGTAATTTTCTCACTTTAAGTTTTTTTTTGCTAAGACTTTAGATTTTTTTTCAACACTTAACTTCAATCAATAAACTTACAAGTTTGAAGGCTATTTATCTTGTAAATAACGTAAATTATAGCTCTATAATCACTTCACAGGTTACAGGATTGAATACATATCAAACTATATACTATACTTGTGATTTATTGCTGCTGAATAGCTTTAAAAATAAACAATGTTTAACTTAGCAGTTTTTCAAGACAGAAAACTAATAAACAACACAACTTCATATATTTACCATCAATCAAATGTATCTTCTGGATCCAGTAGTTAGCTTACCCTTTACCTGTTGCTTCTGACATGAAAATGGCCATAAAAATGATAAATGTTCTTACAACTTAGCATAAAAACAAATCAAAATAGATGGATCACCAACACTTCAACATAACAGCAAGCAATATGCCCAAAATAGCATAAAATATAGACAACAGTGACCTTAAAGCTTGCTCTTTCAACCAACAGGACCAGGGAAATACCTTAACCAACTAAACTTAATGGTTTTAATCCATTAAATGGATAAAACATTTACCACACTAAGCAAAAAGCTAATAAACAGTTTAAAAACGCAAAATAACACCAACGACTTAACTATATAGCATTGGAAAGCTGGAATAATGGTTCAAAATGAATGTAAACATCTATAATTAGCAAAATAACCACTTCTAAATATGAAAATGTTAATAAATAATCAATTTATGAAGGGATTAATAAAAATTAAGCAACAAAGACCTTGAAATGGGACATAAAACACAACATATTGAACCATTAATTGAATTGATAGCTTTAAATGGACGTAATCATCGTTAAAACATGGTCAAAACGACTGAAAACAAGCAAAAATCATGCAATAAAGTTAGTAAATAATTCTAAATTAATTAAAAACAATAAAATAAACATACCTGAATTAAACTAAACCACTATATAGTGTTAAAAAGAGATTAGACCATTGAAATGGTGTATAATTTGTTGTTTTTTGTTGATGGTTGAAGAAAAAGAAGTGGTATAAACATTTGTTTTTTTTGTTTGTTGTGGTTTCGTCGAAATACCGCGAAAAATTTTGAGATTTGTTGTGATTTCGATTGAGAGAGAAAAATGCGACTTTTTTTTTTAAAAGTTTTCGTTCAAATTCAAAAGTCGCATTTTTTTTTTCAAATTTGATTTTGTGTTTGTGTATCAAAAGTTTCGTGCTGAGGAAGTTACTCCATGGAATGAAACAAAAAAAAAAGAACAGCGTAATGCAAAGTATGCATGTCAACAAAATGTGCATCTGCAACCCTGTGAGTAGTTCATGTATTCTTTTCTGTAAGAATCATGCCATTATTTTCCTTTTGGCTCTACAATAATGTAATATCTAATTTTAGAAGACTAGATTTTTTTGGGGGAGAAAAGATTTAGAATCACGCATGTGATTCCGTGAAAGAAAGATAAGAGCGACTGCTTTCAAATCAACATTCTGGAATTTATTTTATGTCATTGATAATCACAGGTCAAGAATATCTTATAGAAGGGGTGATAGCATGATGATTGATAAGCTCAAGAAAGACAGACTCAACGATTGATTAAACATTCTTCACTAATTGGAATCTGCGCACCATCCCAAAAATTTGAAATTACAACAAACAAAAAAAAAAGTTAGATTAAAAAAAGAACTTAAATCAATACATAAATTCGTACATACACATATCTGTATGTTTTAGTCTGCATGGTACTAACCATTTCAGCATAGAACTACGAGAGATTGCATAGCTTACAAGAATAAGACATCATTAGTAAGCACAGCATATGAATCCTCTATCACTTTCAGATCAACTTTCATCGCGCATCGTTCAACGTGCAGAAATTGTAGTTTTGTTTCTGATTTTTCCTCCTCGCTAGAACCAGAAGTTATTATGTATCAAACTACGAAGTCAAGTTCAATTGGTGTATATGAATGCTAATTGGTTTATTCATTCATCGATGTACAAAATTAATGATCATAATAATAATAATTATACAAAAAAAAAAACGACCATTTGGATCTACATCCAATATCTTAATATTTTTATTTGATTTTACATAACGTTTCAAATCTAGAGATGAAATAAGCCTTGTTAAAAAATAAAAGCCATTGTTAATCGTGAATTCCTATTTCTTTTCCTTTTTTTTATATATATACACTTATGTCTATATGCAATTTCATTTGCTATTCGTCGTATTACCAATTTCACCTTAATCAATTTCACGTCAATAATAATGTTATTACGTTTGATAGCAATAATAATAAAAACTGTATGAAGATAAGCCCTGTTATCACGTGGCTTTATCGGCTATTTTGTAAATACCTTTCTCCGTTATTCGTAATAAATTTTAGTCACACAAAAATTAAAATTTACTGCTGCCAAAAATTTTTGTTTTTCATTTTTTGCCTGAAAAAGGAAGGGGGTGTTAAATTTGTATGAAGGTGTTGCTTTTTCTTCATTTCGCTTTTTTTTTCTATTACAATGGGACAAAATTTTGTGTACGATGTTAGTTTCGTAACTGGTGCACGTTAGTTAATAATCTACAAATCATGATGTTCCCCCCCAAAGTATCAGGCAAATGAACAGCCAGAATCATCGACTTTAAATGTTATCTATATCGTCAGAAGCAATAAGATGTTGTATTGATGATACTCAAATGGGATATTATTAGGGTTGATTGGTTTCAAAAATCATATCTCTTTTATTTTTTTTATCGTAATTCCTTGAAATTGATCTACTCGTGATACATTTTATATAAAACAAAGTAAAAATTCTTTACCAAATAAAATATTTATAAAAACGAATGAACCAAATATAGAAAATATTAAATAATAAATAAGGGATACTATAATAACCCTTACAGATTATTTGGTTATGTAATGTTACATCCTTCTTTTTTAGTCAAAGCGCAAAAAAAAAAGCTAATGGTTTATTGAATAAAGTCATTTCATTCATTCTTCGCCAACACACAACTTAACAACCACGATCACAACAACAAACACACTCCCAGAGAGAAAGACGGAGAGCAATCTAACTTGATTGCATAATCATCATCAATGATGGTCATTTAATTTTTTTTCTTTACATTTTCTTTACATTTTCTTGCTCAATTATTTGCGCTTCTTGTTAGCTTTTGTATGTACACATTAGATGTGTGGTTATTTTTGTTGATCGGTGTGCTAATCTTATTGACAACGGAAACAAGAAAACTATCCGGAATCCCGGACAATAAACATAAATAATTGAACAACTTTATCCTTCGGATCTTGATAATGTTTAGTTTTTCTTTATATCCTTAATTCTGTATCCCTCTTTTCCCCCCCTCTTCCAAATCGATCCGATCCTCCAAAAAAATAACAAAAAGCATTAAAGTAAAATAAAGAAGTTGCATCTCAGTAAAGTTTTTGTATTTGTTTTTTCGGTTCTGTCATCCCGTAATTTATTTTTTGCTCCTTATTTGATAAGTGTGTTAAAAAGTACGAATGAACCTTGAGGGGAAAAAATCAGGAAGAACCGAAAAATTAAACAAAAAAAAAAAAAAAAAACTATATGAAAATATCAAAGGTCATCACTGTGATCTAAATATATATTCCCCCATAAATAAAAAGTTAGAATTTATTATGTCACATCAAGAAGAAATTGAACTGCCATTAACTAGTTTACAACCTGATATACAACCACAAACTACTACTACTACTAGTACCTCCAAATCTAAAAAGAAAAAACAAAGAAAACCTCAAACTGAAGAAGAATATGCATTTCAAGTATCGCGATGGAATGAAACCGGACCTACTATAAATACCGATACTTGGTTATTTGAAAATCTAGAAGAATTAAATGTTGATGTCAAAATAGATAGACTCAAACTATTACATGCAGTTGAATTAGCTTATTATCAAAAAGATTATGAAAAATGTCTAGAGTTACTTAAATTAGGTGAAAAGATGTATAATGTTGATTTTGATGAAGTAGGGGAATGTATTACTAATGACTATAAAAATTCTCAAAAACAAGTTAAATGGAATAAAAAAGTCGAAAGAAATATAATGGAATTGTATAATATTAAAAAAAAGTGTATTAATAAATTGGGATAGATATATTATTTAGGTTCGTTTAATCCATATTCTAGCCTCTATAGAACTTACCATTCTTTTCTTGTATATTCGTTCATTATTTTCGTCGTCATCATCATCATCGTCTTCTTCCTCTTCTCCCTCTGAGTTATCATTTGATGTAGCATCGGGGAGGATGAATTCATCCAATACTTCTACTGATCCAGTCAATATATCAACTTTATAATTTTTATCTTGAAAATGAAGGGCTAAACTTAAGACTTTTTCAATTGTTTTGTTCATTCCTTTAACAGTTATATATTTAACATTCTTAAATTGTTCATTTTGATATTTCTTAACATTACTTTTAGTTTTATTGAATTTATCTAGTGTTTTAGTAATTTTTTTAAGTGATGAAATATATGGAGTTCTTGATTTAATTAAAAATATCGAAGAGGCTTGAGTCTCTGTTAATGGTTTCAAATTTGCACTATGTTTAATATGTTTTCCTTGTATACGTTTCCCCATGATGGATTATAATTGTTGTCCAATGTCAGCTCCGATATTGGTTGTAAAGTTTTTGCTCTTTTTTTTTTTTGTTTCTCCTTTAGAGATGATGATCTTGAATTCAATTGAAAACGCGGTTGTCAAATTTCCAAATAAAAAAAAAAAAAAAAAAAAACTCAAATCGCGTTACCACTTTCATCAATAAACAACAAACTTATTTATCAATGATTTCAAGAAAAAGACAATTTGAAGATGATTCAACCTTCAATTTCATGTCTCCTATAACATCCCATCCAGAGACGAAAAAATTACAAAGAAATAAAATCCATAGTGAGGTACATTTGAAGACCATTTCAATGATGATGCAAGCTCAATTAGTGCTACAGAAAGAAGAAAGACTAAATAAAACTAGTCATAATCAACAAGAAGAACAGGTGGAAGAGGAACAGAAATCAACGTATTATCAACGACCATATTGGTGATGTCAATCAGTCGACAGCAGACAGCTGTCACTCATCAATCAACACCCATCAACCAGCAACAAACAGATTTCTTTATAGATTATAGAATCAGATTTAGGTTAATACAAATAATTGAAAATGTTGTATTAAGAATATCCAAAAGAACTCAACACGTCGAATGGTTCTGATGTGTCAATGACATTTCGTTGGATGTAGAATTTTAGATATTGTGAGAAGCTTCCCTTTTTCTAAGTACTTCCCCATTGATATGCATCACCATCTCTTGTACCTCGCCGACTAATCTAATACTTTATTGACCACCACCACCACCACTACTATTACTAACCAAATCAGGGGAGATTCGAAACCACTTTTTTTCCTTTAGGGGTATTTCATTGGTGCCAGGTTTAGCCGCACCTGCATAAGAAGAAAAAAAAAAGAAAAATTCGTGAAAGTTTGGAAATTTCAGACTTCGAGATATGTGTAAAAGCAATTCAAATTAATTATAGCCACTTGTCATTTTCTGTTTTAGAAGTATTTCATCACTTCACCACTACTTATGCATTCATTAGTTCGTAGGTCTATTCCTAGATTAAGGATAGTGCATTCATATCCTAGACATCGTATTATACCGATTTATCATCAAACGAGAAAATTCAACCAAATAGTTGAAAATTTTGTTCAAGAATTACAAGAAGAAGAATCAGGTAATAATAAAAACAAAAAGAAAAAATCAGATAATCAAGATGATGAAGAACCAAGTAAATTTGATAGATTCAAATCATTTTTAATGAAATGTTTAGAAACTATAGGAATTACGTTATCTTCAGTTGGTGTATTAGGATTAACTGGGTTTGTTTATCATAGATATTATAATGTTCATGTTTTAAATAAAATGAATGAAGCTTTTGAAACAGGTGATCCTGCTGCTCAATTAGCTATGCATAAAAGAACTCATAATGAAGATAATGATGATGAAGAAAATATATCACACAATGAACATTGGGTTGATCGTCCACAACAAAAATTATTGGATGATATAATTGCTGGTGAAATTATTGGAAGATATTTCTTAATTATTGGTGAAAAGGGAACAGGTAAAACATCATTGATTTTAGAAGCTATGAAAAAAGTTAATGGATTTAATGTTAGTATATTTGATGCTCATGCTGATCCAGAAATTTTTAGACTTCGATTAGGTAAAGCTTTGAATTATTCTTTTAATGAAGATTATATTGGTTCATTGTTTTCAATTAGAGGTCCTAGAGATACCACTGCATTGTTGGATATTGAAAGAGCTTTTAGTAAATTAGAAGAATTAGCCATTCAAAGAGTCAACAAAGTTCATAAACCTTTGATTATGATTATTAACAATGCCCATTTGATTAAAGAGAACGAAGAAGGGGTTAAATTACTAGAATTGTTACAACAAAAGGCCGAAAGTTTAAGTGGATCCGGTTTATTAACTTTGATATTCAATAGTGATGATTATTGGGTCTATGAAAAATTAAAACAATTAGGTACTAGATTGGAATTGATTAATGTTAGAGATTTCAATAGAAAAGAAACCATTAATGCATTGAAATATATTAGACATAGATATTTCCCTTCCAAACAATATAGTTTAGATGATGATGTGTGTAATGCTGTTTATGATTTGATTGGTGGTAGACCACAACATATTACTCAAGTTGCTCGTCATAAAGATATAATTAAAGCTTGTCATCAAATCATTGATAGAGAAAAAACCTGGTTTTTGAATCAATGTGGATTATTAGGTTTTGAAATGGATGATGATGTTATGGAAAGTGGGAAATTCTCCAGTTCTGCCATGTTATTAATGAGAGAATTTGTTGAAATGGATAGAAAAAGAATGAACACTTTAATCACCAATTCAAAAACCAAATCAGATGCAAAAGATCATGTATTACCGGAATTACCATTATGGAGAGCTAGACAAATCATGACAAGACCTGATTATATTCAAAAATATGATAATTTGAATATTTTCACCATTGATTCAGAATCAAGAGTTAGAGCAGATAGTGTTCCTATGATGAGAGGTTTCCATGAAATTGCATCACAACCTCATTTTGATCAATTATTAGAGGATACTTGTGATAGAGTTGCTGATATCGAAGCATTAGGAAGAACAAGAGAGATTGTTATGAAAGATTTGAATTTAGGAAGTCATTATGAAATGCTCAAGAATCGTGATGGTATAACTAAATTCACTATGGTTAAATCACCAAAGGAGGCTGATTTACATGGAGATTTTACTGATTTCAATAAAGAAGGAGAAAATAACAACGGTGATGAAGACGAAGATGAAGATGATTTATATTTAGAAGAAATTAATCGTAAAGATAGTAAGAAATGGTGGAAAAAGAGAATGCAAAGATATGAACAATTGTATCTTCCAAGCAATTACAATAGAAATATTCAAGAAAGTGATGATTTGAATAGAGTTGGTGAAAATAACCAGTAAACAATCCCTCCCCATGTGTTGATACATATTCCGAAATATCATAAATTTTATAAAATACATATTCAAGTAGAAATAATACACCATTCTTTGATCGGTGATATATGTCCTTTGTAGGGATTATTTTATACATTCACTGCATTCACTAATTTATACAATGAAATGTTTGTGACTTCCGTTGGTTGTAGAAATATACAATTTACTTGTGGAAACAAGAAATAACACACCAAAGGATTTCCAAACAATTACATTATCTATATGTCAAGCTTTTTTTTTTTTTTCATCATTATTATCCCTAGTTATATTGATGTTGATATTTTTTTTTCTAGGTAATCCGATCATCGCAAAGACCAGACTCATTTCTATAAGTACGGTAGTACTATTAATACCAGTTATATAGATAAAAGAATAACCATGATTGGCTATTATAAGATTATCTGATTGGATCAGTTTAAATAATATTCAAGAAATTTTATTATCACCTCATTTTTTGTTTTTCATTACAATTGCTTGGAATTGTTAATTATTATTTTTGGTTTGTCATATATTTTCTTAGCCGTACCAATTAATTATCATTTCTTTGATTTATAGAGAGGGATTTGCCATACAACGGTTGATATGTCAATTGGTGAGTGGATCAATGATGATGTTTGTAACTAACTATAATCTCTTTTTTTTTTTCACTGTACATTTGTCCATAATAATCACTTACTCACAGTGATGATATTGGTTCACAATTGAGTATTCATTATTTATATAATTCTTATTTGATAAAGTTGAGAACTTGGCACGAAACAAACTCATAATAAAAATTATAGAACAGGCATTTCTTGGCTGCAAAATCCCTCATCCACAAAAAAGAAGAAAAAAAAAAAATTAAGAATCAACAAAATCATTTCATACAATTGGATTTCAAGTGGAGCAAAAACCTCCATCTCCATGTGAATATTTTGGGTTACTATACCCTAATTGTTGAAATATTCTTGTCGTTTCTTCTTAGGGGAATCAACCCGGCTAAGAGTTTTCCCCAAAAATGCAACACCGTGTATCATGGGTATACAAACCATCCAAAAAAACAACAAAAAAAAAACTAGACCAATAGTAGTTTCGACAATCAAGGCGACAACGAGAATATAGTACTACTCTATACAGATACACGGTCATGGAGGGAAAACTTATATTTAATGTAGAAACAGCAGTATAAATACTTGTTGAGAGATCCTCGTTGAATACCATCAGAATAGTGGTTTTTCTAACTATTACTATCAAATCAGTCATGAATTCAATTAATTCTCTGCAACTGTCTAAGGATAAAAATCCAGAAAAGGTTATTTCTGAAGAAGGTTCCCAAGAAGAACAAGAAGTTATTGTTCCATTGATTAAAAAATCATATGGTGTTAGAAAATCAGAAATTTTATATTCTCAATATCAAACAGTTCCATTAAGAATATTATTTTTCGCATCTGTTTTCCTTGTTTGTTATTGTTATTCTATTGATGGTATTACTCGTAATAATTTAATGCTATATGCTACTTCTTCATATAGAAATCATTCTGGGTTTACTACAATTAATGTTCTTACTGCTGTTATTGGGGGTGTTTCGCAACCAATTTATGCTCGTTTAAGTGATCGATTTGGTAGAGTTGAAATTTTGATTTTTTCAATAATTTTTTATTCAATGGGTACTGTTATTCAATCACAAGCTTATGGTTTTAATAGATTTGCTGCAGGTAGTGTAATCTACCAGCTTGGATATAATGGATTAAGAGATATGTTATGGTTTTTGTTGGCCGATTTTACTAATTTGAATTGGAGATTGGTAAGTAGTTTTATTCCAGCTACTCCAAATTTAATTAATACTTGGGTTGGTGGTGATGTGATGGCATCTGTTAGAAGAAGATTCTCATGGCAATGGGGGATTGGAATGTATGCTTTTGTTTTTCCATTAAGTTGTATTCCATTACTTGGATGTTTAGCTCATATGATATATCGTGCAAGAACAACGAAGAATGGAAGCAATTAAATCATGAATTTGTTCAACTGTTTAATAAACAAAATTTCAAGAAATCATTTATTAATTTATTCTGGGAAATTGATTTTGTTGGTATGATATTATTCATGGTTTCTTTAAGTTGTATTTTAGTTCCTTTCACTATTGCTGGTGGTGTTAGAACTCAGTGGCAAAGAGCTGCTATTATTGTTCCGTTAGTTATTGGATTTGTATTAATTCCTATTGCAATTGTCTGGGAAGCTAAATTTGCCAAAGCTCCTATCATGCCATTACAATTGATGAAAGATAGAGGAGTATGGGCTGCTATCTGTATTGCCATGTTAGTTTATTGGATTAGAGATATGCCAGGTGAAGCACTTTACACAGTATTAGTTGTTGGGTTGAATTCTTCAACCAAAGCTGCTACAAGAATTACTAGATTATTTGTCTTTGTTGGTACATCAGTTGGTCTAGTCTTGGGATTGATTGTTACTAGAATTAGAAGAGTGAAACCATTTATTGTTTTTGGATCCCTTACATGGTTTGGTGCTATGGGTATTCTTCTTCACTATCGTGGTTCACTTGATGGAATCAATCACAAAAGTGCTACAGATGGTATCATTGGTGGTCTTTGTCTCATGGGTTTTGGTGCTGGTTTAATTAATTTTACTACTAGAGTGGCCATTTCAACGGTTACTAATCACGAATACATGGCAGTTATGATTTCATTTTATTTAGCTAGTTATTCAATTGGATCTGCTATTGGATCAGCAGTAGTTGGTGCCATATGGACCCAGAGAATGTATGATACTATTTTGAGAAGGATGAATGATTTGGGTCTTCCAAATGCACAAGAATTGGCTCAAGATGTATATGAAAGTCCATTTGATTTCATTAAGGAACACACATGGGGAACTCCAACAAGAATTGCTGTTGTTTTGGCATATAGTGAGATCCAAAGGATTCTTTGCATAGTAGGATTGGCTCTTTGTGCTCCAATGTTGTTTGTCACTTTATGTTTAAGAGATCATAAATTAGAATCTGTTCAATCTTTAGAAGAAGGTGAAAGATATGCTGGTAATGGCAAACAAGTAGATGTTGTTGTTAACAGATATGATGATGATATTATCTTGAATTACCTTAAAAAGTTAGTAGGTATTAAAAAGAAGGAAAAGAAACCAACTGAATCTAATGGTGAACCATACTAATTGTTAATAGTATGGTGATGCTATTTTTTTTTTCTTTGCTTTCTGACGCGTGTCTGTACCAATTTTGAAGTTTACGGCTAACTACGTATTTTCATTTTTTTAGTTTTGTTTGATTTGGAAGTTAATGTACTTCGGAATACATGCTTGCTTGTCCGTTTTATTTTTTAAACTTTACTGAATGTAAGAATTATAAAAAAAATTCTGAAATTACGTTGCTCAACATTGTGTAACAAAAGATATATACAGGAATGCCATTTTTAGTTTCTGCAAAAAAGTCACCAAATCAATTGTAGCGCCAAACATGAAATCCAATGCCTCTAGAATTTACATCAAACGATCAACCCGGGTATAGTATTAACCGCAGCAATTGTTCATGTACAATATCTGGGAGTATCGTACAGCAAAAAGCAAGCTACATAAATCCAAGAAAAATCACTATAAGAATAATTGGCAATGAAACTATGGTAAAGAACAGAAGATAAAACATAATAGCCTAGAATCAATATCATATCTCTCTCAACATTTGTTTCCGATTGTTCATTAAATTCGGGATTGATACTTTTATGACTATCCGTGCAAAGCATTAAACTTTTATGTTAATTTATAAGCAAAATTTTGTACTTGTTTGTATTTCTATAAATATATTTATGTTTCTTCGTCTAGCTGTCGGCTTTCCGAAAAAAGCGGCCGAATTTAACAATTATACAAAAGTATAATACTTTTCAGAAAGATTTATCTGATTGGATCAGTTACCTAACAATATATGAATTACAAAACTATATTCTAGTATCTCTTGTTAGCATGTATTTTGTGCACAGTTAATATTCTTGTAGGTTTAGTTATTTGTTAAACCCTTCATATATATATGTCTATGTGCCAATTTCCATAGTTCTTTGCAGTAATTTACGCAATAGAAGAAACAAGTTCATTGGTTGTGATTTTTTTTGACAAGTGTGTGTGTGTGGTGGGGGGGGGGGTTAGTTCAGGCACCAGAGTGTATATTTTAGTATGTAGAGATTAGTTACAAACCAGATGGTTGACTGACCCCCCTTCAACAATATTAACAAACTTGATGTTGTTCCTTGGCATCAAGATAATTTTGCATTCAATAAAAATAATAATCCACCAATATTGAATTAATAAATTTACACTTTTTTCTTGGGGAAGATAACAATATTCCTGAGGTTCAATAACCCGTGTTGGAGTGTATCCATTCCCATGATATTGTTAAGGATATTTGGTAAGTCATTACAAAGAATTCGAACTATAAATAATGGTAAGGAATTCTCCTAAACTTCAACTGCTTTGATTCTATTACATTAAGCCAATGAGTTCCGAAAACCCAATATTAGTTCCAAACGAAAAGGAACCAGAAAAAATCAATCCTGAACTTTCTCAGAAAGATTCATCTTCCTCTGCACCTACTACTGATACTCCACTGGTTATCAGAAAATCATTTGGTGTTAGAAGAGTTGAACTTTTGTTGAGACAATATGAATCTATTCCCTTGAAAATTTTGTTTTTCATTTCTGTTTTCTTTGTTTGCTATAGTTATTCTATCGATGGTGTTACACGTAACAATTTGATGCTTTATGCTACTTCATCCTATAGAAACCATTCTGGATTTACAACTATTAATGTTTTAACTTCAGTTATTGGTGGGATATCTCAGCCGGTTTATGCTCGTTTGAGTGATCGTTTTGGACGAGTTGAATTATTAATTTTCTCCATTATTTTATATGTTGTTGGCACACTTATTCAATCTAATGCTTATGGTTTCAATAGATTCGCAGCTGGTAGTGTTATCTACCAGCTTGGGATAAATGGTGTTAGAGATATGTTGTGGTTTGTGTTGGCTGATTCAACGAACTTAAATTGGAGATTGGTTATTAGTTTCATTCCCGCAACTCCTCATTTGATCAATACTTGGGTTGGTGGTGATGTTATGGCTTCTGTTAGAAGTAAATTCTCCTGGCAATGGGGAATTGGTATGTATGCATTCATTTTCCCTTTGAGTTGTGTACCATTACTTGGATGCTTAACTCATATGATTTTCCGTGCTAGAAAACACGAGGATTGGAAACAATTAAACCGTGAAATTTCACAACAATTCAAAAGATCAAATATCGGTGGATTGCTTGTTAGTTTATTTTGGGAAGTTGATTTAGTTGGTATGATTTTAATCATGGTTTCATTGTGTTGTATTTTGGTCCCATTTACTATTGCTGGTGGTGTTAGAACTATTTGGCAACAAGCTTCTATTATAGCTCCTTTGGTCATTGGTGTTTTATTAATTCCAGGGACTATGATTTGGGAAGCTAAATATGCAAAATCTCCCATTTTACCATTACCATTAATGAAAGATAGAGGAGTATGGGCATCTATTTGCATTGCCATGTTGGTTTACTGGATTAGAGACATGCCGGGTGAAGCACTTTATACTGTGTTGATTGTTGGTTTAAATCAATCGACAAAAGCTGCTACAAGAATTTCCAGATTATTTGTCTTTGTTGGTACTTTAACTGGTATTGGTGTTGGATTAGTCGTTACCAAAGTCAGAAAATTAAAAGCATTTATTGTCTTTGGTAGTTTCATTTGGTTTGGAGCTATGGGTATTCTTGTCCATTATCGTGGATCAAGTAATGGATTTAATTATAAACTGGCAGTTGATGGGATTATCGGTGGTCTTTGCCTTTTAGGTTTCGGTTCAGGATTTATTAATTTCTCAACCCGTGTTGCTATTTCCACTGTTACCAACCACGAATATATGGCTGTCATGATTTCTTTCTATTTAGCTAGTTATTCAATTGGATCTGGGATTGGGTCAGCAGTAGTAGGTGCTATTTGGACTCAAAGAATGTATTCTGTTGTCTTGGATAAGATGAATGATTTGAATATAGTTGATGCTCCAGAGAAAGCACAATATGTTTATGAAAGTCCATTTGAATTTATCGAAGAGCCAGAAAATGCTTGGGGAGAACCAGCTAGAGTCGCTGTTGTTTTAGCTTATAGTCAAATTCAAAGAATTCTTTGTATCGTTGGTTTGTGTCTTGTTGTTCCAATGTTATTCTGTGCTTTGTGTTTGAGAGATCATAAATTAGAATCTATTCAATCTTTGGAAGGTGGTGAAGCTCATGATATTGAAGGGAAAAAAGTGGATGTTATTGTTAACAAATATGATGATGATATTATTTTGAATTATCTCAAGAAACTTTTCGGGATTAAGAAGAAGGAAGAAAAGAAGGAACATGCAGATGAGGGTCAAACACAATCCTACTAAGAACGTTAATATGATTTATTTCTATTTGAATAACTATGTTTAGATTTACCTATTACTAGTTGACACTTTATATTGTTTAATAAAGAGCTGATTACCTTAATTGATAACTAAAAAAGTCATCGACGCTACCAAATGAACATGCTCCTCATGTGAGGTACCTCGGAACAAATGCTGCCTTTTTTTTTTCCGCAATTTTTCCTGTAAGCTGAAATAAAAAAAAAAAAAACCAAAAAATATAATATGTATAAGAGACCCAAAATTTTTCAAGGAAAGATCAAGTAAAAGAATAAATACGTTTATCGTCATTCTTCTATAACATACTTATTTGCAATGACTGTTAAGACTAACCCAGTACTTATTTCTTCCAAAGAAGATGCCCAGCATATTTTATCAAAATACGATAATTTTTTATTCGATATCGATGGAGTGATTTGGTTAGGTGGAGAATTGATCCCAGGGGTTCAAAAATTCCTTGATTATCTTAGAGCTAACAATAAAAAATTTTCATTTGTCACAAATAGTGCTTCTAATTCACGTAACAAATTTGTTACAAAATTTAATGAATTGGGTCTTTCTGATATATCTAAAAACATTATCTATCCAACATGTTATTCTGCAAGTTTAGAATTGAAGAACTTGGGGATTCCAACTGGTTCCAAGATTTGGATCTTGGGAGATGAAGGAGTCGAACAGGAAGTTAAAGAAATGGGGTATATTCCACTAGGGTGCAATGATCCATTATTAGATAAGGAATGGGATCCAAATAATCCAATTTTACAAGTGGATCCAGATGTGAAAGCTGTCATTGTTGGATCCACCAAAAAGTTCAATTATACACGTATTGCTCTGACTTTGCAATACTTGTTATTCAACGATAAATCGTTACCTTTCATTGGTACAAACATTGATAAGCTATATCCTGGTCCAAATGGAATGATTTTGGCTGCAGGGGGAAGTATGGTTGAATATATGGCATTTACATCTAGTAGAACGTTTATTGATGTTGGTAAACCAGGTAAGCAATTGTTGAACTTGATATTAAAAGACCAGGGATTTGACAAGTCTAGAACTTTAATGATTGGTGATACATTATACACAGATATCCCATTTGGTAATCAATTACATAGTACTGATGATGCATCGATTGGTAATTCTATGTTGGTCTTATCTGGTGGTACAAAAATGAAAGATTTGGAACATTTATTAAATAATCGTCATGATTATGACGATCCTGAATCTATGATTCCTCTGTATTTCATAGAATCATTGGGTGCTCTTATAGATTTATTAGATTGATTTGAGTGGAGTTCATATGGTTTGGTAGAGAAATGATTATTGTATGCAAATGGGAATTCCCAGCGAGGGATATAGTTATCCTCCTTATATAGTATTAACTAATATTCATACCATGAGTTTGATTGAATGTCCTGTAATCTCCAGTATTTGTAGGTATTAAATAATACGATCTTGTTTAACTTGCCACCACAAACCACCTTTTAACCGCATAGAATGTTCGCTTCCTTCACTCTAATTCTTATCATCCTTTTTTTATTCCCTACCTTTGTTCCAGCCCTTTTACGCTTTAAGAGCGACATAAAGAAACGAAAAAAAAAAAAAATTCCTCCCCGATTTATCAAAATTATAGAATACAACGACTAACATTGCCACACAACAATGTTGAACTTCTCCGGACAAACAAAACGAAGAGTAGTCAATCTAGGAAATAGAAAACAAGGATTTGGAAATAAGAACTTTTTAGAACAGTCAAGACTACAACGTCAGGAAAGAGAACTTGCTAAAGCCAAAGAAAAGGCAGCATTAGTTATTCAGAATCACATTAGACGATACTTAGATCTAAAACAAAACAGTGAAGAAATCATTACCAGTTGGATCAATTATGGGATTAATCTGAATGAAGCGTGGAATAGTTGGTTAATTCAGTTTGTTATTTTGAGTAAATGGTATTTATTAAAACAAAAAGAGGTCGTAATAAGTCAAGTATTGAAAGTGTTGAATGGTCGTCTAAGTGATCCTCCCTATGGTATTAGAGATACTGAAGTAGACGGATTGATTCAGGCATTAAATAAATTGTTTAATAGTGCAACCAGTATAACAGTCAAGGGTGAGATAGTTACTGGATTGGAATTACTAATCTCAAACCATGGAGCTGTTCGCGTCGACAATGTTGCATCGAATTTGGTGGAGTATATTAAACAACATGAATTGACACCAGAAGAGCTAGACTATGTTGTTTCTCTAATATTCAGAATTAATGTTCTTGATTCCACCAATGCATTTTTTGACGTTTTAACTTTGGACGTGTTTGACAAGCCAGTTACAGAATACCTCAGAGTCTTGAGATATGAAGTGGTAACAAATGAACAAACGTTTCTAAAATTTAGCCAAGAAGAATTGATTACCATACTTTCAAATTTTCTCATATTACACGGAAAAGAAGAATTCATTGAGGAAGATTTTGTATTCATTGGATCAATATTGGAACATGTTTATTGTGTGCTTAAGTTGCAAGACGAAGATGATATGGATGAAGATATTGATCTGAATATTACCAGCCCTGTGGTTAATATTACTGAAAAGATATCTGATTCATTGGATAAGCTATACTCACAAGGATTTGTTCAAGGTACGGTGGATTTGTTGAAAACTAAAGATTCCACGCTGAGAGCACTTGCATTAAAGATTTTACCTGAGTTGATTAATCTTTACCCTCCACTTAAAGGAAAAATTTGCATGCTTTTGTCCATTATACCTAATTGTTACACATGGTTTTTCGATACCATGAAGCAACATGAATTAATGACTATGTTCTTGACAACAACAAATGATTATATCAAGACCGAAGAGTTAGAGAAATTTGACAAGCATTCAATGGATCTATTCTGGCAGACATTGTTTTTATTTGAAGAGCTGTATTCATATTGGTTAATAGTGTCAAATGATTTAGAAAGTTTCAACGATGACAAGTTACCACTTGAAGATGTCAAACAGTTTTTAAAGTTTTTGAAGACCTTTGCATTAACTTTGATATTTGCTTCAGATCGTACCGTTTTCCCACAATACGACAATCTCAAATCCATTTCAATTGTATTACTTAATCAGCTATACACAAAAAATCTTAGAATGAAGTTTCTTCCAAGAGACTTTTGGTTCCCAAAACAGTTGGTTTTTAATGTTGATTTGTTGTTATCGTTAATTGCCGAAGAAGAAGAGAAACGAATTATGGCACATGACGAAGACTATATGGATAGTGACCCAGTTAGAAAGTCAAAACCATCAACCCCTAAAGACGTGGTAACAAAGCTTGAAGTATTGAAGAAGCTACCGTTCTTCATTTCATTCAGAGACCGTGTTAAGGTGTTCCAAGCATTGATTGAGTTGGACAAACAACGTTCTATTGACACCAATCCGTTTTCATTCGAAGAAACAAAACTCCATGCAAAAATTAATCGTGATACCATTTTGGAAGATGCATTTCATGCGTTCCACAGGCAAGGCTCCAATTTCAAGAATAGAATTCAAGTGGAGTTTTTCAATGAATATGGTAGAGAGATAGGTATTGATGGTGGTGGTATAACGAAGGAATTTTTGACAAGTGTTGTCAAAGAAGGTTTCAATCCAGATAATGCATATGAATTGTTTAAGGAAACATTGACTGATAATCAAATTTATCCAAATGACAAGATATACGAAATCATGCACGCGGGTATGGATCAAGAGTTTCAACAAGAGAAATTAGAGTATATTAGATTCTTGGGGATGATAATTGGTAAGTGTTTGTACGAGCATGTATTGATTGACGTTTCGTTTGCTCCATTTTTTCTCAACAAATGGTGTAATGACAGTATGAAAAACTCAATCAATGATCTTAGTTATTTGGACCACGAATTGTTTGTAAATCTAATGAAGTTAACTAAAATGTCAAGCGAGGAATTGGAAAGTTTGGATTTGACATTTTCTGTGGATATCCTGCTCGATGGTAAAGGGTATACGTTTGATTTGTTACCAAATGGCAGGAATGTGAAAGTGGACTCCACCAATATTCTCAATTATATGCACCAGATGGCAAACTTCAAATTAAATCAATCATTGAAATTGCAAACAAAGTACTTTCTTGAAGGATTGTATTCTATGATTTCAAGCTCCTGGTTAAGCATGTTTGATTGTTTTGAGTTACAAATGTTGATTTCTGGTGGTAAGAGTGATATCAACATTGAAGATTGGAAGAATAATGTTGAATATGGAGGTTATTCGGATGACGATCCTAGTATTAAAATGTTCTGGGAAATTGTTGAAGAAATGACTCCTGAAGAAAGATTCAAGTTGATTAAATTTGTCACATCAGTTAGAAGAGCACCTTTATTGGGATTTGGAGCGTTGTATCCAAAATTTGGTATTAGAAATTCGGGTCAAGGGTTGTTGAGATTACCTACTGCTTCGACATGTGTCAATTTATTAAAATTACCAGATTATAAAGATAAAAAGGTGATGAAAGAGAAACTATTATATGCTATCAACACTGATGCAGGGTTTGATTTATCTTAAAATTGACAAATATTTATATATATATATTGATTAAATAAAACACCACTCTTTTGCTGATTTTATTGATCCCAAAACTTTACAGAACTAAAATATACAAACAATTCTACTTTCTAGCTTTTCTTTTGTTTTTTAACAAAACCTTTTGCTTGACGGTTTCTTCTTCACTTTCACTTTCCATTTCTTCATCTTCGCTTTCCATTTCTTCTTCGTCTTCGTCTTCGTCTTCTTCAACAATTTCTTCATCTTCTTCCATAGCATTTTCTTTGGCTGCTAATTTCTCAGCCTTTCTTCTCAATTCAACTTCTCTTAATCTCAATAATTCTGGGTTATCTTCAACTAATTTTCTATCGGCAGCTAATTGTCTTTCTTTATTACCCTTCATTCTATTCTTGTAGAAGGCTCTTTCTCTCTTTTGTCTAATTTCTTCAATTCTACTCATACCCTTCAAAGTAGTGGCAACCAAATCTCGGTTATATCTAACAGGAACATTTCTTCTACTTGCAAATGTTAATGTTGAATCAACAACTAATTCTTTACCAGCAGCTTTTCTAAAAGCTTTAGTCCATCTTAATTTACGTGGATTTCTACGTTGTTTGAAAGCTTTATGACATTTGGAACGACAGAATCGGAATTCTTTAGCATCATTTCTGACAAATGTGATACCATGTAATGGATAAACTGGGGAGGAACAAAAATGACATTGATAAATTCTCATCTTGATATAAATGTATTATTGTTAAGAAAGAAATCACTAGATGTGGGAGAGTTTATACTTAAAAAAAAAAGTAAAAAAAAATTATCTAAGTGAGATGAGTCCCGGTAAAAGAAAAAAAAAAAAAAATTCTACGAAATCTAAAGAGACTCACAAAATGAAGAAAACAGAAGAAAAAAGTTTGAACCTTCTTGTAATACTACCCGCACTGATGAACAGAAAAAAAAAGAAATGACGAAAAATTTTACAACACTTTTGAATTGAAACAACCATAGAGAGGTTCTTTATTATTTGCCAACCACCTACCACCAACCACTAATTTTATTTTATAGACCATGGCTCCATTACAAGCACCAGTATTACCAATACCAGGAGAAAGTAATACTCAACAACAAGAAGTCCCACCACAACAACAGTTTCAATATACCGGTCAGTTGCAAAGAAAGCAAGCACCAGAAGGTTCAATAGAATGGTACTTTGACCAAGGAATAAACTGGATGGGTGAACATCCAGTCTTAACAGGTATAGGTGCATTCACATTAGCATATTTTGCTGCTGGATTTATTAAATCTAATCAACCAGGTATAAACGGTAAAGCATTTGTTAAAGGTGGATTTGGCCAAAAAATGACAGCAAAAGAAGCTTTACAAATCTTAAACTTGAAAGAAACCAACTTATCTAAATTAAAATTAAAAGAACAACATAGAAAATTAATGATGGCAAATCATCCTGATAAAGGTGGTTCTTCTTATCTTGCCACCAAAGTTAATGAAGCTAAAGATTTCTTAGAAAAGAGAGGTGGTATGAAAGCTAAATAGATAGAGATATACAGAAGAAGAGCTTGTTATTATTCTTATTATTATTATTGTAAATAGTTATTATTTAATGGATTTTGTTATACGACCAATTCACTTTGTTTATTGTAATATTACTCGAAATCAAATCAACCCCTATATACACTTTCACAAATTACTCACTTCCCCATATTTTACATTCACAACAATATTACAATCCAATAACCCATTGATTATCTCTTGTTGAGCGGTATCAGCTTCAAAGTACTCTTGTTCCCTAGTCTCTAGTGGTGGTTCGACATTCATACTGACATCGGTGATTTTAACAAACCCGCTGTCTTCCGTTTCCGTTGCAAATTCAAACTTGTACCCAACTGCTTCGTCATTACCAGAATGCACTTTCTTCAACTTCAATTTCAGGTGCTCGCTTGTCAAAAAATGTGACTCCTCGAAATTAATAGATGGAATCTTTACATCCAACCCGATTAACTGATCCCAAGCCAATTTTTTGACAAGCTTGCCAATCTGTTTGTTTACAAACCTGATATTCTTGGTAAACACATTGTACTTCTTCAATTGATGGTGATACGACCCGCCAACATGGAAATACTTTTCGTCTAGGTAGTACACATCATGCGAGTCTTCTGTTGTCACGGCGAGGCCCGAGATGTTTTTAGCATGGACTGCCTTCAACATAGTGTCTACCAAATACTGATTCTGAGTTCCTTCGTTTGGACCAACAATAACCAAATCTGGAGTGAAAGAGGGATAGTAGTTTGGGAGAATAACATTCAATGCGACTTGCAAACTGTTGAATGGGTTGGAGCTGACATACCAGCAATCCTTGTCCAATGGATCCTGTCCGTATTGGTTTGATTGGAATACGTGGCTGTCTCTCTCAAACACAACCTTCTTCGGTCTTTCATGGGTAAGATGTTGTTTCCTTTGGAAGTAGCTTTGATGAACCGGCAACAAATGTTCATACGGACCATAATTATCAAGTTGATTGGAGTACACCGGAAGCGAGTTGGAATCAGACAGGGACGACGATACTAGCTTCACTTGGTGACCGTGTTTCTCAAGATAGCTTTTCAAGAAGCGCGAGTTTTTGGCAACCCAATGGTCTGTGTTTGCGATAAGGATATTTAGCGAGTGGACAGTTGAGAATATCGTAAAGACAACAAGAACAACCAATTTCATTTTTGATACGGATTTGTAACAAGATCAGTGGAGGGCAAGGTGTACGAGTAAATTTTTTGTTTTTCATGTACATCCCTTATACTTTTATATTTACAGCATCTTGTGAGTCAATTAATATTAAGCCGGGGCCAACGTGGGTCCTCCCTATTGTTGTTCTTAATTTATTGTTTTATTTTTTTTTTTTTTCTACACTTTTTTAGTGAGTTTTGCAGACAGGGATCGAAACCCAATTTTGTGTTCATTAATGTGCTCTCACTCATCATCATGGGTTTAATCGGGATTACTATTGTTGCTCGGGAATGGGAATTGCAAATCACAATTATAGAGATGTTTAGTAGTAACAATAAAGTATATGTATTGTTCTTCTATAAATTAAACATTCATAATATCAACAAGAATTTTTTGGTCCTCTTGACTAAGATGTCCGAATGCCAAATTGAATTTTTGGGCATTGTTAGCTTGAAAGTCTTGAATAAATTGTTTGGCAACTGCAAAGATGTTAACTGAATCAAGTGGAGTTGAAGCCAATGGGTCTTCAAAAACTTCATCTTCTTTAATATCAAAGAAGCCACCGGTTTTTCTCAAATTCAAATCTTCAGCGTGGACAAAACCTTCGTCACCTTCGTCATCATCTTCTCCATTATCACCACCAAGAACACCAACAGTATCTTCTTCATCCCATTCACCTTCTAATTGATAATTTGCACCTCCGCTCAATTCTCCAAAATCCTTTCTCTTTTTCTCCAAAGATTGCACTGCCAGAGGTAATTTCTTCAATAGTAAAGTCAAGTTGGTTGAAATGTTTACCAAAATTTGTTGATCCAAATCCAATTTGAGAAGATTGATACAAGCCAAGGTAGATAACTTCAAATCATAAACTCTATCTAAAGCAGGCATGATTTCAAACCATTTATTCAAAAATGGCATCAAATGTCCAGATTGTTGCAACAAAGAAATGGTATTAGTGGTATCATAAATCAATGAAGCAATAATAACATTGTTGCTATTGACTACAAATGTACTCTTGAGTACTTTATTGTCACCACTTTGGTAATGAGAAGCAACACACTCAATAAATGAAGGAATGTAAGAGCTTGCTTGTTCCTCTAAACTCAAAATAAATGTCTGAGCATACTCAAAGGACTGAACCAAATCAGAATAACCGATATCTTCACTAGCACCGTCGGCAACCAAAACAAAAATCTTGAAAAATAATTCTGTAAGTTGCGGATTGCTCTTCAATTCATCTTTACCATAGATCAAGAAGTTCTTCAAACAAGGCAGCAATTCTTCAAAATACATTAATGCGGTATCTTTTTCAAAGGATTTGTATAACAATCTGAAGTTTTCCCACATTACCGGGGAAATAGATCTCAACAAGAAAGTAGAGTTTTCCATTAATTCTCCAATTTCAGCAAGGAAATCATCCAAGTTATTGCTCAAGACATAAGTGATAACTTGAGAAAAAATTTCCTCCAATTTAATACAAATCTCACGGGAATTTTCAAATGACAACAAAACAGTGATCATGGTGTTAATAAATCCCAAAGCGGCCATAACTTTATCACCTTGGTCGTCAAAGTTTCCATCAAAATCATCGACATCAACCTGTGAAGCTTCGTGAATTTCTTGTGCCAATTTCATAAATTGTTGAACCAATTTGCTCATTAAATCAACACCAAATGGCTGTAATTGCGCGGAGAAATTTTCCACACAGTCTTGCATGACAACTGAAATGGCATCACTGTCAATTTCATTTGATAAATCTAACAATTTTGTCATAGTTGGTAAAATCACATTTGATAACACTAATTTAAACTCATCTCTAATCATAAATGCTTGAATCGATAAAGCACTTTCAAAAAGAACTGGTAAACTAGCTTCAGAGTTGTCAAAGTTTCTTAAAATACCATGAATGATAGCACTCAATGTTTCTTGATTGGTGAATGGAACCTCAGAAAATTGACTGACAACATCAATCGCTCTAGCTTGTAAGAATTCAAATTTAGAAGTTAAGCATGGAAGAACCAAAGCACCTAAAATTGGTTCAACTGATTCATTCTTTGGAATGTGGCCAGAAATGGTACCCAAAATTCTCAACAAACCTTCCTTTTTTTTGGCTACTTCTAAAGTTTCTTCTGGCTGTTGTTGCAATTCTGACAATTGTTGGTAAACAAAGTTGGACATTGGCGGTAAGGCAAACTTAGTTTTCTTGTACAATGCAGTTTCTATAAATCCCAATGCCGCATTTTCAGGACTGTTGTATTCAGAAGTTTGATCAAAGTGTAAATTGATATATTCTTGTGGGTCTTCTTCAAATATTTCCAAACTGGCATCATCGGGACAGATAATAGGATAAACCAAATGAGTGATTAAAGTTTCAAAGTATGGCTTTATCAATGACCAGGTAGATTTTTCAATGATACAATGACTCAAAAATTCCAATAATTGATAAATAGTTGTGGTGCTCAACCATCTCTTTCCTTGACAGTATTCTTCGGTAATACTTAAGAATTGAGTGATGAAGTGAGGGACAAAGTCATTCAAAAATAATTGATGAAATTCTTTGTAGTTGAATTTCTTGGTCAAGTTGTTTGAGGTAGCGTAACGAATAAACAATCTGTAAATGTTTGCAATTGCCCATTTGTAACATTTAGCAATTTGCAAGAACAGTTTCTCTTGTTCCAGGACATTTGAATCAACAACATATGCTGGAGGTTTCATGTTAATGACAGCTCCATGAAATTCACCCCAAGTGAAAATTGCTTCTCTAGTACGTAACGGTTCTGGTAAATCGTAATAGGTGACAAACTTGTACAGTTTCAAGATCAATTTTAAAATCTCAGCCCTAAGTTCAGTCATTTCGTTACTTATAATAAAGTTACCCACATTCAACAAATGAGGAAATGCTTGGTTGATAATTGGATATAATTGATTTTTTCTATCATTATTTTCCATCCATTTGTATTTTCTGGCAATCTCAGCAAAACAAAGCATACCTGTGTAAAGATAATCTTCCAGGTTTTCCAGTTGCAATAATTGGCCAGTTTGATCTAATAAACCATCCCAAGATTCAAATTCTAAAGCAATCAATAATCTTAATACCGGGATCAACTGCTGTTTAATATTATAATCACAGTTAATAATAACTGGTAATATTCTTTCCTTAATGATTGGCTTTTCATCGTGATCAATCTTGTAGGTACTATCTTTGATGTTCCAGTATCTAATGACTCTATTCTTGAAATAAACTGCAGCTGCTTTCTTTGCTTGAATAGGAGAAGCAGAATTGTCTATGATATCCAAACATGCACCCAAGAACCCTGGCGTAAGGGACAATTCTTTTAATTTTGATTCAGCCTGGTTTCTTAAAACTGGATCAGTATGTAATGTTCCAGCAAAACATTCTAGGATAAGATTGGAATCCATTTCTTGACTATTTAATGACTAAACTAGTAAGAGTACTACTCTCTTCTAAAACAAATGATAGAAAATCAATATTGATCAAGTTGTCAAAGTTGAGTTGTAAAATAAAAAAAAATTATGTATACAAGAAAAAAAAAATCTTTCTTTCCCTTCTCTCTTCTCCTTCATTGTATGGGTGTTGCCTTTTTTTTTCAAAGTCTCTCTAACCTGTAAAAAAAAATTCTGTCACTAGAAAGAGACTCAAAAAAAAAATGATTATTACAGTTTAGGTTTTGCATACTCATTATTTTTTTGACGATAAAGAGGTTTCAGTTTGCCAATAGTATAAGGAACAAATTTATGTAGTCTTATCTCTTTTCTTAAAAAAGCAATTCCTTCTTTAGTTTTTGCAATCGTGGCTCTTTAATAACTCTAGTTCAAGAGTGATTATAGACGAGAACAGGTAAAATGTTTGTCATTTACTTTGGTTTTCTTTGTAAAAACCTTTTAGTGTAGAAGCGCACCAGTAACTCAGAAAAAGAAACTCCCGAGTGTCCGTGGTTATGCGACTATTAGTCAACTAGACATAGCCCACGACGACGACAGAACTTAGTTCACGTTATTTTACTTGCCCGTTGTGTCGAAGTACTTGTCCTTACCATATCGTTTATATTTACAAGTTTTCCAGAGTCCCTGAATCTGACCTACTTACTGAAGTTTTCTTATTTATTGGTTCTCTAGTATTTTTTGTTCTTGGCCATAATGAAGGTAATCTTACCACTTGAAACCTTGGTTCAACGCACCTTTCAATAAACCATGTTCTTAATTTACTCTCAATCAATGACGAAATCTTTGGAACATCTTGTAATTTTGCACGTGATCCAATTAATGATTTAACAACAAATTCCAATCTATAATCAGGAGAAAATGAAAACATTAAGGCTGTTCCACCACCATCTTCATTCTCGTTATTTGAACCGTCATTTTCTTGACCATCTTTTTCAATATTCTTCAAATCTATATCTTTTGTATTGATCAATGAGACTGTCAAACACCCAGAAAATCTTACAATAGACACGGCTAAACTCACAGGTAAAATAGCAGTTAATGGACGTGGTTGGTTTAATAATAATTTTGTGGATATACCTAATGTTAAAGTATCGGATAAATCAACGTCAATTTTTGCTTCTAATCTTCCTAAATCTTCCCCATATTTTATTCTACAATTTGAAAAAATTGGAAAATCATCACCAATATCAATCTCTGTAAGATTAATCTTATCAATAAACTCAGGAATATTGGTATTCTCCAAAAAATCATTTAATGAATGATAAATATTATCTCCCAACAAGGCTTCCGATCTTAATTGTGAAATAGTTTGTGCAACCAACACATTAAACCAATCCAAAGATTCTGGAGAGTGGTTATTGACATCATAGTAAGTTTTCTCCAAAATAGTTGATATTTTATGTCTTGTGTCCAATAATTTTTCATCTTCAATTATATCATCAGAAGTACCATCTTTCTTGGTCAATTTATTCCTCTTGACAATTATTCCACTTGCATCAATACTAGATTTTTTTGTTGGTATAGTTGAAGAATCAGCAAATACAAAAAATTTAACAAACACAATAATGATAAAAATAACACTAATTTGTCCAAGTACTAAACCTTGAGTAAATGTCCAATTATTTGCAGGTTGTAACTGATTTTGTTGTTGAAATTGTAGTTGTTGCTGTTGTTGCTGTTGTTGCTGTTGATGATGTGCCAATTGGTCCTGAAGAAATAATTCACGTTGTTTTTGTAAAAGCTCTTCTTGTTGTTTTTTCAATTGTTCTAGTATTGAGAATTGTTCATTATTTGGTTGTATGACATGATCAGAAGCTTCTGTCTTTATTAATTCTTTGGTCATTGGTTGATCAAGAATATGGGATTTCCGGTGATAAGATACAAACACTGTAAAAACCTTGATGGTCTGTTTTTTTTTTGTTTTTTTTTGTCACAACTTTTTTTTTGTCACAACTCGCAGATACTTTCTATCATGCCATATATTAATGTGTAACTAAAGTAAATTAATGAATGTATGAGGGGGGTTAATACAAAATATGGAAAATACAAGCGTACATACACGTATATATAAAGAATACTATTTCTTTTTTGGGGTATTTTTTGCACTAGCTAATGTCTTAGCTGGTGTTTTCTTTGGAGAAGAATTGACGCTTTTGGCTTTCTTAACTGGTGTAGAAGGAGCGCTGCCTGAACGAGTCTTTCTAATTGGTTTTATAACAATAGGTTTGATTTCTTCTTCTTGTTCGTCATCATCGTTGTCACGATTGATCCAACCTTTGAAATTATTCAAAATACTCTTACCATTTAAATCTTTATTTCTGTTTCCAATATACTTGGATGCAAATTCAGTTAATGGAGAACCAACCTTTGATGAGGAGGATTCGTCGTCACTATTCGCATTGGAATTTCCATTACTACTGTTGATACTATGAGTGTCGATCAATTGTTGTAGGTCCAATTTCTTTCCCTTCATGAACTCTCTAATTTCAAAGTATAAATCACGGGAGACATTATTTATATTAGTTTTGTTTCTCATCCAATATGTTCTGAAATCATTGATATGTTTCTTGAATTCCAATTCATTCATCTTTAACCAACTGACATTCAATTCTTTCCTAGTTGCACCTCTGGAAAAATTTCTCATCAAGTATTTGTCATAATCACGAACAATCTTCGTAATTATATCAGAAGTGGAAATACCTTCTGTTCTTTGGGTGGTTAAAAACTTACCTTGTTCTTTGATAGGCTTGTAGATATCATCACTATCGGCACTAGCATATGGTAAATCATCATGAGCAACATAATCTATTTTATGTTCTTGTAAAAATTCAGGGGTAACACACCAAGGAGCATTTGGAATGACTTCATCAACCCATTTACAATGAGTCAATGTTTCACATCTTTGCTCATCAGTCAAAACAGTTAACCCTTTACGTTTATGTGTTTCAATATCCGAAGGAATCCCACAAACTAATTCAACATTAGGAAATGATTTCTTGGCTTGTTCCAATTGTTTCATATGACCCAAATGAAATAAATCAAAGACCCCATCAGCATAAATTCTAATTGGACGATCTGTTGGTGGTAAATTGAACTTGAATCCTTTTGGTCTAAATTTTCGTAATTCTTCAGGTAATTCTTCGTCTAATTTCTTTTCATTGGCTTCAAATTCTTCTACTTCTTTAGTTTTGATCTTTCTTCTTTTGGTGACTGGTTGTCCATCATTATCATGTTCTCCTTCATTTTCTTCATTTTGCTCTATATTATCATCTGCTGTTTCATCGGCATCACTGGTTGCAGCTGAATCATCATCTAGTTTTCTTTTTCGCTTAAATAACGAAGAAATGGATTCCATTGATAATGTTCTAGTTATTGGAGTCCCATTGTTTTCAAGTTGAAGTGTCTTCTTTCTAGTGAGTCTAGCCATTGCTCGTATAAATCAAGTATTACTTTAACAAATCTGTTGGTAATGATTTGTAATTGTAAATAATTTGTTTTGTTCTTTTTTTTTTGGTTTTTTAAGGAGTGAAAAGAAAAATTGATATCTTTGGAAACGACCTTCGTTTTGGTTTTCTTTTTTTTGTCTCTGTTAATTTGCTGGAAATTTTTTTTTTTTTTTCTTTGTTGTTCTTTGCGTTGCTTTCATTTTTTTTTTGTTAGTTCCAGGTTTCCGGTCCCGCACGATGATTGATGCGAGCGTGTCTGTGCCTGTACCAGTGCGTGTTGCTGACTCTGACTGTTACAGTTCTCACTCTTGTTTGTATTATCAAGTTCATATCGTTTTGAACTTTTTTTTTTTTTGCCTGTCATTTGCTTTATCTAAAGTGTTAGTGATCACAACCATTCCATTCCTTTAAGCATAACCACATACTCATACTTTTAAATGTCGAGGAATTATTCATTATCTGATTTGAAATACATTAAACCAGTCACATTAAGATCATGGTTCTCCAATGGTTCCTCACCTCATGGTAAATTCTGTGTAGTTGACGTTCGAGAGTCTGATTTTGTTGGTGGTAATATAAAAGGTTGCTATCATTATCCAGCTGGTAACTTCCATTATACATTAGATGAATTGTATAATAAAATATTTACCAACCAGATAAATGACGTTGTTTTCCATTGTGCATTGTCTCAAGTAAGAGGTCCCTCAAGTACATTGAAATTCTTAAGAGGAATTGATAATGTCAAAAACCCTGAACTTAAGAGTTATTTACTAAATAAAATCCACGTCTACGTGTTAAAAGGTGGTTTCACTAGATGGCAACAACATTATGGAACAGATAATGCAGTGACAGAGGCGTACGATAAAGAAATTTGGGAGTTTGGATTGTAATTGAACTTTTACATTTCTCTCTCATTTTCTTTTTATCTTTGTCTATTAAGTAGTGTGTATTAACAGAAATATATGTATATATAATATTATTATCACCAATCTTCTCCAAATATACTCTTACGTATTAGTAGAAATATCAAGTTAAATTAAGCTTGGGCCATCATAGTTTGTGTATTGTGGCTGTACGAATTGTTGTTGTTGAGGTTGTTGCTGCTGTGGTTGCTGCTGGTGAAACGCTTGCGCGTATAATCCAGTTTGTGCATTCTGGAAATAGAATTGCCTTTGAGCTTCTTGTTGAGTTTCAGGGAATACTGGTATAGTTGGAATCTGTTCCAACCCACCCGCAGTTGGTTGTGGCTTCAACACTTGTTGGCCCTGTTGGTTCTTGGAATAATCCTCAAATAATTTCAGTGTAGTTTGACTTACTTTAAAAGGATTACTACCTGTTGAATTGGCTTGGATTTGTTGTTGTTGTTGTGAGGCTCCGTTATCAAATGTAAATGCAGAAGTGTGACTATTGGCTGCAAACCTGGTGTTGGCAAATGGATTGGTTGATTGTGGTTGCAATTGAGGTTGAGTTTGTTGGGTAAATTGTTGTTGCATTGGTTGAGTAAATTGTTGTCCCGCTACGTTTGCGAAAGGATTGGTATTGTTTCTTTGCAATCCTGTAGTTTGTTGTTGTTGCGGTGGTTGCAACACAGGTGCTGCTTGTTGGATAAATGGGTTCGTGTGCTGAGGTTGTAATTGAGCTTGTTGTTGCTGAGGACCATAACCACCAAATCCAACCCCAGTAAATGTTGATTGCATTGGTGATTGTAATTGTTGACCCTGAGGAATAGATTGAAGTCGACTATATCCAGTGTTTTGTGCTTGCAATTGTGCTTGTTGTTGTGCTTGCAATTGTGCTTGTTGCTGTTGTGCTTGCAATTGTGCTTGTTGCTGTTGTGCTTGTAACTGAGCTTGTTGCTGTTGTGCTTGTAACTGTGCTTGTTGCTGTTGTGCTTGTAACTGAGCTTGTTGCTGTTGTGCTTGTAACTGAGCTTGTTGCTGTTGTGCTTGTAACTGAGCTTGTTGCTGTTGTGCCTGTAATGCTTGCTGTTCTTGCATTGGGTCAACTACACCAACTACCGGTATGACCATTCCGCTCCATGGGTTATATGTCTGTTGTACTACCAATGAACTGTGTCTATTCAAATTAGAATTATTATTTTCCTGTGGGGATTTTTCGGTACCTTCAGCTTGATTAAATACTGGTTGTTTGGTTTGTTTGATGTCCTTGTTTCCTTTCTCTAACAAATATTGTTTTCGGTTCATCTCAAAGTTTGGATCATCCAAGTATTCTTCTAAAGAACTAGTCAATGCAGTTGGAGCATGCTTGATTGTAGGGACATGTAATTTAGTAGCATATTCCAAATGTTTGGCTACTCGCAAGTAATCAATGACAAACTTGGTCTGGTCAACAAACTTCTTGTAAATTTTCAAGGATCTTTCAGCATCAACTTTTGACATTTCAAAATAATGCTCTAAAATATTTATCACCCCTTCATTCAACTCTTGGAAAAGGGCCAATAAATCATTAACCAACAACCTGAATGCAGTTAAAACGATATCATTATTAATTTCATTCTCCATAAAGTTGTTCTTCAATAAGGAGTCAATTTGTTTTTGAACACTTTCAACTTCTCGTAACAAACCTTTGTCAACAGATAAACTTCTCAATCTCCCTCCCAGTTGCGTGGTGCTGTTGTTGGATCTTTCATCTCTAACATAGTCGACACCAGTGGCGTCATATTGTTTGACTCTAGTTTGCAAATATTTCGAATACTTGTTAATAAACTTAATATCATTGTTGAAACTATTACTATTCTTGATGACATTATTATGACTTAAATTCAACATTTGTGGTGGAGCTCTGTTTACCAAGTAGTCCAAGGTCACATCTCGATCACCTTCTCTGATCATCAAATGGATAACAATTAAAGACTTGTAAACCACTGACCATGAACTATCTTGTAATCTTGATTGTAAAGTTCTCATAATAGTCAAAAAATTTTCTTTGGATACAACAGAATGATCCAAAGACGTAGCCATCAATATCGGCTCGATATACTTCGGCTTAGGGGCTGCTACCTTCACTTTTGTAGCACCCTTGACGATCTTTTCATATGTTGTCATTTATTGAAGATAATACTAATTGATCAATTAGGTGTTGGAAAGATTACAATTTGTAACTTTTAGATTGCAGGAGAAAGTATACACCAGTATAGTAAATTGTGATATCTATTAAGAGAAAAGTAAATGTTGACAATCCTTTGAATTTTTTTATTTTTTTTTTTGTGCGTATTCATTTTTTCCCCTTTGACTGTCTGATTACTATTGTAAATCGCATAATTCTATTCTCTTTTTTTTTTTCTTCCACTTCGACTTGTTGTCCATTGGAAAATTTGTTCAACTCGGTCCAAGCTCAAGACGAAGTAGAGCGAGCAGTTAGAGGCTGAGTCCCGCAGACTGTAGCACGAAAACTAAAACTGAAACTAGGGGAATTTACTGTACAGAAAGGAATATTCCTCTCAATTGTTTTGATCCTTTTCTTCCCTCCTATTTTTTTTTCGTGTGAGTTGGTTAGTGTGTTCAATCTCTCTTTCCAACCTTTCCGAAAAATTAACTAAAAAAAACAAAATAAAAAAATTAAAAATCTCTGTAGTCACGTGCGGTAGATCAACAAAGTTAACAAATACAAAACTAATCTATTAATTAGATCATTCCTTAAAGTATTATAACCCTACTATGGTTACTTTTAGTTTTTCCGTACTACATATGCAACCACCTCAGTACATGGAAATCGATTGGAAAGAAATTTATAAGGAAATGGTATCTTAGATAAGCTTGTTTGTTATAAAGAAAACCCTCTTCATCGAAGAATACTAACAATCTAGCTTTCTCTAAGGAATGTCATTCATGATTTAATAATTGACTGAATAGATATTTGGGATTTGCAGTGGTTCACAGTTGGCATTGAATAACTCAATGTTCAAAACAAATAAAAAAAAAGAGAAAAGTTAACAAAGACAAGTTGAAAAATATCTTCTAAATTGATTCTATTTATGGGTGTTATGTCTTGAAGATACAAGTTCATTATTATAATCTATCATGAATGAGAGCTGATTGGTCAAACTTTGTATTGCAAATGTACCATGTGGGTGTGTGTGTGCGCTTTGGAAAACAGCATCGTTGCACAAAACGAAGCATTCTGCAAAAACTCTAAAAATCTCTTTATTCAAAGATTTTATATTATTTTTTGTTTTGTTTTGTTTTTGCATTATCATAACCCTGGATAATAACCCACGTTGGCCCCGGCTTAATATTAATTGACTCACAAGATGCTGTAAATATAAAAGTATAAGGGATGTACATGAAAAACAAAAAATTTACTCGTACACCTTGCCCTCCACTGATCTTGTTACAAATCCGTATCAAAAATGAAATTGGTTGTTCTTGTTGTCTTTACGATATTCTCAACTGTCCACTCGCTAAATATCCTTATCGCAAACACAGACCATTGGGTTGCCAAAAACTCGCGCTTCTTGAAAAGCTATCTTGAGAAACACGGTCACCAAGTGAAGCTAGTATCGTCGTCCCTGTCTGATTCCAACTCGCTTCCGGTGTACTCCAATCAACTTGATAATTATGGTCCGTATGAACATTTGTTGCCGGTTCATCAAAGCTACTTCCAAAGGAAACAACATCTTACCCATGAAAGACCGAAGAAGGTTGTGTTTGAGAGAGACAGCCACGTATTCCAATCAAACCAATACGGACAGGATCCATTGGACAAGGATTGCTGGTATGTCAGCTCCAACCCATTCAACAGTTTGCAAGTCGCATTGAATGTTATTCTCCCAAACTACTATCCCTCTTTCACTCCAGATTTGGTTATTGTTGGTCCAAACGAAGGAACTCAGAATCAGTATTTGGTAGACACTATGTTGAAGGCAGTCCATGCTAAAAACATCTCGGGCCTCGCCGTGACAACAGAAGACTCGCATGATGTGTACTACCTAGACGAAAAGTATTTCCATGTTGGCGGGTCGTATCACCATCAATTGAAGAAGTACAATGTGTTTACCAAGAATATCAGGTTTGTAAACAAACAGATTGGCAAGCTTGTCAAAAAATTGGCTTGGGATCAGTTAATCGGGTTGGATGTAAAGATTCCATCTATTAATTTCGAGGAGTCACATTGTTTGACAAGCGAGCACCTGAAATTGAAGTTGAAGAAAGTGCATTCTGGTAATGACGAAGCAGTTGGGTACAAGTTTGAATTTGCAACGGAAACGGAAGACAGCGGGTTTGTTAAAATCACCGATGTCAGTATGAATGTCGAACCACCACTAGAGACTAGGGAACAAGAGTACTTTGAAGCTGATACCGCTCAACAAGAGATAATCAATGGGTTATTGGATTGTAATATTGTTGTGAATGTAAAATATGGGGAAGTGAGTAATTTGTGAAAGTGTATATAGGGGTTGATTGATATATATTTATCGTTAATACAAATGTTTAGCATTTAAAAAAAAGAAAATACTCAAAGAGGTAGCAAAAAAGCGGGCGACTTTCTTTGAATTCAATGCAGTGTACTTCGTGTATTTCTTACTCTACCATTCTAATAGCGTTACTATCTTTATTTCTAATTCTATTGCAAGTAATTGAATTGCGCGTTTTTGTGTTTATCTATGGTTGCAATATGAGTCACGTGAGATAACCCCATTTTTTTTCTTGGAGAATCAAGATAAAGTGGACTTCGCTTTTTTTTTGATCTAATAAATAAATCAATAGGAAAACAGTTAATATATATAAAAGAAAACTGTGGTATTGATATTCACACATTGACTGACAATTTTTATTTATTTCAAATATCTTGAATTATGACTCACGGTGATACTGCATCTATACATTCTTCAATCTTTTCAAAGCTAGTGCCGCATAATAAACTAGGGACATTGTCATGTATATCATTAATTGTTAATAAAATAATTGGTACTGGTATCTTCCTGAATCCTTCGCCTATTTTTCAATATTTAAATGGTAATGTTGGACTTTTTTTATTATTTTTTCTTATTGGTGGAATAATTATATTTAGTGGATTACTTATATATTTAGAATTTGCATTGAATTTACCATTTAAAAACGGTGGAGAATTAAATTATTTGATAAGAGTCATCCCAAATCCTCGAGGATTAATTGGATGTGTATATTCATTTTCAATTGTATTATTGGGTTTCAGTTCTGGAAATAGTTTTGCCTTCGGGAAATATGTCTTGTATGCTATAACAGGATCTGAATCTGTCGATGATAATCTTGTAAAACTAATTGGAGTCGGATGTATCAGTTTTTGTTGTTTCTTGCACATGAAATATCCAAAGCAAGGTTCTAATTTGTTCAATTTTCTTGGAATATTCAAAATATTAATTCTTGTGTTAATCATAATTATTGGGGCTCTTGCATTTTCTGGATTTTTAGAATTACTGCCCACAGACAATTTCAAAGATATCTGGTCCTTCCATGAAGGAAATAAACCTAGTATCTATTCCATATCCGTTGCTTTATTGGAAGTTATATATTCATTCAAGGGTTGGGAAAATGTAAATTATGTGTTGAATGAAGTTGATGATCCGTATCATATACTTACCGTAGCTGCACCATTGGCAGTTTTATTAACAACAGTTTTGTATTTTATGGTAATTTTAGCATACTTGGTTGTGGTTCCTAAAGATGAAATGTTATCAAGCGGAGTGTTGATAGCAGGTATATTTTTTAACAAGGTATTTGGAGCAAGCATAACAGCAAGAATGTTACCAATTTTGATTTCTTTTTCTAACTTGGGAAATGTGTTGGTAGTATCATATGCTCATAGTGTGGTGAATCAAGAACTCGCCTATAATAACTATATCCCATTTAGTAGTATTTTTCAAAATTTCAACTACTCGTTAATGTTGCATTGGTTTGTCACTGTTGTGGTATTGGTTGCTCCACCCAGTTCAGAAATCTATGAGTTTATTGTTAATTTGTATATTTACCCAGGAACATGGATCAATGTTATTCTTACTACTGGTCTTCTTTACTTGAAATTCAACAAAAAGAGTGAAAACTGGGGAGAATTCCATTTAAAAGAAGACGAAGAGTTATCTGACAATGGATCTGTTGTATCTGATGAATTACAAACTTATTATCCTCATAGATCAGAAACAGACCGTTTATTACCAGAAATAGAAGTCAAACCAAGACCTAAAATCATATCCACACCTTATATATGTGTTTTTATTTTCCTCATTGCCAATATCTTCCTAGCTGTTTTCCCATTTGTCCGACCACCAAATGCTTCGTCCTTAGACATTCCATATTGGATGTTCCCAGTAATTGGTACGGGAGTTTTGGCTTTCGGTGCGGTTTTTTATTACATTAGACCCCTAATAACTAAGCAAGACATTAAATATGAAAGCGATTACATTGCCTCATAGACCAGAACAAACACTAATAACAATTGCATATGTACCGTTTTATATTTGATTTTCTTTTTCTGATGTTGTTGTTGTATATATGAGTACATAACTTTCGTTAAATCATGACGATAATAATACTAACTTCTTTTTCTTTTTCTTTTTATTCCCACCTTGTTCTTGTTTTGCCATTTCCTCTTTTGCCTTTCGAATCATTTCAGCCGTTTCCAAATCATACTCATTATCTGCATTTGCAACCGGATCATTTTGAGTCTTTGGTATACGAGTACCCCAGATAGTAGTTTGAAATTCACCCTCAGTATCAGCAATAGAAGGTTGTTCAGATAATGCTGGCAATTCTCTAAGGTCGACGATTCTTAAACTTCCCATTCCAAAATTCAGACCTCCATCTTCATCATCTTCATCACCACCATTACTATTCTCACGTTTAAAAAAATCTCGATTTCTTCTTTCTTCTTCATCCATGGCTCGTTTCCTATCTCGTTCTTCTTTATTAAATCTCTTTTTGGTTTTCTTGGATCGTTTAATTAAATCTTCTTTAAACATCTCCCAAGTCTCATGATTTATAAATTGACTATTGTTCCATTTTATTTCTAGAAATGCAACTTGTGTACCCACGGGTAAATGACCCAAATATTTGAACTTACCTCTAACTGTCTCTGGTGTCAATTCGTCGTATCTTATCGATTCAATTTTTGCGGTTACGGTCGTTGGAAGGTTGGAATAAGAATGGTAGTTTGATTTGAGAACTTTCATGTCAAACGTATTCAATGTGTATATAGTTGTATTATTATTAAATGCAGTTTGGAAAAAGTAAAAATCATGTGAGTTCTGTTGATGTTGTGACATAGATGGAACATTATGATTACTTGGTTCAACTGAAAATTTCTGTTTCCATTTATCCATCTCCTTATCGATATAACAAAGTGCTTCTGCCACTAATTTATAATCATCACCATAGATAAGTTTTTCTTCATCATATTGTTGAAGTATCTGAGCCTTCTCCAGTTCATACAAATCAAGGGCATATTTCAAATCCCCTTTGTAAACCCTCAGATATGGAAATATGTCCATACCAGGAAATTTAGCATGATTCTGCTTTGCAATGTCATATGGCAAGGCAAACATTTGATCCAGTCGCCTACACATGAGTTGCAAAGTGACATCATCACCAATTTTAACATTCTCATCCATATAATTAATAAGTACCGGGATAAAATTATGCTTATGTTTTGGAATGACTGACAAACAAATTGGACAATATGCCGTGGCTGATGATTCAGCAGCTGATTCAAGCAAGGCCAAAATACATTTCAAGCATACAATATGTCCACACGATGCTATCATTCTAGGTGCAATTGGTTCATCAGTTAAACAAATTGGACAACTCCCTCTTCCAATAACACGTATAATATCCTCAGTGTCGATGGGAATGTTAGGATCCTCTTGCCTTATTTGATCAACAATGAACTTGAAATTGACATTGATGAAATGGGAAGGCAGAGAAACTTTATGGTGATGTTGATAATAGTGTCTATTCGACATTAGCTTTGAAAATTAGTTGAGCTAATATGCATAAATAAAGCTATTAGTACTAGGGGTTTAGAATTAAAATAAAAAAAGAGAACTTATTCACGCATATGGTTAACTGATGCTTTAAATTGGGAAGCAAGCCAAGTGAGAGGGAAAATCAAAGAAGAAAAAAAAAAGATTCTGAAAAACCACACACGTGAATGTCGACAATGTCGTATATCAAAAGTCGTGCTGTTCATAGATGTGTGAGTTCTCATTAAAAGAGGACAATTTTTCGAACACGTAAATTTTTCTACCAGTTGTTTTAAACAAACATAGAATACATCCATCTTACTACTAAGAAATATGTCTCAATTGAAGAAAACTAATTTAAATTCAGTTAATGAATTACGTCAAACAACTGATGAGAACTTAGGTTTTATTTTTCAACAATTAGGATATACCGAATCCTTTGCATTGATTGATTTGAAATTAGGGTTGGGATTGTCAACTGTTATAATAGCAGGATTGTTGTTCTTGGTGGATAAAAAGTATACATGGAAAGAAAATTACAATATTACTGTTATTTCATGTGTGTTGTATGCTATAATAAGTGGTGTCTTGTACTTGATCAATTTCTTGAACAAAAATGTTAAATATACTGGTTATGACAAAAAGGGAAACAAATTAACTGTTGCCACTTATTCAAACAAATATGATCCAATATACAATATTACGATTAATTCAGATGGTAAACAAGTGAAAAGTGAATTAGAGTTCAATAAATTTTTCGATGTTGTTGGGTTCTTCAATAGAGATGCATTCACTAATATCATTGGTGACGAATTGAATAAATTGAATAAGAAAGATGAATAATGTCAATTAATTTAATAAATAAATAAAAACAAAGGTACCAGTTCTATTTATTTTTTTAGTCGTCTTTAATTTTTTTGTCTATCTCTGAAACATATCTACAAAAGTCTTGAATACATTGGGGGACTGTTCTGACACCAGGTAGAAAATTAGCGTAAAATGGTTCTGAAATACAACCCAGATACCCAAGTTCAACCTTCTCAACAATTGATCTTGCTAATTTAGTATGATCCACAATTGGTGCAAAAAATAATCTTGAAGGTTCCACATCTTTGAACATAGTGGTGCTTAATTGCCCTGTAGTGATCAACAATAACCTGATACTTTCCTGGTAATCTTTTAATTCTTGCATCAAGGCTTCGTGAATCAGAATTGATGCAGCTTTTGTTGCCGAGTATATGGACAAGTTTTTCGGAGCAAAAGTTCCCAAGATGGATGACACTGTAACAATAAACAATTGGGAGTGTGGGTTTTTTGGCAATACTATGTCAATATGATTAGTGATAACCTTTTGTAAAATCCAAATTGGCAGCAATGTGTTTATATTAAACATGGATTTGATTCGTTCTGGATCTAAGTCAATTAACCCTTTATTGTCTCTTATCCCAGCATTGTTAATCAAAATACTGACATGTTCTTCTTGAGAATTCAAGTTGTTGATTAAACTTGACAACTCCTCTGTCACGCGTTGTTCATCACTTAGATCACACTTCAAGAACATTAGTTTTTCATTTTCAATAGGTGGGGGAGAAACATCAAAATTGTACACAGTCACGCCTCTACCAAGTAAATCCTTAACAATTTCTAGTCCCAATCCATTTGATCCACCAGTTATAAGGGCGATATCAGAAGACGAAATCTGCTTCCAACGGCGAGGTAAATTATAATAAATAGAACATCGATAAATGAATGCAACCAACAAGCTGATAATGAATGAATAATATGGAACCTTAGAATAATTTCTTGTAAAGATTCTTTTAGTAAACGGTTAGTAACAATTAATGAGAACCAAAAAAAAGGGAATAGGATTTCATTCACTCAATACATACACAAGCAACAATTTAAGCAAAAGGATCGACCTCCCATTGTTGATAACAAAATCAACAATATCGTCGATTGATTCCATTAAAATAGCAATAATATAGCAAATACACGAATCGGGAAATAGTGTGTGATTGACAGCTCACGTTGTATAATGAAAACGTAACAAATTAATAAGGTACAGAAAAAAAAAATAAGACAACTCAATGAAGGGGATCACCTGAAAAAAAAAAATTCAAAAGCGAACGAGTACTACTGAAAGAAGTCAAAGGGACATTGAGTATTTTCTTTTTTTTCATTTCTCGAGAATTACTTCGTAACCAGTTCAAATTCATATCTATAGATGTCCTTCTGGGAAAACAACAAGGGAACTTTTAAAGCAGCAGGTCGATCTGTTGCTAATGGTACCAAAGCCGTTGGTAAAGCTGGTGTTAGAACCTACAAGAAAAATGAAGCAAAAAGAAACGGGGTTGAATACAATGATCCATATCCTCAGGAGTCTAAAAGTGGTGAAACTTATATACCTTATCAAGCCAAGGCATTACCATCTAAAGAAAAATTACTATCATACCAACCTCCACCTAAACGAAATGTTGGTGTCCATTCTATACCAAAAAGGGGCGAATCAGCTCAATACGTTAATCCCACTGTAACAAGTACTGTGTCTGCGCCCCCTACACCGGTCACTCAACCTCAATACCAACAACCGCAAGCTCAACAACCAGTTCAGTCCCAACCACAGCAAGAAGAACTTCCATTATATCAGGTTCAACCTCTTGCTGAACCCCAAGCTCAAGTTCAACACCCAGCCCCGGCTCAACCACAAATTCCGACTTATAACCAAAACGTCCAGGACACCCCACATCAGCCTTTACCACAAGTACAGATTCAACCAGTGCAACCTCCGCAGCTTGTGGCTCCTCCACAGTTACCTCTGAGAAGTGCTGTCCCTCCTTCACTTCCTTCAAGAAATTCTTCGGCAACTATCCCTCAACAAAGTTCTACCGTGACACCAGTGGTTACTCAACAACCAGATGTGGCACCGGTAAAACCTAAACCGGTCTTACGAGACCCAACATCATTTGCTCCTCCACCACGAAGAGTTGATCTTCCACCATTGAGGTCAAGCAGACATGGCAGTCAAAATAGTGTTCCCCTGGTATCTTCTGCTGCTGCAACCCAGCAGGATGCAAGTTTTGGAGCTCCTGTGGCGCCAATTACGACCACTGATAGTGAATCTTCTACTCCAATCAAGAAGAAGCCTCCAAAACCAAAGAAATTACAGGTTGATCAACCATTACAACAACAAACCCAGACAGCTCAGGGTCAAGGTCAACAGTTTAATTTAAATGCCTTTCCAAATCCCCGTATGCCACAGACACCTGAAACTGAGGAACAAGAAGAAGAAGATTATACAAACCCGCCAAAGCCACCCCGTCCCCAAAATGAAAACCGTACTCTACCACCAATGCCTGTGCGCAGAACCACCAATGAAGATATTGCTCCACCACCCATGCCAGCTCGTCATAACATGAATGAAAGCACACCTCCACCTATGCCTAGTCGAAACCAAGCTGATGCAGTGGCAGCAGTTTCTCAAAAGAAGGCGCCTCCTCCAAAGCCGTTGAAAAAGCCATCCACTCTTGATAGTTCTCCGCCACCGTATTCAAACAACCCTGCCTCGAACTCACAAGGAGATGTTCTGAACGAGTTGAACAGTATTTTTCAAAGAATGAATATGAATAAGAATTCTGATAATCTGGTTCATCAATTAGAGCCTAAAGAAAAACCAGAGGTGGTAATCAAACCGAAGGTAAAACCAGAGATAGCAGCAAAACCAAAGATAAATCCAGAGATAACAGCCAAGCCTGTAATAGAAACAAAATCTGAGCGCTCAAAGCCTCCTGTTCCGGTACATAGAGAAAGAACTCCACAGAAATCGCCCACTCCTCCTCCTGTTCCACCTTCAAGAAATTACAGTAGAGCGCCAGCTCCCGTTCCTGTTCCAACACCAGTTATTTCCAAACCAAGTGGTCCTCCTCAATTGGATTTGGAATTACACACCGGGTGGTTTGCCAAAAGAGATGGACCTTTGCAGTTACCTAAGGATTTAGAGGGTTTGAATTACAAGACTACGTTTCTGACAGGTATGGGAATTGGAGGCAAACAGACCTTCAATATAACTGCAAGGTTGAAAGATTTATCCATAATCACGTATAAATTTGAATACAGTAGTGGCAACATTAATGATGTGAATGTGGTCATTGGTAATTTTGTTCCTTCTCCATTGGAGAAGATCCCAACAAAGGAAGAGTTAGTTGCAAATCATGAACGTTTTGGTGAATATGTTGCGGGATGGTGTGAACATCACAAGGGTAAAACTGTCGGACGTGGTGAATGTTGGGATTTAGCAAAAGAGGCTTTGCAAAAAGGGTGTGGCAATCATGCATTTGTTTCTACTTATGTTATTCATGGGTATCCTATTTTACAAGTTGCTAATTCAGGAAGTGGTATTCATTTTATCAATAGCAACCAACAATTAGATGATATAAGAAGAGGTGATATTTTGCAGTTCAAGACTTGTACATTTTTTGATCCCGCTACTGGAGTTACTGGAACATGTGGTCAACCAGATCATACTGCCATTGTTGTCAGAAAAGAGGGTGATAAATTGATCTTGCTCGAACAAAATCTGGGAGGTAGACGATATGTTGTCGATGGCGAATGCATTATTAAGAACTTGACACAAGGTGAAATGTACGTCTTTAGACCAATGCCAAAAGAATGGGCCGGTGAATTATAATCTAGATAAGGGTTAATAGAGGTTATACAAAATTTCCTAACGAGTAGTAAATTGACAGATATTTGTTTGTTTTTTAAGTAGTTACTTGAAGCTTGCTTGTTTTGGAGTTTGATGGATACGCTTAGAATCCTATTGGATTTGTTGCATGTATACTGGCATAAAATCTTAAAATTTACTGTTATTCACAGTTTTCCTTGTTGTAGAATATCAGTTATGCATATTTGTCATATTAATAATGACTGTAATTCATTTTATTAGTTAATATGTTGTTTATTAATTGAATTACTGCACGTTGAATTATCAGTACGGTTGAATTCGGCTGGTTCTATTGATCTTTGAGATGTAGAAAACTAAAGGTACTGTGGCTTTCACATTCATAACCAGAAATTGGTCAATTGCCGAACAATAGAATTCTTGAAATTTGATGAATTGCATCAAAAAAAAATTTTTTCTAGTTGATACAATGGTGGTTTCAAGCTATAAAATACTTCCTACGAGAGATCATATGTATTGCCAAGATAAATTAGAACTATATGTTTAGAAGAAATGTCATCTTTAATTGACTAAATACATATTCTTAAATCCCCCCTCCCCTTCCATCATAGAGTTCACAGATGTGCGGACAGGAAACAAAAAAAAGTTTAATAGAAAAATGGACTTTCTTATCAATAAATGCCGCTGAAAATTTTGCAATGATTGAAACTATGGCTCCAATGATGAAGTAACTTTGATAGCAGATCACGCAAATACTCAATTATGGCTAATTGATGAGTTTACTATAATATAAATAGTTGCTTAAATCTTATCTCTTTGAATATGTATCATCTTCTCATCAGATTTGCTTATTTAGGAATCTTTAGCTATCAAGAATGGAACCTACATTGTCTCAGGGTTACGGGTATTTGGTTATTTTTGTTGGAAGTATTTTCTTCTTGGTATTGTTAAACAGTATTACCTATTTACAAAATAAGTACAGCACACATAACTCCAAGAATGTCGATGAATTTGTTTCTGGTAGCAGAAGTGTTAAATTTGGTCTTTTGTTGGCTGGTATAGTTCTGAGTTGGACATGGAGTTTAACTTTGTTGGAATCAGCGGTCAAGTCATATACTTTTGGAATTCTGGGTAGTATGTATTATGCCTGTGGTGGTCTATTACAAGTTTCTGTGTTTTCAATAATCTCCAGTAAAATTAAGAAGAATGCCAACTTAGTTACAACATTTCCAGAAATGGCTTATTTTAGATTTGGAACTGCTGGACATCTATCATTTCTATGGTGTGGGTTTGTATGTAATGCTATTGTGCTGGCATGTATTCTTTTAGGTGGATCTGCTGTTGTACAAGCAATAACTGGAGTTAGTCAATATGCAACATTATTCTTGGTTCCATTCTTTGTTGCATGTTATATTTCTTTTGGGGGACTTCGATCTACTTTTATTTCTGATGCTAGTCATACTTTAATTATTCTTATCTTTATTATAGTTTTCATGTTTGAGGTTTATGTTGTTAGTGATAAAATTGGATCGGCGCAAAAAATGTGGGAATTGTTGGAGTCCTTACCTCCTGTTGAAGGAAACTATAAAGGATCTTATCTTACTTTCAGATCAGAACAAGGTGTTGTCTTTTTGATCATCAGTATTATCACTGGATTTGGTTTGGTTGTTGCTGATCAAGCATATCTTCAACGAGCAGTGGCGGCTGATCCAAGGGTTACTTCTAAAGCTTATTTTTATGCAGCATTGTGTTGGTTTGTTATACCATTTGCAATGGGTGCATCACTTGGTCTCGGTGCCCAGGCCCTTTCTGTCTATCCTGATTTCCCTACTTTATCAGACTTTGAAATTGGAGAAGGTTTACCAGCTGTAGCTGCAATAACATACTTGTTGGGTAAATCTGGTTCAGCGATAATGTTGGTTATGATCTTCTTTTCAGTAACATCATCTTTTGCTGGTGAGTTGATTGCAACATCTACTTTAATTTCCTACGACATATATAAGAGATACATCAAACCTGACGCATCACCAAAGGAAGTGGTTAAAGTTTCCAAGATTGCTGTATTTGGCTGGGCAATTTTTTCATCAGCTCTAGCATCAATATTTCATGGTGCAGCAAAAATATCTATGGGATGGTTGTTTAATTTCTTGGGGTGTGCCACTGCCTCTGGTGTATTCCCCATAGCTTTGTCGTTTACTTGGAAAGATTTAAATAAGGCAGGCGCTGTTGGTGGTTCTGTTGGGGGTATGATTTTGGCATTTATTGTTTGGTTGATTACTTGTAAGACATATACTGGAGAGATTAATGTGACCAATTTATCTAACCAATGGGTATCTTTTGCTGGAAATGTTACTGCATTGGTAATGGGTGGTGTTATATCTATTACATTGTCGCTAATCTGGCCAGCAAATTTTGACTTTGAGAATACAAGAAATCGAACAGCATTGGTTAAAGATGAGCGTGATGCAAATCAAACTGATTCTTCTGGTCAAGTTGACGAAATTCAAGTTGAAGTTAGTAACAATGAAGGTGAAAAACAAACGGGCACACAAATTGTTGGAAGCTCAAAGGATTCGGATATTCTGATTGATGTAGGAACTACAAATTCAGAATTGGATATGGATTTGAATGCAGAGATTGATCATAAATACTTGGATCGGGAGTTTAAAAAGTATAGTATCTTGGTTGCCATATTGGCATTAGTATTGGTCATAATTATCCCTGTTGGTTTAGGTGCTTCTCCTTATGTATTTTCTCCAGGATTCCTACTTGGTGTTGTCATCATTACTATCATTTGGTTGTTCTGTTCCATTTTTTATGTCGTTGTATGGCCAATAATTGAAGCTAGAGAGTCAATTTGGAGAATCACCAAGCAGATACTTTCTAGAGAGTAATTCTGAACTCTTTTATTTTTCAGATTGTCAATATATATTTCGTGTTGTTAAATGACATTTTTGATGTTCTCTTAAATTTCGATCTTGAGCTGTGCATAAAACGCGACACAAAATCAAAGATCGACATAATTTCATGAGTTTGTTTTCTTGTTTGCTGTTTCTGTCGTTTTGTTTGGCCAGCCCATTTGTCTGACAAAAGAATGCCATTAGGTGTTCATTCACTGAAACAAATGTCCATGTGAAAATCACCCAGTCCTGATAATTTATCTAATGAGAAATAAATCATTACGATGAGTTACGATAACTAGAAGCACCCTCGTTTTTTTTAAATTATTATTATCATTTGATCTGAGTTGTCAATGTATAACTTTTACCTTGCAAGTGTTATTGTACACCTTGTAATGGGTGGGTCATTGAAACTCGATTTCAAAGTAAATAATGGAAATATCCAAAAATTTATGAAAAGGGACAATTATTTTAATATGCCTCTTCTGGCGACCGATAATGTGGGATTTTATTTTACGGAGTTGGGATTTGGATCTGAGAATGAAAAGATTATTGTCCTGATCGATACTGGTTCTGCTGACTTGTGGATTACAGCTGATAAGGCACAGTGTTATAAGAGAGCTGAGACTGAAGATATTTCATCGGGGAGTTCACAAACGTCGGACTGGGCGGTTGCTGATTCCAGTGTGTGCAAGTATTTTGGTAGTTTTGATTGGGAACAGTCATCTTCATTCAATAGGAATTCAACGGACTTTGATATTATCTATGCTGATGGAACATTTGCAAGTGGATTTTGGGGTTATGACACAGTTTCAATAGGGAGTACCACTGTTGATAATGTTATATTTGGCGTGGCAAATCAAAGTTCAGATGTAATGGGAACATTGGGCCTTGGAATGCCAGGAGTTGAACTGCTTGTACTACGTGGTCAGAAAGGGTACGTAAATTTCCCACAAAAATTAAAGTATCAAGGAATCATCGATCGGCAAATCTACTCGTTGTATTTGAATAAAGCAGAAGCTCAAAGTGGTACCGTGTTGTTTGGAGCTATTGATCATGAGAAATACAAAGGTGAACTTGTTACTGTACCCATTGTAACCAACTTTTCACTGTTTAAAAATCAAGTTATTATAAATATGGATTCGTTTAATGTATCCAGTAACAAGAAAAATGGACCAATTCCGGAGACTCAATTACTATCTAATATGGCCATATTGTTAGATAGTGGTACTACGATTTCGGGATTCCTGAGGAAAACATTGACGAAGTTGGCAGAGTCATTGGGTGGAGGTTATCTGAGATCAAATTATTATGTTGATTGTGATGTGGTTTTAAAATCGTCGTTGCTGATGACAATTGGAAATTCTACAATTCAAATGCCAATGTCGAATTTTGTTTATAATTATTATGGTCTGTGTTACTTGTCATTCTCAGAACTGGATAGTGAAGAAGAATCGTCATATATAATAGTGGGTCAGGATTTTCTAAGGCATTTATATGTTGTTTATGATTTTGATGGATTGGAGATAAGTGTAGCAGAAGCATTTTACTCCAAGAAAGAAAATATCGAAGTGGTCGGCTCAGATGGGAAGTTCAATCGTACCTCCAAACATAAAAGTGGTACTAATTCTATGTATCTTGTATCAATTCCTCTATTAGTTATAAGCTTGTTTCTTTCTTTAAGTACAATAATATAAAAGTTGTATGTGTCGTCAATAAATATTAGATATAGTGTATCCACAATATTGCATTTGTTGTAGTTATGATATTTTTGCCAATTTTGTATTGATTTTACATAAAAATTTGAGCAAACAATTATTTCCTTTGAAGTTAATTATGCGCTACCAAATGAACAATCTAATTATTAATCTATATAGATAAAAAGGTATTTATGATATATTGTGAACACTAAGAAACACATTAACAACACATATGATACCTCTGACTATTATTATTTTAAATAGTTTGAGTTGTAAGATATCATAGCCACTCACAGGTGAAACAATGGCAATTATTCACACTGTAAAAAATTTATAAGATAGTAATAAACATATCAGAGCTAGAATTGATCTATCAGATTACATATGGGAGCATCAGATATGAAATAAAAATTATTTTAAAGTGGTTAATTGGTATTATTAATACCGGCACGTGACCAAAAACACGTATCACAACTACGGTTATCCCACGACCTTATTTGACTCGCAAAAAGCACTACAATTCTTCAATTACCCAAGCATTAATATTCTAACTTGTTACAATCAATTCAGTTCCAATAAAGCAAAGAGAAGGTTTTCAATGTGAAAAATGTGCACTTTACAAACCAATGCCGAGATGATCACCAGTTGATCGACAGTTATACCATCGGGTGTAATCTCCGGATTAATAGCCAATATGGCTACTACTTCAATATTTGGTTTTGGATGAGGGCATTCATCAATTGATGACATAGATGTTGCATTTTTAATCTTCCATTCTCAGTATATCTATTTCTACTCGACCGATAACTTTCTGATGGGATATCATAACCCTACACAAGAAAGAAAGAGAAAAAGAGAGAACCAGTTTAGCCAATCAAATAACCAAGTCAAAACTACTAGGACCATTTCCCTCCATATTAGAGCTAACAACACACACACACACATTAGCAATATGCTTTGCTATCCCATATAGACTGAGACAAAGTGGGACAAAAAGTCACATTGACCCACTCAAATCGGAGGCTTTGACAGTCGTACCCCCTCCGTAGAACTTGTGCTATTTTTATAATTAGCTTAGAACATGACTTGGTTTGATAGAAGAGAGGGACTTACCGGTACGAACGAAGGTATTGGGTAACATTTCTCTGAGAATATCTCCGTTCTGGCCATTGGGCAGTGAACCATGCCATAATTTTCTCTCCCTTTTCTCTCCCTTCTCTCCGCACGAAGTATGGAAAGAAAAATCTAAAAAATAATACATCCGAGCTAGTTATTCGAAATTCAATGTGGGAGCTTTGTAACCAGAGCACTAGCCTCTACTGGCGGACTTACATAATTTAGCGAACTAGGATCGTAGTACATAGTGTAGTGATATATGGGGCAAACAGGCAAGGAAGTGTCGGTGCTACACAAAGAGAGCAGACCTGACCGTGTACATCAATCACGTTACCGAATGCAGATATTTAAGTGCAATTTACCACAGAGTAATTTTTAGACCGGTGCAGCGCTACGATTGGTGGATTTATCGTATGGGTGTCCAGAGTGCCGACAATCTGCATGGCTAGCACACACAAAAAAAAACAATGGTTACAAAACAAAAGAAAAAAAAACAGGAATTGCGTATCCCAGTGGTCTTGGCGCACCTAATCTGTTTGATCAGAGAAGGTTATTTAAATAGATCACCATTTCCAGCAGTCAACCCACTTTTTGGGTGTCCCCTTTTTCCCTTTTTCCCTCTTTCCCTCTTTCCCACTTTCCCTCCCCCCATCCGTCACATTTTTACCGTCTGTGTTCATCCCACACATCTACAGAGCACTCCACCGCTACCTGCCCTTCATCTCACACGCCACGCCACACACTTTCGCCAGCGCTACCACACACACGTCCATTTTTTCTGTCTCGGTCGCGTACTATCTCATCCCGTATCCATATCTTATTCTGATCATTAAACATGTATATTCTGGCCATTTTTTGCTTGATTTCAGTAGTCCTAGCAGCGGACTACGCCACGTACCCAAAAGTTCCAAAAACTGCAAGCATCAATGGTTTTGCCGACCCGATTTATGACTTAGCCCCAGAGTGTATGAAGTCCTGTTTGAAGTTCTCCACCAGCAATACCCCATGTCCATACTGGGATACCGGCTGTTTCTGTGTGATGCCACAATGGTCTGGGTTGGTGGGCCAATGCATTGCCCAAAACTGTAAAGGGGACGACGTTGCCAGTGCCACGTTCTTGGCCACTTCATTGTGTTCGGTCGTTGGGGCCAACACATGGATGATGCCAGCATCCATCTCCACCATGCTCTCCAGCGCTGCTGGGGACGCCAAAGAAGTCACCACCATCGAAGGTAAGACAGCCGTGTCATGGGTCACTGCTCCAGGAAGCTCTGCTGCTGACTCAGACGCCAGCGAAACCGGCTCAGCCAGCTCCGCTGCCTCCTCAGGATCCTCCGAATCTGCATCTGAATCTGAATCTGAATCCGAGTCCGAATCCTCTGGTTCATCCTCATCTGCCTCGTCCACATCCTCACCATCCTCATCCTCCAACATGGCTGTCTTGCAAACTGGGGGTGTCGGCACCATCCTTCTTGGTGTCTTGATGTATTTAGTTGTATAGACAGAACGTCACGAATTTTTTTTTTCCCACGAAAATAAATGAAAGTAAAAATCAAACAGAAGCGCAGAACAATATTATGATTCTCTCAAGTGATCAGTATGCAAAACACCAGTAATCCACACAGATATCCACGCATCCTCTTCTCGATAAGAGACTCAATGTGATAATACATGCCTCGCTTGATACCCAAGCAAAGCTGGAGACCATTCTGCTATTATTTGCCCTTTTTGTGGTCCAACCCTGTGGATTACACCAATTTGCCTATCATCGACGACGGCTGATCGGCTCAAATTACAAAGTTTGCTTTCTTACCAGCATTAATTAAGCTGCTGACTCAATCTATTAACCACTCTAATACCTCTTTTGCCTTTGCTACCCAGGCGCTTTGTAATTTACATCTAAATCATATACTTTGAATCAAACTTTACTACTATAAATGATGAATATTCCACACGAAGAAGATCTAATTTGTGTGTACCCTACTACAGAAACGCAAACTAAAATAATAGGCTTGATAAATTCAGTGGGGAACCTGTTAATTGTATGTTCCGGTTGTGCTTTTTTTTTTCATTTGATACATGGTTCAATCTCCAAGTAGCAAGACTATTAGTCGAATCTCTGGTTGAACAAATACTATACCGTCCCAGATCTGAAGACAGGTAGATTATTCTCAATTATATTCCGTATTCGACGCAAGTAGCTCTTATTGCTATACAGATATTTGTAAGGCAATAGTTTTAAATACAGAAGTAAATGCGCGATCTGTAGAAAGCGGATAGGTAAGTATTATTGAAATGACTGATTTGGGTCTGTTGAGAATTACAATATTCAATCAAGGAGGGTAGCCCACGTATCCTTGTTATACAGCACCGACCCTCTACAACTGTGGTTTCAATTATCTTTCTATGTTAGAAAGATACAAGTTACGTGGAATAATTATCAATCCCTGATTATTATAACTATGTTATATTGTTCCCATTGAATACAAAAGCAGTCTGAACTTTGTATGGGTTTTCAAAAGCAGCATCAATAATACTTTTCTAGAAGAATGTTTACATGACTGCGAATGTGCCAGTGGAATAACTTTGCGTTCCATCAAGGTGATCTAGAATTGTTTATACTAGTGATTGCACAATGAAAATAAACACTGTCTTTATGTGTGTGTTGCGGGAATGAGCAACATTAAAGCGGGCAAATCACGCTTGTTAGTAGTGAAATTTGCAGGTTATGCATAATTGTTGTTTTCCCACAAGCTTCTCAATGCCAAGAAAAAAAGTCATTTTTTTGATTAATTTATCTATTTCATCTTAAGTTTATTAGTTCCACAAAATTGAGATTCTCAGTACAATAGAAAAAAAAAAATCAAACCATGACTTGTCACTGAGTAGTTGATTCAAGTTTCAGTACGGTTCCAGTTTTACTATCAACTTAATCTATAGAGCATCAATCTTATTTCTATATTGTATAGATTTAACAACTCTGAATGTTTTAACCAGAAGATAACAGTTGGTACAACAGTCTTGCAAGCTCATGAATTTAACTAATACTATGATATTATTTTAGAATGGGATTCTCAGAGGAGTAGAATAAGCGATTTTACTTTTGGAAAACCACGGGAATGTTGTATTTGGAGAGAAAATAAAGGATCAGAGTTGGAGCAAAAACAGTTAGTGCTATCACAACTTGCATATACTATTCTTAGAAGTCTAATTTAATTTAATGAAGAAGTTTTAATTCCCTTGAATAGAATACTTAAAAACAAACGTCTCTACTATTCTATTGTCTTTATATTTTTGTCTCAAGGGATGGGGATGTTAATTTGTAGTGTCAACAATCCATAGCCCCAGATCAAAAGAATTCCCTAAATCCCCCACTATAATCTATTCTTTTTTTTGGGGGAAATATCCCAAATAAACATAAATAATACCATCAAGCTACCATTTGAATTACTGTAGAGAATATCATTTTTCCACATGGCGGCGATTTACAATTACAATTGTTAATAAAGTTCATTGAAAATCGTTAATTTATGACTAGATTCAATTGATAAGCATATTATCGCTCTTCAAGTATTCTGCGACCTCAAAGGGGTCAGGGATTTTTAATTTCAAGACTCTTCATCAAACATTAGTTCATATTCTTAGTGGAGGACACTAGATCCTAGTCAACTCCGTCAAAGATAAATGGCATATGACACAAGGCAAATTTAAATCTATCGGGAATAGAATCTCAAACTTTTTAGTTTACATGGAGATTAAAAAGACAAAAAATAAGATAAAGTAAAATAAAATATTATTAATGAAATCAAAGACTAAATCTAATTTGTGACCAATTGTCGTAAACAGAATGAACACTCAATGGATTTCCTTTTAATGTTACCAATTTGTATACCAGAGAGATGAAACTTGTGCCAATGGTAGCGTCACACCACTTTTTTGACTGCTCGCTTATGATTATCAAATTTTTAATAATGCTCGAAACAGGAAGGCAACCATCCCAATTATTCAAGCTGAAATAGTATTTGAATTTACAGAGAGGCTTATAGGGGAGCATAGAGTTCGACTTCGGTATTGGTTCAGCAAAGGTGGTCATTGGAGTTATCGCCCTTATGGGGAGTAGCGGAATTTTAAATGAGCAAACTCACACAATTAAAAGCTCCTGTAGTTGCGCAACTGGCACCTCCTCAATCTCAAAGTCGTACAGTACCTAAAAATAACTACCCTTCGACTAATTTCAATTCCAAGTTCACCGTTATACCGAGAGTGAAGAAATGCAATAAGACCCAGATTTCGTCTTGGCAAAATGACAAAGTCGAAACTCTATGTTCTAGACTTGACCAGATTAGTACTATAATTGGATGCTTTTCAGTGCACATCCCTGAAGATCCATAGCTGATAACCAATGATGGGCATTGGGACTGTTTCTTGTAGCGATTTTCTGACCGTTGAGGGATGGTCATGGCATCTTCTGTCTGAAATGACTATTTCGCGCCCTCAGTTGGTGGTAATCCTCAATTGTCACGAATGCGGAAGGCTTTGTCGTTTACAGTATGCTCAATCTGTTTTAGTTTAGCAACTTTCCCAATGTGGGCATGAATGCACAAAAGAGGTAGTCTAAAATGAAATACAATTTGAAGAGAAGTTAATTCTTGTCGTTCTTCCGGAGTTCAATGGATTTTAACAGGCCACCTCGTTAATCTATTGGTGGATTTATCGTTCGTATGTAGTGAGGAAAAAAATTGTCGCACAAGAACGAGAAAAATCACGGTGCATTCTCTTGGTTTTTTCTTCTTGGTTTTTTTTTTTTTTTAGTTGCATTATTTTCTTTTTTCAGAGAATGCACTGTGCTATTTTTTTCCTTGGCAGAAGGAAAAAACAAAAAAAGGTAGTGCGCCCGAGTTATCAAAACCATCATCATCAACAATATTTAAACAACCCACAATCCAGTGTCCCCCCTGACCCACCACCTATGTTTACCTTTTTTTTCCTTTTTTTTTCCTCTCCATCAACCGAACACCCTTCCGTTTTCCAACAGTCCCCCGTTCGCTAAAACCCACAGTCCACTCGCAATGTTGTCCTTAACCTTATTGTCCATCGCTTCCCTTTCCTTGGTCTACGCTGCTGACGAGGCAGACGCTTATACACAATACCCTTCCGTTCCGCATACAGCCTCTATCAATGGTTTTGCTGACAGAATCTACGACCAAGTGCCATCCTGTGCCCAAGAATGTTTGAAACAATCCACCAGCAACACCCCATGTCCATACTGGGACACCGGTTGTTTGTGTGTCATGCCTCAATTCGGTGGTGCCGTCGGTAACTGTGTCGCCGAAAACTGTCAAGGCTCTGACGTCGGCAGCTTCGAATCCTTGGCCACCTCCATCTGTTCCTCTGCCGGTGTCTGGGAACCATACTGGATGATCCCAGGAAGTGTCTCTTCAGCCTTGGCCAGCGCTGCTACCGCTGAAGTCGAAGCCACCACCACCGACGAAGCCACCACCACTGCTGAAGAAACCACCGAAGCTGAAGAAACCACCACCACCGCTGCTGAAGAAACCACCGAAGCTGCTGAAACCACCACTGCTGCTGAAGAAACCACCGAAGCCGCTGAAACCACCACTGCTGCTGAAGAAACCACTGAAGCCGCTGAAACCACCACTGCTGCTGAAGAAACCACTGCTGCTGAAGAATCCTCTGCTGCTGAAACTACCACTGCTGCTGAAGAATCCACCGCTGCTGAAGAAACCACTGAAAAGGCTGAATCTTCTTCTGCTGCTGCTGAAGAATCCTCTGCTGCTGCTGAATCTTCTTCTGCTGCTGCTGAATCTTCTTCTGTCTCTGTTGAAGTTGCCAATGCTGGTCATATGCAAACCGCTGGTGGTGTCATTGCTGCTGTCGCCGCTATTGCCGCTTTCTTCTAAGCTTGTCCTGCTTAATCCATTTTTTTATATTAATATCTTTTTTTTTCTTATTTTGATTTAGTATTCGGTGAATCCAAAACAACTACTGTTATACTATTTTTTTTCTCTGATTTTTAATTGTGTATACATAAAAATGCAAAGAATGTCTAAGTTCTAATATATGTTTTTGATTCTTTAAATTTCAAAAGTGTATATGTTTGACGTCACTATGGCGATAATGTGTATGTGAACAGTATTTTATGGACTACAAAAAGAAAAAGTTGCAAATGCGCAGACCTTAGTATTTGTATTTTGACCGTTTTCTTTTTCAACCTGGTTTATACACTACTTGATGACTGATATATGGGAACAGAATTAGATCTACAAATGGAAAAGCTAAAGTAAAACTATATACTACTGTATATCAAAATAATAAAAAAAAATTGACAATTAAATACATGTTTCAGGTATTTATGAGCTAAATTATGTTTCTCATACAGCTCATATCATTAGGTATGCAATATTCTTTGATAGTTGGTTTTCAAGGGTGTTCACTTGCCAACTTCAATTTCTCTCTGGAATATCTCTGTAGAGCAGGAACATAGAATTCTTTTATGAGTATTTTCAAAAACATTAGACAAATGTCTAGTTTTATCACTGTTGCTTTACCCATTCGATGGTAATATTCCAACTCATATTAATGTCGTGTATATGGTGCCAAATTCAAGACAATATGCCAAAAAAAAAAAATTAAATCTTCTTACCCTGACAAGACTTCTACCAAGAAAAAATAAATTTACGACGATGAAAAAAAAAAAAATCAAGTCAAAAAAGTTAAATCAATGAACGATAATGGGGATTTGATCTTCAAAAATTCAAAACCCATAAAAGATGCTTTTATCGTTCCGTTCAATGGAAAGTGTGGCTATTTATTTGTTCTGTCAATTAATACACAGTGCCACAATTTTTTTTTTTTTTTTTCATTATGGCTTTCAGTGCTCGCGCCGTTTCGTGATTTGAACTTTGTGATGGGATGACAATCTAGCCTCACTTTAGAATAATTTCATGATTTGAATATCAAATATCATGAGAGAAAGACCACCCAAGACCACATTCAACCAGATGCGTGTCTTGGATGGGTTAATAACTATCTATATTTACACTGATTGACAGATATGACAGATTCATCTCGTTTTTAGTTTTATCTTAATTTTGAAAACTGCAAGAGTATCACCATACGTCACAAAAATAAAAAACTACAATAGACATCAATAGAGTACTGCCGTAGCATTCCACGTGATATTAGGTAGTTACGGCATTTTACACCATTTACAAGAGTGGAAGAGAATAGCATATAAATTTTTTTTTTTAATTTTGCAATCATCCCTATAAAAGTATCCGATTATCATCCACTCTAAAAACTATGTCAATCCTATTTCGTTAGTTTCTGCAATATCAATTCCGATGTCAAACGATAGCAAATCCTTACCAAAGGATAAAATAGATTCAGTGGATGTTATTTCCCAAGATGTCGAATCCAATTCTGAAGATACATTAGAACCAGATGTCGCGGAGTTGCCAAAAGTTGTTAGGGAAATTGTCCCTCTTGAGGATGATCCAACCATACCAGTCATGACATTCAGATTTTTCCTTCTAGCAACAATATTTATTATTCCAGGTAGTTTTATTTCCACACTTAACTCATTTCGTACTACCAGTGCAGCCTATTCCATTTTCTTTGTCCAAATTGCTTCCCATTGGTGTGGTAAATGGTTAGCTAGAGTTCTCCCCAATAAACAAATAAAACTAGGAAGATGGATAAATTTCAACTTAAACCCTGGTCCTTGGTCAATTAAAGAAACAGTTTTAATCACTATTGCTGCCTCGAGTGGAGCTACAGGAAATATGGGCACCAATGCCCTTGCATTAGCTGAATTGCATTATGGAGAAGTAGTTAACCCTGCTGTTGCGATTTTCTTTATGTGGGCGATTGTTTGGATAGGATATGCATATGCTGCCATTGCACGTAATTTCTTGTTGTATGACCCACAGTTTATATGGCCACAAGCATTGATGCACACAACTTTATTCCAAACGCAATCTAAAAATGATAAGAATGCAAAACAGGGTTCCAAGCAAATGAAAGTGTTTTTCATCACATTAGTTGGCTTGTGTGTCTGGCAATTTTTCCCAGAATTCATCTTCCCAATGACATCTTCATTAGCTTTTCTTTGTTGGGTAGCACCAGAAAACTACGTGGCTAACTTTATTGGTTCTGGCCTTGGTGGAATGGGATTCCTAAATATCTCGCTTGATTGGGCTAACATCACATCAAGTATCATGTTATCACCATATTGGATCCAAGTAATCCAGTTTGTTGCTTTTGTTATTGGCGCCTGGGTATTAATACCTGCTGCTAAATGGGGGAACCTTTCTAGTTTCAAATATGGTTTAATGTCTAACAGCTTGTTTTTGGCCAACGGAACGAAATATCCAACAAATGAATTGCTTACACCAGATTACCGCTTTAACGAGACTCGTTACATGGAATTGCTGCATGTCCATCTTGGGACTCAAAGAGTGATTAATATGTTTTTTGATTATGCAGCATATGTAAGTGGATTTGTATGGGCTGTTGTGTTTGGTTATAAAGGTTTATCTGCTTCATTTAAAAAATTTATAAAAGCCAGAAAAGAACATGGTTCTATTAGTTTACAATATACTGACAGATTAAACAAGTTACAATCTGCCTATAAGGATGTGCCTTTGTATTGGTTTGGAATACTATTTATGATTTCATTTGTTATTTTGTTAGTTATTTTTGCCACAGATTCTTTGTTCATGCCATGGTGGTGTCTTATTGTTGCACTTGTTTTTGGTGCCATAATAGTTGTTCCCTTAGCATGGTTGTATGCATTATCAAACTTCCAATTGGCAATTGGTACGTTCAATGAGTTGTTATATGGTTATATGATCCAAAACCAATCTAATAGACATCCAGCTGGTGCCGTTGTATACGGTAGTGTCAGTGGTGATGCATGGTATAGATGTCAATACATCTTGCTTATGGCCAAAGTATCAATGTTTATGCATATTGATCAGAGACTCAATATGATGGCTATGATGTATGGAGAATTAATCGGAGTACCAATTAATTATGCTGCCCTTCGCTGGATTTTACTGTCCAAAAAGGACTATCTCACTGGGAAAAAGACGGATCCATTACATCAATGGACTGCTCAAACCATTGTTAGTTATCAGTCTAATGCCATTCAATATGTGGTTTTGGGTCCCAAAAGATTATTTGAAAATTATCCAGAATTGCCATATGGTTTTTTGGTTGGTCTTGTTGCTCCACTAGCCATCTATGGTTTATACAGATTATTTCCTAATTCCAAGTTAAAGTTTCACTTATGGAATACAACCGTTTTCTTTTCCACTATGAGTACCTTTTATGGTAACATTTCAACTGGATATTTTTCCAAATTTGTTGGTGGTACCATTACAATGTTTTGGGCTTATAGGTACAAACATGAACTATGGAAGAAGTACAACTATCTTCTAGGCTCTAGTCTTGACACAGGTGCCAGTCTTGCACAATTGTTGATGTTTTTATTCTTTTCTGCTGGGAAAACTGTCTCCTTTCCTGAATGGTGGGGTAACAATGGAAAAAGTGTTGAAAGGTGCTTTGCCATGAGTTAGAAAAACCTACATAACAGATTATAGATTTTTGACTATTTTCATAATACTGAACATGCGTATATCATGAATTTTTGTTTGACGTAGAGGAGTAAACTAAAATTAAGCTGGAAGCCATCAACAAAATGCGCAGTACGTTGCACATACCTTGTATATATTAGTTGCATCTTTTCGCCTACTACAAATAATCACCATTCTCTTCTAAAATCTTATCCAAACATACTGTCAACTCCTTCTGTAATCGCTCATTATTTTCATCAAACTGTAAACCTCTTTGATAATCACTTCTAGCAGCTTCATAGTTTTGTAAAAAGTAATTGGCAACACCTCTTCTCAAAAAATTATCTGGGGTGTTCATCTGCATGCTAAGTAACAAGTCAGCGTCGTTAAATGCTTTTTGATATTCCTTTATTCTCAAATAAGCATCGGTTCTACTCATCAAAAACATCGATAGTTCTTGAATAGTTCCTTGGAAACTTTCAATTTTTGGTCTTCTATTAATCATTTCTATACCTATAGTGAATTGTCTAGCACTATCTTCGAATTTTCCAACTTTAAATGCTTGGACACCACCGTCGTATAACTTTTTAATCATCTTGGATAAATCTTTATTGAAATTTTCTGGTTTTGGTTGGGGAGGAACGTCACTTCCTTGATTAATAATTTCCTGGGTTAAAGTATTAAGTTGATCAACATCTAATTTCAATTGTAATAAATCTTCATTATTTTCATCAGGAATGGTCGATAAAGATAATTTCTTCGATTTATTATCATAACTTATAGGTAATTCAGACATGTTTGTAGTTATTGTTGATGTGAACACAGTGGTCAGAATACGTAGAATTTTTTTTTTTCTCTCTTTTTCTCGCTTTTTATTTTTGTTTCTTACACATTTCATAGTTAGACACGATCACACGCCCGCGGTGTGTTGCAATAATTTATTATGCAATCTGATTCTGGCTCCAAAAATAGAAAAAAAAAATGTAATTTTCAAGAATTGCAAATATCAAAATAGAAATTATCAACACTAACTTACACAAGAAATATCGTTAATTATTTAAATTATTGGTTACTTATCTTGAAAAAAAAATGCCACAAAGGATACATTTTATGTCACCACGATGGCTGAATCAAGCCAGTTATACTACAAATGAATTTGATTTGCAAATAAACAAAGCCAGAGAAAATAAACATCACAAACAAATCAGCAAATTTGACTCAATGGAGAACATGAATTCTACTACCTCAAGATTTACTAAGTTTGCTAAATTGTGGTCAAAAATTAGAAACACGTCTAAGAAAAACGTCTCAACAACTTCAATACAATCACCATCATTTATTTCAGAAAGAATCCATAAAAGTCACTCAGTGAGTGCATTTTTCCCACCATCCACATGTAACGATACTACATTAGAAAATATTTTTTCTCCACTAGTAGACCGACCAATGGATACAATTGACACAATTCAAGAAGAATATGGCAGAACAATGGCTATAAACAAAAAAGAATGCCACACAGAATCTAATTTTTTCAACAGTGACTTTTTCAAAGAAAGTGTCAGACCCGAGATTGAATATGATGAAAGTCAGATAACTGACTAGTCATATCTATAGTGGTTTGCAGTGTTATTCTCAAAAATGTATAACGATATCTTATCTCTAAGATTTGTTAGCACTTTGCCAGTTTTTTTTTTTTTCGACGCGCATGCTGACTCATTTTATTTTTCTTTGGCTCATAGATTTGACTTTACAGTAGAACCCATTCTAGTGCTAAGCTGCTGAAGAGAATTTTTCAAACAATATTCTTTTTTTTACACCTTTTTCAACCATTGAAAATTTCTTGTATACAAACCCCCATTATGTTTGATGTTAAATCCATTATTCGTCCAAATATTTTAACTTTGGAACCATATAGATGTGCAAGAGATGACTTCAAAACTGGTATTTTGTTAGATGCAAATGAAAATACTCATGGTCCCGCAATCGCTTCCCCAAACGAATCCGAATTGAAATTGGAATTAAATAGATATCCTGACCCACATCAACACGAATTGAAACAACAGATAATTGACTTCAGAGAAAAACATCCTAACAAATATGCTACGAAGAAGTTAGATGTGGAAAATTTGTGCCTTGGAGTTGGGTCTGATGAGAGTATTGATATGTTGTTGCGTTGTGTCTGTACTCCAGGGAAAGACAAAATGTTGATTTGTCCTCCAACTTACGGGATGTACTCAATCTGTGCTACTGTAAATGATGTTGCTATAGAAAAATTACCATTAACAATCCCAGATTTCCAAATTGATATTGAAGGAATTCTTGCAAGAGTCAAATCAGATAAAAACATCAAACTTTTGTATTTGACTTCTCCTGGTAATCCAACTGGTAAATTAATCAATGTTGATAGCATTATAAAGTTATTAGATGAACTGTTGAAGACTTGGCAAGGATTGATTGTTGTCGACGAAGCCTATATCGACTTTACCGATGCAGGATCTTCCATGTGTACCTTAGTTAACCAATATCCAAACTTGGTTGTTTTGCAAACCTTGTCAAAATCATTTGGTTTAGCAGGTATCAGGTTAGGTATCACTTATTCAAGTAAAGAGTTGAGTAAGTACCTTAATGCAATGAAGTATCCTTACAATATATCATCATTGACTTCCAACATTGCATTGAAAGCCACTAGCCAAGGGTTAAGTGTAATGGAAAATTACGTTTTTAAAATAATCAAACAAAGAGGTTGGGTATTAGAAAAGTTATTATCATTGAAATACGTTGGTAGAAATATAGGTGGATTGGATTCAAACTTTATTTTGATTGAAATATTGGATAAATCTGGAAAACCATCAAATGAGGTTGCAAAGAAATTGTACAACACCTTAGCCACAGATAATTCGGTTGTTGTAAGATTTAGAGGTACTGAGTTGAATTGTACAGGTGGATTGAGAATATCAATTGGTACTGAAGAAGAGAATAAACAGTTGGTTACCAAATTTGAAGCTGTCTTGAATGAAATTAATAAGTAAGTGTCTATATAGTACATGAATAAAGTATAGTCGTGCGAAAATGCAAAATACTTTCGAATGAAAAGTAGAGAGAGAAGTGAACCTAGAAAAAATTTTTTTTTTTCTTTTTGTCGTTTCTTTCATAAGTAGGTGTTCCACCAATAGAACGTTTTAGATTAACCAAAGTAACTATGGCAAGACAAAATTTTATTGGGGTTGTTCTTACCCAAGGAAAGATGGCAAAGACAGTTAAAGTACGTGTCCAAGGGAAAGTTTTTGATAAGAGAATTGGTAAAGAAATCCTTACCAGAAAAGACTTCCTTGTGCATGATGAAGGTGATATATGTAAAGAAGGGGATCTTGTCAGAATAGAATCCATACCAAAACGTTCCAAACGTAAAGCATTTGCTATTGCTGAAATCAAAGTCAATAAAGGTCAACAATTTGCTGCTTATGAAGAAATGGCTAAACAGCAAGTCAAACTTGATGAAGAACAACATGCCAAACAGTTTATCGAGAACAGAAACGAATTCAGTAAGATCATTACTAAATTAGAGGATTTAAAAAAGATGGATAAATTGGCTTATGGAATCACTAGTAATGAAGAACAAGACAAATCAGATTTAATTAAAGAGATGAACCAAATAAAGGAAAAATACAACATAAAATCATGGCCAACTACAGAACCAACAGTCGATCTCGAGTTGAACAAACCAATTTTCCTGGATGAAAAAGAGAAAAGGTTGTATTATATCAAACATATTTTAACTGAAGCCTTAGGTAATGAGAAATACGAATCATGGAAGAAGTCAATATTAGATAAAGAATTAAAGCATGCAACAGACAACACTAGCAGGGCTATTCAAAAGAATGTTTTAAGAAAATACATTTTGGATGTTAGAAACGAGTGTCCTGTTCCATTACCATAAAAGTGACTTGAATAACCTGTACATAGATTTATTTATAAGTTTCTAAATAAACTTGCATATTGTATAATGTAAATTGAAGGGAAAAAGGTACGAGCGGAACAATAGATTCATCCTGGAAATATTCTTTGTCTGGGAACAAGAAAAGCAAAACAAACAGAGAACTTAAAAATGCAGGAAACAAAAAAAAAAAAATGCGTGGAGAGCAGTAAGTGTTAGAGCTCCAAACTAATTACATTCAATTCCCAGCATAGCCGTAGCATGGTACCCAGGAAAATCTGGACATCTCGTAAAAAGAGTTTGAAGAGAAACCATCATTTGAAAAATGGTGATCTACCGTCTGAAGGAACGTCCACATTTAATACATTTGATTCGAAATCTGTGATGGGTGCAGTTAAAAAGGCAAAACGTAAGATTGTACCAGATCCCAATTTTACAAACAACCTACACAATAAAGGACTACAGCATTATGAGGATAAGCTATCACCTTTGTTCACTAATTCATATCATGGGGTAAACTACAAATCAATCAATTCCAACAACAAACAACTATTGAAATCACCAGTGGCATTGCAGCATGCATTAAGTATACCCGTTGAAGCAATATTGAACCTAAACGTTCGACCTGGAGAGCCATATTTCGTCGTCTGGTTTTTAATTTCCAGTTATTTCCCTTTAATTGCTGCATGTTTGGGACCACTAGCCAATATGGTTTCGATAGTGGCATTAGTCGAACATTGGAAAGTCAAAAAGTCCACAGGAAGAATGGTTTCAGACCGTCCAGAGGTTGTGGTGATGAATGCATTATCATTAGCATTGGGGATTCTTGGAAACATATCCTTGTTGATGAATTTTTCAAGATCAATAAAGTACTTGATAACCCAAACAGTGTCCATACTATCGTGGTGTTTTGCCAGTGCATTCCTTGCTGCAGCTATATTAGTTACACGACACGATTTTAAAGGTGCTAATGCAGAGTATAAGCCATCAGAAGGTTTTTACTATGCTGCATTTACAGCAGGGTTTTATTTCACGTGTATGGTAATTTTGGCAATCAATTTTATGGGATACAGGTTAAACAAGTACCCTCCCACATTCAATTTGGATCAAAAACAAAGAACGCTAATGTTTTATACAATTTGGTTCGCCACATGGTCTGTCATTGGTGCATTGGTGATGGGGAATTTAATTGACGGGTTATCGTATGGAAGTGCATTATACTACTGTATTGTCTCATTTTTAACTGTAGGACTAGGTGATATTTTACCCAAATCAGCAGGGGCAAAAGTAGCAGTTTTGGTATTTTCATTGATTGGTGTGTTAGTTATGGGTTTAATAGTAGCTACTTTGCGGGCGGTCATTTTGTCGTCTGCGGCGCCTGTTATATTTTGGCACAATATTGAAATTGCAAGAGTAAAGCTAATCAAGGAATTAGAGGCAAAGAACATTTACCTAAGTGGTGCAGAAGCTTTCCACAAAATGAGAGTTCTTCGACGCAAAGTTAAAGCAAGACATAATAGAACGTCTCTTATGATCACAATTGCTGTTTTTATGCTATTTTGGTTAGTTGGAGCAGTGATATTTCAACACATCGAAGGTTGGTCTTATTTCAATTCCTTATATTTCTGTTTCTTATGTTTGATCACAATTGGATATGGAGACTTTGCACCAAAGACAAGCTTAGGTAGAGTATTCTTTGTTTCGTGGGCAGTTGGAGCAGTACCCTTGATGACTATTTTGGTTTCCAATGTGGGGGATACGCTTTATGCCGTGTGTAATGATATAACAGCGTGGTTCTCGACGTGGATGTTCTCGACTCAAAGAGAGTACGAAGAAGTTAAACGGTTAAGGAAAAAGTTAAAAGAAGATCAAGATGAGGACATTTCCGTAAACTCTGAAGCGGTACATCGTGAAGAAGAAGAAGAAGATCGTGATATGGAATCCTTGGATGAGTTACAGAACACATTAGAAGAAGATTATGATGATCAAGTGCAAGAAGAAGAAGAAGAGGAAGATAATGATGATGAAGAGCAAGGAGAATCTGATGCATCCGAAAATACCCCACTTAGTATTCCATTTAGTAAATCTTATGACGTTGATTCTGGCAGGCCCAGAAGACGTCCACTTGAAATTAGTGAAGTTAACGAGCTACGTAAACGAGTGGAATTAAAAAAGAAAGCACACTTGACATTGTTGGAGTATTTGGAAAGGTTGAAGCCGTTGATAAGTGATAGTATTGAATCACCCAAGAGAAAGTACACCCATCAGCAATGGAGTGAATTATTACGAGCCTTGGGTGCAGACGAGAAATCTGAGAGTAAAGGTTATGATGGATTTTGGTTAGGTGATCTTTCACCATTAAGATTGCCATTGGTAGAGCCTAATTATTTGGTACTTAAATTTTATTTTCGAATAGAAATGATGTTGAGAGATATGGTTGACTTGGAAATTCGGGATTTGCAATTACTTACAACCCGTGATGACACAAGCCAAAATAGTTCAATATCTGATCTTGGATTCAGTACCGGAAAAGAAGTCAGGTTTGATGATGATTGAATAACTTTGTACCTTGTCAAGATGTTTTTTTTTTAGTTTGTTTTAAAACTCTACGATGCTATGTACAGTTTATTGATAGCTTATCTTTTTTTTTTTGTTTTCTATCGCTTACGTGCGCGTGTTAATTTTTGTTTTTCTCCTCTTCGAAATTATTATTGTTGTTGTTGTCGCAACCGGTGTGATCAAGGCAAGTACATCAACAATTCTTCTCATGCCCCACCTCTTCTTTTGAGCCAACGATATATACTTCACAACTCACGTTCATTTCCCACACTCCTTTCTTTTATATTTCCAACATTCAGAATTCAAGTATTGAACTAGAGGATATGGCAAACCACGAGTCCACCGAAGGGAACAACTTTACTGACTCTTCAGTAGGCCACGATCCAACAATTTTTCAAGTCAAAGGTATAATTACTATTAGATTGTCACAATTAAAGTATTTCACATTTACAATAATTGGTATAGCACTTTTATGGCCTTGGAACTGTTTCTTATCAGCATCTGCATATTACGGTGAGAGGTTTGTTAACTCACCATCTTTGACAAAAGTGTACTCGTCAACAATGATGAGTGTTTCAACCATCACTTCGACATTATACAACTTTTATTTATCCCAACAACAGACAAACGTGAATTATAACTTTAGAGTCCAACTTGGATTTTACATTACCATATTTGTATTTATATTTATGGCCATTTCATGTGTGACAAATGTGTTCATTGACATGAGTGATGTGGTATTTTTTACCCTTTTGATGGTGATGGTGTTCTTATCAGCTGTTGCAACTTGCTTGGCACAGAATGGTACTATGGCCATTGTAAACGTCATGGGTGGAATTTATGCCAACGCTGTTATGGTTGGACAAGCTGTTGCCGGTGTCTTACCATCATGTGCATTAATCATCTCCATATTATTGGTTGGTGATAAGACATTAGAACAACATAGAGTAGAAAAGGACTATGGTGTGTTTGTATACTATATTACTGCAAGTTTGGTTTGTATTATTTCATTAGCATTGCTTTATTGGGTCACGTATCACAGAGATGAAGTTGGATACCAAAGGTTGAACCAGTTAATGGAGGAAGACTTGGATGACTCAAATATAGTAGATGAACAAGATGGCGTTGATCCAGTTCATACACAGAAAAAATTTGTTCCATTCACAGTATTATGGTCCAAATTAAACCAGATAGTCATGACAATCTTTTTTACTTTTGGAATCACATTGATTTTCCCCGTGTTTGCATCCGTCGTTGAATCAGTACATCCAGATTCTCCGTATAGATTTTTCCATAAAAATATCTACATCCCATTCATTTATTTGATTTGGAACCTTGGTGATTTATTAGGAAGAGTCTTGTGTGGTTATCCAAAATTGCGCATGTTGATTAAAAACCCAAGAACCCAACTTATTTATTCATTATCAAGATTGATATTCATTCCATTATTTTTAACTTGTAATATTCATCCTGGAAAGAAAGAACCATTTATAAAGTCTGATTTATGGTATATTTTATTGCAATTATTATTTGGAATTTCAAATGGCCAATTGTGTACATCTGCGTTTATGGTGGTTGGTGATTACTGTGACACAGATGATGAAAAAGAGGCAGCAGGTGGATTTACAACAGTATTTTTAAGTACTGGTCTTGCCGTGGGCAGTGTATTAAGTTATTTATTAGTTTTAGTAGTAAGTTAAATATCATATCCTCTTGCAATACCTTTTCTTCCATCCTCGACTACTGCTCCTTCATTTTCGTCTTGAGCATAATCGCTTCCCAACCCAGTCCATTCTCTATTTTGCAAATGAATTGCAGAAGTGCTTACAGTTCCTTTGATGGCAACGACATTGGAAAATCTCTCTACCAACTGATTATTAGTATTGGTTTCACCTTCAGCAGTGACCATCAAATGGTTAACTTGACGCAACGGTCTTGATGTACTGATATACTTCCCAGTCACAGGATCAAATTCAGGTGGTAAATCCTCGCCAGTATCAACATCTTCTTTCTCTTGAATAACTTCATTTCCGTATTCTTGTAATACACTATTATAATCAGTGATCCATTTTCCTGTCCATGAAAGTTCATCACTAAGACCCAATAACAATTCATATGGTGTAACGACTGGTTTGTAGTACTCATTTATTTGATCAATAATAATCCCTTGGTGGTCACATCCCAAGACACACCAAATATCAACGCTTTCAAAATTGGCCAATTTGGCAACATTTGGCTTACCAACGACAAATATATAATGCTTTTTACCAGCTTCCTTTATTTTTTCCTTTATAGTGTTGATCAATGTTTTGGTATTTGCAAGTGATAATGTGTTCACCAAAATTCCTACTGTACCAGCCATTCTTGCTTGATGTACAAACTTATAACGTCTCATGAGATTTGGAAATGGTCCACTTGAGATTAAATTCAGAATAGGATCATATGTGGTAACCGTAGAAAAACTAGTAGTTAATTGTAATAATCTAGGTGATTCAGGTACAGTTATGTGGAATAATTCGTACTCAGAAAAATCGAATTCTTCTGGGAAACTTCTATTAAACTTTTTAAAACTTGATGTGGTGGGAGTATATCCAATCAATGTAGATTTCTGAGTAGAAGGTAAGTCCGCAATTACTATCTCATAGTCTTTCAATTCAGCACGTATTTCATGAAGTAAATAGGTATGAGGAGCATCAGACATAAGTACAATTTTTTGATCAGTTGAATATGTTTCTTTAAATTGTTTGACAATGTCATTAATGTTGACTTGTGGTTTCCCCAAAACAAATACTGCTGGTAATTTATCAACTTCATTTAAACATGCATCTCCAAAATGAACAACTAAATCACTATTTACATGCTCAGCAGCAACTTCATCAACACAACATGCTGAATATGATGTATCTGCTAGAATCCAAATTCTTTGAGTGTTATTGTCAACACCCGAGTCAGAATTATTCAGTGGGGAAATACCCATTTCTCGTTGCAATTCGTGAACAATGGTGGCTGAATCACAAACCAAAGAATCTGGGAACTGCAATGTTATACGTTTGTATTTGTAATCATCTCCTTCCTTTTGGGACAAATAATCTACCAACTCACGTAATGAATAGTAATCCCAAATACGAGATTTGATTTCCTTAATATCTGAAGAATCTGTTAAATTCAAATGTAGTCTTGCGTTATGAGTAGTTTTTACTTGATCAAAAGAAAACATAGAGTCATCTTGATAAGTTGAAAGTGAAGGAGCAACTATGGTATCTGATGTCATGAGTTGTAGTTCTATTAATCGTAGTGCTAATGATAAAGTTAGTGTAGTTCAGCTTGAATAAAAAAATTTTTTTTTTTTGTTTTCTATTTCAGAATCAAGCTCTTCGCAGTCTGTACTCATCCACAAAAAAGGAGATGATGATATAATGAGTTGCAAAAAAAGGCAACAAGATCAAACCAAGATAAATTTATGGACAATTGCCTTACAAATATCTGTATAGCAATAAGAGCTACTTGCGTCGAATACGGAATATAATTGAGAATAATCTACCTGTCTTCAGATCTGGGACGGTATAGTATCTGTTCAACCAGAGATTCGACTAATAGTCTTGCTACTTGGAGATTGAACCAAGTATCAAATGAAAAAAAAAAAGCACAACCGGAACATACAATTAACAGGTTCCCCACTGAATTTATCAAGCCTATTATTTTAGTTTGCGTTTCTGTAGTAGGGTACACACAAATTAGATCTTCTTCGTGTGGAATATTCATCATTTATAGTAGTAAAGTTTGATTCAAAGTATATGATTTAGATGTAAATTACAAAGCGCCTGGGTAGCAAAGGCAAAAGAGGTATTAGAGTGGTTAATAGATTGAGTCAGCAGCTTAATTAATGCTGGTAAGAAAGCAAACTTTGTAATTTGAGCCGATCAGCCGTCGTCGATGATAGGCAAATTGGTGTAATCCACAGGGTTGGACCACAAAAAGGGCAAATAATAGCAGAATGGTCTCCAGCTTTGCTTGGGTATCAAGCGAGGCATGTATTATCACATTGAGTCTCTTATCGAGAAGAGGATGCGTGGATATCTGTGTGGATTACTGGTGTTTTGCATACTGATCACTTGAGAGAATCATAATATTGTTCTGCGCTTCTGTTTGATTTTTACTTTCATTTATTTTCGTGGGAAAAAAAAAATTCGTGACGTTCTGTCTATACAACTAAATACATCAAGACACCAAGAAGGATGGTGCCGACACCCCCAGTTTGCAAGACAGCCATGTTGGAGGATGAGGATGGTGAGGATGTGGACGAGGCAGATGAGGATGAACCAGAGGATTCGGACTCGGATTCAGATTCAGATTCAGATGCAGATTCGGAGGATCCTGAGGAGGCAGCGGAGCTGGCTGAGCCGGTTTCGCTGGCGTCTGAGTCAGCAGCAGAGCTTCCTGGAGCAGTGACCCATGACACGGCTGTCTTACCTTCGATGGTGGTGACTTCTTTGGCGTCCCCAGCAGCGCTGGAGAGCATGGTGGAGATGGATGCTGGCATCATCCATGTGTTGGCCCCAACGACCGAACACAATGAAGTGGCCAAGAACGTGGCACTGGCAACGTCGTCCCCTTTACAGTTTTGGGCAATGCATTGGCCCACCAACCCAGACCATTGTGGCATCACACAGAAACAGCCGGTATCCCAGTATGGACATGGGGTATTGCTGGTGGAGAACTTCAAACAGGACTTCATACACTCTGGGGCTAAGTCATAAATCGGGTCGGCAAAACCATTGATGCTTGCAGTTTTTGGAACTTTTGGGTACGTGGCGTAGTCCGCTGCTAGGACTACTGAAATCAAGCAAAAAATGGCCAGAATATACATGTTTAATGATCAGAATAAGATATGGATACGGGATGAGATAGTACGCGACCGAGACAGAAAAAATGGATGTGTGTGTGGTAGCGCTGGCGAAAGTGTGTGGCGTGGCGTGTGAGATGAAGGGCAGGTAGCGGTGGAGTGCTCTGTAGATGTGTGGGATGAACACAGACGATAAAAATGTGACGGATGGGGGAAAGGGAAAGTGGGAAAGAGAGAAAGAGGGAAAAAGGGGACACCCAAAAAGTGGGTTGACTGCTGGAAATGGTGATCTATTTAAATAACCTTCTCTGATCAAACAGATTAGGTGCGCCAAGACCACTGGGATACGCAATTCCTGTTTTTTTTTCTTTTGTTTTGTAACCATTGTTTTTTTTTTGTGTGTGCTAGCCATGCAGATTGTCGGCACTCTGGACACCCATACGATAAATCCACCAATCGTAGCGCTGCACCGGTCTAAAAATTACTCTGTGGTAAATTGCACTTAAATATCTGCATTCGGTAACGTGATTGATGTACACGGTCAGGTCTGCTCTCTTTGTGTAGCACCGACACTTCCTTGCCTGTTTGCCCCATATATCACTACACTATGTACTACGATCCTAGTTCGCTAAATTATGTAAGTCCGCCAGTAGAGGCTAGTGCTCTGGTTACAAAGCTCCCACATTGAATTTCGAATAACTAGCTCGGATGTATTATTTTTTAGATTTTTCTTTCCATACTTCGTGCGGAGAGAAGGGAGAGAAAAGGGAGAGAAAATTATGGCATGGTTCACTGCCCAATGGCCAGAACGGAGATATTCTCAGAGAAATGTTACCCAATACCTTCGTTCGTACCGGTAAGTCCCTCTCTTCTATCAAACCAAGTCATGTTCTAAGCTAATTATAAAAATAGCACAAGTTCTACGGAGGGGGTACGACTGTCAAAGCCTCCGATTTGAGTGGGTCAATGTGACTTTTTGTCCCACTTTGTCTCAGTCTATATGGGATAGCAAAGCATATTGCTAATGTGTGTGTGTGTGTTGTTAGCTCTAATATGGAGGGAAATGGTCCTAGTAGTTTTGACTTGGTTATTTGATTGGCTAAACTGGTTCTCTCTTTTTCTCTTTCTTTCTTGTGTAGGGTTATGATATCCCATCAGAAAGTTATCGGTCGAGTAGAAATAGATATACTGAGAATGGAAGATTAAAAATGCAACATCTATGTCATCAATTGATGAATGCCCTCATCCAAAACCAAATATTGAAGTAGTAGCCTTGTTGGCTATTAATCCTGAGATTACACCTGACGGTATATAACAAGTTAGACTATTAGTGTTTCGGGTAGTTGATAATTTTGGTTTGGCATTTTGGTTAAATGAGGTCGTGGCGGAACCGTGGTTGAGAAAAAATGCATCAAATCAAGATAATAGTAGTAAGGGACCACGATTTTGCAACAATTTGGTTTTACGCATTCTACTCTCAGACTATTAAGACGCACACAATCTCTACAACGAGACTGTATATATAATCTACTTAAATACACGAATCAATGACGTATACTAGAACTTGACTTTTTATTTAGTTTAATGTCCAGAAGATTATAAACTAAAAAATTCTGCTAAGCAATTGTAAATGTAAACCTAGGAATAATAACGTGGCAGTGGAGCCCGATTAGAAGAAAGCGGCAATAGCGGCGACAGCAGCAATGACACCACCAGCGGTTTGCATATGACCAGCATTGGCAACTTCAACAGAGACAGAAGAAGATTCAGCAGCAGCAGAAGAAGATTCAGCAGCAGCAGAGGATTCTTCAGCAGCAGCAGAAGAAGATTCAGCCTTTTCAGTGGTTTCTTCAGCAGCGGTGGATTCTTCAGCAGCAGTGGTAGTTTCAGCAGCAGAGGATTCTTCAGCAGCAGTGGTTTCTTCAGCAGCAGTGGTGGTTTCAGCGGCTTCAGTGGTTTCTTCAGCAGCAGTGGTGGTTTCAGCGGCTTCGGTGGTTTCTTCAGCAGCAGTGGTGGTTTCAGCAGCTTCGGTGGTTTCTTCAGCAGCGGTGGTGGTGGTTTCTTCAGCTTCGGTGGTTTCTTCAGCAGTGGTGGTGGCTTCGTCGGTGGTGGTGGCTTCGACTTCAGCGGTAGCAGCGCTGGCCAAGGCTGAAGAGACACTTCCTGGGATCATCCAGTATGGTTCCCAGACACCGGCAGAGGAACAGATGGAGGTGGCCAAGGATTCGAAGCTGCCGACGTCAGAGCCTTGACAGTTTTCGGCGACACAGTTACCGACGGCACCACCGAATTGAGGCATGACACACAAACAACCGGTGTCCCAGTATGGACATGGGGTGTTGCTGGTGGATTGTTTCAAACATTCTTGGGCACAGGATGGCACTTGGTCGTAGATTCTGTCAGCAAAACCATTGATAGAGGCTGTATGCGGAACGGAAGGGTATTGTGTATAAGCGTCTGCCTCGTCAGCAGCGTAGACCAAGGAAAGGGAAGCGATGGACAATAAGGTTAAGGACAACATTGCGAGTGGACTGTGGGTTTTAGCGAACGGGGGACTGTTGGAAAACGGAAGGGTGTTCGGTTGATGGAGAGGGAAAAAAAAGGAAAAAAAAGGTAAACATAGGTGGTGGGTCAGGGGGGACACTGGATTGTGGGTTGTTTAAATATTGTTGATGATGATGGTTTTGATAACTCGGGCGCACTACCTTTTTTTGTTTTTTCCTTCTGCCAAGGAAAAAAATAGCACAGTGCATTCTCTGGGTGTTATTTTTTTCGTTCTTGTGCGACTGACGACAATTTCACCTTTTCGCGTCCTCTTGGAATACTGAACTGCGAGTGGCTAGCATTTATTGCAGACTTCATCAAGTAATTGACGATATCAATTCTAGACCAGCTAAGGTGGCTTTCTTCATGGGTTTATTGTCGCAGGCTTATATTTGAATTGAAATGTTGCTTGTGCCAAGAGGTGAGATGTCATTCATTGCAGTTATCGGTTAGTTCAGCGGTTTGTTTGGAAATTGCATACTCACGGATTGGACTTTAGATTTCATGATCAAGATCAAAAAAGTGTTCTGTCTGCTGGAACCATTATCATGATTTCTACGATTGGCGTTGATTTGTGTTCTATTCTATCAATTCAAAGAAGTTTCTATTTTTCTTTCTCTCGCGTACAATGTTGCAAAACCAATTTTAAAAGAAACCGTTTGAAGCTATAGCCTGCATCCAAACCTGTATAAAATATCGATTCGGTATTTGAAAATAAATCAAAGAAAGAAAGTTACATTACCCACTCAGTCTAGAAGTTACATCCATAAGGTGATGGGTACTATATTACATATCAAGATTCTACATACCAATGCAGCTTTACTAATAGAATATAGTGAAATATAACTGATCGTGCAAGATACTGCACATCCAAGCAAGGTACTCGACTTTTAATTGACAACTTCTTGAATCTATCAAGTTTTTCTAAGAATTTTGCAAAAGATTCCAAACAAAAAAATAAAAAAATAAAATTCCTTATTTGGATATTTACAAAGTTACTAAAAATAAATATACCGTTTGTTGTAAATCACAAGAAAGATACATATTCCAATTGAAAATCCTCCAACGCCACCTTTATTTCCAACTAATTAGATACTTTACAACCTTTCTTCTATTGACTGGTAATTCTACCGAGCCCTTACCGTGGCAAATGAATAATAGAATAGATATTTAGCGCAATTCATAGCATGAAAATAACCGCAACAGTTTCCAAATATAGCGATATCATCGAGCCGTGATCAACCATGGGCCAGTGATAATTATTTACAGTTTATAATAGCTGAGCTTAAATTTTTCTTTTCTTCTTTTAAAGCGAGTTGATCGATTAGATTAGCTTAATGCCAAGAAAAAACATATTCTATTTATCCAATTTTGTGTAAATGCGTTGTAATAAAAACAATTTGTGCGATATATGCAGAAAATTTTCTTTTTAGCATTCTCAATATGAGCTAATCTTGGCGTGTAAACGATAAGTCCACCAATGATGGAATTGTACGAGAATTAACCAACAACTGTACAAGAATTACAGGATGAGCTAAACTTTTTGCTTTCTTTTTCCATCATTAGAGTGAAATCGTAACAAACCCCCTTTTATACCATCACTATATGAACTTATGATGCCTACTTAGTTTTTTTTTTTTGGATCTTTTTTTGTAAAGGGATTCCTCATTTTTTTTAATTCTTTCTTCCTTTTAATGAAGATTTTGAACTCTTATTATTACAATACTAACTAATAATGGCTATCTCATTTGACCAACAATACTTTGTCGAAAAGGATAGAAATAATAAATATGAATGGTTAATTTTCGTTGTCACATTTTTCCTACTAGGTCTTCATGGTGCTCTTTTCCACTGGATCCCAATGAAACTAAGACAGAATCGAAGTAAACATGATAAATATTTCAAGTTTTTAAAGTTTTGGGATATATGGACAAGTTGTGTCAATATTAAAGGTTTTTATTTTCAACCAAGTCTTCTATTATTAGGAGTTCTCTTTGCAGGTATAAATGTTTTGTTCTGTTTTCTTGAAATTAATGATATCGATTATCAACCAAAATTCTATGTTATGTCTAAAAGAATCCTGAAAGTCGCTGTGGGAAGTTTACCATTCATGATGTTTTCCGTTGCAAAACATGATATTCTTACTAATTTTACTGGATTACAACATGACCGTTTAGAATTTTTACATAAATGGTTAGCAAGATTAATGTGGGTAATGATAACTATTCATATGATTATGGCCATGGTTTATTGGTTGAACCTTAACTTTGTAATCATGATTCAAATTCCACCACAAATCTTTGGTTTCATTGCCTACGGTAGTTTCTGTGTTTTAACATGGGCAAGTGTCAAATTTATTAGACAATTAGCTTATGATTTCTTTTTGGTACAACATCGAGTCTTTGCATTTATTATGCTCTTGCTTTCATTTTTCCATAACGCGGGAAATAGAGCTGCTGTGTTAATCGCAGTACATGGTTTAGTTATTGACAGAGTGGTAAGTAAAGTAATGGCTCATATTCATGCAGCAAAATCTCCAACTAAAGGAAGATGTGATTTCAAAATATTGGATAATGATACCATTGCTGTTTGGATCCCAGTTTCGGAAGCCAACTATGTCACCCAATCGTGGTATACCAGATTTCTTCCTGCCTATAAAACTTGGAAGGCAGGTCAACATATTTATTTTAATGTTTCAAAAATTAAATTTTTCCAGTACCACCCATTCACAATTGCAAGCATTGCAGAGACCGGTAAGATGAAGTTGTTAATTAGAGTACAAAAAGGTTTCACCAGACAGCTTATGAGACATCTTGAGCAAGTTGACCATGATGTTGTTACCATTAAAGGATTCTTCCATGGTCCATATGGTGCCCGTATGCAACCTTTAATTCCATTTGACGTCTCTTTATTCTTTGCTGCTGGTTCCGGAGGTGCATTCACATTTCCAGTTTGCTTGGATTTGTTGAACCAATTGGAAAAGAGAGATGATGCTGGTGACTTTTTGTTCCGTCCAAGTCAAAAACAAATTAGATTCATTTGGAGTATTAAAAAACTTGATAACCTTTGTTGGTTTGAAGATGAATTGAAAGCCCTCACAGGAAGATGCATCATTGATATTTATGTCACACAAGAATCAAAGATCGAACTGTCTAGTTCAGATGATGATTACCAAACCCTGGAACTGGACACATCAAATCTTAAGGACCTGGTTCGTCCCGTTAGTGTTCTGAAGAGTCTGATTAATGAAATTACCAGACAGACATCCAATGATTATACCATCCATTATGGAAGACCAGACATAAGTAGCATTATTGAAATGCATTCTACACAACTTTGTCCATCACAATCAGTATCTGTCTGCTCTTGTGGTGCACCATCATTCACCAACTCAGTTAAAGAGCTGTGTCAAAAGGCTAGAAAGTTGAAAAATTCTCCAGATGTATATTGTTATACAGAATCTTTTTAGTGGGAATAAAAATATCGATCGATGCAGTTTTTGTAAATACATATATATATATATTCAGTGAAACATTTAATAGTTTGTAGAGCCGTGCTGTCTACTGTGGCGGAACTGTATTTATTTTTTTTTTTTTTCTCGTGCTTTTAACAACCGATTTCTTACACTGTGCTTCTACACATGAGACGACAGATGGAGGAAAAAAAAGAATTTCATTGTTTGGATCAAACCCCGTCGACCTTTCCTTCTTCTTTTATTTTCTGTAATCCCCTCTTTACTATATTTTTTTTCTTTTATCTTTTTCTTAGGTGAGACAAGAGAATGTATCCACAATTGTGTTTGCAAATAATATTTCGTACTTGATAAACTATAAAATCAGACAAATTGAAATCTTCCCTTCATGTTGAAATATCAATTAATTGGAAGAAAAAGGAAGATTCTTTCCAAAGAAAAAGGCAGTGGAGTATCCATTGATTCACCTTCATTCATTACCTTTAGAAATCCTTTTACAAATATTTTACCATTTCAAAGACGATCGCCAAACTTTATTGAATATTTCACTCATTTGTAAGAAGTTCAATAATATTGTCAATAAATATATCTTATACCTGCTGATTGTTTTCAAAAATCCAAAAAAGTTTTATCAGTTTGCAAGTCTGCATCTTTTGCATGACGTCAGTAATAAGATCAATTATCTACACAACATTGAATTTATAAACCCACAAATTAAAGAATCAGCAAATACAAAACTGAAAATTGCTGGGACATACAATGTCGAATCAAAAATAAGGAGTATAGATCAACTTAACTATTCTGAATTTATACTATCGTTATCAAATTTGTTCATTAATGGTTTTGCATTACAATCAGTGATGTTCACAGAGATTTCTCCTGATTTTGGGTTCCCTCTAGAATACAAACCAACAAGTGGAAATATCTTTAAGCGTAAGATAGTCAAGTCAAAAAACAGAAGTTTACAAAAATTAGTATTGAAAACCCAATCTGGATGGTCTATTCCTTTTAAAAATTGTCATTTATCACTTATTGAAGAACACTTTGAGGTTGTGGAAGAACTACATTTAGTAAATTTTATCATCGACAATCCTATTACTTTAAAAAACTTACGTGTTAATAAAATTGTATTTGATTCGTGTCTATATTCTTTCAAAAAAGGCGTTAAAAAGGAAATTGTCATGTTTAACAATGTTCAAGAGATAGAATTAAAAAAAATTACAAATAGCACAGAACTATCATTAATTGATTTAGTTAAATTAAACAACAAAAATTTCCACCATCTAACTATAGACATTGGCTCAATGATTTTTTATAATAACCAGGAATTTTTATTTTCCAGATACAATCCATTTTTCGAATTATTATGTTCTGGAATTGGGGGATACGCAAAACTAGATACGTTGACATTGACTGATTTTGATTTATTTTACTACTTGCGTCATGAAGTTGTCCATCAGGATGTTGATTCATGGGTAGAACCACCAACTGATAATTTTGAAACTTTTATGGAATATATTTCACAAATTGCCACACTTGAGATTGTTCTTAAAAAATCATCGGTTAAAGTTAAAACTTGCCTCAATTGTGGATTTAAAGAACAACGCCTGGACAGAAATGTTGAATCATTGACGTATGATGAATGGAAAATTTTCTTAAAACCATTAAATATTAATAACAAAAACACCATGAGAATATTAAGCTATGACCATAAGTTATTATACAAAAATTCGGTGTATAGTTAAATCCAGTCATATTAGTTGAAAAGATTGGCACAGAAATTTCTCACTGGATCTATGACTTTATGAAACATTTCCATGAATGCATTGTTATTTTCTTCGTCAATGGGACTGGTTAAGCCTCGGTCGTGTTTGGGAGCTGGGGAATGATCTACCTTTGGAGCAGATGGCTCTGATTCGGAGTGAGAAGGAGAAGGAGAAGGAGATGACGATGGAAGAGGTGTATGTGGCTGTGATTGAGTCTGTGATGACTTTGCCAAAGTAGAAGAATGTACTGACAAACTACTACCAAACAAAGTCGTCACTGTGTCCGTTTTTAGTTTTTGGGATTTAATCGTATGAGATTCAAATTCAAGATCCACTAGAATGTCAATCGTATTGACAATATTCAAAGTTTCCCCATTTTCCAATATATACTTTACATGGCTTGTCATTTCTTCCGCTGTTAATTCCACATATTTACCATGTGGCACATCCATACCAGTCTCAATCAAAGTTTGTGCTATACTTGGTGGAATACCTTTAGAAATATCTAGATTAGGATACAGTAATTCACATTTTGGAATAGATGTTTTGAAATTCTTTAATTTTGTTTGTATTTCTTTTGCATTATCCTTCATAGATTGTACAATATAATTGTAATCCAATTCAGGTAAAGTATCAAATTTTTTCTTCAATTGTATGAAATCTCTTAGTATTTTAACATCACCATTTGGTTGAATTTCAACCAACCCATAATTATTAGGTTCTTGAGAAAATTCATAAACCAAACCGCCACTGAATACATCAATCATATCATTAGTATACAACACAGGTACCTCATCAAAATTTCTTGGTAAAACTTCATTACATCCATATTCTGAAAAAAATATTGGTTTTGAAAATCCTTTATAATCATTAACCAATATATTGTAACCGCTACTATAAAAAGTTTGATCACCACACCATTGATAAGAATTAACACCATAAAAATCAACAGATTCTTTTGGATTATCATCTGAACATTCTAAATATTGAGCTAATGACATTCTATAATTTAAATCATCAGCAGCAGAATAACCAACAGGGATGGATCTTGGAGAATTATATTCAATATATGTTTTAATATCTCTAACTACTGCTTTAACATAAGGAGCCGCAACACTTGCAGAAATTGGATCATTTACAATTTCATTCCCAGCAATAAATCCCAAAGTATTATTATAATGAGAAAATTGTTCAATGACTTTAAAAATATTCTCAAAATAATATAAATTATAAGTATTCCAAGGTTCATATCTATTTAAATGATGATGAGGTAATGGAGAATTAACATCAAGAAATAAATAAATTCCAGCTTGTGCTAACATTGTCATACATTTATCATGATTTAAATGTGAATTAACTGAATAAATTCGAACTGTATTTATACCCAATTCTTGGAAAAGCACTATATCGCGTGCACATCTTGCTGGATCAGATAATGGATCATGATGTTCAGAAACTGCTGATGAACCTCCTGGTTGATAATCAATTCCTTTTATATAAAACTTTAATTATTGTTAGTAATAGATACTTTTGGTAAAAAAAAGTTCAAGAATTATTGTAAAACATACCGGTTCTTTTGTTACACTGTCTATAAAGTAATGGCCATGGATTATTATGGGGTGAATGTTTGCCCTAGATAGTTTAAAGAATATTAATAAAGCTAAAATGGATGAGAAATTAAACATTTGTAATCAAAAGTAGTATGGTATTGTATTCTGGATATGAAACAATTTGGATATTTGTAAAGAAAAGAAAGACAAACAAACAAACACAAATGGACTTTTGATATCTAGAGATTATAGTCTTTTTTTTTGCAACCACAAATGTAAAACAAACAATCAAAGAGACGGAAATTAATTATGCTAAGGAAATGCGTGTAATTGTTGACAAAAAACAACAACCGAGGAACATGAGATAACTAGAACCTATAAGAGGATAAACAATGGTTATATATATATTATAAACATATATATACTATCACGGGTAGTATATAGTATATTACCCGCTTAAGAAATACCATCCGTTCTTGAGGAGAAGAAATGAAACATGTTTGATTTATAGTATACAACATAACCTTATGGAAAAATTTCACATTCTCAACAAATGAAGTATAAAATCGTGGGGAAATAACTCTCCACTTTAAAAGAAGAAGAAGAAGAAAAAGAAGAAAAAAAAAAAAGAACCACCAACTGGTACATACGACCAATTGCAATATGAAGTTTACTAAGAATCAGGTATCTAAATTAAGCAACTCCCTTGATGGGATCTTAACTGAGATCACAACTTTTAATCCCGATTCCACACCACAAATAATTGCCCCAGGAGCAACCCTTGGAGTAACTGATGCAAATTCGACAGTTTATTTGAATTCAAAAGGTGTCAAGGAAATCAACACCAATGATCCAGTAACCAATGAAGATAGTTATGCATTTTTTTCATGTACTAAATCAATGACAGTAATGGGTGCATTAATATTGTATGAACAAGGGAAATTAGATTTAGATGCCCCTGTATCAAATTATTTACCTGAAATAGCCAACATTGGTGTATTAGAACCTGGCTCGGTTGAAAAATCTACTGGTAAATTGACAAAACCATTGACAAAACCAACTACTCCAATAACAGCTAAACATTTAATAACTCATACTGCTGGATTTTCTTATGGATTTATCTCTCCAGATTATTTTGCTTTGATTACTAAAGGAGAAAGAATTGATGCGATAAACCCACCAATGGAGTTCTTTTACAAGAAAACCCCTTTGATCCATGAACCAGGTACTGATTGGGCTTATGGTCATAACACAGAATGGTTAGGATTTGTCATTGAAAGAATCAGTGGAATGAAATTAGGTGAATTCTTATCCAAGGTTATATATGAACCTGTTGGAATGACCAGTTGTACATTTCATAAAAAAGATGCATCAGATTTGGTTAAGATTCATTTTAGAAAAAATGACGAGACACTTGTATTGATGAAGAAACTTCCATTAAATTTGGATCCAATTTTAGATTTAGGTGGACAAGGGTGTTTTGGTACTGTTGGTGATTATTTGAAATTTATTAGAGTTTGGCTCAATTATGGATACTCTCCTGATTCAAACAAGAGAATACTTAAAGAATCAACGGTTAAATTCGCAATTACAAACCACATTCCTGAAGAATTGGAATTTGAATTCATTGGATTGTCTCATAATTTATTAGATGAAGATGAGTATCCAGATAGAAAAGCAGATGGATGGACATTAACTGGTGCTGCCTATGGACTGAATGATATGCCATCAGGAAGACCCAAGGGAACTAATTATTGGTCAGGTGTTGCCAATTTATTTTTTTGGATTGATTACCAGAATGGTATTGGAGGGTTTTATGGTGTGCAAGTGTTACCATTTATGGACGAATATAATGTCGAGAGTTATATTAAGTTTGAAACTGAAGTATACAAGGCATTGAAGGAGAGTAGTATAGAACAATCTAGTAAGTTATAGATATGGATATATATATATATAATATTACAACCGATTCTTTGCAACCGATTTGTAAAATCGTGACATTTCCCACGTGCACAGTATGAAATTTTTACACAGCCCCAAATAAGATTGTTAAACGAGATACGCCTCCCCTACCGAATAATTAACACGAATTTTCTATGCGTTCACTTTATTCAACAGACAAAAAAAAGAAAAAAGAAATCAAACAACGAGGGAAAAAGGGAGACAAAGGCGATTGCCTTGTTTTCATAATCTTATACACACAATAAAAAAACGAGACAGAAAAAACAAAGGGTAACACCACAAGAGTAAAAACAAAGTAACAGAAAAAAAAAGAATAGAGAAGCAAATTCAGTGTTCTTTTCTTTTTTGGAATTTCAATTTTAAAACGATTTATATCAGTTTGAACCTATTATCATGACTGCAGGTAGCTCACATAGTGGCTACGAAAGACTAGATACTCAAGATAATAATTATTCATCACCCTCTTCTTCGACAGTGTTACCGATACATCCACCCGATTATAATGATTTGGATTTAAACAACAACAACAATAACAATTATCACAATACCGATGGCAATGATGATGGCGATCTTGCCCATCTACCTACACCTTCAATAGACCAGTTTGAAATCGAAGACCCAATTTATGAAGAACAATCATCAGGACTTTTAAATAGAGCACAGAAATTTGCTAGCAATTTCAATACGAGAATAATTCGCCCAGTGACAAGAATAATAGACCCTATTTATGAAGGATATAAATATTTTCAGATGCAATATGAGAGATCCATTTTGAAATTAGGAAATCCATTAGTGGTGAAACGTTTATTATATGTGACATTTGTTATGGCTCTTATATTTGCCATTTCAAAATATAGTGATAATGATACGATAAGTGGCGGAAGTGTGGGAACATTTACTAGAGGCCATTTTTATGATATTGATAAATTAAGTGAATCTATACCGCATTTCATAGATGAGAAGGAAATGAAGGAACATTTAGAGTATTTTTCATCCATGCCACATATAACGGGTACAAAAGGAGATTTGACATTGGCAAAATACATTCAGAAATTTATGAAAAGTAATGGATTGCATCATGTTGAATTTAATGAATTACAAAGTTTCACCAATTACCCAGATAAAAAGGATACCTATTTAAAACTTAAGGACAATTCATTTGAGGCAAAATTATTTGAACAACATAGTGAAGGAATGGAATTTTTAGCATTTAATCCTAATGCATTGAACACCGTTGAACCTATTGAAGGAAATTATGTTTTTGTAAATTACGGGGAAATAGATGATTATAAAAGATTAGCCAATAACGGGATTGATTTAACTGATAAGATCATTCTTGTCAAGTATGGTGGTAAAATACCAGAAGCAAATAAAGTTTATATTGCCCAAGAGCATAAGGTCAAAGCTCTTGTATTTATCACTCCTAAATTCCACATTTCTGGCCAGGATGTCGATGATGTGATACAAAACCAGAATGTTGGATTAACTCGAATGTCACCTGGTGATATATTAACACCAGGATGGTCATCAGAAAATGCATATGTTACAAGATTATCGTGGGATAATTCAGAGACAACTCCAAAAATTCCTACCATTCCTATTTCATGGAGAGATGGGGAAGTTTTATTAAAGAAATTGTCTGGCGGTATTGAATTTGATGGGTTTAAGAGTGGTGATGGAGAATCCCCAGGACTTGAATTGAAAATCACGAATACTAATCGTCCAAAACATCAAATTTGGGATGTAGTAGGTTCTGTTGAAGGTAGAGAACAAAGTGAAAAGGGAATTATTATTGGTGCTGCTAGAGATGCCACATGTTATGGTACAATTAGCAGTAACACTGGAACAGTTGCCTTATTAGAAATGATCAAGATATTCACTACATTACAAAGAAAATACCAGTGGTCACCTTCCAGATCTATATATTTTGTTTCATTTGATGCCACTGAATATAATTTGGCTGGTGCTGCAGAATGGATTGAGAATCGTAAGGAACTGTTGCGTAAGGAAGGTTACATGTATGTTGATTTAAGTGACTTAGTTGCTGGTGATGAATTATCCATTAATGCTAGTCCATTTTTGAACGAGATTATTACCAATGCAATGCATAAAGTAAAGACAGGAGATGGTAAGGATGATGATTTATATCACTTGATGTTGAAACAAAACAATGATCATATTGTCATGAAGAATCAATTTGTTGAGATGAAGAATTATATTCCATTTATCAATTTAGTCAATATTCCTTCTATGGAAATCAAATTCAAAGGATACAAATACCCAAAGAATTCTTGTTTTGATAATTTTGACAATTTTGAGAATAACCAAATTGATCCAAAAATGGCCAAACATGCCCAATTAGTTGAGTTATTATCGAGAATTGTGTTGAATGCTGCAGAAAGTGGGTTAATTCCATTTAATTTCCATGATTTTAGTCGTCGTTTGGAAGATTATGAGAGAGATTTGGAAAGATATGCTCAATCACAAATTGATAAATTAGATCAACCAAATAAACCTTCGTTGAATTTTGATGGTTTGAAACGAGCTATTAACTCACTTAAGCTGGCAAGTGATAAATATCAAGAGTGGGCTAGAGATTGGAAACAATTTATTAGTGATTCAGGTGGTATTGAACCAACCATTTATACCATGTTCAGATGGAAATGGAATGATAATATGATTGAGTTTAATGGTCAATTTTTGACTCGTGAAATACAACATAAGCGTTCTGGATATAAGAATACATTATTTGGAGTTCCATTTATTGCTCCTGAAAAAGTTGATGAATTTGATTGGAATAGTTTCCCATTTATAAGAAATCATATTTCCCAAAATGATTTCTCTCTGGCACAAGACGAAATCGATCAATTAGCTCGTACATTAGAATCTGCATCTATAAGTTACACCGACTTGAATTAAGAGGAACTCCAATAGAAACAAAGAAATAATAATAATAATAATAATAATAAAAATAAAAATTAACTGCATACTAGGATGTATCTTTAAATACTATAATATAAGGAATTACATATAATTGGATCTATAAAAGTTGTAATAAATCTTCTAGATAATAATCTCTAATACCAAAATGTTTAATTGCTTCAGTTAAATTAATCAAATATTCCGAATTTTTACCACTTGGACCAATTGATGTTCTTATTACTTTAGCAGTATCTTCCAAAGATTCCGGACCAATGAAAGCCTCATTTTCAGTAGTGCCAATATAAATCATACTTTCAATATATTTCCCATTTTTATCATTTGGAATATCATCAATTAAACCATCAGAAACTTCATTTTTTTCAATATTTAAAATATGAAATGGAACTTTATGATCAGTATATCCATTTTGTTCTCTAATATCTAGATATTCTTTAACTTCATCAACATTTTCAGGTTTTATATAATAAGCAACTCCATAAACTTTTAAATCTTCTTCTTTTAATTCATGTATTTTCTTTTTAACATCAATAATTATATTATTACTATCTTCTTTTAATTCATACATATGCAAATCATCATGAAATTTTTCATTATTTTGAAGATCTTTTAATGATATTAATGTAACTACTCTACCAGGATATTCCGGAGTACCTCTATGATCAATTGAACTTTGCCAAAATCTTCTTATAAATCCCGTAAGATATCCCGTTACTTTAAATGATACATGTGGTGGTGGTTTAAATATTAAGGATCCATATCCTATCACCCACATCCCCTTTTGATTAGTCATTCTTCTGTTGCTTGATATTACTGGATTACTAATGGATTTGATTTATTTTTTAGTCTCTACTTTTTTTTTTCTTTCTTCTTCTTCTTCGGATTTGTCGATTTGGTTGTAAAAAATATCAGAGAAACAAAACTCGTGAATCACGGAATTATACCTGCGATTACATAATCAATTTTTGTATTATACAGTATAACACTATACATAAGTGAATTTAAATGCCATTTGAACAGTTTCAATTATCTTATCTTTTAAATTAACACCTTTTAAATACTTTCTTGATCCAATGGCAAGAATAGCAACAATTAAAAGAATCAAAATATTTTCTTTTAAATATTTTTGAACAATTCCATATAAGTAAATCAATTTTGATTTCAATTGTTGATTATTATCCCTTGTTGTAGGTGTAGATTTTCTAACTGATTCATCATTATAATTCTTTTGAATTTCTTTAATTGATTTATATTTCAAATTCAGTTGTTTTGCCTTTTCTTTAGCTATTTCTAATTCTTTTTCCTCTTTTTGTTTAATTAATCTTTCTTGTTCTAAAGCTTTAAATTTTTCTTTATCTTTTAAATCTTGTTTTAATTTCTTAATTTCTTTCAATTTTTTCAAATCTATTGGATCTTCAATTAATCTTTCAGCTTCTTCAAATTCATCAAATGAAGGTAAGATCTCAAATATTATTAAATCCATAAATTTCCTTTTATATTTATCATCATCGTCTATATGATGATAATCTTTTCGTAATTGAGTCAAATATTCATATTTTTCATTGATCAATAAATCAGAATTTGTAATAAACATTAAATGATAATTATATAAAATTTCACAAGGTATATAATTTTCAAATATTGATTTAAGTCGATTAATAATTTCATTACTTGTAATAGAATTCAATGCAGCTAAATTTTGAACTTGATTTAAATGATTATCTTTTAAACAAACCCCAGTTTCTAATAAATATAAATTAATTATTTTAATTAATAAATTTTTTGATATTGTTCCTTTTGAATATTCTTGAAAACATGTTTGAAATAATGAATGAATTAATTTGAATGATGTTGGGAAATTCTTATTTATAAATTGTTTTAATGCTAATTTATAATTTTGTTCCATTTGTTTATTGGAATTAATAGCATTTGGTTGTAATGTTACTGAAGTATTCATGATTGTTCTGATTGGATAAAGGTAATAGAAATTAATTTTCCCCAATGTCGAATTTTTTACTTCTGTTATATTTGCCATGATCATGTTGATTGTTCAAAAAAGATTTTTTTTTTTTCCCCACGTATGAAAAGTTTCATTCCGAGGTTTTTCTTTCCGCACTACGTATCAAATTTATCGCTTATCGATTGGGTATCAACGTTATACATGTATTAATTTCCATTACACTGAAATAAACATCTAATCATCTACTATACAAATCTATAATTCTTCTTCATCGTCTCTATTACGACGACCTGTTGGTAACTTACCTAAAGCTTGTAATCTTCTTCTCTTTTCAACTTCAGTTTCTTCTTCATCGGCTTCTGAATCTTCAGATAATTCACTATCTTCTTCTTCTTCTTCTTCTTCCTCATCATCAAATGCATTATTTCTATGTGCTGGAGGTGGTGGAGATGCTTTTCTTGTTGGCTGACTCTTACTTCCTGTATCTTGGCCATGTTCTAAAATACTGGTCAATTTATCCTCTAATTTGTGTTCCAATTTACTGCCCATATGTTCATGTAATTCTTCTTCATTGTGTGGTAATAACACTCTATTCATATTTCCTTTTTCCAAGTCAAAATTTGCTGTTGCACTAGTTTGTGGAGAAGTAGCAGTTGGAGAAGAAGGATTACTGTTACCAGATTTCATACCAACAATTGATTTAACCATACCCATAAGCGATCCAGATCTTGCTCTTGATTTAGATTGGGCTGCTTGTTGTGCTGGATCTGCAGCATGTTTGTTAACTTTGTATCTTCTAATGACTTCCCCATCTTCATTTTCAATAACAATTAAATTATCAACACGATGGGCATAAACCTTACGCTTATGTGGATCATCTTTCTTGTAGAATGAACGACGTGATAATGTACGAGAAATTTTCTGTTGTAATGGTGATAATCCAAGATGATCTGCATCACTTGATTCACCTTCTTTTTCAGTACCTGAGGATGCATTCGAATATTCTGTAAGATGTCTTTCCAATGACTCCATAGAATGAATACTATCTGAATCTTGACTTTGACGAGCACTTGTATCAACAGCTGGTGGCAGACTTGGTCTAGATCCTTGTAGCTTTTTAATGTCATCTTTGTGAGACAATTGCAAGATTTCCATAACTTCACCATACTGATCTTCAATAATAACTTTATCGCCATCTTGATATGCAACTTTTGGAACAGGTGCTTTTTCTGCCTTTGTTGGCATTCTTTGTCCAAATTTGGACAACCCTGAGGTTTTTTTAGGAATTTGTTCTGGTTCTTCTACTTGTGGTTCATGAATGGATGGCGATGGAGGACTGATGACAAACTCTGGTTGAGCTGGTTCGTTTGCGACTCTATCATGTTCAGAAGATGAAGACGAATTTTTAAGCTCATTGGTGGTTGCCATTTCTGGACTAGATTCAGCTGAAGATTTATGATCATCATCAAATGTTTCTGTCGGACCTCTACCACCCAATTGTAACACTTGCGCTTCTGGGCGTACTCTCTTTTCATCTTCATCTCTAGTGGCAACTCTTGACAAAGTCTTCTGAAGTAATCTAGGTTGCCTTGATCTCTTCTTCTTCTTCTTTCTTCTGGCAGCACCACCAGCTGGACGTACTTTAATGCCACTAGTTTCAGGACCTTCAGGAAGGGTTTCTTCTCTTTGCATCTTTTCCGAATCCTTTTCTTTTTCATCACCAGGAGCAACAGTGTCAACTCTTTGTAAAGAAAATGAAGTACTGGTACGGTCAAGTTTTTGTAATCTTTGCATCCAACCACCAGAACCACCACCACTTTCTTGACCCATGGTGGTAGTGAAAGACATGGTGATAGCCATTCTGTTCAAACGTTTACCTAATGTTAACACAGCAACAGATGACCCATGAACAACAATAGATGTGATGACAATGAAACAAACGATTGGCCAGATTGCTGCCAATAACTGATAATGTGGGAAATCCTCTCCAGGTAAATGATGCAACGGAGTTTCTTCAGTGGTATAATGAGCTTCCAAGTCTTTTCTCGCCAAAATAGCAGCAAAAATGGCACCAACACCAATAGGACCAAAATGACCACAGAATAAAGCTTCTCTCCATGTTTTAACATCGGGCGTTATGGGCTTTAATGCTACAACAGCCGGAACTCTTCTTAAAAAGATAACCACAAATGCAAGAACAATCAATCTCCAGACATCCAAACCAATGGCACCATTGTTGAACTGTGGCCAAGGAATAATGGCACCAAAGTAAACAAAAAATGACAAATTCAACAATAAATCAATAACAGTAGAAACATGCGATTCTTCAGTCTTTTTGGCAAAGGCCCCATTCCAACCAAAGGCAGTACCAGCGGCGAAGGAGACTAATAAATCGTCAACACCTAACATGGAACCAACACCAGCAGAAATGAAAGCAATGAAAACAAAAATTGCCAAAAATGATTCACGATCAATCAAATTGTGTTCTTCGGCAAATGCAACTAGTTTACGTAAAACAAATCCAATCACGACACCCAAAACACACCCAAATATACATTCCCAAAGAATAGTTAACAAAAACCAATCCTTTACGATTTCTCTTGCATTACCGGCGTGAATAATTAAATTTAACGAGAGGAAGATAAATGGGAAAGCCATACCATCGTTACAACCTGATTCGGCAGACAATAAGTTACGTAAATGGCCTGGAACTCTTTCTGCAAATTTACCTTTACCAACAACGGCTGCTGCTAAAACAGGATCGGTTGCTGTAACACAGGCACTGACCAATAAACCATCTTTAAAGGAAAAATGAGGAATCAAGCACCAAATGAATAACCCAACAATCAACCACCCACAAGTCATAACTGGTAATAAAAATATAGATACCGATAGCCAATGTTTCATCATGTATTTTTTAGGCAATTCCACAGCAACAGCTACGATTTGAATACACAAGACTATTCGACAAATTTCCAAAGTGATGAAATCCGAATTACCCCAACTAACGGGATCAAACCAATTTAGACAATGAGGACCTAAAATCAATCCTGCAATGGAAGCCACTGTTGCTTCACCTATATATAATCTTTCCTTAACAAAAAGGGACACCAAAGAAAACAAGGTACTAAAAATACCCACACATGCGTATGCTACATGCGGTGCTTCTAGTTCCAACTGACTCCAAGCCATACTGTTTTGTTGTTATTATTATTATTATTGTAAATATTAAGGATGTATTGTTAATTATAATTGATATTGGATTAACACTGATTATTTTTTTTTCGTGATCATCTAATCAAAAAAGAAAACCACTGGGAGTTTCAAGATAAAAACAAGTAAATAATTCGATTTTCGAGTTGAAGTGATATCAATCTAACGGGATGGGTATTGTAAAACACTGAGTTTGTTTAGTTGTTTCGTGGTAATATCTTAATAACCCTAAAAAAAACAAAAGACCCCTTTATTGAATGTAAAAAAAAAGTATATAAAAAAGAAAAAAAAAATGAATGAAAATAAAAAGAAAGCAAACCCTACAGTAGAAGAATGAAAGAACGAAAAAAAAAAAATAGAAAAACAAATTACACCAGTGGAGATGATGATACAAAGCTATATGGTCTACGATGAATATACACAAAATGGGTAAGACAATTCTTGAAATTAAATTCATTTAAAACCTGGGTACACCGTGTGCATTACGCCTTGTAACTGTTCTACGATGGGAATATTTCAGTATCATTATGTAGGGTCATTAGCATGGAGATTATTGCTAATTTTTTTTTTTTTGTTCTCCACTATCCTTATCGTTGTTTAATTATTTTGTAATGTAAGATAAAATTTCACGGAGTACTTACATAAAAAGAAAACACATTGATTGGCGTTGAAAAAGGCATACGAGTCTCGGCTGTAAGACAGAGGGATCTCTTTAATTCATTTCAGGAAAGTTTAAGTCTTGAGAAGAATAACAACCGTCGGTCTTGTACCCACTAACTAGAATATTGATTGCAACGAGAAATACTTCCCCTATTACCGCCATGATATTGTTGCAAAATATATAATATGGTTCCTGGATTGTTCCAATGTATTATTAACCTTTTTCTTAAATTCATCTTCTCCTTCTTCTTGGCATCAATAACTCTGCTGATGAATCTGTTCTTAATAATAAATTTTTAGTTCCCTGATTTATATAATATTTTTTTCCAATTTGTTCCTTCACTTGCTTTATCTTGCACACGCCGTGTGTCAAATAAATTAGCATTAGATAGCACAGAATTATACTATGATACAAATAAATTACGTGGATATAACAACCCTTGATTGTTATCTCCGTTAAATAAATTTCGTGATAGTTATTTCATCATGGAATGTCCCGTACGACCACGTCTTTTGTCGTAATGGGATTTTTCATTGTTTTTTTTTTGGTTTGCTTTGCCCAGTGGGCTTTTCTTGGCAAAAGAAAGAAAAAAATTTACCTTAGCAATTAAAATTAATTATGTGCTTACATAAGCACACATGACCTCTGGGGGCATGACCTAATTCATCTACTTCACAATTGACCTAGTCATTAAAAGAATGATTGTACACTTAATGCAATTACCCACGTGGTTAATAGTAGCATTTTATAACCTGAAAGGAAATTGCACCTTAGAATTGTATTTACTGGAATAGTCACGTGACTTGGTCTTTTATCTGTATATACACAAAATTACAAGGAACCTCCTATTTTTGTATTAATCTTGTTTAACTGATGCAATTATTCATATCTAAATTAAAGTTATTACATACAACTTACCTCCAATTGTTGTCCCAGATGTTCATAGATATTTCGTCGGCTTGATAAAGTTGACAACACCATAATTTGTTGTAAGAATTTTTTTTAACAAAAAACTAGATGAGAGAAAAAAAATACACGACGCGTTGCAAAGATCAGTCACCACAACCACTTATCTTTTTCAACATAGTTGCCATGTCTCTATTTATACAACAGTCAGATGAGGAGGAGGATAATAATGAAATCCATATAAATAGAGAAAGTCTGTCTTGTGTGTCATTTTCAGCGGCAACCACACAAATAGCACATTTAGCTGATGTTTTCCAAAGTTTGATCAGCATTAATAACCAAGCAGTCATCAGAATATCAAGCAAAGGGATCACGATTTATTCTACTTATAATCATACATTCAATGTACATGTCAACATTGATCCATCGTTATTCAACAACTACAATATTTCATCGGATAACATCGAAGATCAACAAGATGAAATCGAGATCATTTTAGGTGTCGATATCAACCTCATTACTGAATGTTTTGTCTCTGTCGTCAATACTTTGAAGTTTGAAAAGTCAGTATCATGTTATTTTAGTTATCATGGTGAGGGATCGCCGTTGGTTATTGAATTTGAAGATAGTTACATGTCAGAAAAATTGGAGTTTTACACATTTTATATAGAAAATGGAGAATCTATCAGTGATGATAATTTATTTATTGACTATGGACATGTATGCTTGGAATTAATGGTCAGGTGTGATGTGTTGACAAATTTATTACAAGACTTGAATCAGATCAATACAGAGAATTTGTTTATTTACGTTGCGGAGAATACTTTGAATTTTATAAGTAATGGACCAATAGGAACATCCAAGTTAATTTTCCCCAATGATAAAACTATACTTGAGAAGTTGGAAATTAACAGTCCTGATAAAAACTATGTTATTCTGCAATTCAATTTTGACACATTTTTCAAAGTCTTCAGATCTGTTAAACTAAGTTCCAAGTGTAAGATTCTCAAGGACTTGAATGGTTGCTTTTCAATACAGTTATTGTGTAAGAATCTACCCTTGAGTAAATATTCAGGAACTTTAATCACAATCAACATGATGGAACTAAATCATGATGAATTTATGATTGGCTGGATATTGAATGACTCTGAAGAAGAACAGGAACTTCAGGAGAGTTTACATCCAAGGCAATCACTCGCTGCAAAACCAACACTACAGAGAAAAGATTATCCTAATCTACTACCAACAACATCAACAGAACCACTTATCAACTCGTTTAAAAAATCTCGACGAGTAGAAGTACCATCTACTATGGATACCACTGATAGAGGGCCAACTAGGGAATCGAAAAAGAGAAAACGAACAGAAGAGGTGAGGAATGTCGGTGGTGCAGTAGAAGTACCTCTATTTTTATAGTATAGACCATTTGCATAAAAATTTTATTAATTTTTTGTATATAATAATAATAATAATCAATATTTTCTTTAATAAACAGCAATGTAGCTTTCAATTCTATTCTTTTGGTTTTGAGCAATACATTCAGCAATCCAAGTGATATTTCTAATTTCTTGTTCTTTAGATTTCAACCAAGCATAAATAGTAGATAAAGTGAATTGTTGAGTGAATGCATTTCTACATAATTGCATTTCCAAATAATAGAACCAATCACCTAAACTTTTCAATTGTTCATTAGTTTCACTGAAAACATCCTTATATTCACCGACAAGTTCAACAATAGCTTTCAATTGTTCAGCATCATCAACTTGGGATAATTCAATATGATAAGTTGGATATAATTTACCATAATTTGGGAATAAGGATAATTTATCTTCAGGAGTCAAATCTGGATTATTTAAAGAATTCAAAGCAATATTAATAACTCTTTTATCAGCTTCTAAAGTTAATAATCTTTCCATAATTTCTTTATCTGGTCCATCCAAATTTTGATCACACCATTCAACAAATGCTTCCAAATAATTCTTATATAATCTATTTCTAATAATTTCAATATTTAAATCATCTAAATCATCAGCACTAACACAATTCTTAAAAAATGGAGCCAATGGAGTATCAATTAAAACAGTCAGATATAAACTTTCAATATCAGTAGCAATTGATAATGTAGGTAAAGTATCAAACCAACCTAACGGGTTACATTTTCTCAAGATTTCCAGCTTGTCTCTTTCATGTAAAGTACCAGTTATCATTAAAATAACATTATCAATCATATAACCATAACTTATAAAATCCATAAATTTGGTTAATTTACCACTTGATTGGCTTTGAATGTATTGATATTGTTGAAATGATTTTTTAGTTAAATTGTCTTGAATAACACTAGTACTTAAAGGTCCAGAATAATTGGCCAAAAAATTTCCATAGTCAGTTGATGATAATTGTAATTTCAAATCTTCTAAATTATCACATTGAGTTAAATTGACGTATTGATTGGTAGTTAAAAGACCACTTTTGTATCCTCTAACAACACCTTCGATATACCCATAATCAATATTAAAGTAAAGTCCTTCCATTGTTAAAAAATGATAATTGATTGGTGGCTGTAAAATCAAGTGAAATTAATCACAATCCAGTTGAAGTTTTTTTTTTTTTTTGTTTTTCGCTCAGTTTGATTACGTTTGATGATAATACCACCACCACCACCAACTTTTTTTGATCGTACTGAGCAAAAATTTAAATTGGCAGTCGTGTATAAATGCTAAAACAACCAAGCCCAAAAGAAAAAGAAAAACAAGAATTTTACGAAAGTTGGAATTATTTGAAGTGTGTTGTCAAAAACTAGATTACGTACTACCACCACAGATCAATGTCACTGTTACTTCTAGATTCATTAAAGGATGGTCTTGATGATCAATATGTTCATTTATTAGACCAAAACCCTGAATTTTACAAGGATGCCGAGGATTACCTTCTAGAGTTACTAATAAATGATGATTTATTATCTACTGATCCATTTTACACTTCAACCACTCCATCTACAATTGAAGATTCGGCTAGTAGTAAAAAGACATTAACTGAAGAAATTGCCGAATTAGATCTGTCACAGTATCAAATAAATACCAAACTATCATCATTGACTAATTCCAATCGAGATTTAATTATTGATATAAGTAATGATTTACAATTTGTTAATCATCAATTAAGTAATGAATATCAACAATATTCAGATAATTTATTAAAAATCTTGGGAAATGAACTTAAAATTGAACCAATTGTATCACAATTCAATATTAAATCAAACATTTCAATTAATAATACAATATTATATAAGATAGATTCAGTGTTAGATATTTTGGAATTACCTACATTATGTAAATTATGTATTTTACAAGGAAATTATCAAGAAAGTTTGGAAATATCAATTTATATTCAAAGTTTAATGATTAGATATCCTAAAATTTCCTTATTTAAACAAATCCATCAAAAAATTGATCATGAATTAAAAGTTATGATTAAAGGTTTAATAAAACTTTTAAATACAAATTTAAAGCAAAATCATATTTTAAAAATTTTTCAAATTTTAAATAAATTATTTGATAATAATAATGGTAATGATTTAAATAATGATTTAGTATTAATTAAGATTTTCTTGAATTCAAGATATAAATTCATAATTAATGAAGTTGGAAGTTTAAAGCCATTAATTAAATTTAATAAATTGACTTATTTGAAAAGATTTATTGAAATTTATCGTGAATTTATATTTAATTCATTATCTATTTATCATATTATTTTTAAAAATAATCAACAAGTGGTTTTAATTAATCAATTTATTAGAAGTTTGATTGGATTATTATGTAATGAATTTAAATTATATTTACCTGATATTAAAGCTCAAAATACAGATGATTCATATGAATCTGAAATTGATTTAGCAAGTTCAATTGATGGATTGATTTTACAATTGATTTATCTTTGTCGATCATTATCTAATTTCAATTTAGATTTTGAACCTATAATATTACTGGAATTGGTTACTTCAAATAATCTCATCTCCGAATCAGATTGGTTACGTAATTTATCAAAAGTTAAAATCAAACATAGATGAACTAAATACTAGAAATAATATATAATACACGAATCAACTAACTGATAAATACTAACCTGCTTGTTGTGGTCTATCTTCAGTTAAACCATTCAAACCAAACAAGAAACCAAGTTCTCTTCTATCTAATTGAGAAATTGATTTCATCTTACTTTCATCAAGAGCTTCACCAATTAATTCCTTCTTATGTTCTTGCAATTCCATGATACGACTTTCCACAGTACCTTCAATTAATACTCTATGTACATGAACTTCACGTTCTTGACCAATACGATGAGCTCTACCCATAGCTTGATCCTCAACATAAGGATTCCAAAATGGATCCATGATGATTATATGATTGGCACAAGTCAATGTTAAACCTGCATTACCTGAACGCAAGGAAAGAAGTAGTACTCTTGTATCGGATTTATAAAACTCCTTAATAACAGTATTCTTTGATTCCATATTCATCGTCCCATCATATCGTAAAAATGGAATCTTCTGATAATGTAAAACCAATTTAAGAAGATCAAACAATGTTGTGAATTGGGAAAAGACAATGATTTTTTCATTTGAATTGGCTTGAGTAATTTCCTGGATTATTTCAATACATTTTTGAATCTTTGCAGAAGGTTCAAACCCATTATCTCGTTTCACAAATTCTGATATCAATGTTTGGTTGCTTTTGGTCTTACGCTCATAATGCTCAAGACAAAATTCACGTAATCCTGTACTTGACAAGTTATCAATATAAATTTTCTTGAATAAAATGTATTCCATCAAGTTTTGTTCCTTTACTGTCTTCTTACAATCTTTACATTCACCACTTCTATTTTTCAGATTTTCGTCATCATCTTGTTCTTCGAAAAAACTAGGTCCACAAGTTTTACAAATCATATGACCACATTCGCCAAAAATCAAAATTGAAGACTCAAAATCAAGTGCATCAAAACAAACTGGACATGAAATGGTATCATCTTCGCTTTGGATTAACGATGTTGCTGTTGATGCCTCACTCAATTCAAGAACTTTAGCTTTTATATCTGGCTTGATATTATGTACATTGTTCAACATTTGATGCCAGTGTACATTCAAGTTTCCACTAGCCTCATCATCTTTTTTCATCTTTGCCTTATATTGACCAATTTCAACTAGGTAGGAATGACAACAAGCTTGTCTTAATCTCAACAACATTGTCAAAACACCACCATTTCTAATATTAGAAGCCAACATTTTTCTTGCCACTTTCTGGATACCTTCTTCAATACTTTGGTAATAATCCAATTCTTCATTTTCAAGTGTGACATAATCAGACGCGATATGTTTTTCTGGCAAGTTCAAAATAGGTTTCCCATCAATCAATGAGTCCTTCGTTCTACGAAGAAGAATTGCTTTTAAAAGTGCTCTCAATTTTTTCATACTCTTTCTCATATCATATTCATCATAATTGTTGGTTTTGTTCTTGAGTGGCACCGAAATATCTGCCTTGAATTTTTCTTCAACACAATATGGTTGAATCTTTAAAAATCTAATAATTGGATACAACTCTTCAATGTTGTTTTGCATAGGCGTACCAGTCAAACAAAATCTATAGGTTGCCTTCAAATATGTCACTGCTCTAGAGGCAAGACCAAGTTTATTCTTAATAGCCTGAGCTTCATCCAAAATGATACGGTAGAAATTGGCATCATTAGCGAAAAAAGGAGAACAATACGATTTACCACCACTTCTAGAATTAGGCATAAAAGATCTGTTCTCTTTCTTATTATTATCTAGTTCTTCTTTAAAATGCCTCTTCCATTCCAGCGCCAATGTCGTATAAGATACCAAAACAATGTCATATTTCTTCATCAATTCGAATTGAGGCATCTTTTTCTTCTCGTCACTGTGGAAAATACCCACATGTTTGTATACTTGGGGTCTTGTTTTAGATTCAATTTCTGCGGCCCATTGACGTAAAAGTGACACAGGTGCAATAATAAGATTAGTTTTGCATTCCTCATCTTTGGAACTATTGGCCAAAATCAATGACAATGTTTGAATGGTTTTCCCTAAACCCATATCATCAGCGAGTATCCCTCCTTTAGATTTGGACGCTTCCATACGCTTCATCCAGGTGAGACCCATTCTTTGATGTTTTAATAAAGAAACACCCAACTCGACAGGAGTTGGATCTAACCCTTCCTCGGATTCTTCATCGGGTCTAATATTGTCAAGTAAATTTTTCAATTCGACATCTTCTACTTTTGGTCCCATGGGCACAAAACGTTGTATTGTCTCGTTCATAATTTGTGCAGCATAGGGATTGAAAACAGCAGTTGACGCATGTTCCAATTGACGTAAATTACTAGAAATCATTGCCAACTCATTCAGAATCAATCTAATTGCTTGTTCAAGTTTCATCACTAATTGTGTTCCTTTATTGATCTTATGTTTCAGTGATTTAATTCTCTCTGAGTTCTTTTGAATGGCTGCTCTAAACTTAGCCGCATCATTGTGGTTTCCAAGACTAACAGCTTGTCTAATACCTTGCTCTAATTGTCTCGCCATTTGACTGTACTTATCATAAACTGACTTAGCCACGGAAATTTCCTTAATCACTTTTTGTTTTTGATTTTCCCATTGCACAATCTCTAATCTTTTCATACCTTCTCTTTGTGTGAGTTCCCTTTTCTTTTCCCTGTTGACATCCATATCTCCAGCATGTGGCACTGGTGCCGGGGTATTAAAAGCAAAGGGCGTATTTCCCTGGTTTGTTGGAACAATCCTCGAGTTCAACACCTCAATATCATTATTATTTGTTGGTTCTATCTTAGTGTTCTGTTGAGTAGACTCAGACGGAAATGTTCCAGGTATGGTGTATGGTCTATTTTGGTTGAAATTTGAGTTGTTGACATTAGACATGTTTAACTGATTAAAGTTAAATTGGGGTTCCATCTTTTGAATATTTGCAGGTTTGGGTTGGATATTCTTTACTGGTAATACTTGTGACACGGGTATTGATGAAGGTAATTTTCTTTGATGTGAGGTTGAACTTCCAATTTGAACATTATCCTGGGGTTGTAACAGGGATGGCATTTCAAATGATGTATTCTTCCATGAAACTCTTGCTGCTTCATTTTCATCTAAGACTTCTATCTCATCATCACTAGAACTTAGGTTCTTATTATCGTTTTCATCTTCAGCCTCGTCTTCAGATGATGATAATGAAATCACCTCTCTTTTCTGTGGCTCGGGTGTGTTGCTTGCAGAAAATCCATTAATTATTCCACAACTCCAAGGTTGCTGATTGGAAGACTTACTGTGTAATGACTCTAAACGTTGTCTCTTTACTTGTGGTTGGGAATTGGATTCTAAATTTTCAGAACCTGTGTGAGGATTTGAGGATAAAGTTTGAACAACTTGATTATTATTTGACTGTACCTCTTTAAGATCTTCAGGAGTGGTTTGAGTCAGAGTGACATCAAAATCTTCAGTACCCGAAGAAACGACAGTATTGGTCTTATCAGGTCCCATGTGAATCATTGTTTTGGTGCCATTTTCTGGCAACGGTATTTCCATGACAATTTATTTAATCAACTGTATAGTTAGGCACACAAAATGATGAGTTCTATTAATAAATAAATGAAAAAAAAAAATAATCCAAAGACTTTATGTAGTCTATTAACTGTTGATTTGTCTTATGTATTAGATTTGTTGTGGTTTATTTTTTAGTTGTCCCTATTTGATAATTGTATATGTTTATTTTTTCGTTTTTCTTATTTTGTTTTTTTTTTATGTTTTTGGCCCATTGATTTTGATCTCATGTACACGCCACGAGGTTTTTCCTTCCACAGTTTTCTTGTCGTGCGTCCGGTCTTTGTGCTATCACAGGTGCCGTGCGCGCGAACTAAGATCATATTTGGCATTAGAGGTGGTGGTAGTGGCGAGACGTCTTTATCGATATTCCCCAGTAAAGAAAAATCCTACAATTGATATGGAAATCACTCCTCCGATAAAGTCAAAACGTACTGTAAATAAAAAAAAAAGTCATACATTGTATTATTTATCTTGCATTTACATTAAATTAAGCCAAGTTTTTCCATTCTTACTTCAACAGCTCTTCTGTGAGCTTCTAAGCCTTCAACTCTTGCTAATGCCATGACGGCTTTACCAATACTCTTAAGACCTTCTTTGCTGACATCTTGTGATGTGATGAATTTTTGGAAAGTAGCAGTATTAACACCTGAATATTGTCTTGCATAACCATAAGTTGGTAAAGTGTGGTTAGTACCACTTGAATAATCACCACAAGATTCTGGAGATAAAGCACCGACAAATACAGAACCAGCATTTTCAACAGAACCTGGAACATAAGAAGATGCATTGTCAATTTGCAAAATCAAATGTTCTGGAGCATATTTGTTAGACAAATCAAAGGCTTCTTCGTAAGATTCAGATAACAACACGTAAGAGTGAGCCAAACATTTGGCAACAATATCCTTTCTTGGTAATACTTCAGCTTGTTTCTTAACAGCAGCTTGGAATTCATTCAATTTTTCTTCACTTAAACCAACACCAATAAGAATGACTTGGGAATCAATACCGTGTTCAGCTTGTGAAAGCAAATCACTAGCAACGAAATCAGCATCGGCATTTGAATCGGCAATAACCAAAACTTCAGAAGGACCAGCAGGCATATCAATAGAACATAAAGCTTGGGTATCATTTTGAACATACATCTTAGCAGCAGTGACAAATTGATTACCTGGACCCAAAATCTTGTCACATTTAATAACACTTTCGGTACCATAAGCCATGGCAGTTACGGCTTGTGCACCACCTGCCATCACAATACATTTGGCACCTAATTTATGAGCAACATATACAACTTCTGGAGTCAATTTACCAGTTGAACGAGAAGGAGGAGAGGCAATAATGATGTTTTTACATCCAGCAACTTTGGCTGGAACACCCAACATCATAGCAGTAGAAGGTAAAACAGCAGTACCACCTGGAACATACAAACCAACATTTTCAATTGGTTTGGCAAATCTAGAACAAAAGACACCAGGACAAGTTTCAACAGTCATGACTTCTTCTTTTGGTAATTGGGCACTGTGGAATTTTTCAATATTTTCAATTGATAAATCAATAGCTTGTTTCATTTCTTCAGAAATATTCATTAAATCATCAGGGAATGGTGCTTCTAAAACTGGAGCATCTAATTTAACACCATCAAATTTGGCAGTCAATTCAAGTAAAGCTTTATCACCATTTGACTTGACATTTTCAATAATCGGAAGTACCAACTTCATAATATCAGAAGTTTTTTGAACTGGTCTGGTCATGGCACGTTCGACACCAGCAGAATCACCAACACTAATAACTTCTAATTTGTAATCTGGGTTGACTGGTTCTTCTGGTTTTTCTTGGTATTGTGGTTTGGCATCACCTTTTCTTCTGGAAACTTTCAAGGATTTGACATCTAAATTCTTTTCGACATCAGCCAAACTAACACCATTCTTGATACACCAAACCATGGCAAAATAAAACAAGTCAGCACATTCCCATGCAACTTCTTCTTTTGACTTAGCTTCAATTAATTCATCCAATTCTTCTTTCAATTTGGCAACTAACAATTTCTCATCATCAAATAAACGTTTAGTATAAGATCCTTCCGGAGCATTCTTAAATCTGTCTTGTAAAGTACTATCTAATCTTGGTAAACCTCTGGCTGGGGCATCAGAAAGTTTATCACCAAAACAAGTAAAACTTTCTTCACGGTGACAGAAGCCATAGCCTGTTCTTGGTTCAACAACAAATTGAATCACATCAGAATCACAATCTCTTGATAATTTAACCAATTTCTGGGTAGCTCCACTGGTTTTACCTTTATACCATAATTCATCTCTACGCTTACGTGATTGATAAACACCAACTTTTTCTTCAATGGCTGCAATAACTGAATCTTTTGATGAATATACAATACCCAAAGCAGTATATGATGGAGCTGGGGTTGTGATTAAAGTAGTGTATAAACCATCTGGTCTGTCTGTAGTTAAAGTACTTACGAACAAAGATGAAATGGAAATCTTATTAGCTTCTTCTTTCTTGGTAGTCAATTCTGCTGCATGTGCAATTGTAACATAGTCTTGTGCCAATTTGTTAGCTTCGGATTGTGTGAGTTTAGCCTTGATATAAATGGTTCTATTTTCATGGTTATTGTATTTTTTCAAATCATCTAATGGTTTCGAAACCACAAAGGAAGCATCTGAGGTAACTAAATTTTCAGCTGGGGTTTCATCTCCAACAAAAACAGCAAATCTAGAGCTTGGTAAACCAGCCTCAAGAGCTTCATTAAATTGATTTGAATTGACAAATACTTTTTGCACACCAACATTTAATAATTCAACAATTTGATCTAAGCTTGCCTTATCAGTAGCATCAACAAAGATATCTAAATCGTGTGGAAATTGGTGGATGAAATGTTTTGAGACAGTAACGTTCTCAATTGGGAAAATAATCTGTCCGACTAATGAAAATTCGTCAATGGTTGTCTTATCTTCAGGTGAAGATACTATGGGTAAGACTGGGAAACTCATTTGTGTATAAATGGGTTAATGTTCTAGAGTAATGGAGAAGGGATTTGAAAGAATTTTAAAAAAAAAAAAAAATTGTGAAAAATTGTGAACTTATACTCGGACGAAGACGTTTGATAATTTTTTTTTTTTTTGTTTCCTGCTAACCGCGGAGTCAGATTTTTCAGATATTCAATTTCATTTAGGCAATCTCTCATTCTGACTCATCAAGATAAATTTGACGCGAAACTGACTCACCGGTGGAGACATGAGACAGAGAGATAAAAATCGTACTACAACGCAACACAATACAGGGAGGCGATGCAAGACATCACCATACCAAATAACTACACCTGACAATCACGACATATCTTTATACATTTGGATTATTTTGTTTATTTATTTTTGCAATCACTGATCAAAAATTAAACTCTCCTCTAAACTGGTTCAAATCCATATTAGGTTTGACCAATTCTAATAAATCTCTTCTTTCCATGGCTATAAATGCTCTTTTCAAAGTTTCGGTCAACGAAGTCGATTGATTATGGTTCAAAGTTGAAACAGTATCGACACCTTCTACTTGATGCATGGATAACCCACTCAATAAGTGTTCAGCAGCTTCTTTATAACATCCAATGTTAATACATGAAACTCCCAAATTATATCTTGCTCTAACAAAAGTAGGTTTCAATTGTAAAGCCTTGAAATAAGCATCAACAGCTTCTTCCGATCTATTTGAGTTTGCTAATGAAGCACCCAATCTATTCCACAAAACAGCATCATCAGGTCTGATAGACAAAGCAGCCTTGAAACAATCAATAGTCTTGTCAAACTCTTCATTGGCATAAAACAAAACACCTAAACCCATTTGTACATCGGCATCCATGTTTGCTTTGTTTGGAGATAATTGAGCTGCTTTAAGAAACAATTCAGTGACTCTTTTATTTAGTGAAAATCTATCTTCATCACTAATAGTAGGATTTTCTAGTCTTGCTTTTTCAACAATTTGTGGGTACTTGGTAGAAATCCATCTTTCTAAAGTAGCAAAGGCTGCATTATCATAACCTTCATTAATATAACTAATAGCTAAATTCATCAAAGCTTCCGAATTTTCTGGACTGATCTCAAGAGTCTTTTCGTATGCACTAATACCGGCAATTTCCTTTTCATTTTGTGTTTGAACTTCACCCAATTTCAACCAAGCATCAACGTGATTTTCGTTTCTTTGAATTGCTGCTTCAAAAGCCAAAGCTGCTTCAGATAATTTGGCACCACTTTCCATCAACTGTAAACCGATTTCATAGGGATCTTGATCTTTTGGTAAATCCAAGAATTGATTGTTTTGTTTATCTTCAAATTGATAATCACCAAAATGCGCACGAGTTGATGCATATCTGGCAAAATCTTTCTCCCATTGACTCATATCAGCTGGAAGACCATCTCTTTGTGTATTCTTAAATTCTTCATATTGTTGATTAATGAAGTCATTTTCAAATGATTCAGAGTTCAAACTATCCCACACTTCTTGGAAAGTAGCTTGATACTTATCATCCACCACAATTTCTGGTGATGCTTCTCTTTGAATCTCCTCAACTTTTTCTTCAGCTTTACTAGTCAATTCCTCGATTTCCTTAAATTGATTATCCCAATCAACTTGCTGGTCCTGGTTTTGAACAGAGCTTTGTTGCTGCATTTCAGCTTGTGGTTGAGCTTGGTAAGCCATTGAAGAAAGACCCATCATTGGACGAAATCCACCCATTTGTGACATGTATTGTGATGACATTTGATTATACTGTGATTGTTGGTGTTGTTGTGAGTGAGCAGCTGCTGGAGCTTGATGGAATTCACTTGCCCATTGAGCATTCATCGGACTAGCTGATTTGGTAATACTTGGGGCTGCTGTAGGAGATTGTGATTTAAAATCTTGTGCCCAGTTATTATTTTGTTGTTGTGGTTGGTGGTGAATAGGATTTTGGTGTTGATTCAGAATCATATTCAACTCGTGTCTCATAGGTTGAAATTGGAATGAGTTTTGTGGTGATCCATTATTCATAAATTGATCCAAATTAGCTCTATCTCTAGCATTCATCAAATTATCCTTTTTGAAACCCTGTCCTTGTACTATATTTCCTTGATTAGCCGCTTGTTGTTGTAAAGATCTATCTTGTTGGGTATGTTTATTAAACTGAGCGACGGCATTACCGTTCACTGAACATTCTGAGCCTCCGCCGACAAATGACATGATGGTTATAGTTGTATATATATATCTGAGTAAAGTTGAAAAGAAAAAGATTCCCGAAATGTGGAAAAGGTAAGTAATTTTTTTTTTTTTTTGCTTATTCTATTTTTCTCCAGGTATTTATACAAAGATCAAAGTTAACGTTGAGTGACTACTCACTGTGAATAATTTTTTTTTTCTCTCTTTTCTTATTCCCTCGCCTTTCAATTTTTTTTTCCCCACTAAATTTTAAATTACTACAACAATCATTAATAAAAAGGAAACAATCACATGCCGAGGATTGTATACTTCCCCCAGGGTGCAAAAGAAAACGAAAATACGCAGCAACTTCTTTCCCCCTCCATGATCCATCAAACAAGAATCAACTGCGGTGTCAAATACTTTTTTTTTTGGCATTATCAACAACTAGGAATACTTATCAACGATATCCGTATAGTGCACTCAACACATCTTTAAGTTTTCTAAACCTTATCTTCCAATAAGAATTTAAGAGAATTAATTTGGCCACAAAAACAAAACAAACAAAATACAATCATGTATCTACAAAAATTGTCCATATACAACACCTAATCTCATTCATTAGAAGGATCAGAAAGTTGACTGTCTTTTGATTCTTTCTGCTTCATAGCCTCCTCCTCCATTTTAGATATCTGCTCCCTGATTTCTTCTACCGTTCCTTGAATACCAGTGTAAGCAAGTGAATCAACAGTACCATCATCCAGTGAAGAGTTCAAAGCGGCAAGAGCTCTGATAGACTCTTTGTCTTTCTGACGAATCAATTCTCTTTGTCGTTGAAGCAAAAGTTTAGTAAGTCTTCTAGTCTCTTCCTCGTACTCTAATAGCAAATCGAACATATATTCCACACCGATTTCGGAGTTCTCCTTTGATTTGGACATGAATTCAGTTAAATATTCCTTTGCAGCTTTATCAGCGGCCGACTCATAGAGATTACTTGCAACTTTTTTAGGTGCATTTTTGACTTTAGGATTCACTTTTTGAGGGCGCCCTTTAACATACGGTCCATTGAGCACTTCTTCGTAATTTTGTTGCTTTAGACCAGCAACTTTCCATGAATGACCGATAGATCCTTGTTCGAAAGCCTTCTCTCTAGAAATGCCATAAGAAGTAACAAAGTCGGTTCTGTTTTCTTTATTGTAATTAGTAGTTGAAACTTGCTCGTCAATTACGCAACTGTAATCCATTTCCAAGTTAGTGAAACATGATCGATAAAGTGGTTGAAGAAAGTTTGAAGTATTAGGAGGCATAAATATTGGAAGAATATTATTCTCTGAACAGAGTTGGATAAATTTGTCATCAGTATGGGAGCCATGAGCAGCCAATACGAGAACTACTTTTTCATTAACCTCTCTTGCCCTCGTTTGAGGAATAAATACTTTCTCAAGCCAATCAATTGACATATTATAGCATGAAGATTTCGGTATGTTATTCTTATCACACCACTGGTTTTGTCCATTCAATTCTTTGAAAATGACATATGGTTCTAAGTATCTACCACTCATGCTAACAGTTTCTAGAACAATTGTTGAATCAGTGTATTCCGATGATGTTTCCTCTTTATCATTCTCACAAACCCTTTCCATGGTCCATTTGTCACGAGTGTTTCCAAATTGAAATCTTATTTCACCCATATTATATACATTATCATCAGAAATTTTACCCTTGACAACAACCTTATCAAACAAGTCAAACCAACTTTTCACTCGTTCATAACTAGATCCTTGCTTTCTCGAAAGTCTTACACATTTAGTCCATCGATTATATAATTCTGGGTGTCTGGACATGAAACATTCAAACCACTTCTTTCCCACTTTTCCCAATGTTACTTTCTTCCGATAAATTTTGGTTGCTAAATCAAGAACTTCGGCTTTTGTTATAGTTAAACCCATATTTAACCTTTTATCAATTTGATAAGCTAATATTAGTTCTTCAGTTTCATTTAATAATCTCTTATTTAAGTTACCATTTTCCACTTTTCCTGTATCATTCATTCTTTTAATCTGAGATCTAAGAGTGCTCTCAGGAATACCCATTATCAAAGCAGTTGCACTGTTATTATACTTTCCATCTTGTGATATGGATTCAGATGCCAATCTCAAGGCAACTTTAACCTTCTCAGGTGCATAAGTCTTGTATTTTCTTCTTGGTGCCATTAGTTTTGCATTTGTTTATGGTTTGTTTACGTCAGATTTCTTTGTTGTTGTTTTTTTTTGGTTTGTTTGTTTGTTCCTCCTCACAACTTTAACAACAAAACAAGAGGACGTGACACGTTCCGAAATTCTACAGACGAATCGGTACTTAAACTTGATCGATTTAAGAATATAAATATCTACTTTCTTGAATTTTTTTTTTTATATAAAGAACAAATAAATCTTTAAAATATATATAGAATAGTTACTTTAATGCATTTTTTTAGTTGGATTCAGCAGCTAATTTGTCAGCTTTGGCAATAACATCTTCGATACCACCAACCATATAGAAAGCATTTTCTGGCAAGTGATCGTATTTACCTTCCAAGACATCTTTGAAAGATTTAACAGTATCTTGTAATCTAACCAATCTACCTGGGATACCAGTGAAAACTTCGGCAACAGCGAATGGTTGGGACAAGAATCTTTGAATCTTACGAGCTCTTTCGACAGTCAATTTATCGGCTTCGGACAATTCATCCATACCCAAAATAGCAATGATATCTTGCAAGGACTTGTAAGCTTGTAAAGTTTGTTGAACACCAGTGGCAACATCATAATGTTCTTGACCAACAACAGTAGCATCCAATAATCTGGATTTAGAATCCAATGGATCGACAGCTGGGTAAATACCCAATTCAGAAATACCTCTAGACAAGACAGTAGTGGCATCCAAGTGAGCGAAGGTGGTAGCTGGAGCTGGATCGGTTAAATCATCGGCTGGGACATAAACAGCTTGGACAGAAGTAACAGAACCTTTCTTGGTGGTGGTAATACGTTCTTGCAAAAGACCCATATCAGTGGCCAAGGTTGGTTGATAACCGACAGCAGATGGAATACGACCCAACAAAGCAGACACTTCGGAACCAGCTTGGGTGAATCTGAAAATGTTGTCAATGAACAACAAGACATCTTGACCTTCTTCATCTCTGAAGTATTCAGCAATGGTCAAACCAGTCAAAGCAACTCTAGCTCTAGCACCAGGTGGTTCGTTCATTTGACCGAAGACCAAGGCGACCTTGGAGTCACCTTCCAAGTTGATGACACCAGTTTCTTTCATTTCACGGTACAAATCGTTACCTTCTCTGGTTCTTTCACCGACACCGGTAAAGACAGAGAAACCACCATGAGCTTTGGCAATGTTGTTAATCAATTCTTGGATGAAGACGGTTTTACCGACACCAGCACCACCGAACAAACCAATCTTACCACCTCTAGCGTAAGGAGCCAACAAATCGACAACCTTAATACCGGTTTCCAAAATTTCGGCAGCAGTAGATTGTTCAACGAATGAAGGTGGTTCAGCGTGAATTGGCTTTCTTTCCTTACATTCAATTGGACCTCTGTCATCAATTGGTTCACCAACAACGTTGATAATTCTACCCAAGGTACCTCTACCAACTGGGACAGAAATTGGAGCACCGGTATCAGTGACAGCAGTACCTCTGACTAAACCTTCGGTACCATCCATAGCAATAGCTCTGACGGTGTTTTCACCCAAATGTTGAGCAACTTCCAAAACCAAGTCTTGGTCACCGTTCTTCAAAGTCAAAGCATTCAAAATAGCTGGCAAGTTACCTTCGTCGAATTGGACATCAACAACGGCACCAATAACGGCTCTAAATTAAAAAAAGATGATTGTTAGTAAACGTTGTTTTTGAATCAATGGTGGAAACTCAATCAAGAAATTCTATTGGTCGGATGCGTCAATGCACTGAAGGAATTATGGATGTGCGCGGAGGGAGAAAAAAAAAGGGAAAAGGGAAAATTTTATTGAGCGTTGATTTGACAATTGCCATTTTGATTGGTTAACCAGCAATGATGTTTGACCCTTTTTAGTTTCAGACAATTATAGTATTGTCAATTGTAAGACAATTGTTGATAATAAAGTACTTGTAATTGGATCATTATTCTTTTTTTTTTGTATGGGTACACAAATGTCCATAACCACAATTCAATTTCCCTTCTTCTTCCCATCATCCAACCGGAACACCACACTTCTCTCCATTAATGCAATCCAATCATCACAAAGTGGCAATTGATTTGCTAGAATTCTTCTTCTTGGTTGATTAGTTTCATAAAATGTTTTTATTTACATACCTAACTTTACCGTGAACTGGAGCAGCAGTAGCTAAAGTTCTGCTGTTGAATAAAAGGTCACGTTTGACTGCTCTGAAAGCAGTACGTGAAGTAGCATTAAATAATCTTGGAAGAACCATCGTCTATAGATTTTCTTTCAAACTTTGGTTTTAAGACAATTCCTTGTTGTACTAATCAAAATAAAAGAAAAGAAAAAGAAGAAAGAAAGAGGAAGAAGGAAATATATATAGAAATTTTTCACTGTTACAAGTGAGCACTAGAGGTTTCAACAATTTTTTCGCTCTCTCGCACTCTCACTGCGTGTAAAATGTATGCGTTGACCAATGAAATTTAAGATAAGTTTTAACTATGGAGACCGAAGTTTTTTTTTTTCTGTTCACTCACACACTCTCTCTCACACACACAACTTATTCTTCCTAATTTTTTTGAATTCTTTTTTTTATTCGTGTGCTTTGGCAGTGTTTTGTGATTTACGACATTTTTTTTTTGCATTGAAGTTGTCGTTTACAGTTTGTTTCCGACTCCCCGGTTTATAAAAACTAATACAAAATAACTCATATCTATACATACAATACAAGAACAAACTAGACCACTATTTAAGGTTATTCTTGGTTTCGCTAATCAATTCTTCCAATGCAGGCATTTGTTTAATATAAACAAGTTTACCGTGTTGCAACTTCTCATCTAATGAGCAAACACATTGTAGACAAAGCTTTGGTTCACTAGGAACCGCAGTTTGATCCCTTTTTTTAGTCATTTTACCCATACGAGCTTTCTTTTTAGGAGGTTCTTCTTTTTGTTTCAATGTAAGAATTCGTTTAGATCTTCTTCTTGTTGTAGGAGCATCGTTGTTCTCTTCTGAGATTTCCTTCTTTGCATTCTCAATCAAGCTTTGAAATTTATCCAGTTCAGCAACCGGCTCTTTATTCAATTGCGAAAGATTATGTGAGGCCTGTGAATTGGCTAATTCATCAACTTTTTCTTGTTCCACTTCTTGTTTCAAAATCACATCTTGAGGTGATGCTTGTGGTGTAAGCAAGTGTGATATTGCCATTGGTTTCTTACGTTTGCTCTCAGGTAGTATGATACAATATTGATAACTCAAATGAGTTTTGCAATGATCACATAGACTTTCATCGTCGGAAAGTTCTTGCTTCACAAATTCAACATCAAATTTGCCTTTCAACTTTGATAACAATCCATTCTGGTGGTTCACAAACTTTTCAAATCCAGCCAAACTTCGCCTTACCAAATCGATGCTAACACCGCGGTCTTTGTTGAACTTCACAAGTATATTCTCCATCAATTCATTATGATTAAAAACATTCTCCTTCTTAATTGGTCTATAGTCATCAATAGATTTCTCGCCAAATTCCAACCATTGGTCTGTTGCAAAATTAACTGCCTCATTAAAATTGAATCCGCAATTGAACCCAGCATGGTATACGCGGGGATATGTGACAACAAATTCATTAGGATTTTGATCCGCGTAAACGCATGGAATACCGTTTGCAACCAACTGCATTGGCGACATTAAAGAAACCAATTGATGAAGAAGGTCAGGTTGTCGCTTAAACAAATCTGGAGCAGCATCTTTCATTAGTTTTTCAAATTTATCTGCAAACAGTGAAGGTATACCGTACCATTTCTTTGTAGCACCAAAATGACAATAATTGGCTGAAAGAGTATAATGGTCTTCAACGTGCCAACAAAATGTAGACAATAAAGAACCAACATAGATCCAAGGGATGGTCATCCCGGATATTGAAGTATTAATAAAATTAAGTAGTGATCCTTTAGCCAAGGGAAGCTTGTTCAAATTGCAAGGGTGGTTGATATAATACTGAACAACAGGGTTTGTAGTATCAAGATTGGGTGTATTCTCCATAGGGAAACCACTGATTTCTCCTGGTTTCAAGTTATGAATATCCGCACCATACATGACCTCTAGATCTGACTTTTCAATATCAACAAAGGACCAGAATTTCTGTTCAATAGCATCTACTGTCAATGGTTGTCCATTGTTGTAATCTTTAATAAATTTTGAATCAAACTCTTGACACATCTTAATAAACTGTGGAATGGTATACTTGACATCAACATCTTCATCAAACCCATATTCACCTGTTCCTATCAAACACTTGTCGCAATACCAATTTGTAGCTGGTACTGCAGTTAATGGAGGATTCAAACATTTCATGTGAAATGGATTATCGCAATTGTCACAAAGCAATGTTTCCAGTGGATCATCATGTTGTCCACAAATCAAACAATTGTCAAATTCGTCTTCGGAATCACTATCGGGGAACTCATACTTTGCATTGTGGTGAAGATAATTTGCGTAATATTTGATATTACTCTCATATTCTTGTTTGATTCTCTTATAATCAACACCAAATTTTGAACCTAAAGTATGCCATTTCTCTTCATTCATAGCACCACTCATCTCTTCAACATCTCTATACAAATCATAATAGTACACTTTTGTACCATCTACTTCGAAATACAATTTCAACTGACGTTTTCTTCTCATTTTCAAGAAACGGTTAATATTCTCACGGAAAAAGTCTCTTGATCTTGTTGTTATTCCCAAATCACTGATCACCTGTTTCCGAACGTGAAATTTGAAATCCGGATTAATATGAAAGCTTGGTTTCCAATGTGGAGGCGGAACTATCTTGACAATCCCGTACGTGGCTCCCAACTTCAAATTCTCCTCATTTGACAAATAACCAACTGGATCTCTAAATTCTTCTTCATTAGGAGTCAATACAGGACAGGGAGTTAACAAGTTTTTGTTAAAAGGCATAGTCATCCTGGTTTATCGTATGATAATAGGTTTAATCAACACGGCTGGTTTATATAGCACAACAAAATTAAAATAACGATAACAATAATGGTATCAATAGAATCGTATCAGCTATGCGTCTAATATTATTGTCAACTTGAAGCAATTTGCAATAGTGACTTATAACTTCAGCAAAATAAACTAAATCACACCTCGTGAAATATCAGACAACCAATTGTTCCCTTAAAAACGTATTTTTTTTTTTGCTCCCTCTCGTTTTCACGATTTTTTTTTTCTGTCTCTCACTCTCTTTCTTGCACCAAATTGTTAACACTGATGCAAAAATTTATTCTGAAATAGCATGACTTGCGATAATGTTACGGAAGTACTTGAGTTTCTCTGTCAAGGATAAGATCCAGGTGAATTCTAAGAAAAGGATCAGATGTTACTACAAGTCTACTCACATTACTGGAAGATCATGACAGGTCATTCTATTGATGCTGCAACTTTTTTCTTTTTTTTCTTTGTCCATATATCAATTAGACTTCCTAATTCGGCTACAACTTTCGCTGACGCTCTATTGTTTAAATTTCTCGCTGAGAGTTAACCTTTGGGAAGACCATCAAATTTCAAAAGGCAGCTTTTGATAAATGAGTGGAAAATCATAAACAACAGGAAAAAAAATAAATTGAACTCCACGTCCAATACTTTTTCATCGATTTTCCTACTGTTTTTTTTTCTTCTTCTTCATTAATTAAACATAAATAATCAATATATTCCAAATAATACAATGAAAGACTATACAATTGCTGTTTTGGGTTGTGGTGTTATGGGTACTGCCGTCTCATCTGCCATTTTAAAAGCTAAGTTTGACCCATATCCAAAGAAAATCATTGCATGTACTATCCCAAGTCAAGAAGAAAACTTGAAGAAAACATTTGCTGATCAACCATTGGTCGAAGTTTCTGCTGGTGTTGAAAATAACAATAAAGCAGTTGCTCAAGCTGATGTCATTATTTTGGGTTGTAAACCATACATGTACGAAGGTATCTATGAAGAAGTTAAGGGTTCTTTAACTGGTAAACAATTATTGATTTCTTTATTGGCTGGTACTACTATCAAAGAATTGTCTATTTTTACTCCATATGTTGCTAAAGTTATGACTAATACTCCAGCTAGATTTGGTTGTGGTACTGCTGCTATTGCATTTGCTCCAGAAGTTAGTGAAGAATATCAAGAATTGGTCATGAAATTAATTGGCACTGTTGGTATGACTGTTAAAATTCCAGAAAAAAACATGGACATTGCTACTTCATTGATTGGATCTGGTCCAGCTTTCTGTTTGTTGATGATGGAATCTATGATTGATGGTGCTGTTAGAATGGGTATGCCATACGATGTTGCCTCTGTTGCTGCTGCCAAAGTTATGGAAGGTACTGCCAAGATGGTTTTGGAAACTGGTGAACATCCAGCTGCTTTAAAGAGTAAAGTCTGTACTCCAGGTGGTACTACTATTGGTGGTTTATTGACTATGGAAGACCGTGGTTTAAGAAGTGCTATTGCTAGAGGTGTTGAAGAAGCTGCTAATATTTCTGCATCATTCGCTAAAAAGTAGATCGTTTGTTTGTTTTAGGAAAAGATAAATAAATAAATATATACATGAAACTATTTAACTTCTTGGTTACCAAACATAAATGCACCACTGACTGTAGCAATTTCTTGTTGAGTCAAACCAGTGTCATTGGTCTCTAAGAATTTCTTGAATCTAGAACCGTGTTCTCTAATATCTCTATCGGATAATAATTTAATCATTTGCATAGTTGATGGTTTTTCTCCAGTGGCGAATCCTTTCTTTTCAAGTAATTCTTTAAATTCAACCATTAAGTTGTATAATTCTGGATTTTCATCTAAAACTTTACGAACTTTGGCGATTGCTTGAGCTTGTTCTTCTGGAGTAGGACCTTTATCAAAAAATCTCAAACGTGGAGTAATGGCAAACTGACGGCGAGGTACTACTCTAACTCTAGGGATTCTAACACAGGTTCTAAACATCTTTGGTGGCAAAAAAAAAAAGAAAACAAAAATACTGATACTTGGTGAATCTGATCTCAAACTGATCATGTAAGAATGTGAGAGAAGAAATTTTAAATGTGGGAGAAAGCGTACTTTTTGTCTGAAAAATATCGTTCACCAATGTACACGACTTTTTTGACAATTTTTTTTTTTCGCCAGCACTGCAGAAGAAAAATTTCCAGCAACGAACAAGAAGAGAGAGAAAAAATTCAACAAATATTTCAAACGTTTTCTCAATAGCCAACGTAAACAACAACAACAACCACTACATTCAACAAATATGTCTCACGAAGGTCAAGAAGAACTTTTGGATTATTCCGATTCCGAAGAAATTGCTGTTACTTCAGCTGTTACTGCTGGAGAAGGTGAAACCAACGATAAAGAAGCCGATAAGAAAGGTTCTTATGTTGGTATCCATGCCACTGGTTTCAGAGACTTTTTATTGAAACCAGAATTGTTGAGAGCTATTGGTGATTGTGGTTTTGAACATCCATCCGAAGGTATGTAAAAGGATAAAACTAGTTAATTAATTGAGAGACCTAGATCCAAGAGAAGTACATTGGTATCTGATCCCCATATTATTTACTTGATAAAGATTTTATTTTTAATTTTTCTTTTTTTGATGGAAACTAACATTAAATAACAATAATCCAGTCCAACAAGTTTGTATTCCTCAATCTATTTTGGGTACTGATGTTTTATGTCAAGCTAAATCAGGTTTGGGTAAAACCGCCGTTTTTGTTTTGTCTACTTTACAACAATTGGACCCAGTTCCAGGTGAAATTTCCACTTTGGTTATTTGTCATACTAGAGAATTGGCTTACCAAATTCGTAATGAATATGCCAGATTCTCCAAGTATATGCCAGACGTTAAGACTGATGTCTTTTACGGTGGTATTCCAATTAAGAGAGACATTGAAAAATTAAAGAACAAAGATACTTGTCCACATATTGTTGTTGCTACCCCAGGTAGATTACATGCTTTAGTTGAAGAAAAAGCCATCAGATTAAACAATGTCAAATCATTTGTCATTGATGAATGTGATAAAGTTTTAGAATCCATTGACATGAGAAGAGATGTTCAAGATATCTTCCGTGCCACTCCACATCAAAAACAAGTTATGATGTTTTCCGCTACTTTATCTCAAGAAATTCGTCCAGTTTGTAAGAAATTCATGCAAAACCCATTGGAAATTTACGTTGATGATGAAGCTAAATTGACTTTACACGGTTTACAACAATACTATATCAAATTGGATGAAAAAGAAAAGAACAGAAAATTGTCTGATTTGTTGGACTCTTTGGAATTTAACCAAGTTATTATTTTCGTTAGATCCACTCAAAGAGCCAATGAATTGAACAAATTGTTGTGTGCTTGTAACTTCCCATCTATTGCTGTTCACTCTGGTTTACCACAAGAAGAAAGAATTGAAAGATATAAATCATTCAAAGAATTCAACAAGAGAATTTGTGTTTCTACTGATGTTTTCGGTAGAGGTATTGATATTGAAAGAATCAACTTGGCTATCAACTATGATTTGCCAAATGAAGCTGATCAATACTTGCACAGAGTTGGTAGAGCTGGTAGATTTGGTACTAAAGGTTTGGCCATTTCTTTTGTTTCTTCCAAAGAAGATGAAGAAGTTTTAGAAAAGATTCAAAGTAGATTTGATGTTAAAATTACCGATTTCCCAGAAGAAGGTGTTGATCCATCTACTTATATGAACACTTAATTGTGAAAGATAACAAAAAAATAAAAGAACTCAATTAGAGTGTAAGTATTATTCTTTTTTATTATTATAAGTATATTGTTTTGTATCATTTTATATTCGTACTACTAAGTGTATATTTTTTTTTTCATGTCATTTCATTTCATTGGAATTTTATCTTCAAGCTTATCCTATATTCATACATATAGAATCTATTAATCTATATACTTGATCTATATCTCTTTTAGGTATAAGAAACCATTCTACATGAACATTATAACTATTTCCAAAAAGTGAATTATTATCATCTCTTTTATTCTCATGATTATCTTGTAAACATCCAATACAATAAACATCACCTTTACCATATTTATTATGTAATTCACGATGTATAGTCAGTTCAACTAATTTTAAATTATTCTTACAATAAAATCCATCATCTCTCCATCGATTATATTCAGGATCCAGTATAGTTAAACACATAAACATTTTCAACCAATCATGATAATCATGACGATGTTTTTTAATAATTAAATTTTTATTTGGTGGTCCAACATTAGTTAAATCATGATGACATTTCTCTTGCCATTGTTTAATACGCGTTTTTGGAGTTTGAGTAGTCATACCTATTTTAATTAATATATATGGTGATTTCTTACTATTAAAATCTAACCATTTATCTCTTTTTGAAGAATTTGGTAAATTTTTAACTTTGAAATTCCAATTTTTAGGTGGATTTAAAAAATTTGACATGGTATACATGTAAATATATCCTGTGTTATTATTATTATTGTTATTGGATGGTTTTTGACTATAATGATATTTACAATATCCATTAGGTATATCACATTTCATCTTACATCGTAATCCTTTTGTAGTTATTCCATTGCATTGATATTTCACTGGTGGCATTTGGTTGTGTATAGATCAATATAGGTTTGTTTACATTTTGGGAATTCTTTTTTTTTTCTTTTTTTCCTTTTTTGGTTGATAATTATCACCAAATTTTTAATCTTTGTATTTGATACTCGTGATTCTTGGAAAGGCTGTAAATGGTGATCCTACACACTTTGTTAAATGTACATATAATAGGTTTAAACATTACAAGAGGTTTATATAGCTTTATATCCTTAACTATAAATTCATAATTCTCAACATATCGACCATATTCACCATTGTCTGTTGTTCACCACCACCACCACCGTCAAAATGGTTTTATTTGTCAAACACGCGCGACTCAAAATTTTTTTAACAACACGGAAATTTTTCATTTTTGTTTACTCTCTTCACGACAATCTTTTTCCTATTATCATTCATTGACTTATCATTCATCATTATGTCACAATTGAAATATTTAATAGGTTTATCAATCATACTACGAATTGGATTTTTCTTATTTGGATTATATCAAGATAAATACATGGCAGTTAAGTATACTGATATAGATTATCTTGTATTTAATGATGCTTCCAAATTCATATATGATGGGAAATCACCCTATTTAAGAGAAACTTATAGATACACACCTATATTAGCTATGTTATTAATTCCTGATAATTTTAATGAATTATGGTTTAATTTTGGTAAAGTATTATTTATGATTAGTGATTTAATAACTGGATTGATTATTTTAAAATTGTTATCAAAGAATGAAAAATTAACAAATAGAAAAATCATGATTTTATCATCAATTTGGTTATTAAATCCAATGGTTATAACTATAAGTACTAGAGGATCAGCAGAAAGTGTTTTAACTGTTATGATAATGTTATCATTATATTATTTATTAGATAAAAAGAATATTATATTGTCGTCATTTTGGATGGGATTTGCTATTCATTTTAAAATTTATCCTATAATTTATTTACCTAGTGTTCTTTATTATTTATCTACTAAATCAACTCCTTTTATTAATTTGCCAATTTTGAATTTGATCAACAAGAAGAACTTGTCATATTTGTTTGTTACCTTGATGACATTATGTGGAATAAATTATTTGATGTTTTTGAAATATGATTGGGAATTTATTGAAAATTCATATTTATATCATTTTTCAAGATTAGATCATCGTCATAACTTTTCAATTTATAATATGGCATTATATTATAAATCTTCATTATTAAATGGGATTTCAGGATTAGATATTGAAAAATTAGCATTCATACCACAATTATTAATCTCAGGATTGATTATTCCTTTGGTATTTGCTAAAAATGATTTATTATCAAGTTTATTTATACAAACATTTGCATTTGTCACATTTAACAAAGTTATTACATCACAATATTTTATTTGGTTTTTAATATTTTTACCTCATTTCTTATCTAAATCAAATATGTTAACTACAAACAAGATCAACGGGGTGGTTTGTTTATTGTTATGGATTGGATCTCAAGGTAGTTGGTTATATTTTGCATATAAATTAGAATTTCTTGGTGAAAATACTTTAGATTATGGATTGTTCTATTCTGCCATTTTCTTCTTTTTAAGTAATTGTTGGTGTATTCTGCAATTTATTTCAAGTTTATAGTTTTTTTTTTTTTTTTTTGAAAATATATACATGCGGCGGCGTGGGAAATTTCCCAATTTGGACAAGTTGGATTATCTTCACTTCTCAAAAGTGCAAACCAGAAAAGAAAAGAAAAAAAAAAACGAAACCAAAACTCAAAACTCATCGAGATTCAAAAATTCATCTACACTCTTTTTGTTTTTAGCAAACAACACAACACAAGACAAGACAAGACAAGACTAGAATAATAACAACAACAAAAAATGGAGTTGTATTCACCTGAAGGATTAAGAATTGATGGAAGAAGATGGAATGAATTACGTAGATTTGAATGTCGAATCAATACGCATCCAAATTCATCAGATGGATCATCATATGTTGAACAAGGAAATACTAAAGTTGTTTGTACAGTACAAGGACCAATTGAACCACAATTAAGATCACAACAACATTCAGAACATGCAAATATTGAAATTAATTTAACTATTGCTAATTTTGCTACATTTGAAAGAAAGAAAAGAAACAAGAATGAAAAAAGATTAATTGAATTGAAAAATATTTTAGAGAAAACATTTATGGAAAGTATAATGATAAATTTATATCCAAGAACAAATATAATTATAAATATTCAAGTTTTAAGTCAAGATGGTGGATTATTATCAGCAATTACAAATTCAATAACTTTAGCTTTAATTGATTCTGGTATTTCAATGTATGATTACGTAAGTAGTATAAATTGTGGATTATATGATACTACACCATTATTAGATTTAAATAATTTAGAAGAAAATGATATTAGTAATTTAACTATTGGAGTTATTGGTAAAAGTGAAAAATTGGCATTATTATTATCTGAAGATAAAATGCCTTTAGATAGATTAGAAAATGTTTTATCACTTGCTATTGCAGGTAGTCATAGAATTAGAGATTTAATGGATCAAGAAGTAAGGAAACATGGTAATATGAGAGCTCTTAAAATGAAATAACACCACTGCATTTTTGGAATATTTGGTATACGTCTATAAGAAAATTTATTATTATATATATGTATGAAATAAATATAAATTTTTTTTTTTTATTTGGATAATCTCATTACCCATTCAAATGCTAAAAGTGCAGCAGCATTAGCAGGGAAAGATCTTATAATAGCAGGAATAAAACCTTTACCAAAACCTTTTAAACCTTTTTCATTATAAATATACTTCACGGCATCTATCCAATGAGGGAATTTTTTTTGAGATTTAATTGGATTATCAAGCATTATATTTTGTTTAACTACATCTGAAGGATAAGCAAAAATCCAAAATACTGTAGCACTTAAACCACCAGCCCAAAAATTTATAGCAGGAGCTGATAATTTAGTATTTTTTTCAAAATATTGAGTTATTAATTCATATGAACCCCACCACCATATAAAATTTGTTCTAAATATCATAGTTGAAGCTAAACCATTATAAATTCCTCTTATACCTGCTTGTTTATAAATTTTTTTAGCAACATCAATTGGTCCAGTATAAATTTTTGATTTATTATCATATTGAACTTGAAGTCTAACTTTAAATTGTTCAATTGGTGCTGCTACAAAACTAACAGTTAATCCAGAACCTAAACCAGCAATCATATGACCTAATAATGGTAATTTTTTTTCTTCTGGATAAATATATTCTTTAACTAATTGTCGATAAGTATGTAATGAACCAAGCATAATTGAATCCATAAATACCCATCCAAATAATGGTGGGGTAAAACCTTTATAAAATCCAAATGGTCCTTCAAATTTTAAAGTTTTCCAAAAACAATCAAATACTCCTTTAAATTGTCCTTGAGGTGCTGTTTGTAATCTACATTTTAATACATCCATTGGATGTCCAACTGCATTTTTAGCAATACCTGAAAACATCCCTGCCATAAATGCAATATATTTCGGTGGTGGTGGTGGTGGTGATGATGATGCATCTTGTATTAATTCTGGATGTTCTAGTTTATTTATTATATCTTCTTCCTTCTCTGTAACTACTATCGACATGATTATTTATATATATATATATGTGGTATGAAATGGTGTCTATGAATAAAAGTTGGTGGTGAATTATATGATTTGAAAAATTTAAAAACTGTGAAATTTTTTTTTGGTGTTGTTGTTGTTGTATGGGACCCATATCGGAGATATGGAAAATCGCGATTTTAAGTCCCTGTACCGGCGATCTCGAGAAACGGACCGTTTTTATGTTTATTGATCTATTAAAGGTGCATCATATTTAGTAGTATTATAATCCCAATAAAATGTTAATTCAGAAGGAGTTTTATCGATTTGACATTGTTTTTTAAAATCAATATTTTCTAATCTAGATTTAACTAATTTTATAAAAGTATTCATTTCACAACTAAATCCAGGACCCATATTACAACCAGGATAAGGATAAACTGAATCATTAATTATAAATCGTATAAAATAATCATTTCCACATTTTAATTTCTCAGTATATATTCTTGAACTTTGAGGAAATAATTCTGCTGCATTATAAGGATTAGGAAATGGGATATAATCTACTGGGATGTCATTTTTGGGAATGATTAATCCCATTGATGATAAATATATCTCCATATCTGTATCATGAGTGAAAGTTAATGTTATTTTTTTTTGTTTATCTTGAAGGATTTTTAAAAATGCTTCAACCATAGGGGATCCAATAACAGTAGTTAGATTATGACCAGGTCCCGTTTTATAATAATTAACAATATCATTACGATATCCATCTTTAATATATTCATCAATTGAGAATATATGAGAAAATGGAGAATATCCCTTGACGTTAATTTCAAAAGCTATCCAAAGAAATAATCCTTGTATATGAGAAGTAGTTAATTCCAAACCTGGATTATCTTTTGTTAATCTGGTTAAGATTTGTTGAAGATATGATTTATCATATTTTTCAATTAGATCATTGTTTATATTTTGATTAAATGATTTACATGAATATCTTGGAGTTAATGAATTACCTCCCATACGTTCATCTTCTTCAATTATAACAAATTCAACTTTATTGTGATTATATTCATCACCTAAAAATCCTTTAGCAAAATATTCCCCACTATGGTAACATCTTCCTGAATTACTAGTAAATATAATAAGTTTATCATTTTTATCAAATAAAGAAGAATATCTTTTTCTAAAATATTTACCATGTCTTAACATATTATCCTTACCAGAAAACACCCCATCAGTAGTTAATGTTTCATAATTATCTTCCATATCATTCATGAAAAATTTGTAATTATTTAAAAATTCCAAATCTCCTTTAAATTCATTATTATAATTTTTGAAAACATCAAGAATTTCATTGAAAAATTTACCATCTCCTAAACTTGGAAATCTTTCACCATGTCTACTTATCATTTGAATTTGTTCCACATTACATTGATTATCATTTAAATCAGTAGATATTCCATATCCAGGTCTTTGTAAATATGGTCCACTACCTCCAAGATATTTTATAATATTATATTGTTCAATTGATGCTTGTTGTGGTGTTGCAACATCTTCAAAAACACCATATGGTAATAATAATAACCCTGAATTAAGTATTCTTGTAAATCCAACCATGGTTATTTGGTTTAAGTGTTTGGAGTGAAAGATGATTTCTTTAAAAATTGTCATTTTCATTTCCCAGGCACGTGCGTATGTTCTTTTTCTTATAAGGTCCCTTAAAATTAAAGTTCTAAATAAAAATACACAATGGAAAGACATGCAAAACAAAGTAAAATAAATCAAGAAATGTTTATATTAAACAAGAATGAATAATGGTCAATTGATATATGTCTATCGTGAATATGCCCCGTTGACCTCTCATTTCTACACACGATTGGGTAACTTGACTGCAAAATAAAAAACTCAAGTCCTTAAAGACTGAAGAAATCATCACTCACTCAATGATCAATTCCAAGTATTGTCATTTAAAATTGTTTACTGCTATATACTTGTCTTTGATGAATTATTGTCTGTGAAATCATTTATATCCATAACGTTATTACTCAGAGATTATCCAAAAAAGTCGTGTATTTGATTACGAAAACCAAGGTCGTGCAGTAACGGTCAAAAACAAAAAAGTGGTTGAAACTGTTGATAAAAGACAGAAAAAAAAAAAAAAAAATTTCGAAAGAGAAAGGAAGGGATTTAATAGCCGATATCTTAAGTCTGCATCAAGTAATAGTATTCTGGATATGAGGCCATAAAGTTTTTCGACGACCAGGACTAAATTGTTATCTAGTCTTTTTAACTATTTACGATATTAAGAGTTCTAGCAATAGAGTACTAATGTACTTTGTATTTTGATATAAAAGTTGATTAATATATATGTTTTTAATTTATTTGATTATTTAAGAATATGAAAGAAGATATCTAAATTGTAGTTATTTCTTTAAATTCACACTACTATTATCAAATTGGATGACCAAAGTTGGATTTAATTCTTCTATATAGCATGATACTCGTTTATTAACTTACATTTAGAGAAAGTTCATGTAATGTAAGTTAATTATTCCAACTTGATAAATTTTCTGGTTTTAGTTTAGAAACCATGTGTGAAAATGCTATGGTTCTTCCATGCTTTATTTTTCATGCGAGATTCTAAGCCATGGGTGATGTTTTGTGGATATCAGAGAATGTTTTATAAGTTCAAATGGAACAAATTGTTGCTATAATGATATGATGATCAATCAACAGAAACGATTTACTTTAGAGGATATTTTAATACTAGAATATTTTCCAATTTTGTCTATCCACCCCCACAAAAGAATTGATAGTATACGGGAGATATGTGAATAAATCTTGTGATTTCGAATAATCCGCATACTTCTTTTTTAATTAGTATAGTAGATATTGCTTTCATGTATGATGCAACTGGTGGTAATAGATAGATAAATAAAAATTCAGCCACTTGAACATTGCAAAAAAAAAAAAAATAACTCGGTGAACCTCTCGGTCAATTTCTCGGTGAGATATACTGTTGATATCAAATAACAATTGCGAGAAATAACCAAAAGGTACATTAATTAATACCATCAGGAGAAGAAACAAAAGATGTCAATGTTCTTGGCTGCCCTTAAATTGCGTCTGCTCCTTCTTGTTCTTATTGCCCCCTTTTTTAGTTTGTTTGATTGTTCGTTTCGAGTATAATTATTCCGAGATTGAATTAATTTATCCATACACCATTGATAATTGTTTGTTTATGTGAGTATGTGGGGGATTTTTGCAAGGCAACAAAACCGGAGGAATTAACTTTGGTAAAGAAACCCCCACGTCCCCCCAAACAGAATCGACATCAAGTAACAAAACGGAGGAATTGCAAAAAAGCAAATTAACGGTTTTACATTATTCGGAAAAATTATATGAGTTTGTTGTTGTTAGGTTGTTTTAAAAATAATGAAAAATCGATAAAAAAAAAGAATGTTGTCGATCTTTACTTTATTTTATTTTGTTGATGATTGAATACGTTTTCAATACAGAATAGTGACAGAATCAAATGCTTATTGTTTATTATCATGTACAAGACTTCGGTTTGTCGGAAAGATTGTAGAGAATAAATTTCTTTTTTTCCTTTTTGGATTTTCTGTTGCTTCCCTCGTTCTGACGTAGTACGATTTTCCCTTCAGCCCCCCTGCCCGGGGGAGGGATGGAGAGCAATTATGCGGGGTGGGGAGAGAAAGAGAGAGAGATGGATGGATGAAAATTATACTTATTATGCAGCTACTTTGTTGAAAATAATATACAATTGCCAAGTCGCTTAATGTTATTACAAATATGTACTTGTAAGATAATCATCTCTGTATGTATAAATTCTTGTTGTTAATAAATGAAAATACACGGAACAAGGAAATAGGAGACTCAATAATAAAAAGAAGACAAATGAATGAATCAATTGTGTTGCTCGGAGAAGACAATAGTTCCGTGCCCCGAGGAAATAAAGCAACGGATTTATTGTTCCGGGGAGTTTGCATTTACATTTAAATCATACTTGTATTTCCGCATGTTTTGTGATACATGAAGGATTTTTTTTAAAAAAAAGCCAAAGTCAGTCAGAACGCAAGAGGGAGGGACAAAGAGAGAGTGAAAGGCAGACAGAAGAAATAATTCTTATTTTGATTTGTGTGAGTGTGTGAGTGTGGGGGTGGGGGGGGTTTGAGGACTAATAATCGATCGATTTCTATATTTCCTTCCTTCATTCCCCCCCACAAAAATCTAAATCATCTCAATACGAAAGGGAAGGTAAGTTGTCGAATTATCATTTGTGATATTGTTAAAGTTGATGGATAAATAAATTAAAATAAATTTTTTTTAAAACGAAATAGTAAACCACAAATAGAAATATCAAAGATGAAATTGTGTCAGAAATTATAATACTAGAAAGCAATTCAACAAATTCTGAAATGATGAAAAGCAAAAGAAAAAGAAAAAGAAAAATGGTGTGAATTAAGAAAAAGACAAAACCAAAATTCAAGTGAAAGCAATATTATGCATCACCTAGTGCATCGAGTGTATTGAGTAAATGATGTTGTTGAATACACAATTAGATGGGATTAATGGATTCAGCCCTTGTTTATAGTGTACTGCAATATTACATCTTCTAATATGATAGATTTCATTGGATGAGGGTGAACTCGGCGACTAAAGGATAGTAATAAATGACTACTGTACTGTAATGTCTAAAATGTAAAACAACAAAGAAGTAAGAAAGCGTGAGTAATAAAAGGAAAACTCGAGATTCTTAATGTTAGAAACATGGAGAAAGGTTTTTCCATTGTGTTTCCGTGTTTTCCTTTCGCCGATGATCCTCTCTCCCTTTTTCAATTTTGTTTAGCTGTTGTTTGAATCATGCTAATAGTTTGTGACAACAATGACGATAGTATTACTATTACTATTACTAGTATTACTGTGACCAAGCTATATCAAGAAAATAAAGACAAAAAAATTTCTTGAATTTGACTTTTGAATTTGGTAATCTGGTAATTTAGTATTGTTAAGAGTGGATAAAATATACGAACTTGGATGAAACCACGAGAGTTATTCTTGCTAATACAATACGGTGTCTTTGTTAGTAATAAATAAATAAAGTTGAGTTGAGTTGATAGCTCTTGCTGATACTGCTGTTACTATTGCAAGGGTCAAGAATATCACTATCACTATCACTATCACTATGAAATAGTTTAAATAGTCAACTCTGTGGGTTTAAATTTGTATAATAATTAATTAACTAATTAAATCATTTATTTATTTATTCAAGTGTCACAAAACTGGAAAATAAAAATTTAAGAAAAGGAATTAATTTTTTTTTTTTTTTTTTTTTTTAAATTTCTCCATAAAGATAAAAAATTTTTTTCCTTTTTTGTGCAACTTAATATTGCATTGTATTGCATTGTGTGGGTGTGTGGGTGTGTGGGTGTGATTGTGTGGGTCGTCTGGCAACCAAAAAGTAAAAGTAAAAATTGAAAAATGTTTGGGCCTGTTGAATAAGAAGTAAGAAGAAACAACAACAACAACAACAACAGCAGCAAAAAAAAAAATTGTATATTCAACACCCTCATTCTTTTTCTTCTACTGCTTCTTTTTTTGTATTTTAGTATCGATCAACTGGGGAGGCAGGTTGTCTTGATAATTAACCAATCCTTTGTCCAATCATATCATTCCAGTAAAGTCAACTATTACGTTGTTTCTTCATACTACATTGCTTTGCCACAATACACGCTTATTTATTTTATGTATATTTTGTGTATTTTTCCCATTCAATATTGATTAGACGTTTATTTTTTTGTTTTTCCTTTATATTCTTACAACCACCTCCATTCCAATCCAATCCAATTCAATCCAACTTTTTATTTTGCTTTTTTTTTTTCTTTCTTTCTTTCTTACAACCATAATTAAACAATACCAAATAGTTGGATCAAATGACTTCAACTTTAGCTAATCAGATACCTTCCATCAGTACTATGCTTAGCAATAACAAGAATAATACCACCAACTCAACCAACGACAATAATAACACTAACAACATGAACATGAACAATCAAAATAATTCATCCCAATCACCTATCATTCATCAGCATTTACATCAACCAATGGATAGTCTATCTCCAAATGATCCTCCAAGAAAAAGAACCAAAGTATCACGTGCTTGTGACCCATGTAGGAGAAAGAAAATCAAATGTAATGCTGAATATCTGGAAGTTGAAAAAAGAGTAACTAAAATTTGTACTAATTGTTCCAAAAATAAAGAAATATGTACGTTTCAAAGAACTCCTTTGAAAAGAGGTCCATCAAAGGGGTATATACGAGATTTGGAAGAAAAAATTATCGATAAACATCAATCAAGACAAAGATCTGATTCTTCCGGGTCTACTTCAACTACCGCTACCATTGTTCAACCACCTCAACAGCAACAACAACAACAACAACAACAGATTCCACAAGCTCAACTTCAACCAGGTATTTCTCCAAATATAGCAATTATCCCACCAGGTACTATTCCTTCAAGACAAACATTACCATTTCCTCAATCTACGGCTAGCGGGTCTGGTCCAACTCCTCAAAATCAACCATCAAATTCAACGATAAAATTACCTCCAATTATAAACTATCATGGTAAAAATGTTCCATCTCCTTTAATATCGAAATTTCATCAAGTTGAACCTTCAAATCCCTCAAGTCCAAAATCTCAATCAGCAAATATACCAGGGATTTTGAATAGCACTGTTAGTAACAACAACAACAACAACAACAGTAATCCATCAAGTAGTAATACTACCAATAATGAGAATACAAACAGCCCTCCAATTCAAGGTCCTTTCTGGAAAGTACCTTATGAAATGCCACAATCTTCAATGTCAAGAAGATCGTCTATATCAAGTGTAACAAGTGGTGGACCTCCATTAATCCATAGAAGATCTTCTGTAGAATCTGTTTCATCAATTTCAACTAATGGGTCTAGACTTCCATCCATCAAACCGACTATATCAAACGATAATAATTACACCAGTGATGCTGATTCAGAAGATTTCTATTCTGTTAATTCATTCCGCGGGGGTAATATTCATAGAAATTCTCAATCTTTATCACCTAGAAATTCAATCAGTTCATTATCAAGTTTAAATGGTAGATTAAATAAAACATTAAATTTCCAAACTAATACTGCTGGTCCAACATCACCAATGGTTGGTTCTCCTTCAGTACAACAACTTCAACAAAATCAAATTTCATTTTCACCAACCCAAGCCCCTGTGTTTGGAGGAAATGGAGTAACATCACCAACAGGTGCAACGTTGGAGAATAATGTTAAAATTTATTATACAAATTTTCATCCAGCATTCCCATTATTACCTTATGACAGTCTGTTTTTAATGTCAATTATTCATGATAATAGACAACCACCATCTGAATGGATTGTTGAAATATTCCACCATTGTCTTGCAAATTTGATTAATTTTAAGAGTTCTGGAATTATTACTTCAGTTAATTTGTTTCTCAGAGCAATTCAATCCTATCCATTTACAACAAACATCAATGATAATTCATTGATATTATTTTTGAGTAGTTTAATGCTTTTGAATTATACAGTTTTGATAAATGGAGATCAATATAGTCAAGGAATTGCAATTACTTGTTCAATTTTTAATGATTATAAGATTTGTGAACGATTTGTTGATTATTGCAAGAAACCAACTAGTCATGGTATTGATCATATTGCCATATATTTTACTAAATTATACTATTGTTTGAATTTAATTGATGATATGAATTGTTTATCATTGGGAACATTAAAGAATATAAATAATCCAATGATTATTAAATTTTTAAATGATAATAAAGAGAAATTCTTGAAAGCTGATGATAATTCCATTTTGGCCAATTCAGAAATGATTAATAAATTAAGTTTAGTTAAAATTGAATATTTATTAACTGATGAATTAAATTTTGATCAAATTGGATTTGATAAAAATACTAGTGATCAATTTATGAAGTATTTTTATGAATTAATTGAAGGCAAATATGATTTTTTCAAATTTATGATTTATTTCACAAGAGATTTCAAGTCTAGTAATTCTGATGATAAATTGAACAAGTTTAATAAAGAATTGATTGAAAAAGTGAATAAAATTACTGGATTAATATTAAATTTTGCAAATTTTATAAGTGGACATTTTCATAATTCCAATAATGTTATAATTATTAGTCCAATTTTGAATTTATCATTAATTCAATTGATTAAATTAATTAAAATTAATAAAATTATAATTGATGGAATTTTCACCAATGAGAATGATCATGATAATGAATTATTAAATAAATTAAATAATGATTTATCAATTAGTTTTAATTTATTGAATTTAAATTTATCAAATTTAAAATTTGGAAATTCAATTGAATTAATATTAAAGAATAAAATTACTCATTTTTATAAATTTAATTTTAATGGATTTTCTAAAAACACTACAAAGGGTAAAGAATTTTGGATTAATGAAATTTATGACGTTTTATTACCTTTAATAATTCAAGATTTTAAAGATGGTTGGATATAAAATTAACAAACAGGAGAGAGAGAGAGAGTGTGTTTTTTTTTGTCTATTTATCTATATTTATTCTATGTGTATAATCGTGTGTATATACAAACAGAATTAATCAATTATTTATTTATTTATTAATTTGTTCCTTTCTTTATATTTTTGTTTAAATGTGAAATACCTTTTTTTTTATTTGTTTATATTTATTTATTTATATATATGTAACACTTACTAATAAATGATAATAATGATGATAATGATAACAACTCAATACATTTTCTTCTTTTAAACATACATTCAGACAAGTTTGTTTTAATTCAATCATTTTGTTGTAGTTATTGTTATTATTATTATTAGATTAATCGATTTTAATTTGTCCATAGATTAATCTAACAAAGATTAAACTACTAATAAAACCAACTGAACCACAACAAAGGAAGACTAATAATGAAATAATAGTTGAATAACCAGAATATAAAACTAATGAACTAAAACCACCAAATTTTTCACCATTAGTTAAAAAGAAAGAATGAACTAAAACATAAATTGAACAACCACCACCAATGAAAATTGATTTCCATTGCCATTTATAATTTTCTGAACATAATGAATAATAAGTCATCAATACAGTAATTAAACTTGTAGTTAAAATCATCAACAAGAAACAAAAGAATAAAAATCCAAACATATAAAAAATCTTATTAAACCAAATTGAAGAATAAATAAAATACATTTCAACTGCAATTGATCCAAATGGGAAAATACCAGAAATTAACATTACTGGAATAGTTCTTAAATACCATGGTTGAGGTGGAATTTGTCTTGGAATTTGATTTGTTCTTACTGGAACTGTTAAAAGGGGTTTTTTAGATGCTAAAATTGATCCAATAACTGATAATGGAATTGAAATAACAAACCAAATAACAATAATTGCAATCATAGTACCCATTGGAATAGCTCCTGATGATTGAACACTAATTAAAAAGAAATTCAAAAATACAAATACTGTAAATAATAATCCAGGAACTAAAATTGGTGTCAACAACATATTTAACTTCCAATTATCTCCACCAAGGAATCGATATAAATAACCAGAAATAAACGATGAAATAATTGAACTACCAATATAAATAATAAACATAAAAGTGGATAATGAACCTCTATTTGATGGTGAAAGAAGTCCAAATAATGCAAATACAATAGTAACAAATGCCATAATGAAAACTTGAACCCCACTACCAACTAAAACACTCAATAATAATCTTTGTTTTGGAGGTCTGAAAACATCACCATGAATTAATTTCCATCCACTTTCATCAGAAATATCATCATCCAAGTTAACTTCATTATATTTAACAATATCATTTTTCAATGTTTTAACTAAAATATGAGCAATAATAATACCCAAAATTAAAACAATTAATGAAAAATTAATTAATGAAAACCATTGAATCTTTGGATTATAAACATGTAAATACTTATCCCATCTAGTAGCCCAAGCAACATCACTTTGTTCAAATTTAACACTATAAGTAAATAAAACTTCGGAATCTTTACTTTTATTCAATTGAACTGGTTTCAATTCCAAATTACACAATTGATCATCAGTAGCTTCTTCTTGATTAAGTTCTGATCTATCTAAAGAATGAGGAGTGACAGTAACTCCAACAACTCTAAATTCATCATCTTTTCTCTTATGATATTCAATAACAATTTCAAAATGATTAAATAAATTAGCAAAATTTTTATTATCAACTTGACCAATCTTAAATCCAGTACCATAAACTTCAGTATTAGTAGAAGCATCCAAAATTGGCATTGAAGCTGGTAATCCATCAATTATCCAATTATGATTATAACCAGCTTTAATATTTCTATTAACAAAAACGGAATCAGTTTTACTATATTTTGAATTACATAATTTTGAACAAATTTTAGATTCCAACATCTTAATTTCAAATGGTGAATTGAATATACGATCTCCAAAAATAATTGATCCTAATGATTCCAGTTGTTTCTTAGGTCCTCCTTTAGGTGGACAGAAATGGAATTTTGGATAATAATAATCATAGGAATAAACATAAGTAGCACTTGATATCTTTCCATGACTTGATGAATGATGTAATGAAGGAGTTAAATGATTAACATATAATGGAATTGGATCACCTTTTTTATAATTTGTTGGTGCCACACCTGGTAAATAAAAACCAAAAGTTATGTTTATAAAACATAACATAAAAGTTATAAGAAGTTTAATCATCATCAATGGAGGACAAATGATAATTGGCTATCAATAAGATGAACAAATAAAAAAAGAAAAAGAAAACAAAATTGTCCTTGTTTGAACCAGAAATATGATCTTTTAAAAGCAAAAAACGAAAAAAAAAAAAAATTATCCAGAACGAAGAAAATTTTCCTTTTAATCAAAAATCCCAATTGAAAGAAAACAACGCACCGAGAAAAAAAAAAATGGAAAGGAAGAAGAAAAACAATTCGCACAAAGTACACGAACTTTATAAATACACAAACAATCTTCATCAGCATTAAGCGATACATCATCAAACAATCTAAAATTATTAACAAACAAGAGCCACCACATTGAAGTAGGATTAAGAATACGAATTTAAATGATTGAGAAGGGGAAAACAAAATAATAATAATAAAAAAGGAGAAACAATTGGGATATTCTATAGTTTATTTTCTTTTGCTTTTGTTTCTATCTAGGAATCTTGTTTTTTTAACTTTATCAGTAATCACCCTGATTTCTCGTAATTTTCTTTGTTGTAATTCAAGATCACACATATAATCTGGACGTGTTTCTGAATAATCACAATCTAATTGTAATCTAATACATTGACTGCAACTTGGTTTTTCTTGTGGACATGCTTTATGGCGAACTCTACATGTCCAACATCCTGATCTTGATCTAGCAGGCATTTTCCCATGGGACAATTTTTGTGGAATTGAAAGTCCTGAAAACCAAGGTCTTTCTGTACTATTTCTTGTCATTCTACTACTTCTAATTCTTTTTCTTGTGGCAGTTGGACTATAATCAGAATCACCTGACGAAGACAGTTCAATCAGTGTTGATTCTTCAAAAGTTGTATTATTAGTATTACCAGTATTACAACTATCAAACCCGGCTAATATATCTGGTTGAATTTTCAATGCAATTTTGAAAGTTTCCAAAGTTAATTTCTTTTTACCTGTGTTACGCACAGATGTTCCGATTTCATTCAATTTCTTAGGTGAACTAATTAATGTTAATCGAGATTCATTCGCGTTATCATTATTGTGTAAAAACAATTCATTTTCTTTGTTTGTGTAACATTTGCTATTATTAGCCTTGTTGTTGCCTGGGTTTAATTCCGAGTTTCCGTTTGGTTTAATTTCATTATCATCTTCACTAGCATCAAATAAAGAGTCAATGAATTTGCAACTAGCAATACAATCTTGTTCATAAATATTCTTAAAATTTTCCATTGAACTTGTAGTATTATTATTTTCATTATTCATTTGATACAAATTCTTGTACACTTCTTTTTGTTGTACTCTTGAGTAACTACCATCAGAATTGTTACCACTCATGAATAATAAATCAGAAGTTAAACAATTCTTATCTAATTCGAATTGATCATTGTTTGATTTCAAAACAGTCATGGGAGGGGAGCTTTTGATAAATTGATAATCTAAAAATACCCCAGATGATTTCTTTGGTGTTGATATAATTTTAGGTACACAACTTTCATTAATAATTTTAATTAATTGATTTTTAACAATAGTTGGTTGTTTAGTAGTTATAAATGGATTGATTAATTTAGTTGTTGGTTTATTACTTTGATATCTAATAAATTGTTGATGAAAACTATCTGATGAAGAAGAATTAAGAATAACTGTAGTATTGTTATTATTTTCAGATAATATTACATGTGGTTTTGTTGGACTAGAATAAGCGTAATGATGGTTATGATGTTGTGTAGTTATTGAAGTTGAATTTGTCATCTTTATTTGTGAGTAGCTTGCTGGTTGTCTGGAGTTTTTTTTAATTTATTTTTGTTTGATTTTGCAACACAGTTTATAGTATACAAAAAAAAAATGTATCACGTGATACATACTTGTCTGATTATATACAAGAGTCTGACAATAATACTACAGCATTAATAATAAATTATAATACATACATACATACATATATATATCTAGATAATACTATTTATACATTAATACAAATATCAATGTTTGCTAGATAGTAATCAATCAACGATGATAACTACAAGAGGATTTGAAAACTTTATTCCTGAAGATATGTAAATGCAGTGAATGGTGTGTATTGATAACAAAGGAAACATAATCTAGAAGTTGAGTATTACATTGCAATGTAATCTACGGAACACTTACCAAATGGTAGTAATATCAATCCCAAATTGAGATAAGAAAAGATGATGATTATCAGTTGGCTATGAGATAATTGCAACCACTCAGGATCGAGATTGAACTATTGGAGACAAGTGGGATTGGTTGTTCATGAAGGAATACCAACTATTTCAACATAGAGTGTATAAGGCATGTATAGTACTGCGAGTGAGTAAGAATAGTAGAAGTACTAATGGTGCTAAATATAATCAATAAATAATTATTGTATATTCATACAATAGAATAATCTATAAAAGTTAACCTAAATTTAAAACAATTCCATATTCTCTAATCATACTCATAAATCCTAATGATTCATCAATATCAGGAGAATCTTTTTCCCTTTTATTCCAAATTTCAAACAAAATTTGTTTACATCTCCATTGATTCATATCAGTACATAATTGATTGATTTTCGTCATCACATTAGGATCTATTGTACACGAGCCCAAGATTAATAAATTCCAAATCAATGGTTTTATTTTATTATTATTTGATTTAAATTGTAATAATTTTAAATAATTCTCAAGACTTGAGTTGATTACATGTTGATAATCTTTTAATTTTGTAAATTTTTTCAATAATTGATTATAATATGCAATTAATGCTAAATGGAAACTAGTTATATTCAATCTTAATAATTCATGATTTGAATTATTTGATGATAGTTGCCATTGTGAATCTTGTTCAATTGTCCAATTAACCAATCTATCTTCAAAATCAGTACATATTTTAGGGAAATTTCTTGGAAATGATTGTCTCATGGTATATATATTCTTGTGATTTGTTAAATGAATGATTTCATCAAATAAGTTTAATAGTGACCTAGGAATTCCATACATTTGATAAATATGATTGATATCTAAATTATATGTGAATTTGTCATTGGGAATAAACAAACTTTTGTCTTTGATTGGTGATTCTGGTGGACGTGGAACTGTACGTGAATTTTGTCGGGATTTAGTTGAGGCGTTACTGTTGAAACTAACTGTATATGACATTGATTCTGATGTTGGTTCAGTAGATATGATTAAATTCTTAATTGCAGGTTTCATATACCCATTATCATCATCATCCTCATCATCCTCATCTTCAGAATCCAATAACTCTGAATCTGAGTCTTGTGTTCTTCCACGCATTCCTCCTTCATCCTCCTCCTCCTCATCATCATCGTATTTTCTGACCATTTGATAGTTAAACATATTAATAGCTTGGGTACTTTTATAAAAAGTAGCCAAAATTTTAACCATATTAATTAGTAGTTTCAATAAATTGGAGGATTTGTGCTTGGAATTACGAATACTATTAATCACGAAATCTCCAATTGCATAAATCAATTCAAAATCTTCAAAGACTTGTATGCTATTATTAATTTCTATCTGCAATACAAGTGATAGTAATAGACAACAATTGTATAACTCAAGATTTGAATCATCATCTTTAAGTAATTCAATAATAGTATCTGCTTCATCTAAATGATGATTCAATAAGAAAATCCCCAATTTTCGAAAATACAAAGCCAATGTTAGATATTCATCAAGTTTGAAATCAGAATTACTTGTAATTGGTTTAGATAAATGGAAAGATGAGATTGATAATGTCAAATATACTATAACTAGTTTGATATTTTTTATAATCCCATCAGTGGAAGCTTGGTCATCAAGATCTAAATTTTCAAATTCAAAATCCCAAGTAGTATGATCCCAACAAATGAATTCTCCAAATATTTGCTTGATAAAAGGCATAATGAATAAATCAATATAACTATTCTGATAACCCATTCTATTAAAACTAATATATTCACTTTTGAAATTGGTTAATAACTTTTGAAACAATGGAGTTAGTTGAATTGATCCATTCTGAATAATCCAAAGTTTACTTAGATTGTACTTTGCTTCAATAACCCAATCATCATCAGAATCAACATTGGGGAAAAATTCAGGATTGAAAATATGATAAATTGTTTGATGGTTTATTTCATAATTTGGTCCCTTAATTCCAATAATTGTCAATTTAGCAAAATCCAACAATTCACTAAGGTGTTTATCAACAGTATAATCATCTATAGATTCACTTCTTTCAATAATAACATTGCCAGGCTGATTAATACTGACGGATAACTCTCCGTCTTCTCCGGGGTCCTTGGCATGACGCGTTCGCTTATTTGGCGATGTCGATCCAATTGCTGATCCAGAACCATTACTAATTCTTTTATTGTTCTTTCTCCGCGTGGACGTCAGATTCACTTCAACTTCAGTAATATTCTCCACCTCCACCTCCACCTCGTCGTCATCATTATCTTCAGTTGTATTATTAAGCATTTTCATGCAACTAAATGGACCGGCAGTAAAATCCAGTTTACAGTCATCAAATTTTCCCAATACTTGATTTAATTCATAATAAGTTTCATAAATCATATTTTTTGGATATTTTACAAAATCAACATTTCTTCTCTGGAAATTATCTAAATTTTCTTCATAACCCTTAATTTTCAAATAAATAAGCGAATTATCATTTTTTGAATAACTCATTGGTAATGACCAACCTAATCTAATTTCATATCCTTGACAAACTCTATTTGATTTAATACATCGTGTACATTGTGGTTTTGTTAGATCACATTTGACTTTTCTTTGCCTGCAAGTCCAACATCCGTCAAATGCTCGACCTTTCTTCCTGGTCATTTGTTTCTTAACGTGTCGTGAGTATAGTTGTTGATGTGTTTAATTACATATGGGGAAACATAATCTTCAATGTGGAGATAAAGTTTTTTTCTCTTTGACAAAAAAAAAAAAAAAAAAAAAACAAAAACAATTGGTCATCATACACGACTATGACTGGCGGTAAAGCCTATTAGTAAAAGCGATGGTTAGGAATATAATTCTTGATTGAAGGAAGAAACGGCTGACTACTCACCTGATTGTGTACATTTAACAATATTGAAGATTCGGCTATGGTATACTGTATAGCAAAAAAAAAGATGTCTTGGGTGAAAAGCATTGTGAAACATGGCAAGTACTAACGATAGAACTATGTAGAAGAAATACCAATCCCATATAGTATCTTAACCAAAAATAGATAAATGATGATTAAAAGCGAGTTATAGATCCTGCTTCGCCGGGTGGGGGTGCGAGGGACGAGGAGAATGTAGATAAGTGGGTTAATTTACACGGAGAATGGGTATGGTTTAACCAACAACAGGAAGAGATAATCACAAGTCTCGACCCTTTGAAATCTATGCAAATACGTGAGATGCGCATGAAAGCGGAAATATGTGTCCTCTTCTGTTAATTAGAAACATTAGTAAGATTATGTTGTTGATTATTAAACAATCCGGAAATAGCTAAAATTAAGGACAAACTTCCAGGTACAGTACAAATTTGAGAGAGTCGTGTACTGATGGCAATGTTCCTACACACACTGTACACACTTACACAAGGTGTTATTCCCCCTTAGTAAAAATTTAATAAGTAAACTTGCACCAAAAAAAAAGAAAGCAAATTGAACACAGAAGTGAAAAATTTCACCGTTACCAGAATGAATAGAAGAAGTAGAAGCAGTTATTTAGACATTACATAAAACACATAATCAATTATATGTATGGATAAATGTATATGAGATACTACTAATTCAATAGCAAGAAAAGAAAAAGAAACAAAATTGAATATCCCGAAGTTGACAACAATTTTATCCATAAAAAATTTCCATCACCAACAAAGGACGAAAAAAAAAGAAAAAAAAGAAAGACCTGATTATCAATCATCTCCATTATACATCTCCATTATCAACTACAGCATCATCTCTTGTTTATTCTCATCGTCTTCATTTTCATCAATTTGTATTATTCATCAACTTATTCATTGTCACTCTCATCATTGATTAAACTTCAATTCCCTTTCTTGTGTTACATTTTTTTTTTGTTTTTGAACTGACTTTCTTGTTGGAATATCTCCTATTCAATTTTTAAATATAAATACATTGTACCATCACCATATTCCTACGGGATCTACATTTATTGTTACATATTAAAAACAAAAATTATTTACTTTAAGCTCTCGTCAAGTATTTATTCAGAAGAAAAGTCATTGATTTATATTTAATTTCCACACCTCCACTTAAGTATCATCACAATGTCATCAACTATTGATTTAGAAGATGAATATAATCCAACTGTTCCATCAATATTACCTCATGAAAAAGTATATTCAATTCAAGTTGGTTACAAGTTATTTCGTTTAAGTGGACTTTCATTATCATCAGATGCCCCGTCTTATTTCACAAAATATTTCGAAACTCCGGAAAATGAAGAGAAAGTGTTATTTTTTGATAGAAATCCATTAATATTTGAAAAAATTTATAATCATTTACAAGGTTATTCAATTTCAATTAAAGATGATGTTGAATTTATTCATTTATATAGTGATTGTTTTTATTTTGGTTTGAAAAGATTACAAAAAATCCTTATTGAACAAGATATATTTGCAAATATTGGTGGAGTCACATTTAAAATTCCTCAAAGTTTAGTTAATACCCCAGGAAATTCTCCAAATTTTTTCACTATTAATTATGATCGATTATTAATTGATAATTTAAATTTAATTGAATCAAAAAATATGTTGAGACCTCCTCCACAATATCCTCCTGCAGTAACTAATAGATCAAGTCAATTATTTCAAGATTTATTGGAATTTTCAAGAGGTAATTCTATAATTATTAAAAACGATGATCATCGAAGTTTATTAATTAAGGAAGCAAGATATTATAGATTTTTGGAATTGGAACAAAAATTAATCAAGCATAGAATAACTCCATTAGGTGATATAGTAATTAATATCAATGATGTTGCAAGAAGAGGTTTAGTTAATGAATCAACAAGAGAAATGGAAAGATCAATATTGTACAGTCGTCCTTATATTAAAGAACAACCAAAAGATTTAATTTTCCAAATTGATGGCAAAGATTATGATCATGCTGATATAAAATTAATTCTAAATAAAAAAACTAAATTACCAACTGTTAAAATTACAAATAAAGCATGCCATAAATTGCATCAAGTTTTCAAAGAACATATTAGTGAAGTTGTTAGAGATGATAAAAGTTTATTGTTTTTTGTTGGTTTTAATAATTCAACTACTTTTATAAACGGCAAAGAAATGAATTCAAATTGGGTTAATGAAATCTTGGAAATATCAATAGATGCCGAGAATGATCAAGATAAAGAAAAACCAACTAAAAAGAAGAGAAAAATCGACGATTCAAAAGAACAAGATAAAAATGCCAGTGCAATTCATAATAATAACGCTACTTCTAAGACCATTGATAATAAATCAACTGGTGATATTATTGAGATCAATTTATCAAAATCATTATGGAAACTTATGATGAGAGGTCCACTAGCAAGATTACATGCTGTAACTATAGAAGGATATACTTGTTCATCTGAATCAACCATTGACTTTTTGTAATACTACTACAATTCATCATATACCTCCATTTTTACGTTTTGTATTATATAAATGCACGAAATATGTAAAATTTTCTTAATTAATTATACTCTATCAAAATTTAACCCACCATAAAGAAACCTAGATATAAAACTAACCGCTGATCCAATTGCAGCACAAGCAGTTAAAAAATAAACCAAATTTTTAAAACTTTGAGAACTCCCAGTTGCAATTGCCCCAGCAATTGGAATACCAATTAAATCACCAATTGAAAGTATTGAAAATGCTGTTCCTAATCCTTTACCAACATCTTTTGTTTTAACAATTGAAGCAATTAAACTAGCTGATAAACTTAATACTGAACCACTTGAAAATCCAAATACACCAGAAAATATATATAATGCAGTTAAATTAGAACCAAATGGTAACCAAATTACTGTAAATGCAATCAATGAAATAAGGTTAATGACAACAAAAGTATTAAATCTACCAAATCCATTATCAGCAATATAACTTGGTATTATTCTTCCTGGTATACTAAATGAATTGAATACAACAATTAGCAAATATGCTTTATTATCATCAAATCCTTGACTTCTTGCATATCCTGGCAATTCAACCATTGAAATCAAGAAAATTAATCCATTAAATAATAACCCTGTGACAAGTACAGAAAATAATCTATTTTTAAAAAGAATTTTAAAATCAATTGAACCTAATACTTCCTTAAATAAATTTTCATCACTATTATCATGAAATTCATCATGTCTGTCATGAATAATTAACCAACCACAAACACAACAAAATAAAGAAATAAAGCTTCCAATTCTTATTGTCCAACCAAATCCAATTTTGGGAAATAATTCTCTATACATAATTGGGAAAATAACTCCACCTAATCCACCACCAGTATAACTTATTCCAATAACCAAAGCTCTTTTAGTTAAGAAAAAATGACTTAAAGTTGCAACAAATGGTCCAAATACTAATGAAGTTCCCATACCTCCTAATATACTGTAAGCAAGTATAAATTGATAAATTTTTTTACAAAAACTAGTTGCTAAAAATCCACAAAACATAAGTATAGTACCAATAAATATAGGTTTTTTACAACCGATTTTATCAAATAATGGACCTGATACAATTAATCCACCAAATGCAAATAAATTATAAATTGAAAAGATCCAACCAATTGAAGATTGTGAATCATTAATTAAGATATGTTCAGATACATAAGATTGCATAACACCTCCAGAATTAACAAACCCTAATGATCCAATCATACCTAAAAATGATCCAAATAATGTCAACATTGCAATTGTATTCCAACCATCAGGAAAATTTGAAGGATCATCTAGTAAATGTAATGTTGAATGTTTGGAACTTGCGGAGGATTTAAATTTTTGTATTTCTGAACTAGTCATATGTTGAATTTCTTCAGTAGTAGGTGGTGAAAGGTCATAGATTTCATGTTCATAATAAGAATTATTTTCAATCTGTTGTTCTTTGTCTATGATCGACATACTCTGATGAAGAAAATGTAGAAACGTATTTGAAAAGTTTTCTGTGAAAAAAAAAAAAAGATTATAAAGCCACAGCGATGCGACAGATAATGGAGTGATGACTTTTTTTTATCGTAGCCGTTTATATAGTGTTTAAAAAAATGAACAACATCAACTACATATAAAAATCCTACAAGACTGACAAATAATTGAATTTATATAATATTCATTATGGTTGAAATAAAGAAGATTGGTAGTTTATACTTTTCAAAAAGGTTATTGCTACGGAAATTTGCCAATGTGACATGTTTCTCCGAGTTAATACATGCTTTGTTGCAAAAATACTTAACTAGTTCTTCCGAATATTTATTAAATTTAATGGAAAAACGTTAAAACATCTTGAAATTTGACATGAAATAACCCCTCATTAATCGTATGATCAATCATTCAAATTCAAACTCGAAGATCACCACCAATATTTGCAAACTCCATCACCGGAGTATGATTTTAATACCACAACAAAACTCTTTTTTGCAAGCTGAAAACAATATCAGATTAGTAATATTCAACTTATGGCATATTCTGCCATATTTCCTTTAAATTTTAAGGAGTATAACCCCTGTTGTATAAACTGGTGGGTATCATCTTTTCATGCAACAAAAGTCGTGCATATTGATCAATAATTACAATCACGGGACTAGTACCACGTGTTATTACATAAACCAAGTGAATTTGAAAGAAAATATGAATTCTTGTGTAAAAGGCGGGCTTTATTATTTAATTCAAGAAAATGATATTATTCATCCACCCCTGAATTATCTCTAGGGATAACCCTTGATTGAGCTACTGTATCAATTATGAAAATATCAACAGGCGGTAATGTATGGATTTATAATATATGACCAAGTTGCTATTATTCATCTAGTGAATGGAAAACCAGAAAAAAAAACAAGGCATGTAAAAATTAAAGTTCTAATTTGACAAAATCTGGGGGTGGGGTTAAAAAAATTCGAATAAGTTATTTTAATTGGCGACATCGGGTTCTTTACTCCTACAATGATTCTAAAAACCGGTCACTCGTGGACACAGCTTGAATAAGCGATATTTAAACAACACTTTCATACAATATGGCTTAGTTTGAAAAAAAACAACAAAAAAAAAAGTCCGAATGTTCAAGTCCTATAGTCCGAGGTATTTTTAGAACCTTTCTGATTATAGGTTGAATCGGATTGGATAATTACTCCTATTTTTTCAATCTCTTGAAGTTTCCCCAGAGTATTGATTGTCAGTTTATCTATAATATCCATGTGATAAATAAAACCAAAAAGAGAAAACTAGAATAATTTTCTAGAGGTGTTGTACTTACAGGTAACTGAGATTTGTGTCTGGAATGTGTATACATTGCTAAAATCTAAACCAATGATCATTCAAATACATCTATTGGTCTTCATGTAAAATCGGATTTATATAATATCATTAAAATAACTCGGGTATATTACACCAGTCACGTGTAAGTCATTAATTTGAACTCGGAGTTCTCAGAGAAAATACCACAAAATGAAAGAAAGAAAAAAAAAATTGTTGTCGTGGTTGTTACCCCACACTTTTTCACTCTATTTTAAATGTACGTTGAGTGCAGACATAATAAAATTTAGTGTCTGACTGTCTATTACCGAATTATATATTGGAAGCAATATATTACAACTTTGTTTTGTTTTCACTTTTTAACTCCTTGTCTTATCTTTCCTTTTTAACTCCTTGTCTTATCTTTCCTTTTTCTTTTATAACAATCATGTCTGAAGGAGCACTAGTCCCGCAATATTCAAGATTCCCGCTTGATGGATCGTACTTTAATATCAACGGGAAAGTAACATTATGTGAAACTGTTACTCACGCAACAATAGATGCAGTAATGAAAAGGATCTTATGTAATATCAGACACAATCTTGCTAGATGATCATATGCATTTTTATTGCCTCCTAATTGCACTAAGTAACAAAAAAAAACAAAGGGCTCAGAATTTACACGTATAGCATCACCATTTTGAACAGTGCTGTACATCTGTACGTTTGATATATTTTTGCAGTTGTCTACTTTTTTGTTTTTTACAACCATATTATCAACTCTATTCAAGTTTTACAACCAAGGTTTTTTTTTTTTTTGACAACCACATTTTGATTCATCAATTTTATTTTGAAAACTCAATACTCGTTCTTCTTACTCTTCTACCTTCTTGGGTCTTATAAATACTCAATTAAAGCTAAACCTATATTATCATTCAAGACAAGGGAATCTTGTTTTCTTACATTATCCATTATAGTATCCCTCGTTATTGTTAGAGAGATTTTCAATTTTATAAAGAACAAGAACAAATATCCTCCGTTCAGCCTATTGTTACAGCCCGATTACTTTAGAATTACGCTTTATTTGTTCTATTTCAGGACATAAATTCCATTAAAAAAAAGGGGCCCAGAATTCAAACGAATTCACAAGGAGTTAGAGATAATTCGCTTTCTATACGATAGCGACTAGAAGATAAACGAAACAAGTGAATCCTTTTGCTTTCAATGCTGATTTTCATTGATTATTGAAATTATAAAAGACAAACAACACACAATTAGAAAAAAAAAAATCTATATTCTTAAGAAATTTGAATATTTTTGGTGCCTTGCGGGTCAGTCATTCAATTTTCTTACCCCATACTTTTTGATTTTTTATAATCCACGCTTTATTATTATTGGTTGAAGTGAATCATTACTACTATTGAATTAATACCTTATATTAAGACCATAAATTATCATTCAGAAAGCAATCTTCGACAGTTTGGTATTTCAATTCTTCTGTTTTTTTTTTCAGTTAGCCATTTAAAATTTGTTTTATTGTATTTATTTATTTCCTACAATTTTTTGTTGGATAGAAGAAAGCGAAACTTGACTTTACCATTTTTGTTATTTTTCTTCTGTTCCCCTCCTTTTGTTGGCTCAACAAAATTAGTTTACAGCCCACACCCTTTATATTTATAAAAACTTTCACGATACTGGTGTTGAATCAAAGAGACTGAATCCAACTTATCCTTTAATCAATTTTGATTGAATTCAGTTCTGACTCATTTCAATTCCATTGCCACTCAACGAAATAATTTATTTTTCTTTTTTATTCACTTGAATATTTTTTTTGCCTGTCTGGTTGTTTGCAGACATTTTTTTTATAAAAGGAAAGCAACTTTCAGACACTTTTTTGCACACAAAGCCGGTGGTTTTAATTTTCAGTTGGGAAACACTTTACGTAACAAAATTGTGAAATTGAATTTTTTTTTAAAAAAAAATTCTGCTTTTCCATACATAAGAATCACCAAAAAGGATCGATTTTTTTTTAGGAACTATCTTCCAAATCTTCTTTTTTTTGGTTTTTGTTCATTTTTTTTTTCTACATTTGATTTCATCTATTATCCGTATCCATTTAGATTCAACTCATCAACATTTACTTTTCATTCATTATTTTTGGTTGACGGTTTTAAAAATAAAAGTCTACAAAAATATAAATATAAAGTCACACAGAACCTGAAAGACAGAGAGAAAAGAGAATCTCACCTTTTTTTTTTCTGTTGTACGCCTAAGAAAAAAACAAAGAACCACAAGCCCCAAATTTTTTTATAAGAACGGAAAAGAAGAAAAAAAAAATCTGAATGATTTCACCAATTCATCAAAACTTCACCAATCATTTCAGTAATTCTACCGTAGCAGCATCTTTATCAATGTCTGAATCGACTGATTCAATAGCAGGTAATTCCAAAGGTAATTCATCATCGAAAAAATCATCAAAGAATGCCTCGAGCACTGCTATGTCTGCTAGTAGTTCAACCAATTCTACAACTTCAAAAAAATCAAAAAATATCCCACTAGAATTGACAGCGTTTGGTACAACTCCATCAGGTAAACCAAGATTATTTGTTTGTCAAGTTTGTACCAGAGCATTTGCCAGATTGGAACATTTAAGAAGGCATGAACGTTCTCATACTAAAGAGAAGCCATTTAGCTGCGGAGTTTGTCAACGTAAATTTAGTCGTCGAGATTTATTATTAAGACATGCACAAAAATTACACGCAGGCTGCTCTGACGCAATAACAAGATTAAGAAGAAAATCAATCAAGCGTTCGCAAAATGGCGAGGATGACGATGATGATATGCAAGATGAAGAAGAGGAATTACAACAAGAGTCAACTTCAGGAAAGTCTAAAAAACTGAAACTGGACCCTCCTCCAGAGTTTAATTTGAATTTATTTGATGGAAAACCAAACACTACCAAATCAAAAGTATCAAAGGGTTCAAACAAAAAGAGTTCTTCAATCTCTACATCCAACCCAACTAGAAAGAATTCATTACAGAAGCAAGTATTTGATCATCGTAAAAAGGCTGCTGATTCCCAAATTGTAGGTAATACTGGTACCGTGGGACTTTCTATAACTCCAACAAGACAAAGAAGAGGTGCTTCATTTTCTGCACAATCGGGTGCAAATTATGCAATTAATGTTCCAGAATTCAATGATGTATATCCGCAACCTGATAATGTTGAATTTTCAACTCCCCAATTCCTTCCTTCTTCTTTTGAAAATGAAATGACATGGTTAAACTCTCTTCCTGGTATTCCAGGAATGTCTGATTCTACTGTTGCTTCAAAATTACTTCGTCAATCATCAATATCAACAAATAATGATCATGGTACCCCACCAATGAATGTTAGTCAGCATGGCTCATTCTCTCATCCTTCTACATTAACAGCTACACATATGGGACAAAGTGGATCTGACAGTCTCAACAGTCTCAACACTCCATTTGATGGTTCATATTTGATGCCGACAGCTACGATCAGCAATCAAGAAATACAAAACGGTGTCGCTGCTCACCAACACAAGCATCATTTGACAAATGGATTAAGTTCAACACGACAACCAGAAGTTATTCAAGAAGAAACTTATGGATATTCATTTTATGATATTCCTGAAAGTATGCTCAGTTTCCCTGGTGATCAATCTGTTGGACATTCATCCACTTCAGGAACTGGAGCAAATTCACGTCCTCATCATATGTTTAAAGCATTGACTCCTATTAAACAAGAAGTTGATGACGATATCATGGAAGATATTACCAAGAACACCGACAATAATAACCATAATGAGAATATGAATTTTGATTTGAATTTTCTCAATGATATTGATGATATTGGACAAGATACCATTTCTAGATTTATGCCCGGTGGGTACTCATTTTATGGAGGTGATAATACTTCTATTCCTTCGTCGGCAAATGATTACAATTCCCCAGCTAATGTAATTTCACCACCACAAAACAATCAACTTGGAGGTAGTACTCTTAATCATAATCAATTGTTAAATCTTGACAGTCAACAGCCACAACAACATTCCCCAAATCACCCGCTCCTGCGACAGGCTTCTAGTCAACAATTCCAATCACCACCACAGCAACAACCGATTGGTCAACAACAACAACAACAACAGCATCATCAGCATTTAAGTCAGGCTATGATTAATAAGATGAAATTGCACAATTATTCAAGCAATAAATTATTTACTAATCATATGAGACATTTGATTAATAAAGCGCTAGGTAAATATCCAATTAGTGGTATAATGACACCAACAATTCCATCAAATGAAAAATTGGAATTTTACTTAACTACCTTCACACAAGTCTTTTTAAATCATTTCCCATTTATTCACCCTTCAAAATTGAATGAATACGAAATTATGAGTATGACTAGTAATGAACTCAATTGTAATGAAAGTGCACGTGTTTGTTTGCCATTGTTGGTGGCTACTATTGGTGCTTTATTGGCAAACAACAAAATTGATTCAGAGCATCTTTATGAGGCATCTAGAAGAACTATTCATATTTACTTGGAAAGTAGAAAGACCAATGTGCAACAAAATGACAAGAAAGATAATAAAGAAACTAGTTCATCGGTTAATCCGTTGTGGTTGATTCAGTCGCTTACATTATCTGTTATTTATGGGTTGTTTTCTGATAATGAGAATAATGTTTATATCGTTATCCGTCAATTGAATGCATTGAATTCCTTGGTTAAAACCTCCATCAAGAATAATAGACCAATATTGTTTTCAATCAATGGTGAAGATGAAGAGATATATAACAAGTTAAATTCTTCTTCTACCGCTACTACTGCTGCAACAACAATATCAACTGGAGATATTGGCGTAAACGGTAATGGTGGTATTTCATTATTTTCTAATACATTTAATGATGAAATGAAATTCAAGAATAATATTAATATGCAATCCCAAACCAGGATTGTGTTTATGATCTACCGTTTGACTAATTTCTTGTTGATGTTGTATAATGTTCCATTGACTTTGTCTGTCAATGATATGCAAAAATTGGCAATTTCCAATACTAGTGATGATGCTATTTGGAATTTCAAAAACTATCAAGAATTCCAAGAATACAATTTACAGAAGACCGATAAAAATTTGCAAGATTACTTGAATGAAGAACCTATTGTATTTAAAGAGTTGTTGTTAAATTTAACCAAAACGGGTACTCCAGATAAAACTGTCACTCCAGATTTGGAAAGAAAAATAGGGAAGCAATTATCACATTTAAGTAAATATGGTTTTGTTTGTTTAATTCATGGGTTGTATGAAGTCAAGCAATATCAAGAGATGAAGAAAGTTGATATTTTCAGAATTATTGATCAATTGACTAAGTTTTTCCCACATGGTGCAGTCAATTCTGCTAAAATCAGTCAACACCAAGATATGGAGAAACTTGACTATGCTATGTTGGCTAATTACACAAAGATTTCGTCGTTAATTGATTTTAAATTGGTTAAAGAACAAAGTTGGTTAAGAAATTATGACGAATTGTCACAGAATTACCATCGATTGTTGGAAGAGCATAGCACTCGAGGAAGCAATGGAATTGTTAATGAATATGACTATTTAAAAATTGTTGATTGTTGTTTAATGATTCTTAAGTTGGGATTGTTTAAAGTAGAAGATGCTAGTCTGACATCTAATGATGATGGATTGTCATTATTTGATACAGACTTCGGATATTTGAATATGACTAATTTCACTAATGAAGGGAAGGAAAAGAGATTTTCATTGAATGATGATAATTATGAAGGTGAAGATATTAATAAAGCCATGTTTAACAAGGAAGATAGCTTGTCTAAATTTGAAAAATATATTCAATTTAAAATTTCAGACGAAATTGATACTTCAAATAATTTAATTCATTCTCAAATGTTGTTCCATGTTTTCACGGTGCTTTCAATATTTTCTGTTTATATAATGAAGAAGAATGATAATAGCTTATCGCCATTTACCAACACTGATTTGATTTTTGAATTAAATCATAGATACAGTATGGTTCTTAAATTATTGGATAGAATTGAAAGTTTCCTTAAATTGAAATATCAATCATCATCAACTACAACAAATACTAGTGCAGGCACTAGTTCTACTCCGGTATCAGTAAAATTAGAACAAGATTTCACAAATTTGTACTTGTATAATGGAGGTGATCAACAACAACAACATACCCCTAATCAAACACATGGTCAATTATCTGGAAGTAATGGATTAGAGAAAACATTATATATATTAAAAATGGGAGAAGTTGTTTTAAATTACTTATATGATTTAAATATTAAAGTTTGTATTTTTAAAAAATTGGGAAATTCTTTATCACAAATCAGGAAATTTATTATTGATAATGAATCCAGAATAACTAGTTCAAATAATGGTAATTAAAAGGAATGATTCTTATTTTTAATTTGAATGGTGAAAATCTAATTATTATTTGTTTTGTCTTTTTGTATTTATAATGCTTATTTATTGATTGTCTTTTATATATATAACTACATGTATAGTTTATTTATTATTTATTTATTTATTTATCTTTAATAAAGGTTTTATTTCATTTATTACAAATGAGTTACATGTCAATGATATCTCTTGGAACTATACCAGATATATGTGTATATTCACTATAAAAAGCATTACAATTTCTTTAAAACAGTTTCAGCACTTGAAATTTCAGTGAAACCTAATTCATCTTCACTTTTCAAGTAAGTGATTTCACCGTTTTTAACAATACAAGCGTATCTTTGTAATCTTAAACCAAAACCAACACCTGATAAATCAGCAACATAATCTTCACCCAATTCTTTTGAAATAGCACCATTTGGATCAGTTGCAAAAACAATAAAATTTTCTTCATTAGTATAACCTAAAGCTTTACCCCAAGCAGCCATAACAAATGGATCATTAGCTGATAAAACCACAATTTTTTCAACTCCTTTAGATTTAAAATCTTGTAAATGTTTTAAATAATCAGGAATATGTTGTTCAGAACAAGTTGGAGTGAAAGCACCTGGTACTGCTGTAACAACTACTGTATTATCTTTAAATAATTGTTTTAAATTCAATTCAATTGGATTTCCACATGATGCAATAGCACTGTTTTCTTTTGAAAATGGGATATATTTTGGATTAATATTAGTTGGGAATTGTTGTGTCATTGTTATAATAGTGGAGAAAGAAGAAAGAAAGAGTCAATTGATGAAAATAATTTAATGATAAAAAGAGGAGAATCTGGTTGATATTTATAGAGTAAATTGGAAAAAAAAAAAGGGGATGAAGGAAAATGGTTATATAATTGGTGTATGGAAAAAGGGGGGGTTAAAGATTACTAACTCAGAGGGAGATATTTATTGTTGGGTGTAAAAAAAAAAAAGTGAACTTTAAACGATGATCCATGTCATACGCAGCAATCTCAATCTTTTACTTTCAGGGGAGGAGGAGGAGACAGAGAACAGCGACGACGGGAATAAATTCCCAATACAGCGGAGTAATACCCGCGACCTGATTCTATATTGTAAATTGCGAAATATCGGAGTTGTACAAATACTCAACACACCAACGAAAGCAATCAATTATCCATATTGGCTCTCTTCTTAACATCACAGCGTGGTTACATCATAACCATTATACTTTAATCATACACATCCCTTGATTCAAGGCTATATTTTAGTTTTTCTTTCGTAGCACGTGTTCCATTAGTTGTTACATCACGTGATATTCTTGGTTTTTTTTTTTTCTCTCTTTGATTGTTGGAAAAAAAAAATTACATCTTCTTCCAATTACTAATACAGTTCTTTCTTTTCCTTTTGATTATATACATCAACTATTTAGTGTTAGATTTCCAGAATTATATTTATGGTTATACCTAGAATGTGTCACTGTTTTTTGGGAGGTATTTTCTTTCCGTTGTTGTACTAACATTTTAATATCATTCTAGCACATGTCTATATTTTATTAATGTACATAAGTTTTTGTTATCGTTATTATTTTGATTCTTCGTGATCATTGTAGAGCTGTCTCGTAACTACATCATTCAACTGTATATTTAATCAAAGTTCATTTAAATACATAACGCATATCTGGATTATACATAAATTCATTCAAAGTTTCACTAGTTGACAGTAAAGATGAAGCATTTGTAGTTTGTGGCAGCATGGTGCTTGCTGAGGTTCCGATTGTCAATGTTGGATTATATTCAATTGATTGATTCAATAGATTTTCAAAGGTTTCAAATAAACTAACATAATCTTCATCAAATGGTAATTCTTGAGTTTCCGATAAATTCCCACCTAAATTACTTACTCTTTGATTGGTTTCTTGTACTTGTTCATAACTCTCCTCTTGATTATAACTAGCTTGTTCGTCTCTCGTAGACACTGGTAGCACTGATTCTGTTTGTTTCGGTTGTTGCTGTTGTTGATGACGATGTTGGTGATGTTTTTTGGAGGTTGATTTCCTGCTCTTGATTTTATTACCATCTATATCTAAATTAAATTTCTCCATCAAAGCTTGTTGCATTTGACTAACAATCATACCAAACCTTGAAGACATTGGATTTGATTGTTCATAGAATTTATAAATTTTTTGTCCAATATTTAAAAACTTCATTAATTTAGATGAATAATAAACATCTTGAAATGTGTATCTGTTATGTTCAAGATATAGTATTGATAATCCAGTGATTAAACATGCCATCAAAACAGCATGAGTTACGCCATGCAGTTCTATTCTTGCCGTTTTGAATTTAAGGGTAGTAATATATTTATCAGCCAATTGAACAATTAATAATGATGATTTAACAGTAATGGCAATGAAATTCTTCATGGCTATTTCTTGTTTAGTTTTTGGTTTATTCAATATATTCTTTCGCCTTTTCTTGTTAAATATAAGATACATGAAAAATGGTCTACCAACAAGAACAATACAGTATAATTGACAAATATGCATAATAACCATAGGGATCTTGTTATCAAAATAAGATCCGGGTTTAATCTGCATTTTCAGATCTTGAGAATCTTCAATGAATAATTTATCAATTTGCAAATGTTCAGGTAAATTCAAACTCCATAATTTCAATTCAATAGCTAACTTTTCAGCTTTAAATGGATTTAAAACACCTTCAAGATAGTAATTCCGAATTACTTTACCAGCTAATCTTGCAATTTTACATTCATGAATCATTGCTTCATACCTTGGGTCATGATAAATTTCGCCATTTTCATCTTTAATGAAAATATCTTCATTATCATAATCATCCCAATCATAATCATCAATAATTAGTGGTCGACCCAATAAACATGAGGTTATTCTGTCCAATATATATAATGATCGATATAGTCGTCTTCTATGAACAACATAATTATAATCGTTAAAAGATTCATTAATAAATCGTCGATGTAATCCAATAGATTGGGCATTTCTAATTGCCATACCCAACATCAACCAAGCAGTATTCTTATGAAGTCTAACTTGATAATAACAGTAAGCTAATAAAAATCCTTCGACTATCCATAGCTGTCCAAAATGCATATATGTTCTAGTTAAATAATATCCATAATCAAAATAAGTTGAAGATTTCATTTCTGATGAAGTTAATCTTTGTAATATTGGATGATTGCTAAGTTCTGCAAATAATAATCCATTTCCAACTATCAAATTAGTTATTGCTATTTGGCCTGGACTACACTGATTAAAATCTTGATAAATTGCATTTATGGTATATGTTTTAAAATAATTTATATCAATGAAATAACTTGCTTGTACTAAATTAATACAAAATAATTCAAATAAATCTTCAACAAGTTCTCGATCAGGTAATGGGATTTTAATAGCTTCTGGATACTCTTCGGGATCACAAATTACATCCAATGATTCATTCTCTAATGAGAATTGAGTTGGTCCAAGTCTTTCTTGAAAAATGTTTCGGCATTCAAATAAAAATGATAACGGTGAACTTTCTCCAACATATCGTAGATTTCCATGTGAATCATATAATACTTTTTGTGGTTCGCGTGTTTCTGAATTACCTTTTGACTGCTGTAGTGGTGGTGGTGCTGCTGCTGCCGGTGCTGCGGGTGGTGGAGCAAGCGTTGAAGAGTCCGATGCTACTGGCGTAGATGATTGATCTGTATTTGGTTGAACTTCAACTTTATGTAAGGGAAATCTTATAATTGGTTGAAATTGTAATGGGATTTTTGATTTCTTACTTAGTAATTTCAAATCATCAACATCAATATCATCATTATCTTTACTAGGCTTGGAAATATTAGGAATTATAACTTTATCATCTTGAGCATCAGAATCAATTTTCATATCTTGTTTAGTTTTTCTTCTTTTACTTGTACGACGTAAAGTTCTTTTATCTACTATACTAAATTTACATTCAACTCCCTTTCTAGTACATAATTCACATGGTGATATCCCAGTACATTTGTATTTCCTTTGCTTGCAATAATCACAAGCTTTTGAAACTTTGGTTCTTTTATCAAAGTCAATCTCCATGATTGAAAAATTGAAAACATAAAAAACTAAATCCTGTTCCGTCTCAGGGAATTCTATACTGAGGGTGGTGACTTAATTGAAATTAATTCAATATGATTATGACAAGTAATAGTCACTTTAAAATTGGTAAATGAATTTATCAATAAGTTAGTTCTAATGTGCGTTTCTTGGTTACTTAAATATTAAATTATGATATGTGGCAAATACACAAAGGGGGGGAGTAGTATCAAATAGTAATAAGGTTATATCCCCTTTTTCTTCCCTATCAATTCCCTTTCCTTTGCCCTCCTCCTTCTCTCCCCCTCATATTACAAAAAGAATCAAACTCTTGAAAACATTAAAACTATAAATTCCTTATACTTAAAAATAAAAAAAAAAACTCAAACTTTTAAGAAATAAAAACAATAAAATAGAACTGGCACTACCAATTGGTTTCTTGGTGAAAAATAAAATATATAAACAAAATGCAACCAATCGAATGAAATAGCGAAAACAAAAAAAAGGAAAGATAATATATAAACTACGTTAGAAAGCATAGAGTCAAGATATGAAGTTACAGATGAGGCGAATTAATTCTCATGTCCAAGCAAAGTTTGAATTAAACTTTAATGATATCATATACAGAAAGCAAGTCTAATTTGATACCGTCTACTAGTTAATTTGAGTTTAAAACCCGGAGATATGTTTGAAGACGAGACTCGATTTTTGTATTCAATTTATATTATATTCATCCCCTTTATTTTGACTTCTTGTCCTTATTCTCCTCTTTTGATATAGACCTGATAATAATAATCACTAATAATAAATCCGATTATAATATGCCTATAAATCCTGCTCTTTTCCCAAGAATTGAAAACTTTTCGCTTGATTTCTACAACAGTAGGGTATAACCTAAGGGAAAATATCTTAATTTTGAATATCAGAAATGAGATTGTTTTGTTTTTTCTTATCTATTAAAGATCTTCTTGATTCTTGGTCCTTTTATTGTTTTATTTTATTTTTATTTTTTTGTACTTGGAGTTATTCTTGAAACTTGTGTTAATGAGTGAATAACTGAGCTATTTAATACAAGATTGTTTGACCAATTTGCTTGAACGCTGTAAAGAATGGTAGTAGATATAATGAGAAATTAGATTAAGATTACGCATATTAATAAATGGAAACAAAAAGTGATTACATCGATAAGGGTTTTAGTAAAAAGTTTCATTTTAAAGTAATACCGGTGGATAATGCAAATAATATTATTAATATTCACAACATTATACTTTCTTGGGGAACAAGAAGTAACGTAATTTTATTATAACATCTTTGTTCTCAACATTTTTATGTTGTTGTTGACTACTTCCTCAGTTAAATCAACAACCTATATGAAATATAGTTAAGAAAATCAATTGCAAACTGTGGTCCTCTTTCTGGTACGTTATTCTTTTCTTGTTTAAGAAAGTGTCATCAACTTTTTAATAGATTCTCAATATCAGTACACATTGAATCACTCAATACATGCATGAGTTCTTTTTTTTTCTTGTGTATCATGCTATCGACCATTATTATTTGTCTTGAATGGATGTATATTATTTCTGTCAATTCACACCAATGATTGCAAAAAGGAAGATTAATTGTAATAAATGAAACTTTTGTGTATTTGTATTTTTACTAAAAAAAAATGAGCCTCATTATGTTCCCAATTAGGAATGTTCATACAAATTTGTCAGTTTTTTATTTTTTTCTCAATTTTTTTTTTTTCTTTTTTGTTAATGGAAAATTTTTGATTTGACACAACCAACTTATTTATACAACATTTACCAAAATCAACAGGGACTAGTTCTATTAGATTAATATCTCAAAGGGTTTTTAAATATATATATACACACTCACATACATAACAATGGCATTTTGGAACTCATCATCTTCATCTTCAACTACTACTGATGCATCCACTTCCCCAGCATCATCAAAATCACAACAAATTAAAACAGAACTTCAAAATCAAATTAGTCAAGAATTAGCAGCTGCTAATGCAACTGAATTGGTTAGAACAATAACAGAAAATTGTTTTGAAAAATGTATTTTAATTCCAAAAGATACTTTATCTCCAAATGAATTAACTTGTATTGCTCAATGTAGAGAAAAATACATGAGATCTTGGAATGTTATTTCAAAGGCTTATGTTGGTAGAATTCAACAAGAACAAAATCATTAAATCATTTGGAAACTATAGATATTTCCTGCCCCCAAGGATTTTACTCATTAAAAGTTGTTATTATTAACTGAGTTGATAAATTCACGTTGACTTAATTTAATGTTTTACTTGGTTTTTGTTACATTTTTCTTTCCTGTATAGTTACTTGTACTTTATCCACCCTTCCCTGCCATTCCTATCACTATTGTAAATACACATATTCATCATCTGTCTTGTTTCTCTGTATCAATACTTGTATATATTTCCTCTTGATGGTAGTGCAAGTGCGCCCAAAATTTTCTGATTTCCAAATTTGAACAAAAACGAGAGGAAAAAGAAGAAGAACAAAAAAAAAATTGTTAGTGGCGACTTGGAGAGTCGATATCAACAGTTAAAGTAATCAACGTTAGATCAATTACATATTATATACAATGGCATCTGCACAGACAACAGTAGCATCTGAATATTCAGCTGAAATACAATCTGTACCAATTGAACATAGATTTAATCCATATTCTGATAATGGTGGTACTGTTTTAGGAATTGCTGGAGAAGATTTTGCAGTATTAGCAGGTGATACAAGACAAGTCACTGGTTATTCTATACAATCAAGATACGAACCAAAAGTTCATGATGTTGGAGATGATATTTTAATGACAGCCAATGGATTTGCAGCTGATGGAGTTGCATTAATAGATCGTTTTAAACAATCTTTAATTTGGTATAAATTTGACAATGGTGGTAAAAAGTTAACTATTAAAAGTGCAGCAAGATATATTCAACATTTATTATATGGTAAAAGATTTTTCCCATTTTATGTGAGTACTTTAATTGCTGGATTAGATGAAGAAGGTAAAGGTGCTGTATATTCTTATGATCCTGTTGGTTCATATGAAAGAGAACAATGTAGAGCAGGTGGTGCTGCTGCTAGTTTAATCATGCCATTTTTGGATAATCAAGTCAATTTCAAAAATCAATTTGTTCCTGGAACTGATGGAAAAGAAAAGAAACCTTTGAAATATTTATCTTTAGAGGAAGTTATTCAATTGGTAAGGGATGCATTTACATCTGCTGGTGAAAGACATATTTATGTTGGTGATGGTTTAGAAATTAAAATTGTAACGAAAGATGGTATCAGAACAGAATATTACCCATTAAAGAGAGATTAGTTAGTAACATCACACGCACACACACATACATACATACATAGCAATTTGTTGAACAAAATACAAGTTTCTTTTATATAAAACTAAAATATACAAACAAACCTTCCAAATTGAAATCAAGTCTCTGTTATGGGAGTAGTTGATTTATACTGGCAATTCAAATTTCTTACCTTTCATAACTTTGGTGTAATAAATATAGAAGAAATCAGAATAAATTGCAGTTTGTAATAATCCAGATAAAACAGAAACATAATCAAAATGACCTTCAGCAAAATATCTATAAATCCAATTTGGGATATATAAAGCACGATATATTCCAAGAGCAAAAATATAATGAGTGGTTATATTTTCAGCTTCACCAGTTTTTTGTAAAATAAACATTTGAGGAATAATAGCAACAGCTTCTAACCATAAAGAAAATGACCAAACTACTTCACCAAATGAATATTTATGAGTAAATATTAAACTGGCAATCACTGCACCACCAATTAAAAATCTAGTTGGGAAAGTATCAATATTTTCTTGAATTGGTTTTTTATATTTATAAACCATAACATAAACTGTATAAATTGACGAAGCAATGAAAACAATCTTTAATAATGTATTATAAATGGAATAAAATTTGGTGAATAAATTAAGATATCTTGTTAAAAATACAACAACATATAATGCTTGAGTCTTTAAAGATAACCCATTGGTAGATCTATTTTGTTCAATTGCATATAATAATATAAATATACTGGCTAAATGGGAAAGATCCCCGACAAATCGAAAGATATTCATTGCTGATGGTTATTAGTTGGTTGGATAATTGATGTTGATTCAGACAGGAAGATTGTTCTCTCTTCTTTTTTTTTTTTTTTGCTCTCACTACGATCTCTTTCGCTAAGAAAACACGTCACAGGTAGAAAATGATATGTCGTGTCTATACCAAGTATGTGTATGTGTGTGTGTATTGCCTCTACAATTCTATATGTTCAAATATTTCATCATCCTCTTCATCATTATAATCATTGTCATGATGGATCTCATGGTGCTTTGTATCTATGAATTGAATATCTTTCCAAGAACCAGTAGATTCATTGTTAATATTCTCTATAAATTCCTTAATTTTTACAAGTTTCATTTCATTTTCCTTAGTTGAATAACTTTTAATTCTTTCATCTTTAATATATACGACAGTTGGGAATTGACTTACTCCAAATTTAGATAATAATTCATAATCATTCAATTCTTCAACATTAACAACAATAACTTCAACTGTGTTATAATCTAAAGCTAATTGATGAATATAATGAGCCGGATATTTGTAATCTTCCCAACCAGGTAAATAACCAGCCATGAAAAATACCAATTGTTCATTTGCGTCATCATCTTCATGTTCAAACGCCTTTATATCATCTACATATTTGACTTTGGTATTAAAGTTGTCATAATTTGGATTGATGTTTAATTTACGATCGATATATCCAATCAAATTTTGTAAATCTCGATCATCTTCATAATCATAAATTCTTTTGGTTTTATAATCTAATAATTTTAATGATGGATATTTTGATATTTTAAATAATTCACTTAATTTCTTATTAAATCTAGCATTTGTTTTCAAGATTTGAAATCTTGATCTCTCTTTATCATTATTATATAAGATACTTAAATTTTCAAATGTAGGATCAAATTTTCGACAATATTTACATGAATCGGAATAAAAATAAATCAATGAATATTCTGACTGTTCTAACGTCTCTTGAATTGAATTATCGTCAAATTCGATCATAGACATTTGATTGGTCTCCATGCTTGCAATTAAACCAACAAAGCATGTCATCAAACACAAAAGCCATGATGACCAAGATGATGACTTGAGATACATGTTTCTTTTGAACTAATATCTATTTTGGATGACCTTTTTATTGCTATTTTGTGGACAGCTTGTTGTAAATATCAGTCGATTGCAGTTACTGTAAATCGATTAAACAAATCCCGATTGGGGTCGAAGGAGAAAGATGGCTGGCAATTAATAAGCCGAATGGAACGAGAATGTATCGACGTAAAAAAAAAATTGTTAGTGGATCATTTCTTATTTTTTTTTTCTTCTTCTTCTTTTTTCCGGTATTTCCTAATTGAGTCACAGCCGCATCAAATTCCTAATTTGGTTGGGACAGCCAGTGAGTTTTTCCATTTTCGCAACATTGAAATTGAACCACCAGCCTTGTTCCCATCTTTGTATGCAATGTATGCAAAATATGCCATACTCAACGTTTTTTAGTCAGTTTTTTTTTGCATTACTTGTTGAACTCTGCATCAACCAGCATATTGATTCCATCAATTTGATGAAATATTACGACTGTATGTATTTGTCTTTGTCCTGCCCCTCCTTTTCGTCTTCGATCATGCTGATATATAAAACACCAATGATTATCCGATTTTTGGGTAATAACTTCTATTTTTTTTTTTTCAATTTCAACTTCAACTTCAATTCCAATTTAATTAATTTACCCATTAATATATTTAATTTAATTTCCCATTTTAATTCCAACCATCCACAAATATTCCCCCATTCATATTGTTCATCAATTAATCAAACACAATACTAATTATAATGAAATCAATTTTACCTTACTCAGTGTTAATATCCACTGCAATTGCTGTTTCTTCAGATTTAGAAACTATTAGATCAACAACATTATCTACACATTCCGATTGTTCTTCATCCATATATTCTTCATATCCTCCGGTGCTTCCATCAGCTTCATCTCCATACTATCAAAATAGTACTGTTATTTCATCATCTTCTAATCCTGAAGTTGCTTTACATTCTTCTTCTTCTGATGTCGTATTGCCTTCTTCTTCTTCTTCCGCTAGTGAATCAGATGAAATAGTATACGAATATGAAACTGAAACCGATGTTGATTATGTTGAAATTACAAGAACAGTTTGTGATTCAGATAATAAATGTCATGTCACTACTGATTTAGAAAGTTTAACTACTTATACTACTACTGTTGATGGTATTTTAACTGTTATTACTACTGTTGTCCCAGCCACCACTACTGCTTCTACTACAAAAACATCAACTTCTGCTTCAGTTAAAGAAGAATCTACTAATGGTGGTTCTCTTGCTGGTCTTGGTCAAGGCGTTTCTGATTCCACTTCAGTCGAATCCTCCATTGCTACTCCTGTTGAATCTTCTGTTGTCACCTTGATTGAATCATCTGTTGTTACACATGCTGAATCTTCTATTGCTACTCCAGTCGAATCTTCTGTTGTTACTCCTGTTGAATCTTCTGTAACTTCAGTTGCGTCTTCAGTTGCTGCTCCAGTTGAATCAAAATCAGAATCAAATGAAATTTATTACGACTATGAAACTGATGTTGACTACGTTCACGTTACTAAAACCGTTTGTGATTCAGAAAACAAATGTCATGTTACTACCGATATTGAAAGTTTAACTACTTACACAACTACTGTCGATGGTGTTTTAACTGTTGTTACTACTGTTTGTCCAATTTCATCTACTCCAACTCCTGTTATTACTACTCCTGGTGAAGAAGAAGATGAAGAAACTGAAATTCATTCTACTGTTATTACTGTCACTTCTTGTGCTGATGATAAATGTTATCAAACTGTTTACACTACTGGTGTTTCAGTTGTTACTGCTGATACAACTACTTATACTACTTTTGTTCCATATGTTACTGTCACAGCAAAGAAATCATCATCTTCTACTACTACTACTACTACTTCAACTTCTGTTCCAAATACACTTGCTGCTGTTCCATCAAGCCAAGAAGATGAAGAAAAAGCTTCAACTCATAGTACCTTCGTAGAAACCATTACTGAAGGAACTACAAAAGCCCATACTGTTACAGGTGAACCAAAAACAACTACTGAAATTAAATCATTATCAACCGAAGAAACTGTTACTAAATACGGTACTACTGTTCTTACTGTGACTTCTTGTTCAAATGATAAATGTCATGAAACTGAACAAACTACTGGTGTTATAGTTTACACAAGTGAAGAAACTGTTTATACCACTTATTGTCCAATTTCATCAATTCCAACTTCATCTCCAACTCCATCAACTACTACCACAAGTACTACTAAACAAGAAGAAGAAACTGTTGAAACTACTACTGCTACCACAAGTACCACTAAACAAGAAGAAGAAGAAACTGTTGAAACTAAAGTTGCTACTACAGAATCCATTAAAGGTGTTGAATCTGAAACTCCAGAAACTACAATCAAACCATCCAGCTCTTCTTCTTCAAGTTCAAGTACTAAACCAGCTACAGTTAATGTTATTACTGATAATATTGTTACTGAAACTCCAAGTGTTGAACAAATTTCAAGTATGTCAACAGTACCAATTGCTTCAGTTTCAAGTTATGCCGTAAGTACATATGAAGGTATTGCTGCTGGATTAACTTCAAGCACAAGTGCTCTTGGATTAATTGTATCTTTTATCTTGTTTATGATCTAGTCATAATTAAGAGCATGAAATAAAAAAGTGTACCATAGTTTCTCGTTTGTTATATAGAATTTAATACAGGTATTTTTTTCTTTTCTGATTTATTACAATCGTCGTACTAAAATCGTCCATATATCATCACCTGTTATTATTCATTACTTGTGCCTCATATAAAAGTTACTCACCTAACTAACAGCTATCCAATGATTATATTTTAATATATCACATGTAGGAATTTTTTTGTAGACAAAAATGATGATCAATCTTTGCAAGCAATTTTGTTAATTCAAACGAAAATCAACCCGAATGAGCATGGGGTTGGAGGTAACAACTACATGTGTTTGTATAACTCATCCCCAAAATAATAAATTAACTCATGCAATACATCAAATCGATCAGAATGATTGAAATAAATCCATTTACAATATGGTCATATCCATACGATCTATTCAAAGAATTTTTTTTTTTTTTTACATTATACATTTTGTTTTAATTTAATTTAGTTATACAATATTGATACACACTATAAAACATCTAAAGTATGTTCAAACTCAATTATATCTGTCCAAACATCTTGAAGTGCCGATTTACCTGAAACCTTATTAGCAAAGGCTTTCTTTCTATCAGTATTCAATTTAGCAAAAATTCTTATTAAGCCATAATCTAATATAGGTTTAATATTAGTATCATTATCTTTTAATGCTAAATTTCCAACTCTATTTAATCTTGGATTTAATCCACAATAATGATATTCTTTTTCAGTTAATTGTTGTTGTAAGATATACATTCTTCTGTATGTTGATTCATTTATTGGGAATACATTGAAAAATGATCCATCTTGACAAGATCCAATAATTTGGAAATTATTATCATCAATAGGTAATGTTCTTAAACAGGATATCGGTGACGCAAGTTCAAAGGATGCTTTGGTTAATAATTTGGTACCATTAATTGACTGAGGATCATCTGGATCATAATTCAATAAATGAAGTACATTATTATTATCAGCCACAAGGATGTATACTTCATCATCTTTAATGATAAAATCGGCACATTCAACTGATAAATGTTGCGTATCTTTACCCAACATAATCATTCTAAATGGTTCGGCATCAAAACCAATCAACCAACATCCTTTTAATGGATCTCCCAAAATTAATAAATTACCAAAACTTTTAGATTCCGATACATATACTGGAGTATCTAAAAATGCCACTGGAACAGTACCGTCATCCTGTAAATCACGAACAATCACTTTTTGACCTTGTGAAACTAAAAATCTTCCACTTAATTCACAAACACTAGTAACAGCTCCTTTAATATTTTCTTGAAAAGTTTCTTTAAATTTATGATTGGTTTCAGGTTTACCTGGTTCAGGAATAATATCAATAATTTCAAAAATTTTAAATGCCCCATTAGCAGCAAGATCTTCCATTCTATATTTACCAGTCCCAACAACAATATATTCACGTTTATTCTTAAATTTCTTAATTAATGAACTTGATCCAATATCTAAAACCATTGATTTTAAACTCATACCAACCTCATTATCATCAAGTTCAATTGTATCAATAACTGACCAATTATAAGGTGAAATCAATTTAATTGATCCTTTAAATGAAGTAGCTGCTGGCTTATCTTCCATTACTCCAACAATCAACTTACCTTCTTCATCAACACAGTTATATGGGATTTCTTTAAAAGTAGAAACTACAACACAGTCTGAAGCTTCATGATATGCCATTGCTTTGATTGATTCACCAATTGGAACGTGTTTCATAGGTAAATTAAATTCATAATTATAATCCAATGGTAACTCACAAATTCTAGCATTTTGTTCATTATCCAAGAAAATCAACCCATTCTTGATTTTTGAATCAGAAAATGCCGATATTGATACAGCTGGAATTTTTGTAAATTGAAAGATTCTCGGTATAGCATGAATAGTTTTCAAAATTAAATATGGTATAACCCCAGTAAGGAAAATACATGTAAATCCATTCAAATTTGGGAAATAAACTAATCTTCTTTCAATAGAAGTACCATATGGGAATGCATTTTCTGGAGCACCAGTAATTGTTAGGTCTTTCTCTTTTCTAAAGAAATAATTTTCTCCATCATAATAAAGTCTATACATATAAACTTCACCACCAATAGTCAATATAGTCAAATATTCATCTTTGTCTACCTTATCACCTAATTCGTTTAACATAATTTGTTTAATGAATGGATCGACAGTCAGTTGATTTGGATCAAAAAATCCTAATGAAAGATTATCAGTGAATCTACCCACATCATTCAATTGGAAACATTTTTCTCCATGAAATCTATTGAATGCAACAATACGGTTATCACCAGTAACTAATATAAAAGTTTTCAGTTTAGTTGTCTTTGGCGGATCCATATTTCTTGGTTTGTTGGAAACACTATTAATCAGACTATGTTTTCTCTTCTTAAGTAATGTACTAACATCCTTCAGCACAACGTTTAATAAATGAGAATTGGTAATATAACCAGTGGTTATAATTGTATCGTCCAATAATTTAGGAATGGCAACTTTATCATATGATTCATTATAAGTGTTTATAGCAAAAATCATAACATCACCACTAGCTAAAAATATCATTAAAAATTCGTCTCGTAAAATACTACTCAAAATTTCATCATCCTTGATTTCTTCATTTAAATTGAATCTTTGTTTGAATTTGTTATCATAAAGAACAATTTGATTAGGTGTAACCTGTAATATAAATTTGCCATTATTCAATTCGTGCATGTTGATTGTAAGTTCATCATTTATAAAATCTTTAGATTTCATACGTTTATATGATTTCTCAATTTGGAAAATTTCACTCTTGTAATTCCCATCATCAGATGTTATTAAATACTTTTGATTCAAATTCCACATTCTATTAACTTGGGAGAATGTCAAGGAAGACGAAATTTGAGGCTGGATAGTTGGCGTTATAATATTTAACTTGGTAGATGAATGAGTACCTGCGTTGCTAATGATAGAAACTTCATTATAATTTGGATTTGGTAAATTACATTTGAATTGCTCATGAGAACATACACCTAATGTAAAACTACTTGAAGGACCATTATTAATCAATTCATCATGATAAACAAACTCTATATGAGTTTTACTTAAATTTTTCTGTTCTTCTTCCTCTTCCTCTTCTTTATACAAGTCATCTTCGTCATCATCTTCATCAGCTTTTTGCGTTTCATCTTCTTCGTCTGACTCTTCTATTGGTGCGCCAATTTTTGCATCTGATAATGAATCACGATACTTAACTTGCACCAAAGGACTATTCCCACTTGAATTGGCAAAAAATAACAAATTCTTATCTAACACAGCAACCTCGCCTGGGTATGTTAGTTTTACCTTTTCGTACAATTTCTTATCTATGACATCAATGTGTACTCTTTTGATTGATTTCCCATCTAATTCAAAATTAATATAGTAGAATTCTCCAGTCTTCAAAACCAACAATACACGATGATCATTTGGAATGGGAACAATAGTTGAATCTTCTAATTTCAAATTTAAATCGGATTGATCTTGGAAACTTTTAATAGAAGCTGTAGTCAACCCTGTGAATTTGTTGACTGCGATACGTTTCATAACCCCACCATTATCAACATGTATCAATTCATTACATCCAACTAATATGACCCCATTTAATGGACTTGGTAATGGGATAACTCTATCAATTTCATAAGGCAAATTATCAATTTTGAAAACAGAAACAGTGGATTTCAGGTTTAAATCAAGGGTTAAAACTTGAAATTGTATATTATCTTTAGATTTAAGTAGATTACCTGCCCATACTTCAGATTTCAGAGATAACACACCAATTGTTGGTTCTCTATAATTATGTAAAAATTGCATATCGATAACTGTACCAACAGTTGAATCCAAAGTAGTGGCATCAATAATAAAACTAGAATCATAGAATTGTCTTGGTTCAAAACTGTTTCCGTTCATATCCTTTTCATTACCTTCCTTGGATTCTTCTTTGTCTATATCAACATTATTCTTGTCCATATTTTCATCCTTATCTTCGTCATCTTCATCTTCTTCGTCGTCTTCATCTTCATCGATTGTTTCAAATGGTAAGAAACAAAGAAGATTCTTGAATCTTAAACAACTGACTGAGTTATATGTTGGTTCTAATAATAATTCTGAAACTGACAATTTCTCATATGTTGAATTCTGAATAGAATTTTCATAATAATGCAAAGACACTGTTGAAATTGTGTTTAGATGATGATCCCATTTAATAATTGAAAATTTGGCATATTTCGTGGAGACAATCAAATAGTGTAAGTTTGGATTTTCAACAGTTCTTATTGGTTTCAAGTCAGTAATACATCCTTGTAGTTTAAACTGACCCACTATTTTCAATCGATAATGAGGTTTATTAGTAGTTGATTGTTTGGTTGTAATTACTTCAAAAATTTGCAATAATGAACCTTTCCCAACTATTAAATTCTTTTGTTTAGGTGATATAAAATTACACCCAACACAATTACTAACACGTGATGGGTCTATAATTTCACGATATGCATCCATGATTGGATTCTAAGTCGAAGTAGGATAAATTAGACTGTATTCTAGTCTTGTTGTTGTCTAATAGAGTTGGTGAAGATTTGGGTCTCTAATTTTTTTTCTTTTCTCTCTCTCTCTCTTTCCTTCTCCCTCCTCGCTGGGCTGTCCAACTGACAAAAATTTTTCAGAATCCCAGACAACCCAAATGCAAACAAACAAAATTGAGAAAAGAGAGAAAAATCAAAGACAAAAGAGAATCACCAACATCGACGACAAATCTCCACATCTTTACTGTCTACCCGGTTCACCTTCCCCGAAAAAGATATAATACTGACAATGGCAAATAATAAACCAATAAAGAAAACTGTTTCCTTTGAACAAGGTATCACCAATGGATCCTTGGGTGATCAATCAAGTTCTGAATCCAAACAATCGTCTAAATCTACCAACAACGTTGTTCCCCAACTTCAGAATAATTTACTTGTTGTTCCATTTCATAATATCTTGATCCTTATAGGAATGTTCTACATGGGGTTGACATCTGATGTTGAAGGGGTTATGTTGAGAGGATTTTTAACTAATATCCCAATACAAATAATTTATAACTATATTATCTACTCCAATTTAGCTAAGAAATCAAAAGGTGTCAATGTACCTTTGTTAATTGGGTCTAGTATTTTTGTTAGTATTATATTGGCAGTTCCTTTATTTGTGGCCATTATATTAATGGGGGCACCAATTTACAACTATTCATTGAAGACATTATATTTATCATTGCATTTATCCTTATTAATATTCAGTCCATTGATTGTATTGTACAATTTAGATTTAAATCAATTCAAGAAATTGTTTACTGAAGATAGTTTATATGGAATAATTTTCCATCATACTATCTTATCACTGGTTCTATTGACTTTAGGTGGGTGTTGGTTAGGAGTTATTCCAATTCCTTTGGATTGGGACAGACCTTGGCAACAATGGCCAATCACATTATTGGTAGGCGGATATCTGGGAGGCGTCATTGGTGGTCTTTTATCCGTGTTGGTAAATAAATTATAATCCTCGGATTGTATTTGTTTGTGTATATTAATGTGGGTGAAAAAAAAAAAATATAAAAATTCTCGAAAATGTTAGAGAATGTAAGAGGCATGATGATTATTAATGCATGTACCCGTTGAATTGAAGAAGGATAAGAATAAGAAAAAAGAAATTTTCCAAATTCCCATCTCAATTATAACCATATCTTTAATCAATATCGTCGTAGCGCAGCTTTTTTTCTTCATTTTCATTTGCATTTGTGTGTGATCAATGTGAATCTCATCAATTTTATGATTTGTAAGGCCTAGAATTAATTTTTTCCCACAACAACTGGCAAAAATGCTGTGTAATTCAATTGCTGCTGCTTGTTTGATTATGTAACTTTACATCAGTTGACAGAGTGTACTATAGTAGAGTATATCTCATTTTGTGATTTAACTACTGCAAAAAAAAAAAAAAAACATCAAAAAATTCCAACAAATTTCATTCTATCTCCGATGTCGCCTCTCAAGAAAAGGAACCAGATCTCAACAGTATAAAATCTCTCCGATTGCTCTGACTTTTTCATTTTTAATTCCCCTCCTTTTTTTTGTATATCTTCTTTTCGATTTGTTCAATTAGCAACTAACTATTCAATTGCAATATTACTATAACAATGGCTCAATTCCCAACTAACGTTACTCCAAAATACATTCCATTCACCAAGGAAAAGAGTGAAATCGGTGCTTGTGGTGCTCCAGCTGATTTGGACTTGAAAGAATTATTTGACAAAAACACTGTTGTTATCACCGGTGTCCCAGGTGCTTTCACTCCAACTTGTTCTGAACAACATATTCCAGATTACTTGAAACATTTGGAAGATTTCAAAGCTAAAGGTGTTAAGAAAGTCATTGTTTTATCTGCTAATGATCCATTTGTTATGGCTGCTTGGGGTAAAGCTTTAGGTTACACCAACGAAGAAAACTATGTTGTTTTCGCTACTGATCCAAATGGTGCTATTTCTAAACAATTGGGTGAAGATTACGTTGTTGACTTGTCTGCTGTTGGTTTCGGTTTAAGATTGCAAAGATACGCTTGTGTTGTTAAAAACGGTGAAATCACCTACTTGAAGGGTGAAGAAGAATTAGGTTTCACTGAAATTTCAAGTGCTGAAACTATTTTGAAAAACATTGCCTAAGTAGATTAATTGTAATGTCTGATTAATGAGAATATATAAATATTGTAATGATTTCTTCTTTGCATTTATGATCGTAGATTCAAAATTCACCAGGGTAAAGATGCTATAGAATAATACAACGGTTCAATGTTTACGGATTTGATTTACATTTTGTAGATCTTTCAATTGAGATGCGTTTAATTACATGCCGGAGTTTTGTTAATCTCATTACAATACCAGTGACTAACCCAAGCAAATAATAAAGTTGTATTACCTACAATTACAGATTCCCGTGAGCAAATTGTTGGATCTGAAAGGAAGTTGCAATTGATGTACAAAACAGTAATCGTTTGGGATATTAACTAAACGACGAAGTTGATTCTCCGTTTCAAATATAGTAAATACGTGGATATGACAGCACTGAGGATATTCTTGGACCAGTGTCACATCAAGTAAATGATCTCTAGATCTTGCGCTGTTGAACCTACAATAAACTCATCTTATCAGAGGAACAAATTACTCGCTTAGAAGGTACCAGCATGTTATGGGTATTAAACTCTGAATATTAATCAACCATGACTGACATGAGCTTGAAGATGTAGTTGTAAAAAAAACATCATCTTGCAACACTTGCCTTAAAATCAATCATTTCCCAAAATTACGCGTCTCTTCAGAAAATCCTGCACATGAATTTTTTTTTTTTTTTCTGAGCTGGTTGTCAGATTCAAAACCAGTTTCATTTTGGGTTGTTGTTTTTTTTTTTATCAATTTAAAAGACAAGCAATTGTTGTTGTTGCCAGATTACCAAAATCAACACCATTGAAAGTGATGACAGGGTTTCCTGAAGTACCTAGATTTCGAGGTGATACTGATGAAGACGCATCAATTCATTTATATAATACTGTTGGAAAAGCAAAACCACTTCGATCATCAATCTCCAAACCTTATTATTCTACAATTCAAAACTCCAGTATGTCTATAGATGATCGTATTTCAAATGTTTTAAATGAACATGATGATCGATATAGTAATTATGATGATGAAATTGATGAGGATTATACCAATCATACATATTTGAAATTTTTAAATGGAGAATATGGAGAAGAAGATGAGGTAGAGGAAGGTGTTTTGAATGATTATGATTATGAATACCAAGGAGGAAATGAAACTGATAGTGATACCTATAGAGATGAAGGAGGTAATATATTAAATGGATATAATGAAGGATTTGTTTCTGGGGATTTCGACCTTGATGAAGATGATCCTGAAGATTTAGATTATATCCCCATTGTTAATCATCAAAGAAAGGAAATCATTAATGGTAACGGGACAATGGATGAAACAAAATATCATGATGCGAACAGTGATGAATATGAAGAGGAAGAGGAAGAAGAAGAAGAAGAATACTTGTCAGAAGAAGATACACCGGTTGTATTCGATAGTATAAAACATGCAAAATCTCAGATAAGTAGAGGATCTGAAAGTGTGGAGAAGCACAAGAACCCAACATTTAATTGGAAACTTGGTATTGTGATAGCAGTGTTATCTTTTTTAATCACAATCGTTATTGGGTATGTATCAGTCAATGGGTTGGATGGAATAACACTACCGGATTTTAGTTTTGTTGAACCCTTAAGAATAGCCAAATTAGATGGAAGACTACAGCGATTGGAACAAGATTTGAAGAAGTCACAGAATGATAAGCACGATATTTTATTACAAGTTCAATATGAAATGAATCAGTTGAATGAAAAAATTAATGGGAAATTAGAACAATTAGGGAAATCCAATGACATAATACAATTAAAGAATAACAAGATACAAATTACACCTGAATTCCATCAATTTTTATATAATTTCATTGACAATTATCAAAGTAGTTATATTGATTCAAAACTAGAAGGAATTGAAAATTTAAATGATATTAATAGGTTAAGAGAATATGTTGATACTAGTGTACAAAATTCGGTTGATTCAATTAAACAAGAGATAAGTTTAGAGTATGATGAATTGATGAATAATTTAACCGTTTCCAATGGTAGTATTGGATCTCCTAACAACAACAAGATTTGGCTTGATTCCGTACTTGGTTTAATCTCACGTGGATCTACATTAGTCAATTATGCAGATTATTCCAGTGGTTCCCGAATTCTTGGATTTTTAACTACCGTAAATAAAGAGGAAAGTAGTACCGATTACAATGTATTACAAAAGATGATTTATGGTTGGTGGATATATAATGAAAGAATGACTAATGACAAGTATAATGCAAATCATGTTATATTAGATGATGACATTTTCTGGAAAGGAGGTGATGAGATTGGAATTAGAATGAGTAGTTGTATCATTCCAACTGATATTATTATTGAATGTGAATGTGAACTGGAAAAGGATCAATATGTAACCATTGGATTCAAACCAAGTACTAAAACTGGATTTGATAAATTACCATATGGTAAATTTAATAAGGATGCTAACAAGTATACTACGAAATTTAAAAAGATAAGACAAGCCAAGATTAAATCAGGGATAAATCATGTGAGATTACCAATTAGATTTATCAATGAAAAAATTGGTGGTAAAGATGTTTATTTTAAATTTAACAAGAATTTGGATATTAATAATATTAAGATTTATGGCATAAGTGAAGTAAATGCCGTAAAGTATCAAGATAAATTGAATTTATTGGTTGAAAAGTTTAATGAAGCTATAAATGAAGAAGAACTGGTTGAGAATCTTTCGGAATCTAATAGTCATAATAAGAATCATATTACACAAATTGATTTAAATGATGATATTTATCTTTAAGATTTCGGCTAAAAAGGGAAAAGTAATTGGATTGCACATTAATTTTAGGGAGAGAGAGAGAGAGAGAGAGGGAGAAGAAAAGATAGGTAACATTGCTTAACATGTAAAATTAAAGCCAAAAAAATTTTAAAAAGACTTCATAAGTTTTTAATTGTATTAATATTAATAAAAGAGCTAATAATGTTACTAAAAATAAAATTCAGAGATAGATAAAATAAAAAGGATGATTATCATTTTTAGTTGATTGAAACAATACCCTGAAATTCACACCTTCAAACTAACAAACAAGAAAAGGGGAAAGTGTATTATTGTAATGTATCAACTCGATATATTATTTTCTGCCTTGTTTCAAATAGTATACGTTCTCTTTACTTTCTAAACCCAAGCCAGCCTTGTAAGGCAGTGGGGCGGTGACTGCGGTTATGCCCATTTCTTTTTTCTCCTCATAATTGGCCTTGCTTAATGTTGCTGCTCTTCATGAATCTTACTTTTTTTTTTACCCCTGGCAAGAAAAAGAAAAGATAGTTTGCAACTTGTCTCATTAATAGTATAGAGATTATACAAACCCAGTTAATCAAGAAAATAACCAGAAAGAATACATAAAATTACAATATATACCCATATAAACTATGTATATATATATATATATATATATATATAAATATAAATAAAACCGAAAATTAAACAAAGTGATATACTTTAGAAGCCATATTAAAAAAACTTTAATAAGCACGAATATTTTTTTGAACAAAAAAATTAAAGAATCCATAAATAGAAAACAAAATTTTATTAGAAAATATATATATTAAATTCAATTTAATGAACTTAATACATACATATAAATAAAAAAAATAAAACAAAATATAATAGCAATGAAGAAATATTAAAACCTGTAAATATCCTTTATCTTTTTTTAATTAATTAAGTAATGATCAAATAAAAGGAATAAAAAACCGAAAGAAAAAAAATAGTAATTGTCTCTTTATGTCTTTCTAGTAAACTTACATGAAAGCACCCAAAGCCAACAAACCAGCAGCAACAACTGGGGCAGCGTTAGCAGCAGCACCGGCTTCAGCAGTAGAAACAGCTGGAGCTTCAGTAGATGGAGCAGAAGTAGATTCTTCAGCTTTAGTGGTCTTGGTTTCAACTGATTTAGATTTAGATTCTTCAGCTTTAGTAGTCTTGGTAGTTTCTTCAGTTTCTGGAGCTTCAGTGGTTGGTTTTGGAGTAGTCTTTTCTTCTTCTTCAGTAGTTGGCAATGGGCAGTAAGTGGTGTAGATAGTAGTACCTTCAGTGACAGTGGTAACACCGGTGGTGACTGGAGTTTCGTGACATTTGTCTTCTTCACAAGAAGTGATAGTGATAACAGTCTTGGAGATTTCAGTGGTGGTGGATGGCAATGGGCAGTAAGTGGTGTAAGTGGTGTCAATTTCAGTGACAGTGGTAACACCAGTAGTAACTGGAACTTCAGTACATTTGTTTTCTTCACAAGAAGTGATGGTGATGATAGTCTTGGAGATTTCAGTGACAGTGGAGTTGGAGTAACCAGCCAAGGCAGTACCGGCGACGGCAGATAAGACAGCAGCAGTAGAGTATTTCATTTTTAATTAATAGTAGCGAATGTAGTGTTTGTGATTAGATAATGAAGAAAAAAAAAGGAATGTTATAAAAAAAATAAATCTTGGGGGGTTGAATCCAAGGGTATTTATAGTTGAAGATAAAAATAATAAAAAAGAATAAGAACATTCCGGAAAACCCCTAAAAGCTAACCTAAACAGAGGCATTAGTGAAATTTTGAAGAAAAACAAAAAGAATTTCTCTTATTGTAAACAATCTTATTCTAAAGAAAGAAAGTCAAGATACAGTAATAACGTAAACAATAGAATGTAGGTCATCAAACGTATGATCAAAGAGGTTTAAAAAAAAATGGCAAGAGCTGTATGCTGTATAAACTAGTAACACTAAATCAGTTTGCAGATTACCACATTGATCACTGCCAATTAAAGGGATTGCATTCTTTTTTTTTAAAAAAATATTTCTATTCTACAAGTTATTATGTAAAAAGGGGTAATTTAGCATGAGTGTTTTGTTCTGGTATATAATTTCAAATTGCGAATTGCATGTAGACTTTACTGTCTGTGTCTTCCTCCTCTCCCCAAATATAACCCAGATTCATCTATTTTAAGAAGAAGATGCAATTAGAATAGATTTACGTAACATGTAAAAATTGTTCACACTCACATCGCTCTAGTTCCTGTTGTTACTGGGTAATGATTGAAGTACCACCGCAAGAGCAATATGCAATAACTACACAATGTGTCGATTGCTCTCTTTTCTTTTTTTTTTTGTTTCTGAAATAAAGAAAGTTGCTTCTGGTTAGAAATGGGATAGAGATTCATGCATTATATTGCTAAGAATAGAAAAATATGACAATGAAACTTTGCAGTGGATGAAAATAAGAGAACGGCAGTTGAGCTATTTTGTGATAAGCAGCAATTCAAATAGGAGAATTAGTTAACCAAAAATGCAATTTACGCAATCTTTCTTTTATTTTCTTTTTCTAAATATAAATTGAAACTAACCAAACTCGTAGCCAATCTGCACTGACACTTTCTTCCGCGCTCATACTTTTTTAAACTCCTGCACAAGCTCACAACACAACTCAACACATCTGCAAAACGTAGCATTACAACCAGTAACGTGTATGGTACATGGCTATGAAAATTAAAATTAGAATTAAATGTTTAAACTCAGATACAGATGCAAGCGTAAATAAAGTTAATTAAATGAAGAAATGTCTAGTCGTGTATTTGGGGTTAAAACATGTGTGTGTGTGTGTGTGTGTGTGTGTGTGTATCGCAATCATTCCCAATGAAGAAATGGTTCACCTCAACTTGGAGAAAATGGTGGTTGTGTTTTAGTTGTAATGGAAAGTGCAATTCCAAATACACAACAAACAAACAATGAGATTGATTCTACATCTCTTGTGATGCCCCAGTACAAGAAATGTGTTTAAAATGAAAAAGAAATACACATTTATTCACGTTCGTACAGACACACATGTGTTCTGTTTCCAGTAGCATTCGTACTTTAATGGGTTAATGTTTGTTCTACCAGTAAAAAAAATACCAACGAAAAAATAAAAGTTAAAGCTTGTTCTAAATCCCAAGCCTACTTTTGTGTGACACTTTCATCTTTTGTAATTGTTCGAAGAGTTCAAGATTTTATTTTTGTATCTGAGGATAATCTTCGCTATTCCCCATAAAAGTTGCAAAATCAATTAGATCAGAAGATTTATTAACAGGCTTATAATTTAAGAATTATTCTTTCTTTATAATTTAGGACAATTTCTACTCCCTTCATTCTTACTTATTACCTACTCCATGTATTTTTTTGAATGAATCTTTCTGGTTCATTTTTAGTGTCTGTGTGTGTGCAAGTTGGTGTGTATGATTTTCCTGCTTTGCATTTAATTGCGCGATTGTGTAACTTCTCTGTTGTTGTTGTTATTGAAATTTGCCCTCGGATGGTTTGGAATGAAATTTATGTTAGTCGTGCAAAAATGACCAGAAGTTTCTTCCTGAGTGCTAATCCCTCCATGCGCTAAATATTTCTACTTCACGGCGGTTAACTTCCTCTTTAAGATCTCGCAACATTACCATTAACAACAAACAATAGTAATAGAAAAAAATTATTATAACTGTATTATTTCCGAATGGTTATTAAAATTATTAATTGAAATTGAAAAGACGATGGGAAATTGAACAATCACATCCAACATCCTCATAACATAACCCTAAAAGAAAAAACCAGAGAGGAAAAAAAAAATTCAATCGCATGGTGTCTCGTACAAAGAAAACAATTGCATGTAACTAAACAAGTTAAACCAGTTACACTTCGTTGCAAGGTGTATCCGTTTCCTGTTCTATTTGTTTCCTCGCTTCCTCGCTCTGTTTATTTGTTTATGTTTTACGTCAATGGTTAAAGAACGAATTCAAATTAAATTGAAACAAAAACGAAAAGCGAAAAATGAAAAATGAAAAAAAAAAAAAAATTTCACGCGATTTTCAATTTTTTCAATTTCTGTACGGTCTTGCCTGACATTGATGAAATGTCTTGATACACCATTAATTGCAATAAATTGTAGAGTAATATTCACACGCATGAATTAAAGATGATGAAACCTCCCTATTCATTGATATTTAATCAATGGAGAATATGGCTTGTAACAAAGCTCTTTGTTTTTCAAGAGGTAATGAAAAGAAAATTATATAAATTAAAATCAAGCCACTTTGAAGTATTCGCTTTCCTCTTTTTAATCATGTTTTCATTCAAATTTCATTAGAAATTCAGGTTTACGAATTTTGAGCTATCGCGCCCAATTGTCGACTAATCACTACCCAGACGACCCGCTTTTACGGACCTATTGGGACTGAAAACAATCAGAGAAAAAAAAAAGAGAGAATCGTTTTAAACCAAACTAGTGGGAAATCCTTGACTGTACCAATAACTTGTGCAGCGATCTTACGTAATACGGCGCTCCTTTTTCCTTTATATTTATTTTATGTATCATTTAATTCTTCATTACTTCATTATTCATAATCTTGTCTCTTTTTGGATGGTGTATCTGCAAAACAGGTAAATATTGCATAATTAATTTTGTGGTTTGTGGTTTGTGATACTGGATGTGGTTATTTTTAGAAAATTGTAGTTTAGTATTATGCACTACCACAATTGTTGTTGCGTGTTTTGTCACGACACACGACTCGGTTGTATTCTCATAATAAATTTTTCCGAAGTAAAATCGCCATCCGTTGGCATTCTATTTTTACAAGTTATATTCGTTGCTTTTTCTATTTCGTGCTTATTTTTTTTTTCTTGGAGAAACTCCGTTAATATTGTCGTGTTAATGTAGGAACATGAAGTCAGGTTCTATGACAATGTGAATTAAGGGGGACACAAGAAGTCAAGAGGCATTTGTTGTTATAACGGAGCCAATAATATGAAAGCAATAACCAATCTTAGTTTTCACATTCTAAAGTTTCTAGTACAAAGATTAAATAAAGAAAAAAATATTTAAATTCATGATTTAGTACTGTAAACAAAAGGGGAAAATTAAAATCGAATATTTTAAAAGTATTGTCTTTCAGTATTTTATTTTTCTCCCTTTTTCATTTATTCCTTTCTCTTCCTCCCTCCTTCCCTCGCCTCTTCCTCCCCATTAATGTCGAGAAACAAGTATAACGTGCTTTGTCCTTGTCGTCCAAGCAAATCAGGAACTTTGTTTGTTTTTCTCACGATCTATAAATAAAAAATGCAACAGGATATGTGTGACATGATTTACAATATTATGTGAAGCTTCTACATTTACAATGGGAAATTGTATTCAACCTTCTTTCTTTCTATTTACACGACAAAGGAGAACAGGTACACGAAGACAAATCCAATTCATTCGTTAATTTGCCTCTTCCTCGAAGTGGTTTTTTGTTGTTTCTAGTAGCATCGTCTTTAAACTTGATCAAGTAACCCGCCGTACTTAATCGAAAATGAAAATTAAAAAAAGAAAAGAAAGAAACATGAGGTCTGTTGTTGTTGTTGTTGTTCTTCTTCTTCTTCTAGTCGAAAGATACATAAATTCTCTAATATGTAATCGTGGTATTTTACAGTTGGTGCCTTTTGTTGATTGTTGTAAACTCTCGAATACTCTGCTACCCTTTATTTTTCTTTTTCTTTTTCATATTTTTATCCTGATGTAGATTTGTGTATGGAACGCTAGGGGTAAAGTAGAAATGAACAACAAAAAAAATTATTTAAGATGGAGAATGAGTTCTATTTTGTAATGTGTACACGTGAATAGTTCTCAGTATCACAAGGGACTAAACAAGTACAAAAAACACGCAATTGGATATCCAACCATTTAATAACAAATAAACAACACGTTGGTTATGATTGAATTGTAACAAGTTGTTACAACGGCATAGAAACCAATGAAGAAGATGCAACTTCTATTCATTTTTTTTTTATCTTTGTTGTAACATGAGAAAATTTTATAGGTGGTTATTAATTTTGTAACAAGGCGTGCCCAATATTGTACACCACGTACAACTCGGCTAGTAAGAGGCCAAAGAACCATATATTATAGAATAATAATAATAGTAAAATAATCCATGGAAAAGGTAGGGCGGATGGGGGAGGCAGGTTGTAGCTTTGTCTGGCCATTTTCTTGTACAGGGTCGCATTCCACCATCAGTCGTCAGTCGTCAGTCCAGCTCGGACACGTTTAACCGACAGTTTTAAGTCGCGGAATTTTTCAGTTAATTTTGACAATGGTTAGGAGAAAATGGATTTGCGGTACATAATTTTTGATATAGTCAAAAAGATTTATCAACTGCAAGTGACAGTAGTCATAGTAATGGAGTAGTAATGGGGAAACTGTAGTACTGGCCGTACCCATTAACGGGTGTACTCACTCAGCTGAAAAAAATCAGGAGAAACCAACCCAAATACTATGAGCTAAAACGTAAAAACTAAATGTGATGAATGGAATTAGTTCCTATTGCATGGGTTGTACTGGCCAAAAACAGAAATCTCTCAACCAAATATTTCACATTTCTATCCCAATTAGTCAAATTTGTTACACAAATATATGCAGAATTGCACCCAATTTTGTGACGATTACACGACAATTTTAATAAAAAGCAATACAATTTTCAATTTCTTCCTAAGATAACTGAAATTTAGGTTCACAAAATAAATTTAATTCATTGACTTTTGAATGAATGTATTGTTTTACTAAGAAACTCCCAGGTATTGTTGTTGATTGTTCATAAACTATTTTGTGCGATAACTGTGAGGCTAAAATATTTTGTTTTATTTCATTTTAGACTTTGATTGCACAAGAGAGAAGAAGAGATAAAGAATTTACTCATAGGCATACACCAAAAAAGTAAGAGAGCAAAAGAAATTTTTTTTTTTGTTTTATTTTCGCCAGTTAGTGCGTGCCTCTCATACTTTCACTCTGCTTGTCTCAGAAAAAATTTTTAGTCTGTTGATTGCTGAAACCTTCTGTATAAATAAACAAGATAATTTCCTGTTAAAATTTTATTTCCATTTCCTTTTTCTTTTTTTGTTTCCTCACCAACTTTTATACACTCGCTTTAATTACTAATATTATTTTAAAAATGAAATTCTCCACCGCTGCTATCTTCACCGCCGTTGCTGGTTCCGCTTTCGCTGGTTACGCTAACTCCACTGTCACTGAAGTTGGTACCACCATCATCACTGTTACTTCTTGTGAAGAAAACAAATGTACTGAAGTTCCAGTCACCACCGGTGTTGTTACCGTCACTGAAATTGACACTACCTACACCACTTACTGCCCATTGACTTCTGAAGAAGAATCTACCAAAGCTCCAGAATCTACTTCTGCTAACTCCACTGCTCCATCTGTTTCTACTGCTGAAGCCGGTGCTGCTGCTAACGCTGCCCCAGTTGTTGCTGCTGGTTTGTTGGCTTTGGGTGCTTTCATGTAAGAAAGTTGATATTTTTTAGTGATATCCCCCCTTTTTCCATTCTTAATGTTTTTATTTTTAAAATAATATAGACTTTACAAAAAAAACGTAGTATATAATTATTATGTATTTGAATTGTTGTTATTTATCAAAGCTACTGATTAATAGTTATTAATTTACAATATATATTACTTATTATACTACCATTTAATTATCTTTATTTTTGATATCGATATCTCTATCACATCAAACGGTTATCGTTTTCGTTCTTGAGTCAAAGACTTTACCCGTTGGTGTATTGTAATAGTTGGTCCTCTACATTTCAATACGATACTGCCACTACCAATTGATGACTCTTACGAACTGTCTAATTGTTACAGGTAAAGCAAATCTTTGCCTTGAACCATCATCTCCTACTACCCCTCTCCCTGTTCTTGTTTCCTCTTTCAAAGACCATTCGTTATTTACAGTATTAAAAATAACGGATATAAAATTGGCAATTAATATGGGCGTGTACTCTGGACAAATAACTCTGACCATATTATAAAATAAAATTGTGAAAAATAAAAAGCAATTCAAAATTACCGCAAATTATTTGCTTTTGTGATCATTTTGTACAAACAAAAGAAGTTCGTGCAGAACAGTCCAAAAACAGACGAAATCATAGCAAAGTAAAACAATCAAGGTTATTGGTTCAGACAATTTTCCGCAGAATATAATAAGTGTATTCCAAAATTCACATAATGAAATGCAATAATATTAGTCGAGCCATTATTAATCAATTTTTAAAAAGTACAATGTAATACACCATGTTGAAAGTGCATGTTGTTGATGTTTCAAAACAAAACATTGACGCGAAAAAAAATTTTTGGTGAGTGTTGATCTAAATAAACAAAATCTAAAAACGACAATAAAAATGAAAATCAAAATCAAAATCAAAACATGATACAAACTAAAACAATAAGTAAAGTAAAGATACGCAAATCTTATATTCTAAACAAAAAAAAAAAGAAAGTTGTGTAATGTAACCTAAACAATAATTAGTGAGAAAAATAGCTTGAGCGTATTCAGAGCGTTAAGTTTATGGTCTACCCTCTTTCTTTCTGTGGTGATATACAGTGAAATTCGGATTTCAAATTCCATGAATCGATTCTAGTTTCTCGAACCATTTCATGAAACTATCATCCTTGGCATGTGTAAAGAAAGATAGAAGATTCGTTACGGGTTCTGTGTGTTTCCATATCGTCCGATTTGTACTTTCGGAAAGTTTTAATGCAGTATATCATATAAATCAAGACTAGAACATTTATTTTACGCATAGTTATTTTGTGTACTTCACCATCAAACTTTGACTGTGTGAGTGCGTTTATGAATTTTAAAAAATGAACAAAAAAGAAGAAGAGAATACGCAAAGTGTTTAATGTTATTTTGATTTTGAATCATTAAATCTAAACTTTCTTATTAAGCCAAATAATTTTCATCGTAAATCACACAATTAGAGGGATTCTAATTCATCAAGAATCAAGAAAGAACAACTCATTCAATAGGTGAGTAGTCAAGCAGAATGGTAATTGTTGATACTATCATTCATATAGTATAAGAACAATCTCAAACTCATCATTAGTAATGATCAAATCTGATATGTAATATATTCTAATTCTTCTAGATTTAAAAGTTATACATCTTAATACGCATGTTCTTTCATGTAGAAAGATCTCATTATGTTAATTCTATTTTTATTTATTCTTGAAAAGTTGCAAAATTTAAATTAAAATCAAAAATTGATAATTTTTCTATACAAGTTATTAATCATCAATAATACTGCTATGAACTTTTCTTTTTTATTACTTAATTACATATTCATATGTTCTATAGTATAATTATATGGTTCTTGTTCATTTGATTATACTATATCCTATACACTTCGTCATTAATCTAATGAATTCTAATGCTAACATAACTTTGATCTCCTACACGATTTGATCCTTAAAAAAACGCGTAAAAAAAAGAAAATATAGACACGGTTGAAATAAAAAAATCTAAAACAATGCAAGATAATCTAAAGGAAAAAAAAAAGGAGGATTTCCTAAAATCATCATAAGAGACAAACGGTATCAATCAATTAAGTGTAACAGAAACTGTAAATTTATATAAAAAATGCGTTTATTTACATGCATTTTACAACGATTATATAATCGCTAGGTGTGCATAACTATAAACATAATCTTACAGATTCAAGGTTGTTTCTTACAAGCCACACGCATCTACTCATCTCCAAAAAACATCAAACAATAAAAAATCAACGTATACTTCAAATATAATCAAACTATAGCAAGTATCCTTTTTTTAAAAAAAACTCTACTCTATTCCTTTAACAATACCTTAAATGTAGCAATCTCAAACCCTCTCAAGGAAATATCAACTTTTTTACCACCATCTCTCACTTTCAATTCCTCCAATTCATTCTCCAACCCATCAGCCTTGAACACTTTATCAACTTTCAACCATGGTGCATCCAAAACCAATGTGCCTTCACTACTACCTCCAAGTGATTCATACACTCTCACAACAATCGATTTGGCCTTGGTCGTCTTGTTCGTCAAACTGTCAAACTGGCTCACATCAACATCATTCTCCCCCCTCTTGACATGCGACAACACCAACGATGACAACGATGACCCAGATGGCTCTTCTAATCGCACAGAATGCACATACGAAGTGTCAAATTGTTGCGACAAAAGCTTGTAGTTAAAGTTGTACCCGGCTCTCACAGTGTCCACCCCCACGGCACCACCGTGTGGTAAAATAGCATACTCAAACTTGTGACTACCCATATCCGCCTTGTTATCTGGCGCCTTGGCACTTCTCAACAACGACAACCGAATCAAGTTCCCATGGATAGCACCACCGTACTTGCAGTTGTTCAAGATAGAAACACCATAGTTGAACTCACTCAAGTCCATAAACTTGTGGTGCGCAACTTCAAACTTGGCCACGTCCCAGGTCGTGTTCCAATGTGTAGCTCTCTGGGTGACACCAAACTGGGTCTCGTAACTGGCCTGTTGCGCAGTGTAAATAGTCGTTGGAAACTGCACCTTTAAGAACTTGTAGGTCTCGTGCCACTCAACAGTGCTGGAAAACTTAAGATAGTTGTTTTGACCACTGGCACCATCGTTGACACCCGCCAAAGAAATCACAGTTTCAATGTACGACTCGTCAGAAAGCTTGTGCTTCACAACAACAGACGACTCCAACTCATCATTGACCAACACCTTGGCCTGGCCGTTGTTAACAAACTTGAATTTCTCCAAACTGTACAACTCAGTGTCCCAGGCAGGGAAGTTCAACGGTTCATCATCAAAAAGCAAAAACTGGTTACCACCAACAATTTCCCCACCAGACTCCTTGGTCACAGTGGTGTCGATGATTTCTCTCTTGTTCACCTCATCATACAACGAGGTGACAATACCGGTAGCCGAGATCTTGGCTGTGAGCAACTTGTTTGACAACGTGAACCCGTCCTCGGTTTCTGCAACACTGGCAGGGTAGTCAACCTTGCTGTTGATCTTGGTAACTCCACCAACATGGTCGACAGAAATAGCAATGGTGTCCTCGCTCTGTCTGGTCTTCAACACACCGGAACCTTGGCTCACCAACAGATTGTACAACTCTGGTGACTCGTTCTTGTTGACTTCCACAATCTCGTTGTGTCGGTCCCATGGCAAAGTGTTAACAACACTAGGTTTCTTGCTGTCCCCAGCGGCTTTCAACGCTTGGTAGATAAGCGCACTGGTCTTCTTGAAAAACTTTCTGGCAATCGGGTACACTTCCTCGTAGTACACCATACCAATACAACTACCAGGCAAAACATCGTGGAATTGACACAACAAGAGGTCTTCCCACAACTCAAGAATCTCCTTGGCAGGGTACTTGTACTCCTTGACCTTGACACTCACCAACCCAGCAATCAACTCCAAATCGTGCAATCTGATCTCTCCAAATCTCATAAACTTCTTGATTCCCGCGTGGGTGGTGTATGTACCACGATGGTACTCAAGATAAATCTCGCCAGTCCACGTCGGCAACTTGCGTCCCTGGTCCGATTCCTCCAACAAGTGCTCGTAGAAATCATCAACCGTGACTCCCAAATGGACACTAGGAATCAACCCAGAATTGTTGGCCAACCCTCTGCATCGTCTCAACTTCTCAATCATCTCCTCCTTGGGACCACCTCCACCGTCACCGTGACCGTAAAGCAACATACCCGTTGGAACATCCCTGAGGTTCTTGTGCTGTTGCAGTGATCTCACAACATCACCAAAGTTGGCAGCAGCAGTGTACGTATTGGCAGGCGGCATGTGCACCAACAACTGCGATCCATCAATACCCTTCCAGTTGAACGTACTCAATGGGAACGTGTTGATGTTGTTCCACGACAACTTCTGTGTCAAGAAACGGTGGATGCCCGCGGCCTGGCAGATCTGCGGAATCTGGGAACTGTACCCAAACGTGTCCGGCAACCAGAAAATGTTGCTCTGGAAACCAAACTCGTGCATCAAGTATCTCTGGCCCACAACAAACTGTCTAAGAAGCGACTCCCCATTCGGGATGTTGGTATCGTTCTCAACCCACGAGCCTCCAAGCGGGATAAACTGGTTGGTCGTGAACTTCTCGTGGATCTTCTCCATGATCTCCGGGTGATACTGCTTCAACCACTTGAACTGCTGCATCTGCGAAGCAACAAACACATACTCCGGGTAGTCGTCCGCCAACTTCAATTGTGTTGTCCATGAACGCACAATCTTACGTTTCGTCTCAGCAAATGGCCACTCCCACGCAGTGTCAATGTGACAGTTACCAATACCATACACATCTACTCTCTTGCTTCTGTCGTTGGGGTACTCGTGGAACACGTCGTCACTGTTGATCTTGTCACCTAACAATTGCTCGGCCAACTTACGACACTTGGCAATGGACCCCACATCTTCCGGGTCAAACGTGTTCATAATCTGAGTACAGATATCAGCAGCTTGGTACTTTTGCCAGTGTCCTCCAGGGAACTCTCTTGTGGCATCACCAAGAATCCAGAAATCCCAGAACAATCGTCTGGCCTCCAAGTTAGGAACAACCAAATGTGCACGGTTCAAACGGAAATGGCGATTTGGATCTGGCTCACCATCAGCACCGTTACCAAACATACCATTACATGCAACCTCAATGTAGAACACCTGTTTCTCACTGACACGGTACTCCTTGGGAATGTTGAACAAGTTACGTTCACCACCGGTGAATGCCTGCAATGGCAACCCCTTTGAGTTGTAGATCAACGCTTCGGAACTCAGGTCCCATTCGACCTCCAATCCTTCGTACTTCAACCACTCCTCTGGGATCTCCAACTCAAACTTGACCCAGAACGTCTTCCACGAAGGCCCAAAGTTGTATCCCAATCCGATGTTGTCCCACTTGATGTCATCAAAGTCGATGTCTTTGAACAATGGTCTTTGTGTCTTTCCGTCTTCGTCGTCTGGCACTCTCCACGACTTTAAGTTGCCAATTTCTTTACGGTGGATGTCGTAGAATTTTGGGAGGTTCAAGTTGTGGAACTGGCCCCCCGTGTTGGTGAATTGACGCAACCTGTCGTCATACAAATGATCAATTGGTTTGAAATTGGGCTGAAGATTGATACTATCGTAGCCCATGCTGATTTGTTGATTTTGTTATAGAAGGAAGAAAGGAATAACTACTATGGTCAGTTTTTTTTTTCCTTCTTTCTCTCGTATGAAAAGGGGGGACGAAATAAAGGAGTAGTGGCAGCAAAAGAAAAAGAAAAAAGAAAAAGATGTTTGAAATATGGGGAGACAATGCTACACAGAAACAACGGAAGGGAGAGACAAACAGAGACAGAGGAAAAAAAAAAGGAGGTGTGTCGCAATTTATCCCCCGATAAGATAACCAGCGCTGTTGATCCCAACAGACAGACAGTCGGTGTAGTAGACAATTCTAGTATGTGCATTAAATAGCTATGACTTCTATAGATAATAACACCTAATTCTGGATCTTGACCTCCTTATCTTCTTCAACAGTAGCAATTCCTGTGAATTCTTGTGGCAAGGATTCAATATGGACGGCTGGCAATTCAACAGAGAATGCCTTGATCAAGGTGAATTCGTTGGTGACCTTACCGCCCAATTCACTGATTTTGGACTTGATCGAATTAGCTTCGGAATCTGGACAGCTTTCCTTCAAGGTAATGATGTAGCTTTGTAAACCTGACATGGTGGATACGTTTCTGGCGGTGATAATAGGGGCAAGGGCTCTGTAACTGAAAATGGTGACAATTGAAAGAAATACGAATATGAATATACCAGTTAGTTTCCTATTGGATTTCATAAAACAAGTAGATATGGTGATATCGTGTTAATACAAAAAAAAAACGAATTATATAGAGGTGAAATTGGTTTGCTTTTTTTTTTTGCCTCCTACGTAAGGTGGGATCGATTTTTTTTTTGGCTGTTTGTTTGCTAATCTTTTGGAGAGAGAGTGTGAGTGTGTGGTGGGTTTTGTGGTTTTGTGGTTTTAGCCATTCTTTCATATGAGAGAGAAAAGAAAAAGGGGAAAACCGAAATATTTCAAATGAGAAAAAGGATGATGCCAAATCACCAATTTCACGGAAAGAGTTTATTTAATAATCATTACCCCCATATTCTAATTACCAAGGAGCTGGTTCTCCATCCATAAATATTCATAATTAATTATACCCCACACAAACACACCACTAATTGAGAAAAGAAAAAAAAAGAAAAGACTTGATTATTATTATGTATTTAATCACTCAAAAATTCTATACCCCGATTGATAGATTTATAAATAAGTTTAGGAGAAAGGGATTTTTATTATACACTGGTATTATCCTTTTTTCAGTTGGTTATATATTCTATTCAATTTCGAATTTACCATCCATCCCACCAGAGAGGAAACGTAAAGATAAGATGCTCCCAAAGTCTACTAGAAAGGAAATCGAAGAGGAAGAAGAGGTTGATCTTGGACCAACCGATGCGGCAATCCCACTAGAACAGACGAACTCAAATGACCATGTAATCAATAAATGGTCCAAGAGAAAGTTGTTTGAATTTTTGTTTAATGAGAAAATCTACCCTGATGTCGATGAAGACTTGAACTTGGTTAAAAAACAAGTTATAGAAATTTTCGAATTCAAGAAGGAAAACGGTACTTTAGAAGAGAAGTATATCAGTGAGTTATAGTCTATTGAATATATATGTAGCGATCATTTTGAATTGTGGCATTTTTATGATAACCAACAAGGTATAGAGCGAAAACTGGGATGACCACTAAAGTTGCAAAAAGAGAATCTCTAACAATAACAAAAAAAATATACCTATTCATATAAAAGTATGTTGCTTTCCTCCAATTTGAAAATCGGGGTTTCTATATTTTAATCATCAACTACTGACAGTAAATAAGACGTCTACTACACCATCAACAGATTCAATATTCAAGTTTCGATAGATTCTTGAAAGTACTGCATATTATTATTGATTGCTGGGGATGCGGAATTAGTAATAAAACTGTGGCTCTAGACCGTTGGACAGAATTCTTATTGGGTACCTGTCAATGAGTCATATCTATAATGTTATATGTCCTCAACTGGATTTACAAACAGTTATACCTTCCTTGGAATATGTTAAATCATAGTTTCCCTGTCAATTGATTCATATTAGACTCCCGTAACCTACACATGCAGTTTAATCCAATTAATAAGAAAGAATTTATGTTTGCGCCGTTAGGTGCAGGAATCGGTGTCATTTATTGGCCGAAAACCCCAACTTATTCTATTTTTTCCATTCAGCGAGACAGCAAATCTAACAAAGTCAAGGGTGAGAGAAAAAACAAATCCGTCTCTCCCCCTTGATAAATTTTTCTTACTGTTTTCTTTTTCTTCCTTATAGATTTCATATCTTTTTATTTGATCTAATCAACTCAATTTAATTCAATTCAATTCAAAAATGGTCAAAGCTGGTATGTATCAAGATCCAATGGCTGCAAAAATAAAAAAAAGTCTAGTTCAATGGGGGAAACAGCCTTTTTAGATGAGAAATTATTTGAGTTCCGATTGAAGTAATTTCAAATTTGCTCAAGGTTGATTTTTTTTTTATTTTTCAAGATTTGTATTCTTATTCAGCCTTATGATTATTTTTCTGTTGTTCTTGAAAATAGTACTAACAATTGATTCTAGTTGCTGTCGTTAGAGGTGATTCTAAAGTCTCCGGTGTCGTTTACTTCGAACAATCTTCTGAATCCGAACCAACCACTATCTCCTGGGAAATTTCTGGTAACGATCCAAATGCCTTGAGAGGTTTCCACATCCATCAATTCGGTGACAACACCAATGGTTGTACTTCTGCTGGTCCTCACTTCAACCCTGAAGGTAAAGAACACGGTGGTCCAACTGATGACGTCCGTCACGTTGGTGACTTGGGTAACATTGCCACTGATGCCAATGGTGTTGCTAAAGGTCAAATCAAAGACTCCTTGGTTAAAGTTAACGACATCCTTGGTAGAACCATTGTTGTTCATGCTGGTGAAGATGACTATGGTAAAGGTGGTTTCGAAGATTCTAAGACTACTGGTCATGCTGGTGGTAGAAACGCCTGTGGTGTCATTGGTTTGAGTAATTAGATTACTTGATTTTCTAAATTTCTATATATTCTATTACTAAAAATTGATTAGTTACTTATGCAAATTTATCCATATGGATGGATCCTGTAAATGTCTCTACTTTATTCTTTGTCTTTGTTTAACACATTCTACATATTGCAACTGTATTACAAGCACAAATTGAAATATGTTCGACACAGTGAGACTGCACTTTCATGAATATATAGTGCTACAAGACAATACTGTCAATCATGCTGATCAGTTTATAATGAGTGCTACGATGATGTAATAAACTTTCAACAGTTTAAGTTCAGCCATTAATGGAATTTGCAACAAAATCCAAACACATGCAAAATTCATTGTCTTTAGAAAACACTGTTACAATCGAAATTCGTTATTAACACACATTAAAATTCAGCAAATTCTTAGAATAAGTCGCTAGACTTTTTAAGAAAAATGCAAAACTCTCATTCCCAGTATAGACAAGCAATTGCTGCATTTGGTATTCGATATAAGTATTATTTTTTTTTTTTTTGGTAAAATGGCTGAACACCAGATTACATCATTGCAGTTATAATATTACTGAGATCTATTGTACGTGTTGACTTCCACGATATTGCCAAGTGAAGCACCACAAGGCGGAATTCAAATAATCAAAATGAATGCACAAACATGCAATATCATGCCAAAATATTTGAAATTATTGAATCCTTTGTTCTTTTACACAAGTAACAAAGTAGTTTAAGATTTGACAATAAGGTTGATAGATCTTTTGTAGGATTGGATGAGGTTACAAGGAATCTGCTAGATATTTACTATATCTTTTTGCTAACTCATTTAATTGTAAACTCTTGTTTTAATGAAATAAAACCCAAGTTGAGAATACAGTAGAATAAATTTGATTATTATTATTATTATTATTATTATTTGAGTAAAGTATTATTTATCTGCTTTACAGTTCAGATTCTATTTAAAGTACTTGCGTTAAATGGATAACTTAATTACAAGAATAATAATCTGGTTACAGTGTTTTGTTTACTTTGCTAATCATTTAAATATCATCATAAATTCAAGCAAAAAACAAGAAAAATGATACCACAATCAAAGTTATAATAACTCACGAGTATACATACATTTGGTGATCACAATTCTTTGGAATATATATAAAAATAAAGAGATTCCCGGGTGGCATTTTGGTTGATACTTTCCACATAATAACTATACACTCGTTAATCTTTTAATTTCAAATAAAAAAACAAAATGAAAAGTTCCATTATCATATCACCTTTATTATTGGCATCATTGGTAGCTGCTGTTGACTTTTTCAAAGTAAAAACCACATATGAGGATGTTGATTATCATCTCCAATACAATGCTGAATCTAATTTACTTCAGTTGACTACCAATGAAGGAACTGAATTTGACTTGAATGAATTTTTCAATTTGATTCTTGCCGATGATCCTACTAAAGTGGTTTCAAATGATGACAATGGTACTTTGTTTCTTCTTGATCACGATGGCGAGGCAACATACCCAGTATGGGGACATGAAGAGGGCTGTTGTATTTCTTATGCAGAACCATTATTTGCCTGTGCATTTGATGAAAGTGCTAGTACCTTTGGACTTACAACTAATATTGAAGGTCTTCCAGGTGTTGATTACCATTTTTGTTTCCCTGTCTTAGAATTGGCTATTTTCAATGATGAACCGGCACAAGAAATCTCCACAGAAGAAGTACAAACTTCAGAATCCATTATTTATGAAGATGAGGAAACTCCTTACCCAATAATTGAAGAAGAAGAAGAATCAAGTTTTGAACAAATTACCAACACATTCACAGAAGAAGTTGTCATCACTGAGACCATATGTGATAGTTCAAGTAGCTGTCCAGAATTTGTCACTACTATCACTTATTGTGAAAGTGACACCATTTGTGAACCAAGTACTACTATCCGTAGCACAACAATCAGTTCTTATTGTCCATCGTCGACAACACCTGAAGTTGTTGTTACTACCGCTGCTGATGATACTATTGCTGCATACACAGGTGCAGTTACCGTTGTTGTTACTGTTTGTGATGAAAGCACCACTTGTACAACATATAATTCTGTTGTCAAAGGTACAGATACTCCAACTTTCAGAACCGCCAGAGTCTCTCCAAAAGAAGAAGATACTACATCTACAATCACACAGAACGTATATATAACTCAAACTCCAGCACCACAAGAATTATCTAATAATGCTAATGGCATGAAATCTCAATACACCAGTATCATTGTTGGCGTATTTATTGTTTTCTTATCATTATTCGCTTAAGCAAGTGGACCAAAAGTTTTAAAGATCGTATTTTTCAGAATCTTGTTTCAATATGTTCCTGGTGAACTGTTTTTTTTTTTTCTATGTAATAAATAGTATACACACAATACAACATCTACAATATAGGAGGTATATTTTAGATTGTTTGTAGATGGATTGTTAGCTGAATGTCCAGATCGGAGTCCAAAAAACATTCATGGTCTACTCGGATTTAAAAACTCTCGGCAGAAGGAAAATAAATTCGTATGACTTGCAGCAAAACCCACACACTCACACTCTCTCTCCAAAAGATTAGCAAACAAACAGCCAAAAAAAAAATCGATCCCACCTTACGTAGGAGGCAAAAAAAAAAAGCAAACCAATTTCACCTCTATATAATTCGTTTTTTTTTTGTATTAACACGATATCACCATATCTACTTGTTTTATGAAATCCAATAGGAAACTAACTGGTATATTCATATTCGTATTTCTTTCAATTGTCACCATTTTCAGTTACAGAGCCCTTGCCCCTATTATCACCGCCAGAAACGTATCCACCATGTCAGGTTTACAAAGCTACATCATTACCTTGAAGGAAAGCTGTCCAGATTCCGAAGCTAATTCGATCAAGTCCAAAATCAGTGAATTGGGCGGTAAGGTCACCAACGAATTCACCTTGATCAAGGCATTCTCTGTTGAATTGCCAGCCGTCCATATTGAATCCTTGCCACAAGAATTCACAGGAATTGCTACTGTTGAAGAAGATAAGGAGGTCAAGATCCAGAATTAGGTGTTATTATCTATAGAAGTCATAGCTATTTAATGCACATACTAGAATTGTCTACTACACCGACTGTCTGTCTGTTGGGATCAACAGCGCTGGTTATCTTATCGGGGGATAAATTGCGACACACCTCCTTTTTTTTTTCCTCTGTCTCTGTCTGTCTCTCCCTTCCGTTGTTTCTGTGTAGCATTGTCTCCCCATATTTCAAACATCTTTTTCTTTTTTCTTTTTCTTTTGCTGCCACTACTCCTTTATTTCGTCCCCCCTTTTCATACGAGAGAAAGAAGGAAAAAAAAAACTGACCATAGTAGTTATTCCTTTCTTCCTTCTATAACAAAATCAACAAATCAGCATGGGCTACGATAGTATCAATCTTCAGCCCAATTTCAAACCAATTGATCATTTGTATGACGACAGGTTGCGTCAATTCACCAACACGGGGGGCCAGTTCCACAACTTGAACCTCCCAAAATTCTACGACATCCACCGTAAAGAAATTGGCAACTTAAAGTCGTGGAGAGTGCCAGACGACGAAGACGGAAAGACACAAAGACCATTGTTCAAAGACATCGACTTTGATGACATCAAGTGGGACAACATCGGATTGGGATACAACTTTGGGCCTTCGTGGAAGACGTTCTGGGTCAAGTTTGAGTTGGAGATCCCAGAGGAGTGGTTGAAGTACGAAGGATTGGAGGTCGAATGGGACCTGAGTTCCGAAGCGTTGATCTACAACTCAAAGGGGTTGCCATTGCAGGCATTCACCGGTGGTGAACGTAACTTGTTCAACATTCCCAAGGAGTACCGTGTCAGTGAGAAACAGGTGTTCTACATTGAGGTTGCATGTAATGGTATGTTTGGTAACGGTGCTGATGGTGAGCCAGATCCAAATCGCCATTTCCGTTTGAACCGTGCACATTTGGTTGTTCCTAACTTGGAGGCCAGACGATTGTTCTGGGATTTCTGGATTCTTGGTGATGCCACAAGAGAGTTCCCTGGAGGACACTGGCAAAAGTACCAAGCTGCTGATATCTGTACTAAGATTATGAACACGTTTGACCCGGAAGATGTGGGGTCCATTGCCAAGTGTCGTAAGTTGGCCGAGCAATTGTTAGGTGACAAGATCAACAGTGACGACGTGTTCCACGAGTACCCCAACGACAGAAGCAAGAGAGTAGATGTGTATGGTATTGGTAACTGTCACATTGACACTGCGTGGGAGTGGCCATTTGCTGAGACGAAACGTAAGATTGTGCGTTCATGGACAACACAATTGAAGTTGGCGGACGACTACCCGGAGTATGTGTTTGTTGCTTCGCAGATGCAGCAGTTCAAGTGGTTGAAGCAGTATCACCCGGAGATCATGGAGAAGATCCACGAGAAGTTCACGACCAACCAGTTTATCCCGCTTGGAGGCTCGTGGGTTGAGAACGATACCAACATCCCGAATGGGGAGTCGCTTCTTAGACAGTTTGTTGTGGGCCAGAGATACTTGATGCACGAGTTTGGTTTCCAGAGCAACATTTTCTGGTTGCCGGACACGTTTGGGTACAGTTCCCAGATTCCGCAGATCTGCCAGGCCGCGGGCATCCACCGTTTCTTGACACAGAAGTTGTCGTGGAACAACATCAACACGTTCCCATTGAGTACGTTCAACTGGAAGGGTATTGATGGATCGCAGTTGTTGGTGCACATGCCGCCTGCCAATACGTACACTGCTGCTGCCAACTTTGGTGATGTTGTGAGATCACTGCAACAGCACAAGAACCTCAGGGATGTTCCAACGGGTATGTTGCTTTACGGTCACGGTGACGGTGGAGGTGGTCCCAAGGAGGAGATGATTGAGAAGTTGAGACGATGCAGAGGGTTGGCCAACAATTCTGGGTTGATTCCTAGTGTCCATTTGGGAGTCACGGTTGATGATTTCTACGAGCACTTGTTGGAGGAATCGGACCAGGGACGCAAGTTGCCGACGTGGACTGGCGAGATTTATCTTGAGTACCATCGTGGTACATACACCACCCACGCGGGAATCAAGAAGTTTATGAGATTTGGAGAGATCAGATTGCACGATTTGGAGTTGATTGCTGGGTTGGTGAGTGTCAAGGTCAAGGAGTACAAGTACCCTGCCAAGGAGATTCTTGAGTTGTGGGAAGACCTCTTGTTGTGTCAATTCCACGATGTTTTGCCTGGTAGTTGTATTGGTATGGTGTACTACGAGGAAGTGTACCCGATTGCCAGAAAGTTTTTCAAGAAGACCAGTGCGCTTATCTACCAAGCGTTGAAAGCCGCTGGGGACAGCAAGAAACCTAGTGTTGTTAACACTTTGCCATGGGACCGACACAACGAGATTGTGGAAGTCAACAAGAACGAGTCACCAGAGTTGTACAATCTGTTGGTGAGCCAAGGTTCCGGTGTGTTGAAGACCAGACAGAGCGAGGACACCATTGCTATTTCTGTCGACCATGTTGGTGGAGTCACCAAGATCAACAGCAAGGTTGACTACCCTGCCAGTGTTGCAGAAACCGAGGACGGGTTCACGTTGTCAAACAAGTTGCTCACAGCCAAGATCTCGGCTACCGGTATTGTCACCTCGTTGTATGATGAGGTGAACAAGAGAGAAATCATCGACACCACTGTGACCAAGGAGTCTGGTGGGGAAATTGTTGGTGGTAACCAGTTTTTGCTTTTTGATGATGAACCGTTGAACTTCCCTGCCTGGGACACTGAGTTGTACAGTTTGGAGAAATTCAAGTTTGTTAACAACGGCCAGGCGAAGGTGTTGGTCAACGATGAGTTGGAGTCGTCTGTTGTTGTGAAGCACAAGCTTTCTGACGAGTCGTACATTGAAACTGTGATTTCTTTGGCGGGTGTCAACGATGGTGCCAGTGGTCAAAACAACTATCTTAAGTTTTCCAGCACTGTTGAGTGGCACGAGACCTACAAGTTCTTAAAGGTGCAGTTTCCAACGACTATTTACACTGCGCAACAGGCCAGTTACGAGACCCAGTTTGGTGTCACCCAGAGAGCTACACATTGGAACACGACCTGGGACGTGGCCAAGTTTGAAGTTGCGCACCACAAGTTTATGGACTTGAGTGAGTTCAACTATGGTGTTTCTATCTTGAACAACTGCAAGTACGGTGGTGCTATCCATGGGAACTTGATTCGGTTGTCGTTGTTGAGAAGTGCCAAGGCGCCAGATAACAAGGCGGATATGGGTAGTCACAAGTTTGAGTATGCTATTTTCCCACACGGTGGTGCCGTGGGGGTGGACACTGTGAGAGCCGGGTACAACTTTAACTACAAGCTTTTGTCGCAACAATTTGACACTTCGTATGTGCATTCTGTGCGATTAGAAGAGCCATCTGGGTCATCGTTGTCATCGTTGGTGTTGTCGCATGTCAAGAGGGGGGAGAATGATGTTGATGTGAGCCAGTTTGACAGTTTGACGAACAAGACGACCAAGGCCAAATCGATTGTTGTGAGAGTGTATGAATCACTTGGAGGTAGTAGTGGAGGCACATTGGTTTTGGATGCACCATGGTTGAAAGTTGATAAAGTGTTCAAGGCTGATGGGTTGGAGAATGAATTGGAGGAATTGAAAGTGAGAGATGGTGGTAAAAAAGTTGATATTTCCTTGAGAGGGTTTGAGATTGCTACATTTAAGGTATTGTTAAAGGAATAGAGTAGAGTTTTTTAAAAAAAAAGGATACTTGCTATAGTTTGATTATATTTGAAGTATACATTTATTTTTTATTGTTTGATGGTTTTTTTTTTGGATGTGAATGTGAATGTGGATGTAGATATAGACAGATATATTATAATGTTAAATTAGTTGACAATTAAAAGAAAGATACTTTTATTATAATGATGTGTGTGTGTGAAGAAATAATCATAATCTATACATGTACAAAAATTTCGTTAAAATTTTCTAAAAGATAACTTAAAATTTCACTTGAAACATTTAAAGTTGGTTCAAAAACAATACAAATATTTCTTAAATTCATTTTATTTATATGAGATTGACCAATAACCAGATTTAAGAAATATAAAATCAGATAAGTTAAATCATATCTAATAGGATCTTGATTTTGTAATTTATATCTAATTAATCTTTTATCTGATTGCATTAAATTTGAAGAATCTAATTTTATTAATGGATTTGGCAACATTCTTAAATATAATTTAAATAATCCTGCAATTGTGGCAATATCAACTTCAACACCTAAATCTTTAGTAAATAAATCAACATCCAAATTACGATCAAATTGTTGTTGTAATTCTGTAATAACTGCTTTACGACCAGATATACGAAAGATTCCTTCTTCATAAATTGCATGAGTACGTTCCAAGAAATCTAAACATCTAAAACAAATCGAAGGAATTTGTTTACCATGATATGAATGATTGGATAATTCAAATGCAGCATGGATATCTTTACCAAATACAGATTTTGGAATTACTTCTTCTCCTAAATTCATCTTATCAAGTACTTGTTGAAGATCTTCCTGTGGAGTTGATGGCATAGAATGGAATGAATTTTCTTCAGTGGATGTATTGTGTGGTGGCTGTAGTTGTTGACATGCTGTTGCCAAGGATGCATCTGAGTCGGTAGTATTTGCTCTGTTTCTAAATGGGAATATACTTCTCTTTTTCGGTTTCTTAGTAATATCTTCATTAATTATCGTGGTGGAAAAATTCGAGATTGAATCGGCAAATGAAGCAGCTATTGAAGCTGGGGTGAGTCCATTGTTTATTGATTTCAATTCATCATTGCCGATTTCAACTTTTGTATTTGGTGTGAGTAGATTATCTATATTCTCATCTCTGCCATTGCCTAATCTCTGTGGCGAAGAAGGTTCACTTGATTCTGGTGATCCCTCCGTAAATTCAATCAAAGAAGTAACCCAATCATCACGTTCTTCATCTGTTTCAGCACAAAAGAAATGTTTGGGTATAGAAGAATGCAATTTTTTACTTGATTGAGATTCCATAACCAAAAATGCATGTCTATATCCTTTATCTTCAGCAACTGAATCAGTAGATTGTCTACCAATTTGAGCCCCGGATAATTTGATTTGTTCCAACATTGGGCCACCTGGATTTTCATAAATTTCCATATAGGGACCATCAACTTGACACCATCTAATCTTCCAGTTAGTGCCCAACCCTTTATATCGTCTGACCAAAAATCCTTCTTTTCTTGCCCCACTCTTGAAATCATCTAAGGGGTTGACAAAATCTAAGGATAAGAATTTACAAATATTATACAATACCATTTTTGGAATATGAGGCATGACAAATATTGAATTGAAATAACTTTGCATAGCTGATCTTCTGGTTTCAATTTTTGCTGGCGTGGATGTGAAAAAGGATTGTTTATCTGGTAATGGAGGTAATCCGAAATATTCAAGAATTGGACGAATCTCTTGATCAAATGCACCCAATTGCGATATAGTTTTTCGAATTTTCCACATTTCCTTTTTCGTTTCTCTATCATTAATGGTTATCGTTATATTTGGATCATCTGATTTTTTGGCGGCTTGATTCATGGAATTGACAGTTATTGTACTAACAACGGATATGAAAATTGTATGAAATTCGTCTGGCTTGATAAACAATGTTGATTCATCCATATCAGTCTTAGGAGTATGTATGATATTAAAACTTGAACCTGGAGTCTGTGGAGTTTGTGGGATATTTGTTGCAGATCCTGCAGGGGAATGTAATGATGGTCTGGGTGTCACATTTTCGTAAGGTAATTGTTGAGTTACTGGCGTTGATACACCATGTGGCGAAATATATGGTTGTTGTGTAGGCAAATTCAATGTGGGTGGTCTTGATACAGGTGTAGGTGTAGCATGTGAAGATGTCATTCCAGTCAATGTTGTACTTGAAGTGACCACATCTTGGTTGGTTAACTCATAGGGTGGATCCAACTGGTTATCAATATTGTTGTTATTACTAAATGTTGAACTTGATTGACTTGGTGGGGTGTCATATTGTGATTGAGGTGAACGTGATTCCACAGGTGAGCCTAAATTTGCAACAGCAACTTTCAATGAGGTTGGAGGGGCTAAATCAACTATACTTGTATCACTTGGTTTCTTTTGTAATCCTGGAGGTTTAATCCTTGATGACTTATAAGTGGACCCCACACTGCTTGAACTTCTGGCAATTGTCTTACCTTGAGTATATATTCTGGCAGATGCAGCTGTTGCTGATGATGTTTCGGTATGTGATTTTGCGCTATCCAAAGTGCTAAATTGACTTTCATCCATTCTATTTGAATCAATTGATTCCATAGTATTCAATGTAGTGTGGGTAGCACTCTTACGAATACCACGATTACCAGAAATATCATAGTCTGCGTTACCAGATTTCATTGAATAAGAGTCGTCTGCTGTCTTGTTGAGGAACTCATCTTCATTATCTTCGTCTCTTCCTTTATTAGATGACAACCCAGAATTGTTGGATATGGAATTTGGAATTTGAGATGCTATCGAAGATTCCACGGATATATAAGATGCCTTTTTATCGGCGGTGGATTTTGTATCAAGTGAATTACGTCTTCGTCTGGAAGATCTAATTGGAATTTCATGTACTTCTTCTTCTACTACTACTACTACTTCCTTGTTGTCATCATTATTATTATCAATATTATTGTCATCATCGTCTTGTGCTGGCTGTTCTGATTTTTGTTGTAGTGGTGGTGGTGGTGAAGTTGATGGAAGTGGTGGTGGAGGTTGTGATGGTGAAGGTCGTGGTTCATGAATTTGGTCTTTCAGGAATCTATCATCCACAGGAGTAGCCAACGCAAAACTATTGGCATTTTGATTTGAACGTAAGGGACGTGGAGATAACGGAGTGGGACGTTTTGGGGATTTGGGAACCAATCTTTGAGGAGAAGTTGGTGATTTTGCAATAGGTGAAGGTGATGAGTTTGATGATGACAACAGGGTCGGTTGTGATGTTTGAATTCTTGGTGATTGTTGCTGTTGCTGTTGTTGGTGAAGATGACGAAGAGTTTCTAGCTGTTTCTTTAAATTTGCAATATGAGTATTTTGTTTGTCTATCGTGGTTTGTAATTCCCTATTCTCAAAAATCAACTGCTCTATATATTGAGAATCCGATAATTGTGAACGATCAAAATTAGGATGGGAAGGAGTATATTCATCTGATTGTGATGGCATTGTGCTTGTCATAACTGTAGTCGTAGACCTCGACATTCATGGAAAAAAAAAAAAAAGAAGAATAGCCAATATCAAAGCAAAAAACAAGTAGAGGAAGAACTAGTTGTTGATCTCTTTTACTTTTACCAAAATGATAGAGCAATAAACAATGAAATGATTTAATTAAAGTATCAATTCTTTAAAAACACAAAGTGACTAATAATCAAAGATTGTAAATGTGGTCGTAGTATTAATAGCTGTTGTCTGGGTATTTATGATTTTGAATAAATTTGACGATGGTTCTTTTTTTTTTTCTTTGTTGTTTATTTATTATCTTTGCTTACGGGGGTGAATGTGAGTGTGAGAAAAGGAAGGACGTGTATAAACAGTGAAAAAAAAAAATTTTTTTCTTTTCTTTCTTTCTTTTTTTTTTTCTTACAATTTCAGGAAAGTCGTGTTTCATTGCACCTTTGTACGTTGATTAACAAAGGGGTACTATAATTGAAAAGTACGTCGATCATAGAATAGTGTAAATTGTTAATCAATATCAACTTATCATCGGCTCATCATCATCACAGTTACCTATCAAAATTGTAATTATGAGAATGATACGCGTAATAATTGTTCGTACTACATGTAATTGTTTTTTTTTTCCCTGTTGTCTCTCATTTACAAATTGCCTCGCTGTTAATTTATTTATTAATTAATTATTATTTTCATGGTTGTTACATAAGATGTTACTCATAATGATGATGGACCTCCGTATTGATGATGTCCATTATTGTCAGTAATTTTTTCCTTGTTTTGCATCAACTCAATATTTGAATGAATTAGGAAACTGTGTTGAACTCTATTTTTTTTTTAAGGTTTCTTGCATATTATAAGGTTACAACCATCTGCTTATTTTATTTTTACTGGATTAGGTAGAGGGATACTCATCATCATCAAGTAGTCTCTAGCATAAACCGTCGTTAACAAGCAATAATTTCATTCTCTCTCTCATCTCTCTCGGTGTCAAATAAATCATACATTGCATTAATCTCGGATGTACAGTGTCACCTCATAAATCAAATTTCATACTCCACAATAATTGTATCGAGATTGCATTCTCGTTGTAAATCTGCACAAGAAGAATAACGTAAATGAGTGTGGGTTCCATCTTCTCCCCCCACCGCGCCGGGCCTCTTTACTGTTACGTAGTAGCTTCTCCGTCGCCCCCCCCCCCCGCTACCACACATAGAAAGAATGCGGCGGAAACAATAAAAATATAACATATTTCAATTGATTGTATATTCAACCATCAATCCTATTTAGATACTTCTTTATCCGTTTAAGGAAATTAATAAGAATACTTACAGTATCAATATGTGTCAAGATTTTTTCGTTTTTTTTTTTTTTAAAGTTTAGGCTACTTTCTGAAACAAGTAATAAGTCATAAGCTTGTTTTACAACGAAGGAGAATATTAAACTATACACAATGTATTCTATTGTATATGTGCTATATATATATCTATGCTAATTAATCGTATAAACTATTGACATTACCACTACCATGGTTATTATTGGAATTAGTTACTTTCTTATGATATGATCTAGTATGTCTCATAACTTTTCTTTCATCATCAGGATCTCTTCTAATTGGACTATCTAATCTAATACTTGAATTACCCCGGTCCAAAATTTCTTTAACCATTTTATTCATGTGTTTATTATTTGCTGATTTAGTTTGATCATCATAAATGTAATTGGCTGGTAATACAGCATTTGGCATCATTGATCTACCTAATTTAATCACTTCATTAGCCCAAATAGTTATATCACTTTGTGGTTTCTTATAAGGAGTCCAGTTTTTCTTACATCCTTTGATCAATTCTTTCATAACTTGATTGGACCCCCATGAATGATTCCATAAAAATTCATCATCATTGTTTAATCCAATCAAATGGGAGAAAATACCAGTAGATAATGCCCCATCAGAATATCCCCCTTCTAAAAATGATAATACTTTACCATTGGTATGAATTTTAGCTAATTTGACAACATCATTTGTAAAAGTAGCATAAAATGAAGTAGGAACATTGATACCATGTCTTTGCATTTGTGGATTTTCGTATTCTGATGCATCAAATCCCGCAGATATGGCAATTAATGGTTTAAATGGAGGTGGTGGAGTTGGTTGAACTACCGGTTGGTTAAATAAATGTGGCTTTTGCAAAAATTTATTGTATTGAGCCATTTGATCCAAGTATTCTTGATATTCTTGTTCATATTGTTTCTTTGAATTGTTCAAAAATTGATTTGCTCGATTCAAAATTGATACATATCTGGTTTGGTAATGTTTATAGAATTCATCTTCATTTGACCATTCTTGTAAATGAACATTCCAGATGTTTAAATCATGATCCATGATACAAGTGGATGCATTCTTGATATTTTCTTTAGTAGCATATCCGATTTCTGTTGGATAAGATTTGATATCATGAAGTGAAAAATAACCCACTTTAGGAAAAGTTGCAAATCGTTTACCATAATCATCTCGAGGATTTAATTTAGGATCAATGATTTCATCCTCTTCTTGTTGTCCATAATCACCTGTAAAACCTGCTCTTTCCCAACAAATATCTTGTGATCCATCACCATGATGCAAATCTATGTCTAAAATTGCACAATGTGTAACTCCATACTGTTCAAATGCATATTCAATACCAATTTGTACATTATTAAGTAAACAAAATCCACTTGGTAAACATGCATGACTATGATGACCTGGAGGTCTAATGACAACAAATGCTAAATTATGATTCTCCTTCTTCTTTTTCAGAAACAATGAATCAACTGCGGTTTCAATAGTACCGATTACCCCTTCGATTGCATTGATGGTTTTTGGGGTTAAATAAATATCACCAGTATTCCAATCATTAGGAACTTCCATTTCATTTTTATTCAATTTTTCATGAGATTCTAAACATAATTCAAATAATTTCTTTGGCCAATTTTTTCCATGAATTTTACGAACATGAGATGAAAATACAGATCCTCTTTTAGTAGAATTTGAAACTTTATAATAGAATGGAAACATGGTAACAGCTGCAGCTACCCCAATACAACTGGCCAATAATCTTTGAGGACGTTCAAATATAGTTGATAAATATGATTTCGTAACCCATTTTCTACCAAATGCATGTTCTGCTGAATATGGAGATAATAATACTAAAGTTTTGCTTGAATCGTGAAGGAATCTTGGTGATTCATTCTCAATATGAGGATTTGAAGTTAAAAAATCATGAAATGTATGATAATATTTCTCTAATGATTCATCAAGTAATGGAGATGGTTTTAAAATTGCATCGAATTTAGGATCAATTTTTTGTTGATTATAGTATTCTTCCAAACCCGGAGATCCAGTCTTCTTAAATTCGGTGATTTTAGGTAGTAAACTATATCTTCTTTTAGTTTTAAACTTTGGGATTTGTTCCAGAATTTGTTCATTTTCTTCCAATTCTTCAATTCCAACAATACTTGTAGATGTGAAGTTATATGTTGTGTTTGGTAATGTGGTGTGATCTATGGAGATATCATCTTCATATTCCGTAGTAGTTGGACGTATTGTTAATGTTGTTTCAAAAGCTTCAATCAATGAATCTTCACTGTCATTAGAATGATTGGTCAGAGCCATTATGAAGGGTGGTAGTGATGTTGTTGTTGTTGATGATGACGATGATCTGTGAAATTTATTTTATTTTTTTTTTTTTTACTAAACCTGGAACGACTCAGAAAAATCACGAGTTATTTATAAACTATTCTTGGGAGTTTTAATGAGATATATCTGTAGCGCCCCCTTTCGTTTTTCCAATTTAGGATAAGATAATATTGTAATAACTAATCTAGAAAAGGAAAAAGAAACTGTCAAACAAATAGCAATGAAATAAAAAGAAAAAGAAAAGGAAAGCCAAATACCAAACTGTAACTTAAAGTTGTTGATGAAGGATGGTTTTCTTTGTATTTGGGTATAGGTGTTCATTCATTCATTAATTCGTTGCGCTTGTGCGACTGCAATTTTCTCGCACAAAATCAATCATCAAATCAAAACAATAACAATAAATAAATAAAGAGAATGATGCATGAAATTTTCACTGTTTCATCTTGAAACAACCACATCGCTAGACATTGAAGCAGATCATTTCTTATATTGACGATGACGTAGTGTGTGTGTGTGTGTGTGTGTGTTCATATTGTACAAGTTTTATATTTAATATACACTTGGTTTAGCAACAGATTGTAATCTTGGTGTTTCACCAACATTATGTCTTCTCTTTTTCAACACATTTTCTATGAATGCTTCACCTGCTTTATATGAAGATCTTACCAATGGACCACTAGCAACATAAAGGAATCCCATATCTAATGCAGTATCTCTCCAATAGTCGAATTTTTCTGGAGTAACATATTCAACAACTTTCATGTGTCTCTTTGTTGGTCTCATATATTGACCAAATGTAACCACATCACATCCAATTTCACGTAAATCTTTTAAAGTCTTCATAATTTGTTCATCAGTTTCACCAAATCCAAGCATCAATGAAGTTTTGGTAACCAATGAAGGTTTGGTCTTTTTAGCTCTTTCCAAAACAGCCAATGATTGACGATAAGTAGCACGTCTATCACGAATATGTGGTGTCAAATCTTCAACTGTTTCCAAATTATGAGCATATACATCTAATCCTGAATTGGCTAATATTTCAACCATATCCAAATCACCTCTAAAATCACCACCTAAAACTTCAACAAGAATTTGTGGAGCCTTTTGTTTAATTTTTTCAACAGTTTCTGCTAAATGTCTAGCTCCGCCATCAACTAAATCATCTCTATCAACAGTAGTTAATACCACATATCCCAAACCCCATCTTTTGATTGCTTCAGCAGTATTTTCTGGTTCATTTGGATCAGGAGCAGCTGGTTTACGATTAGTTTTAACCGAACAGAATCTACATCCTCTAGTACATGTATCTCCAAGTAACATAATTGTAGCAGTAGCTTCTGATTTCTTACCACCCCAACATTCACTTATGTTTGGACATTTTGCTTCTTCACAAACAGTAGATAATTTTAATTCTCTAACATCTTTCTTCACATTATGAAAAGATTTACCCTTTGGAATAGGAACTTTTAACCATTTTGGTAATTTGGCATTAGGATCTTTTCTAGCTAATTCTAATGGATCTTCCATCATATCTTTAGCTTTACCACTGACAAAATCTTCAAATGATGGCCCTTTATTAAGTTCATCAGTAAATACTGTTCTTTTTCTTCGAGGTTTAACATTTGTTGCAAGTGTACGTTGAATAGGTATTGATGTTCTAAATAATGGTGTTCTTGATATCATTTCTATAATAAAGTATGGGACTTTGATGGGTTCCGGAAGTGTATTTTCCTTTGAATTTTTTTTTTTTTTGTTCTAATTTTTTCCTTTCTTTTTATTTTAGGGCTCTATTTCTCTCTTCCCGAGTTGAAAAGAAGTCAAATTTGACTCCCGACATATACCGAGTTAGAAAAAGCCATCACAAGTAGGAAAGGCATCAAAAACTAAACAAAAAAAAAAGGAGCGAATCATCAGAGTTAAAAAGATCAGCACTGTAACCGTTTATTTTTACGAGGAAAGTAAGAGGAAGAAGACAGTTTAGGTTATCATATATTAAAAAACATCTGGTACCAAAAAAAAAATTGTCTATTCTTTTGTGGTGTGGTGTGGTGTAGTGTAGTGTAGCAGTGCTATCTAAAGTAATCTATGGATTTCAGTATCTTGGAATTTTTCTAAATCACTTAAATTGTTCCACCATTTGAATAAGAAAGATTGACAAATTAATTTGAACCATGGAGTGAAAACCAAATTTTCATCTTCAAACATTTCTTTTAATTCTTTAGCATCAACATATTTAAAATCTTTAACTTCGTTATAATTTGCATTAATAGTTATGTCATTTTTTGCTTTCAATATCAAAATATAGTCAATTTCATGTTCACCCCATTTAGAACTTTCATCTCCACTAGCAGATTTATAATGAATTCTAGTTAAATAAGTGAATTGATCCAATGGAGTATCACTGATTGGAATACCCAATTCATGATCCAATTTTCTTTGTGCAGCTACTTTGGCCCCATAGATAGCATTATCCAAATTATTTACATCCTTGGTTTCACCAGCAACACCCAATTCACTTGGAACACATAATGGATGAGAACAACAAGTATTAGTCCACATGGATGGGAAAGTGATTTTTTCATCAGCTCTTTGTTGTAATAATAATTTCCCATCTTCATTAAATAAAAACACAGAAAATGCACGATGTAATAATCCATCATTGATATTATCCATAATATGACATAATTTTTTAGTACCAGCTCCAACAGGTTTATCATCATAATCTAAAACAATACATAATTCTTCCATTAATCTAATTTGTTCCTCATCATGACCATCAAATAATTCAGATTGGGAACTGTTGTTTGAACTTTCTGAATCAGCTGATCTTGGGATACCTGATATTTTCTTTAATGGAGTAACCTCTGGCCATTTGGATAAGATATCACTAGGTGAAAGGCTTGATACTAGTTTCTCATAAGCTGACATGTTTTATAAGTATGCTTGAAATTGAAAATTTTGCAATGTAAAGAGAAAGAAAATAAGTAAATAAATAAAAAGAAAAAAAAAAAAATTTTTTGGTTATATCTTTGGTTACAATTTTTTTTTTTCTTCTTCTTCTTCTTCTTCTTCTTCTTCTTAATTAATCTTCTCGAGGTACCACACCACGAACAATGCAAGATTAAGTCGACCTGGCTTGGTGTTTTCTGGACCAAACCAAGTTTGGACGGGAGGGAGCCAAAAAAAAAAGGTCCGCGAGCGTGTGTGTGCGCGCGAAGTAAACTCAAGAGAAACAAAAGAAACAAAATTATATTACGCGAGATCAAAAATAATAAAACATTAGGAGGTCGTGTGGATGGTGCCAGAATTGTATTTTTTTTTATTTTTCTGCTGTTGTTGTCATTTTCTCACTCACTCACTCACACACACACACACAGTGAAGTATCGACCTACGTGGAAGTAGGAAGAAAATTTTTCAAAATTTATTTACAACAGATCAAATAAAATCAGAGAGAGTTGAAAAAGGTTTACAACCAAAAGGGACAACTCACATTATACTAATTACCCTATTCCACATTAACCACCACACACACGGTTTTTTTATTGGATATTTCTTTTTCTTTTTTTGTTACTGATACTGATAGACACCATGGCTCCAACTGCTACTACTTCCGGATCTTCTGCTTCTGCTTCAACTAATTCTAACAGAAAATTCATCAAACGTCCAGATGACAAAGCTATTAGACAAGAAATTGACAAGTTGAAAGATGAAATTAAAAAATTAGATCTTTCCAACAATGAAATCAATGCTCAAATTGCTAAGGCTCAAATTGATGAAAAAGTTATTCAAAAGAGAAACAAGTTGCAAGCTGAATTGAAAACCTTGATTGCTAAACAATCTCAAGGTAAAAATGAACGTCAAACCATTAATGACCAAATTAAAACTATTGATTCTTCTATGAAAAAGAAGATTGCTGAAATCCAACAACAAACTTCAAAGAACAACTTTAAGAATGCTGCTGAAATCGATGCTAGAATTAACCACTTGGATAGTATGATTGATGCTGGTAACTTGAAATTGGCTGATGAAAGAAGATACGTTAAGGAAATGTCTTCTTTGCGTAAATTACGTAAAGATTTTGGTTCAATTGAAAAGACTCAAGCTTTGATTGATCAAGACAAGGAAAAGATTGCTGAATTGAAGAAGAAATTGTCTGCTACTCACAATAAGGAAGTTCAAGCTAAATTTGAAGAAATTCAAAAAGAATTGGACACCATCAACGATTCCAACAAATCCATCATTGCTAAAAGAAATGAATTGTACGATAAAAGAACTGCCATCAAGAAGGAAAAGGATGCCAAATATGATGAAATTAGAAAGATCAGAAGTGAATTTGATGAAAAATTTGCTGCTTTCAAGAAACAATTGGCTGAAGAAAAGAAGAGACGTGATGAAGAATACAAGCAAAAATTGGAAGAAGAAAAAGAACAAAAGAAGAGGGAAAGAGCTGAAAGAGAATTGGCTGAAGCTTCTATTCCAGCTTTTACTGAAGAAATCAATTCTATCCACAATTTGTTGAACTACTTTGACCCATCTTATGTCAAACCAACCAAGAAGACTGAAACTTCTACTTTGCCAACCAACACCAACTTGAGAAAGATTGATTTCCCAGAAGATGTTGTTATTATTAAGAAGGAACAAGAAAGTTTCTTTGCTGGTACTAGAGGTAAGAAATCCAAGGCCAAGAAACAATCCAAACCAAAGAACTTTACTGTTGCTCCAGATATTGTTATTGCTTTGAGTGACTTGGCCATTCCATTCCCAACCAAGGAAGAAGAAGTTGAAGGTACCATCAAGACTTTGAAAGAAACCTTGACCGCTCTTGAAGAAAAACAAGAAGAACAAACCAAAGCCAACATTGAAAAAGCTAAAGAAAGAATTGCTAAATTGAATGAAGCTGCTGATGAACAAGAAGAGGAAGAGGAAGAGGAAGAACAACAAGAAGAAGAACAAGATGCTGAATAGATGATTTAGAGATTTTATACGCTCTTACATTCGTTAATTTTTCACACCCGTTTCCATTTCATTTCCCAAAAAAAAAAAAGCAAAAAAATATAAAAGAACTTACATAGTCAATCGATAGATAAAAATTCATAAAAACAGAAACTGTATAAATACAAAAAAAAATATACATGTAAAGAAGACTTATTGTACAGAATACAAAATCCTCATCAAAGAAAAATGAAAAGCGAAAAAAAAAAAATGCAAAAAAAAAAAAAAAAAAATTTGTATGAAGCTCATCATCATTCACTATTAGTCAATATCAAATAATGTCAATCAAACGTAAGGCAGAAGAAGAAACGAGTATTTCAATTTGTATACCATCGAGTGTTATATCATCCAAGAATGCTTATAATTTAGAACAAATAACTAATATTATCTATCAAATTGCCAAAGCAGCTACGATTTATAAAATCTCCGAAATTATTGTATTTAAAGCACCAAAAGAAGAAGAAGAGGAAGAAGACGATAATAAATCTAAAGAAAAGAGTAAAAAAATTGTTTTTGAAGAAGATGATGATACTAATAATAAATCATCTATGAATAACAATACTCAAAAAGAACAGGAAGAAGATAATTCTACATTACTTGCTGCTAGCTTGTTGCAATTTTTCATTACTCCACCATATTTAGTTAAATCAATGTTTTCACCACATTTAAATAAGAAATTTTCCAATATTTTACCTAAATTTAAATATGCATTTAAATTACCTAAAATAACTACTATTGATATGGATAAGAATTATAAAGAAGGTATGATTATTCCACGTGAAACACCACTTATTAAAAAGAAAAATAAAAAAGTTAAAGCTGATCATAAAATCACTGTTAGTAAATATGTTAATATTGGAGAATCAGAAGCTATTAAATTAGATATAAAACGTGAAATTCCAATTTATTCAAGAGTAACAGTTGATTTAAAAAATAAAACAATTGTATCTGCTAAAAAAGCGTATGGAAATTCAGGTCATAAAAATGCTTTTGGTTATCATGTAAGAATGATAGATGATGGTGATTTTAATAAAGTTTTCATTCAATCTTCAATTCCTGATGGTTATTCAAATACTATTTATGTCAATTGTAACGATTATTTTGGTAATAATAAAATTGACCTACCGGAAATTAATGAAATTAAAGGCAATATCTTAGTTGTTTTGGGTAATTTGAAAGATTATCAACCAGATGTTCATCAATTATTCGATAATAAATTAACTATTCCTTCAGGTTGTAAAGTTGAAGATGCAGTTATGATCGCATTAACTAAACTCGCGTGATGTATGGTCACGTGATTGATATAAGAACAACCAAATATCACATAAGAAAACAATTTTCATAGACTAACTGATAGGTGTAGAATGATTATATAGATTAGAATAATGCATAGAAGAGGTTGTAGTATGCTTATAAATTTTTTCTCTTTAAAACAGTATATCAGTTCTTAATGCATGAAGGGGGTGGCCTTACGTTTTTGATCTTATTCAACATATGCAATAGTATGGCAATGGTGTCAGAGGACATGTCATGGTGAAGAGAAGTTTTTAACTATAATTAGAGATAGTTCTTTGATATAATAAAAGCAAAATTAATCAATATTATAGAAATGGTTGTTAGGAATAATAATGGAGTAATTTTTCGTGAGATTTTCTTTCAAAATTGTCTTGAAATTCTGATATCCATTAAAATTGTCAACAACACAGAGGCAATATTTGAAAGAGAATACGATCTGATATAAAAACTTTTTCACAATTCATCCATAGAATATTCCTACCCCCTTATTCAGAGTTGAAATTGTTCTTTCTTTAAGGAACTGACGGGAGAGGGTTTTTGTTTTTAAAGTTGACCCCAAAGTTAACACAGACAAGATTCTAGATCTCTAAGCCAAACTGGAACAACACTAAGAGACTTTCCCAAAAAAAAAAATCACCAGTTTAACCGGGGGAAGAATGAATTTTTTTTTTTAGCAGGATCAACTGAAGAATGTTCTGTCTATTTTTAGTATACATGTTCGTGTATCCTGTTACAAAACTGACGAATTGGGTAATGAATAAACACCAATTGGTAGTGCACAGTATTAAAAGAGAAATAAATTTCCAGTTTTGTTACTCTTCCCTTTGTTTGTATTATCCCTCCTTAATAATTTTTTTTTTCTTTTCCTTTTCTTGCGAGATCTCTCTCTCTCTCTCTCTCACTCTCACACACACTCTCTTTCGTTCACTGGTGCTTCTTCTTTTTTTTTTTTTTCACCACATTCTTTCATACTACTATATATTTTTTTTTGTTTGAATTTCTACAACCAATCTACTTTACTACTTTATTCTTATACTCTCGTTATCATTTTTGGTCATTATAAAGAAGTAATTAGAATAAGATAACAAAATGCAATTCAAATACTTAGCAGGTTTATTACCATTATTTGTCACCGCCGTCCAAGGTATGGGTGACTTGGGTTTCAATTTGGGTGTCCAAAACAACGACGGTTCTTGTAAAACTGCCGAAGATTACAAATCCGATTTAGATGTCATCAAAAACTACGCCAAAGTCATCAAGATCTTCTCTGTTTCCAACTGTGATACCCTTAAAATCTTGGGTCCTGTTGCTGAAGAAGAAGGTTTCCAAATTCAATTGGGTGTTTGGCCAGATGATCCAAACCAATTCAATGCTGAAAAGGAAGCTTTATCTAACTACTTGCCAAACATCTCCAAATCTACTGTCAAGATCTTTTTGGTTGGTTCTGAAGCTTTATACAGAAAAGACATGACTGCTGATGCTTTAGCCGACGCTATCAATGAAGTTAGAGATTTGATCAATGACACTAAAGATAAAAACGGTGACTCTTATAAAGGTGTTCCAACTGGTTTTGTTGAAAGTTGGAACGTCATTGCTGATGGTACCGCCAATGCTGTCATTTCTGCTTCTGATGTTGTTTATGCCAACTTTTTCGCTTACTGGCAAGGATCTGATATTTCCAATGCTTCTTATGTTTTCTTTGATGATGCTATGCAAGCTTTACAAACCATCCAAACTGCCAAAGGTCAAACTGATATTGAATTCTGGGTTGGTGAAAGTGGATGGCCAACTGAAGGTCAAAACTTTGGTGCTGCTGAGCCATCTGTTGATAATGCTGCTGAATATTACCAAAAAGCTATTTGTGCTTTAAGAGCTTGGGGTATCCCAGTCTCTGTTTTCGAAGCCTTTGATGAAACTTGGAAACCAACCACTTCTGACACTCAAGGTGTTGAAAACAGTTGGGGTGTTTGGGATTCTTCTAGAAAATTGAAATACCCAATCTCCTGTGACTTCTCCTAGATGTGTATGAAGTTCATTTCTTATATTTTAGAAAAAGGGGTATTAACTTTTTGCTAGTTGATTTTTATTTTTATTTTCATTCAATTTTAAGTAGATTTTTTTTTTATTTTCATGATTATCGTTTTAGAATATCCTATTTGCAAAAAAAAAGAAACAAGTAGAAAAAAGCATTTACATATACATTTTCGTCGTTGGTTACAAAATCATGTAAGATTGCAAACCGTTACATAAATCAATAACGATGAGCTTTGTTACAAATCGGATTGTAAAAAAAGAACCTGCATGATTGGAAGGGAGTTCTCAAACCTGTCTTTTGCACCTCATTTTAGAAACCGATCTATTTTTGATATCAAAGAGTACTTTACTGCCCGTAGAAAGCACTCAAATGTGGGGACACATTCCGATCAAGTGCAAACCCCCTTCATTTCCTTGGACTTGCTTTAATTTCTTCCAATTTCTGGAAGGAGGAGGAGAGAGAATAAGAAAGTCCGATATGTCTACAAATCGTACCACTTTAATCTAAATATATTTAAGGAAACCCCACCAATCATTAAATTGATATTTAACATTATATCTATTTCCATGATTTTATAACCGATCAATGGATTTTTCAAATTAAACGTTCACACTTAATCACTTTAATAAACCCCACTAAAAAAATATAAAAGAAAAGAGCAAATTAAAGAACAGAAAAAAAAATGTTGGTTTTTGTTTTATTATTTTCAGTATTATTATATCTGAGATGTATTTCCGCGATTCAAGGAACATGGCAAAGTCAAAGCGGAAAAGTAATTACTGGGGAAACATTTTTTGATCCTAAACGGGAATTACTTTTTGAACCCAAATTACCAGGGATTAGTTATTCATTTGATAATAAAGGACATTTTGAACTGGCTCAATATATAATTTTACCTAATAATAAAGATCATAATTGTCCTCAAGCTATACTTAGATGGCAACATGGAAAATACCATTTTCATAAAGGTAAATTAATTCTTAAACCAATTGAAAATGATGGTCGACAATTAATTAGTGATCCTTGTTCAGATAATGGGAAATCGGAATATAAACGATATTTTGAAGGAGAAACATTAGAAGTTGATATTAGTTATGATGAGATTTTTCAAAATTATAAATTGATTCTTGTTGATTATTTAACGGGGAAAAAGAAACAGCCGATGTGGCTAACTCTGAATAATGCTACAATGTTGCCTACCGGAACTATAACTTCAAAAAAGAAAAAGTATATCAAGAAGGAATAAATGAAATGAAAAATGAAAAATAAAACTGATGATATTTGACTTGATTAATAATAGGTGCAGATATCCGCCATTTTCTCGGAAATCGAGCCTTTTTTCCACCCGGAAAAGCAAAGCGGAGGAGGGGGGCTCCTACTTGTTGATTAATCAAAAAACGAGATTAAGGTTTTAACAAAGACTAAGTACAATAAAGTGTGGGGATAAGACCACAAACGATTGAGAATAATATAATTATTTCATACAACTCCGCAATTCAAACAAGATGAATATAAATAGAGATGGAGTTTCCTTATCAATGAAGTAAATTTATTTTTGTCAGCTTTTATATAGTTCTATAACAGATATATCTCAATATCAATCAAATAAAACAACAATTATAACAACAACTACTACTATAACAACAACAACTATTTTAATACAATGTCTCAAGAATTTACTGATGCTGTTAAAGCTTCCATGGGTCCAAAAGCTACACCAAAGGCTAAAAGAATGATTTCTTCATTGATTCAACATATCCATGATTTTGCCAGAGAAAACCAATTAACCACTGAAGAATGGTTATGGGGAGTTAATTTCATCAATAGAATTGGACAAATGTCAGATGATAAAAGAAATGAAGGTATTTTAGTATGTGATATTTTAGGATTAGAAAGTTTAGTTGATGCTTTAACTAATGAATCAGAAAATTCAACTCATACTTCATCAGCTATTTTAGGTCCATTTTATTTACCAAATTCACCAGTTTATCCAAATGGCGGGTCCATTGTCCAAAAAGCACTTCCAACTGATGTAAGATGTTTAACTTCTGGTAAAGTTACTAGTGTTGATGGTAAACCTTTAGCTGGTGCTAAAATTGAAGTTTGGCAATGTAATAGTGCTGGTTTTTATAGTCAACAAAAGGAACATGATGGTCCAGATTTCAATTTAAGAGGTACTTTCTATACTGATGATGATGGTAATTATTCATTTGAATGTTTAAAACCAACTTCTTATCCTATTCCATATGATGGACCAGCAGGTGATTTATTATTATTGATGGATAGACATCCACATAGACCAAGTCACATCCATTGGAGAGTATCTCATCCAGAATACCATACTTTGGTTACTCAAATTTATGATTCTGAATGTCCATATACCAAGAATGATTCAGTTCATGCTGTCAAAGATGATATTATTGTTGAATTTAAAGAAAGAGATGGTGGTTGGTATTTGGACTATGATATTTCCTTAGCTACCGAGGAGTCCATTAAAAGGGCCAGAGAAAACAAGAAATAAGATCTGTATGAATCAGGAGGTTTATCGCACTAATTTTGGCGCACTACTGTATTTTTTTTCGTTTTTGGTTTTGGGGTATCAATTGACACAGCCATGTTTTGGAGGAGATGAGGAGATGATGAAAAGAGAAGAGAAGAGAAGAGAAGATAAATAATTCTATATTGTGAAGTTAATGAATGCTATTGTTCATCTTTTACGCATTGATGTAGAGTTGCTTAACACGCACTTCTTGGCCACAATGATAGAGCCGAGGTATTCACCTTCATTTTTTTTTGTTTATTTTAACTAAGGTTATGAACATCGCCAAAAAACAAAACATATAGACAGAGGATTAATGTTGAGTTGATTAAAAATATTCTTCTCTTTATTCAATTATTGCTCTGCGGATTTAAGGCCCGAAGTCGGAAATTTGCCACAATAACAGAAGATACACCAAACGAATAAACATGCACGTTTGGTTTGTGGCAAATGTGAGAAGGGAAGCTTAACTGAAACATAGATCAGCAACTTGGTTAGACACATTTCCGAGACACACAACAAAAACAATACAAGAGAATAGAAAATTGTGTATTTACGATGTATTCTTTCAGTGTAGTGTATAATTTGCCTATCATTGCTATTATTCATAAACTACGAGATGAGTGATTAGGAATTATAGATTATGTCAATTTTTGCCGTGTAGATTATTTGAAATTGAGTTGAAAAGTGGAGGAATCAGCGGAATTGTTGCTCATTTATTGGTCAATTGTTGGCGAATACTGACAGGTATAGGATAATATTTTTTATTCTTTTTTTTTTTTTTAAAATCATGGCTTTATTATAATTGCATGTATCTGCATGTATAATGTATGATGATATCTTGCTGTTCTTAGTAATAAAATTTTTTTTCATTCATTCTTTCTTTCGGTCGTTGGGAAAACTAGTTGTTGTGTAATTTGTGAGAATGAGTGTGCGGATGTGTGATCGGAATTTATTATAACTATTAAGGCTTTTTCCTTCCTTCTATTTTTTTTTTTTTTCGATTGTCTTTGTTATTGTTGATTCTTTTTATTTTTTGATTTGAATTTCAATTTTTTTATTCTTTAATTTTTTTTTTTTATTTTTCTTATTCATTAGCTTAAAAGGGAATTCTATCAACTATGGAGAGAAGGACAAAGGTATCGAGAGCCTGTGATTATTGTAAAAAAAGAAAGTACAAATGTTCAGGTGTACCGCCTTGCAATTTATGTTTGAAAAAACAAATCGATTGTATATTCAGTATAGTTGATCGACGCACTACAAAGGGCTCCAAGATTCAAAAACCAACGGAATACATCCCAAAGAATTTACAACCGTTACTTTCTTTCCCTGTCGATGATCAAACTCAATCGGTCGATACCGCTACAACTAATGGCGGAAGCTTGCAACCGCAACTGCAACAAGTACTAGCAGCAGCAGCAGCACCCCCTCCTCCTCCTCAACAACAACAACAACCCAATGGTCCTCATCATGGTAAGAATTTACGTTTACTTTATGATAAGGATGGTAGATTACGCTATGTTGGAGAAAGTAGTCCACTTTCTTTATTATTTGAATCAAGAAAGATCTTTTTATCAGTACGCGGGGAATCTGAGTTTACTAATGACCCAGACACCGTCAATATAATTGATTCTGGGGCTCATGTTAAAAACAGCAAAATATTACAACTTCCCAAAAAAGAAGATGCCATGACTTTAATTGATATATTTGATTCCAATATCAATCAAACATGGTACATTTATAATCGTTTATGGTTACTGGGAAAATTAAATGAAGCTTATGATGATCCTTTAAAGGTTTCCTCGGAGAGAATGGCAGCTTTCCATTTGATTTTTGCTCTTGGATTATTTTTTGCCGAAAAATTAAATCTCCCCATTGCTCAACTGATTGGGGTTAAATCTGTTGAATTCTTTGAAAGTGGATTTGAATCAATAAAGAATATCCTCGACGATGGTCGAGTATGGATGACAGAGACTAGTTTATTAATGTATTTTTATTATCAATCTACTTCAAGAAGATCTCTGAGTTGGATGATTCTAGGTAATGCCATTAGAAATGCTCAAGCTTTGGGGTTACATCGAAAAACTGTTAATGAGTCATTTCACGGTCTGGATTATGTTACTCATAGAAGGAAACTTTGGAAGACTTTATATACATGTGATCGAATTTCTTCTGTATTGTTGGGAAGACCCTTAAGTATTAATGATTATGATTGGGATGACACTCCTGAAGGTTCGACTTGTCAAGATGAGAATACGAAAATTGCAAAGATTTTGGGCAACATTGTTCAGAATTTTTATCAAAATGGTACAGTTAATATTCTTCGTGCGGAGAAAATTGCTATTGAGTTGAAAAAATGGAGTATAAACTTACCAAGTGAGATCCAAATTGATAAGATTTTAGATAATTATTCAATTTTGTTGGTACATATCTTACAACTTTATGGGATTATGTTATTGGGAAGACCCTTTTTCATGTATTTATTATTCAAGAGAAATCAAGATATCAAACAAGAAAAAGTGTTGAAGAATTTTTGTGGGGCAACCACAAAAGCTGCCGTGTTGACTATTCAAGTTATTCATATTTATACACAACACAATCAAAAGAGAGTAGAACTGTACGTTACTGCTAATTGTTGTTTAAAAGCCGCATTGATTATTGGATTAACAATTCTTTATCGTCAAACCAATCCTGATTACGAACAAGATGAATTTTCAAGTGATGCACTTTTGCAACAACTTTATATTGCGAGGTCAATATTGTATTTTTACAGTTCAACAAGTCCAATTGCTGATAGATTTCATTCAATAGTCAGCAGATTAGTTCATGCAGTAAAACCCGAAGAGCTTTCTTTACCTATTCCAACACCTTTCCAACAAGGAGATACTTCAAGAACTGATTCAACCCCTCCAGAATATGTTCCATTTGAGAATATTATCAATTTCCAACAATTCTTTGTTCCTTCAACCACAAACGCGGAAGGTCTTGAAGAATTCATGTATTATAGTGATATGAATGATTTATTATTTAATGGCGATTCATCAACTTCTGGGAAGACTTGATCACCTCAACCCTTACCAAAAAAAAAAATGGATTTAAACAACCACAAAAATATATACACACACACATAAATGATTTAAATGATTTAAATGATTTTTTCTTTTTTAAAAAATGTACTATTAATATATATGTATATATATCTATTTATATCTCATCTAATAAACTCTTTCATGAGAGTGGCCAACCCTTGATCATCTTCAATAGCTATCCAGTGACCTACTGGTAATTTCTTTAAAGTAACCACTTTTGATAATCCATTTGAGATTTCCTCAATACATCCTATCCAAGGAGATGTTTTATCATATTCTCCATAAACTAACAATGTAGGAACATTAATTTTCTCATAATTAAATTCATAATTTTCACCACTTATAATAGCTTTACAATTTGCACAATATCCTTTGACGGAATTTCCCAAAATTAATTGTCTTATAAAAGCCTTTTGTAATCCAGTACTTTGAGGACCTGTAGCTGATATAGGAATAGTATTTGCTAAAGGACTTAATTCTTGTGATTTATTCAATATATCAATTCTTGAATTCATTGCATTAGATAATTCTTTAGTTGAATGAACAGGAGCAATTAAAATATTTTGAATAATTTTTAAATTAGTATAAAGATTCATATAATTAACTAACATCCCTGACATTGAATGTCCAACAAGAATAAGTTCATGATTAATAAATCCAAGTTCTTGTACTATCGATACAACATTTTCTGATAAATCATTTAAAGTCAAATTTTCATGAAATAATTTTGAATTTCCTGCTCCTTCATTATCAATTAAGAGAATATTTAAATCAGTAAAATAAGAAATTAAAGAATAATAAAAATTCTGTGATGAACCTAAACCATGTAAAAATATCAAAAGTTTATTACTTGTTGTTGTTGTTGTTGTTGATGGAATATAAGTATAGAATTGATGATTTGTAGTGAATCCACTGTTCATGATTTGATTCTGAAATTTTCGTTCCTCTTTTTATTTTTTTCTTGTTGAAATCCTTTAACTTCAACTCAACATTATTTTATTTTTTTGTTTTACTCACTATGCTTCACATTGGTTTGTTCTTATATTCTACTTTTGCTCTTTAGAATGGATATATCTTTTTAGGTTTACGTTATGATAGCAAATCCATTGGTTTTAAATTAGATTGCGGAAATGATAATAAAGGGGAGGGGTTTGATTATAGAGAGAGGAGAAGAAGGAATTCCGGAACAAGAAAAGAAAAGAATGCGGATGTGCGGAAATCTAAATTAAAATAAAGTACGGATATGTACTCGTTCAAGACACAATATCCAAAAAAAAAAAAGAAGAATCCTTGAAAGTATTAGTAATTTTTATTTTATAAATAATAGCAATTATTACCCCAACTTCTTTTTTTTTTTGATTCAACGAAGAAAAGATTATTCCACTCTTGACTAATATCCGGCCGGGTTTTTAATATTAATTCATTATACAGGAATGACAAATTATTCATCAACTATTGAACCAAATTTTAAGAAATTCATTACATCATTCTACAAAGCGTCAGATACTCCTCCATCTACACCAGATGCTTATCTTGAATATTTTACTACTGAGAGTCCATTAATTATGGGGTTAACTAAAGTTAAAGGACATGAAGAAATCACTCAATTAAGAAAATCAATGTGGGAAAAAGTTTCTACTAGAAATCATGTTGTTGAAAATGTAGCTGAGATTTCCACCAATGATGTATTGATTAATGGATATGTAGATTATTTATTAAAAGATGGAAATAAAGCAACCACTGAATGGGCAGCTCATATGAAGGTTGTTCAATTAGATAATGGCAATTATAAAATGGAGTTCTATCAAGTGTATTTAACTAAGTAATCTTAATAGTAAATGTATGGAATTATGCATAATGTGTTAAATAAAAAATAAAATTATTTTCTTGTTTTTGAGTAATTCCGGACACATGCAGGTTGCAAAAAAATAAAGATAACCCACTAAAAAGGACAAAAATCCGTTTTTAAGGTGCATGTCGCGCATTTACTTTTCCGCACTTTCATCTTTCGTTTTCATCGGATACTGTATATATAAAGATCACCATTCTGCAACCAACACAATAAAAAAAAAACAACAACAAACAAACAAACAAACAAACAATCTTACAACATATTATAACATCAAGTATTTACAAATGACAGTTACCCAAGTTCAAGAGATCAAGAAGATTCTTGCTTCCATTTTGCCATTACTTCCAGAAGAATTTGCTGCCAATGTTGATAAACTTGAGTTTAGTAATGAATCAGGTGAATTATTAGTACCTACACCATTAAAACAAACTGAAACTATATCTGCATTGAAAGGATTAGAAGCTTTGGTTGCTTTTAAATTAGCTGAAGAAAGGTATGGGACTGTTGAAGGTAAATGTGATATTGATTTACATCATGCTTTGTTATTTTTAATGTCTACTTATTGTTCTTCAATTGATGGATACTACAAAACTGATAAGAAAGAAGTTTTGAAATATTTAAAACCAACTGATTTGAATGAAGCTCAATCGGATCCTTATAGAAGAATGTCTGCTAATTTATACAGAACTAAAGATAAAAATAGATATTATCATATTCATGGATCATTAGAAGCATCTACATGTTTGAAAATGATTGGATTACCACCATTTATTAAAGGTTTAACTGATTATAATAAAATCGTGGAGATTTATCAGACTAAATTGGATGAATTTACTGTGGATGAATTAGAAGCTTTAAATAACAAGAATAAACAAGCAGGAGTTGAAGCTTTAAAACAAGAAGATTTTTTAGCTACCCCTCATGGTAAAGTAATTAGTAAACTTCCACCATTTGAAATTGAACAATTGGAAACTACAACTCCACCAATTGCATTTATTCCTTCAAATAATCATAAAATTCTTGAAGGTGTTAAAGTTCTTGAATTATGCCGTATTATTGCTGGTCCAACAATTGGTAAGATTTTAGCTGAATATGGAGCCACTGTTATTAAAGTAACTTCAGATGATACATTACCAGATGTTCCATTTTTTCAACTTGATGCAAATATGGGTAAACATACCACTAATCTTAATTTGAAAAATCCAGAAGATAGAATTAAATTTGAAAATTTACTTAAAGATGCTGATGTTATAATTGATGGATATCGTCAAGGAGCAATTGACAAATTAGGTTATGGTAAAGATAAACTTGCCGAATTGGCTATTTCTCGTAATAAAGGTTACATTTATGGATCAGAGAATTGTTTTGGTTTTACTGGTGAATGGAGTCATAGACCAGGTTGGCAACAAATTGCTGATTGTGCAAGTGGTGTTGCTTGGGTTCAAGGATTATCATTTGGCAAAAATGAACCAATGGTTCCTCCATTCCCAATGAGTGATTATGGTACCGGTTGTTTAGCAGCAATTGCTATAATGTTGGGTATATATAAAAGAAATAAAATTGGTGGTAGTTATTGGTGTTCTTCAAGTTTAGTTCAATATGATTTATTGTTATTGAAACAAGATACATATCCTGAAGAAACTTGGAAATCTGAAGTTACTCAAAATGAAATTTATCAAGATTTTATGAAAATCAGATATTATGATTCAGTTGATAAAATCAGCAAAACAGCTATGCAAGCCATGATTACCAAACAACCCAATTTACTTAATGATGAGAAATATTTTGTTAAAGAATATTCTGATGCGTTCAAAGGAATGTTATCTACACTTAAACCGGTTTGTCAATTTGATAATATTGAAACAGGATATAATTGTTCAAGTAGACCCAACGGATACGATGCCCCTGAGTGGTGGTAAAAGAGAAGACAATATGTGGCGATGCTCTTAGAATGTTGGGCTTTTATTATTATTATTATCATTATTATCATTTGATATTTGTACTTTTTTCTGTACGTTACACATAAGTCTTATACGAAATACATACATATATACATTCTGATTTCTGAATGGCTAAAAGCTGGGTGAGAGAGAGTGTGTTTTTTCCGTCGACGGATATTGTAATGTTGCGTATAGTTACTGTTGGGTCCGCGGACTTGTTCAGGATTAATCATAACTTTAACGAAAATGGCAACACACGCACAATCATATAAAATTTTTTTTTTTTTTTTTTTTTGGTTTTGGTTTTGGTTTTCTCACTGTCAGTTATATTTTTCTCGTGTTGCTATCCTTTTTTACATGAACTCAATTACAAACCCCAGAATTCATTAGATAAACACTGATTGGTACCTTCCAGGACTATTTCTAGTGTAATTCAAAAAAGAAAGAAAGAAAGAGATAGTATCAGATTCTATTACCTATAATATTTAGAATCATGACATCAATAGACGAAAATATCAATCATGGAAAATCACTAGATGATTATAAAGATCCCGAAGAATTAATTGACCAAGAAGAAGAAGACGATGATGATGAAGAAGAAGATATAAATGATATGTCACGAGATTTAGATCAAATAGGAATGATTAATTTCAATTTCCTTCCATCTTATTTATCAACTGAGAAACTCTTATCACAAATGCCAAGTTTTGAAATGAAGAATTTCTCTCAGGAATTTTCTAAATATGTGGCTAAATATAAAAATTCCTACCAAAGACAATACAACAAGAGTAGTATTAATGATAATGAAACTAATGATGAAACTGATGTTACTATTATTGATGCTATTAAAACCGCAGTATCTACAAGAATTCAAATGAATACATTTTTAAATGATTTAAAGCTTGGTGTTAATTTTACAACCGCCATTGAAAGATTGCAACCATTGACGGAAGTCATTAATGAAACGATTTTTTTACCTGCTGATGATGATTTTAGTGAAATGGAAGATGGTAAAGATGAAAAAGAAGAAATAGAAGATGAAATTACTGAACCAGTAGGGATTGGTGAGATTGTGAATAAAAGTCAACCTTTAATTAATGAAATTGTTAAACCTGGAGGATCTAGGAACGGATCAATTAAAAGAAGAAATAGGTATAATCATCATCATCATTATCATCATCATAACGATAGTGGATTGACATCACAAACCAGTGATGTTGATGGATTAACTATAGATGAAGTTCGTGAATTGACAGAATTGAATTCATTAGATGATTTTGCTAAACAAGATGTTTTGAGAAGTAGGATCAAAAAAATTCAAAATTTGACTATTGGTCAAAATAGTAAGAATAAATTAGTTACGAAATTAATGATGGGAAATTATTATAAATATGTTAATGATAAAATATCAGAAGATGATAAACATTTGTTGCAACCTTTAAAGTCTGAGAAGTTAGTAATTCAAGAACCTGCACCACTTGATAATGTTGATGAAGAAGAAGTAAGTATTCATGAAGAAGGCAATAGCCCAATAGAGGAGGATGATGATGATGAAGAAGAAGAGGAAAATTCCGATGAAGAAGTTATTCTCACGGAGCTTGATTTACAGCCTTCTTATCATGATTCATTACGTACAATTTTTGGATGTTCTCATTATCAAACCAATTGTAAAATTGAATGTCCTACATGTTTTAAATGGTATTCATGTCGATTTTGTCATGATGCAGCCAATATGGATCATAAATTGGTAAGAAATGAAGTGAAACATATCTTGTGTATGCATTGTAACACTCCACAAGTTCCAGAATCTAATTATTGTATCAACTGTGAGCAAGAATTGGCCAATTACTTTTGTTCCAAATGTATATTGTATGATAATGATCAAACTAAGGACATATATCATTGTGACAAGTGTGGTATTTGTCGATTAGGTTTGGGATTAGATAAGGATTATTTCCATTGTGATACCTGTAACACATGTTTGTCGATAGATTTAAAAGGTCGCCATAAATGTCTATCTGATGTCACTCATTCTAATTGTTGTATTTGTAATGAAGATTTGTTTTCGCTGGTTCACAAAGTTGTATTTATGAAATGTGGACATTCTATTCATGAACAATGTTATGCCAAATTTACTAAATTTTCATCCAAATGTCCTATATGTAAGAAAACTGTCACCAATGTTGAAAGTCAATATAGAATATTAGATGTTGAGATTAATCTGAATCCATTGCCTGCACCTTATAATTCATGGAGATGTATTATATCATGTAATGATTGTGGAGGGAAATGTAATACTTCCTATCATATTCTTGGGTTGAAATGTAAATATTGCAATAGTTATAACACTAACCAATTGAAATTGATTAAACCAGAAGAAGAGCAAGAGGAAGAGGAAGAAGATGGTGATCAAAACCCATTTGATGCAAATATAATGAAATTAGTTCAAACCAATATACTGACCAATTTTGGTATTGATGAACGACAAATAGAAGATGAAGAAGAAGATGAAAAAAGTGGATATGAAGATGATATGGAACAAGATGACGAAGATGATGGAGTAGATGAGGATGAAGAAGAGGATGATGAGATGGGTAATTTTATCAATTTCAAGAATTTTGGTGATCGTGGAGCTGATAATGTTTCATATATCACCTCGATGTTTCAAAATTTTGTAAATAAAACATTACAGAATAGTAGTTAAGTCATATGATTCATGTAGTGTTTTTTCTTTGCTTTAATAGAGTAAATAGTTTACATTAATTTATCTATGGTTGAAATTTAATGATACTTTTTTTTTTATTAGAATGAATGTGATTTTAGCTGCCATTGATCATTCACTAATTGCAAATTTAGTCAAATAGTCCGCGATAGCAAAAGGAATGATCAAATGGTTAATTGCATAACACAAAATCCAACAAAATCGAACGATGATCTGAGGTACCACTAAAGAAGGATAAGAAGAATTCCAGTTCTTCATACTAAGAAATAATTTCTAGTATGTCATTCAAAACTGGATTTCTGACGTAAGTACTTAAGAATATATATTGAAAGCAATCAAATAATAATTATCGGTGAATACATTGTATCACCAACAAAAAAAAAAAAAAATTAATTATGTCAGAGTAAGAACCACGAGGGAGTCAATATAATATGGAGAAGTAATTAACCTCTTTTATATTCGAAGCATTTAATTTATTTCCCCACGTTTTATTTCTATAGATGAGATAAAGAAAAAGAAATTACTTGTTCATCAAATGATCAAAGAAAACGTGGAATCTTGAAAGAAGAAAATGTGAAAATCTATGACAATGTAAAATCATGCAAGTCAGTAAGAGTATTAATCAGTATCAGTGGTGATTAGAACTGGAAAAAAAAAAAAGAACCTACCCAACTTAGCGACATGATTTGTTGGTTTGTCAATATAATTTTTTTGGTCTTGGGTATGATGAAGATGGAGATGAAGACGAAGAGGAGATTAAACATTTGACAGGTTTGTTAATAATGATTGTATTTGCCCGTTGTTAGCCTAACCGACTCTACTCTTCTATCCTTCCGAGTGCTCCTCCTCCTCTTCCTCCTCTTCCCCCCAACAAAAGTAAATCATTGGTGCAGTAATGCTACCACGATTGCTACCACACACAAAATGCGACATCCCAAAATAAAAAAATCAACATTACAGGTATTACATAATCGATGGAACATAAAGATGACAGTACAACATTCATATAGATTGATTGTAACGTACTGTTCAATCACTTGTAAAAGTTAGTAAATTACTCTTACAAACAGGGGATACTGACTTTGTTTGAGGGGGTGGGATACTGTTATCAACAACTAACATTATTTGGGGTATCGGATTTAACCCATCAAATTGAAAATTGACAAACTCAAAAAGTCCAACGTTTTTTTGTTTTGTTTTGTTTGTTTCTTCCCGACCAAAAAAAAAAAAAAAAAAAAACGCCAAACGCAAAAACGAAACTGTAAGAGAGAGAGAGAGAGAGAGAGAGAGCAATAGAAATTTGTCTTTCGCACAGTTAACCCAAAATTTACACATTACACTTTAAAGGACATACACAATTTGTATCACATTTGGGGATTCTCTATATTTTTCTGTTTTGCTTGTTTAATCCAACAAAAAGTTTTCCTCTATTTTTTTTTTTTTAATTACTAAAAAACCAACAACTTCATTTCATTTTACAGATTGTTGTATTCATCATTAGTACTAGGGAGAGATAGAGGACCATTGTATCAGAAGAAGAAGAAGTGGGATTTTCTTTATACATACATATATATATATATATTTTTGGGTTTTCAAAGTACATACACACACACAAAAAAAGCCGTTCCCTATGAATTCTATTAAATCATTGGTTACCTCATTTGATAAACTATATTCCAACAATGAAGAGTCCGCACTTATGGATGAGAGTTTAGAAGAAGAATACGATGAAGAGGATTCAAAACAAGATGAGGAATTGGCAGTAGAAGAAGCACTAGAGGAGGATGAAGATGAAGAAGAAGAAGAAGAAAGGAAATCGTTGGGAGAGAAACGAGATGTTGACCAATCTATACGACAAGTTGTGATTGCCGATGATGATGAAGACATTGAAGAGGATGATGAAACTATTAATTTACTTGAATCTAAATCATCTTATAACGATCAACAAGAACTTACTCCTCCGATTTCTACTACTTCTACGTCTACTACTACTACCACCAAAGATAAATCACGTCGTTCTTTTTTCTATATGATTTTTGTTGATTGGAACCCACTTGTTTGGACTTACTTATTGGTCACTTTCCCATTCAGATACATTATATATTTATTCATACGGAAGGATTCACAATCTAGCCCATCTAAAGATACAAAAGGTCAAGATCATGAACAACAAAAGCCACAATCATCATCATCACAACTAATACCACCAGGAATCATTACTCAATTACCAGACGAACTTTCATCATCCGAAATTGCCCCTCGCGAACGGCAGCCATCTATAGACAGCACAGCCAGTAATAACATTAGTGAAGCAGAAGAAGATATGCTCATACGAGACAATAGTGAAGACAATCTTACCACAACAAATATAATCAAAAATAAAAACATAACTACATTAAAAACAACCACCATTATAAATAATGCCAAATCTAGATCATCAAATAAATATTGGATTCCCGCTCCACCACGATTATATCCCATGTCCCGATCTAAATCCAATGTTAAAAAAAAGAAAATACTTATCTTGGATCTTGATGAAACATTGATTCATAGTTTGAATAAACTGTGGATTCGTTCAAGTACTCAATCAAAAATGATTGAAATCAAATTGAATAATATATCATCATTATATTATGTGCATAAACGACCATTCTGTGATTATTTCCTTCAAGAAACCCTGCAGTGGTTTGAATTACAAATATTCACGGCTAGTGTTAAAGAATATGCCGATCCAATTATTGATTGGTTGGAAAGTGAAGTATTAGACAAATTAAAGAAAAAAGGTATGGATAATAACAATAATAGCAACAGCAACAGCAACAGCACCACCACCAATACTATCAATAATATGAATGGTGAAGAACCAAATAAGATATTTACTAAAAGGTATTATAGAAATGATTGTACTTATAGATCAGGAGTTGGATATATTAAAGATTTATCTAAATTTATAAGAGATGATGATTTAAGAAATGTAATGATTTTAGATAATTCTCCCATTAGTTATGCATTACATGAAGAAAATGCCATATCTATTGAAGGGTGGATTAATGATCAAAATGATCGGGATTTATTGAATTTATTACCATTATTAAAAAGTTTAAGTCTTGCTATTGATGTTCGATATATTTTAGGATTAAAAAATGGAGAAAAGTTTTTTGAATAAATCAACATTAGATAACAATACTATACCAGATGTATATACATATATATATACATATATATAAAGAGGAATTACATAATTAGTTGAATTTTTCTTTTTCTATATTGATACACACAAAATTCTTATATTTATATACTGTTAATAATTATATGTTTCATGACCTGCAAACCTCCTCCTTCCTCCTCCTTCCTCCTTCCCTTTAAGAAAGCAATGGTATGATTTTTAACAAATCCACAAGGTCGTGTTCATTTTCTAAGTTGCAATACTTTTTTTTTGTTGTTGTTTAATACCCTTAAATAAAATCCGACCAAACAATGAAAAAAAATATATATATTTATATAACCCGAATTAAGCCTGTTTTCTTTCCATTTTTCATTAGAACTTACATACCATTGAATTAAATAAATGCAAGATTTAATAGATAAGATACAAACATCAGAAAACTTGCTTGAGTCATTGAATAAATTAGGTGATGAATTAAGACAAGATTCAAATAGAATATCAATTTATGATCAATTACCTATACTTGTACCTAATTTTAGTAAATTTTTATTACAATCATCTATAAAATTACAATTGGAAACATTAAGAGTATTAATTAATATACTGGCTAATAATGATCAAAATAGAAATTATTTAACTGATGATTCTGATCATCATGTAATTGGATTATGGTCAGTTATTAAAAATCATCTTGATATTATGAATGATGTAACAAAATTTGTCTTTATTTTTTTAAATCAATTTATTTATAATACTCAAAATAAAGAAAAATATATTAGATTCTTATATGGTCAAAATATTCAAGAGAAATTATATCCAATTATAACTGATGAAACATGGAATGAAATTGGGGAATTTATTTATGAATTATTATCATTAACAAATGATAAATCAATTAAAGACGAAGAGTTTATTAAATCATGTATTGATATTGATATTAGTATTGATAATGAAGATGAAGATGAAGATGAAGAAAGTGAATCCATTTGGGTTGATTTATTAAGTTTGAATAAACCATCTAATATACTTTACCAACGAGTTTTGGAAATAATTCCAAAGAAACAATCTTCATTAATTAAACGAAAATTATTCTCCCTTGCTTGTGATTTAGCAGTTGATGATGAATCTTTAAAAGTTGCACTTGATAATATAAATAAAGCCACTGATCCATATGTGTTTTCTACATATTGTATTACTATTGGGAATTCAATTCATGATAAGGCATCATTTGAAGAAACACGCGGTTTAGTTGAATTGAATTTAGGTATTGTAAAATTACAAGAATTATATTTCATAAAGAATAAAATAACAGATGTTGTTCAAATCCAATCAATTCATATGTGGAATAATTTATTAGATGAAAAATCAACTAAGGAAATATTAACCGAATATATGAATCAATTAATAGCAATTTCAAAAATTATCATTGATAATGGAAATTATTATAAGGAAATCGCAACCCTTTATTATAAATTCATCAAAAAATTAATCCGATTATCAGAAACTCCACCAGCTGATTTAATTCAATTTATCTTGGACAATGATCAAGGGCAATCAGTATTAGAAATAAAATACTTGTTGCTTCAATCATACCCAGAAGCATATTTGGAACTTATTGGAGAAATTGTACAAAATGTGAATACTACAAATGTGTTGGAACAATTGAAAACATTAGGAATAATTAATAAATCATTAGAATCAGGTAGATTAAAATTAGAAGATTCTCATGATAAGTATGTGAAGCCACTTGGTCAAGTGTTATCTCAATTATCTAATGAATTGGATAACCAGAAAGGTAATAATACTTCATGGGAATTTAGAGCCTTTGAGAATAATTTAAAATATGTTGCTGGTACCACTATTAATCTTTTAAAAGAAACTGACACCGATATTTTAAATACTTGTAACCATATACTTGAATAGATAGAATAAGTATGAATACAATGAATGAAAAAAATTGGGAAAAACCACAAGGCAATTATTACCCATTATTACCAATATTATTATTATTACTATTATTACTATTATTACTCCCAATAACTGTGGTGTATACACGACGCGGAAAAATGAGGAGGAGGAGGAGATCGGTAAGCACCGGTTTCGGTTACTGAAAAATTTCTCTTTTTCTTTTGTTAATGAGTCTTACTTTTTTCATTTCATTTCAATTTCCCATTCTCCGAGTTTCTTTGAATTTTTTTTTTTTTCAAGTATTTATATTTAAATAAACCCAAATATCAGATCTAAACTATTTTTTTTTGTTTTAATTATTATTATTATTATTATTATTATTTGATTACTTCTGGATAGTATAAACTAACAACAATACAAATTATCAACCATCAACCATCAACCATGACTGTTCAAACTAAATTTGCCAATTTACAAAGGGAAGAACCTGATCCAATTATTAAAACTATGACTCTTTATAAAGAGGATCCAACCCCAAATAAAGTTGATGTTAGTATTGGAGTTTATAAAGATCCAAATGGTGATTTATATACTTTTCCAACAGTTCAAGAAGCAAAGAATAAATTACATGAAAATGATCCAGGTCATAATTATACTACTATGGCAGGAGTACCAGATTTTATTAAAGCTGCACAAAAAGTTGTATTTGGGGAAAAATTTGCTAATGAAGGTAAAATTGCTAGTTTACAATCTATTGGAGGTTCAGGAGCTTTACATATGGCTATGCTTTTAATTGTTCAATCAGGTTATAAAAAATTTCATGTTGGTGTTCCAACTTGGTCAAATTATATTCAAATGATTGAACATGCAGGTGGTGAAGTTTCTATTTTTAATCATTATGATGAAAAAACTAAAAAAATTAATTTTGATGATGTTATTTCAACTTTAAATAAAGTTGAAGAAGGTTCAGTTTTCTTATTTCAAGCTTGTTGTCATAATCCAACTGGGGCTGATTATTCAAAAGATCAATGGATTGAAATTATTGATATTGTTAAAAAGAGAAATCATTTAGTTTTATTTGATTTAGCATATCAAGGATTTTCAAGTGGTGATGTTGATAAAGATGCTTGGATTGTACGTTATAGTTATGAACAAAATTTAGAATTTTTAGTTGCTGAAAGTTTTTCCAAAAATCTTGGATTATATAGTGAAAGAGTTGGTTGTGCCCATGTTGTTGTTCAAGATAAAGAATATGTTGCTAATGCTCAATCAACATTAGTTCGTACTTTCCGTCAAGAAGTTTCATTTGCTCCTGCTTTTGGTGCAAGAATTGCTGCTTTAGTTGTTAATGATGAAAAATCAAATAAACAATGGAAAGATGAAGTTGCTGCTGTTACTAAAAGAATGAAATCTTTAAGACAACAAGTTTATCAAGAATTGAAAAATTTAGGAACCCCAGGTGATTGGTCAAATGTTGTTGAACAAAATGGTTTGTTTTGGTATAGTGGTTTAACTCCTCAACAAAATGATAGATTGATTTCAGAACATCATGTTTATTCTACTAGTATTGGTAGAGTTAATATTGCTGGTTTGAATGATCAAAATGTTGGTTATTTCTGTAAAGCTATTGATGAAGTTGTCAGACATAAATATTAGATTATGTGTAAAAAGAACAATGGTTGTATAGTTAGAAAATGATTCCCCTGTCCCCCACCTCTTTACAAAAAAAAAGTTTATAACGAAATAAATATGATTTTACTAAAGTAATGTATTCAGAACTAGAATTCTATCGTTGTCTTCTAAGAAAGGTTGTTGATATTGATGTTATTCAAGCTCATTATCGTTCAATTTGGTCCAACTGGAATGGGGACAAATAAGTGACCCCAATCCCAATAAACTTACCTCCATGGTTTAGAATTTGAATTGACTTACATAGGTAGTTATTTGAACCCTTTTACAGAGTTGTCCATATTTAGCTAGAAATACGATTTTTATGTGTAACTGTCATATTTCCTTTCGCATTAAAAATTTTAGTCAGGATTTATGACATCAGTAAAGGGGAGAGAGAGGAAGAGAATTTCATGCAGGTAGGTCGGATGTATCTCAATTGGGAACTGGATTCCATTGACTGTTATTGTTATTGTTATTGTTATTGAGTTTTAATGACTAACATCTTTGCTGTTCGGCTGAACACCCTGATTAACTCCGCAGATCGACTTTTCAAAATACCGATGATCAGAATATCAAAACACCGATGATCAGAATATCAAAACACCGATGATGATGATGATGATGATAATAATAATAATAATGATGATGATGACAAAGATTCACCCTTGACATACAATTGAAAACAAAGAATTCAACTATATAAAGATAGATATGTTTCTTGATAATATTTAAATTAAATTACTTGTAAATCATCAAGACATACAAATGAAATTATCCATTTTTTTACAAATTTTATTGATTCAATCAATCACAAGTGCTCAATTTTTAACAATTAGAGCTGAAAATGAAGATCAAGGACAACATGTTGGTCCACTTGTTGCTAGTAGTACCTATGATCCATATGCTGCTATTTCTCCACTCCCAACTAAATCCACCAATTCTTCAATAACTAATGAATCAACTACATCACTGAGTAATGAATCATCTACTTCTGCTGGTTCTATCAATCAATATAGCTGTGCGATGGTTGCAATTTACTTGATTTCGTTTATACTATACATCTAATTTAGATATCACGTCTATTATGAATATATGATTGGATAATATAATTAAAAAATACAATGGTTCAGCGATGATCGGAATACTCTTTAACTTTGAAATTTGGGTTCATATGTAACCGTTTCAACGTGTCGGAATAAAACTACATTTTTCTTACCCAAACTGGATATATCAGAACAAACCCGGAACACGTTTCATCAACGCAATGGATACGTATGATGCTATAGTTCTAGATCATGCCCCCCTTATTTTGGCATACTCTTTAATATTTGTTATATAATTATACGTGTTATTGTTTTGGGTATTACTTACGAAGTTCTTTCTATTCTGCCGATTATATTTACCATTTTCAGGTGAGTAATTCCGTCTGTAAAATCCGAAGTTAACGCCGTGACTGCGATTCTCCTCATTGTTCCAAGTTGCAAAAACAAAAAAAAAAAAAAAAAAAAATCAGTCATAATTTGAAAAACAATAACAAATGGAGATTATTGTAAATATCGCCGATTAACTCCATTGCTATTGATGGCTTATAATAAATATCAAATGAATATAAATAGACTGTATTTCTTTGATGAAAATGTACCGTTGAATTATTTCTATTTTAATAATCAATTCAACAATCATGAGATTAAATAATTTATTTTCCATTATTGCTATTTTTGCTGCTTTCGTGAATGCTTTATCATACCCTGAAATATTGTATGGTAATCCTCGATTACAAGCTAGAGATAAAGTAACTGTACCTTCTGATCCAATTGAAAGAACTTCAGTACGAGATGGTCATGCTACAATTACCAATGATACTAGTGCTACTATCCTGAGAAATTATACATCTTCTTCATCATCATCTATTAGTTCAGTCAATAATAGTTATCAGTTCCAAATTCCAAGTTTATTAATCATTGCAACAATTCTATTATCTTGGTTATAAGACATATTTCAAATCAACCCATTATATGCACCCATACGTATATATATATATATACGAACTAAACAAGATTATTATAAATATTAGCTAATTTAATACCAATTTCATCTCTACTTAAAACTCCAATATTATTATCGTTATTATTTTCATAATCATGGAAATATTCACCATTTGGATCAAAATAATAATTAACTCTAGTTTGATAAGGACCTCCAATTACTTTAAATTCATGCATATTTTTTCCTCTAATTTGTTTTTTACCAGAATATTTAATATCATATTTTGATCTTGGAATTACTCTTGATGAAATGATTGATAATAAAGCAAATAAATAGATGAATTTCATTCTAGAAAATGGGTTTGAAATAGACTCGAATTTGAAAAGAGAGATAAATAATTATGAAATATATTTATTTAGTTGATATTTGAAGAGGGTTTATATTTGATATGCATTATTGCAAAAAAATATTCTCATTGAAGCGGCGCTAACTGGGGAAATCAAACCTAGGGCAGAAATCTGAAAAAAAAAAACACGAATACTGAATCAAGCAATGCTTGTAAAACATTGATTATCTTCCATTGATAATGACTTTGAAATTCAACTTTTTGTTGAATCGCCAACCTATGATTGAGTACGCCTTTTAAATCAACAACAGTTTGTTACATTGAATATACTATCATTTCAATTATTCAAACATAAGAACGCGATTCAATTTGAATTTTTGTAGAAATAAACTTTATTAGTTCTAACAAAAGGCATTACATTAATACACGATCATTGGGACCAATTTTTTTTTTTTTGTAATACTTCATTCACATAAAAAATTGTCTTGATTTTAAACTTGGAAATGAATATACACTTTGATGGTTAATTCTAATAATAATAATAACAATAACTCATAACTCTTACTAAAAAAAAAGATGAACTTATTACACGACCAGATTGGTTTTGAAAATTTCAAAGAATTATTAATTTTCCTTTTTTTTTTTTCTTTTATTGGTATTAAGGTTATAGTTGATGTCTTTTTTTTGTTCTTTTTCATTACATCTGTTACTTTGTTATAGTTAAAGGAGTTAAACAGAGATTAGAAAGAAAAGGATAAAATGGCTGAACTGTTGGAAGCATGATAAGAGATTTTAATCAAGTGATTTCAACCGATGAGCGTCATGGGCGGATTTTTTTTTTTTTTTTAATCATTTGCATAATGATAAACGATGCTTTATTGAAATTATCGTAGTGCAAAATGGTAATGGATAAAATAATCTTGATATGAATAAATCTTATTAAAAGAGATAATATCTCTATAAAAATCTACAAGAACAATACATAACCTTGAAGAACTTTTGGATTTATTAATATCTTTATATTCTCATCAGAGTTTAAATTACAATGTGACAATTTTCACAAAATCAGAATTAAAAAAAAAAAAAAAAACAGTAAAACCCAAGGGAGATGCAATTTATGATTTCACGAGATGTATTTGGTGTCACACTACATTTAACCACATTAGTTAAAAAGAAAAAAGAAAAAAAAACCAAGTAAACGAACTACAACTTGAAATTGACTGAACTAATGATATCAATTGACAATAAATATTAAACAATACTTGCATTGCTAAAACATCTATTATAGCAACAGACACCGATTACAATAGATTTTTAAATTCCCAATCAGTAATTGTCTCTGTTTTATAGATAATTGAATAAGGAAACATTTTCGCCATTTTCGTGTAAACTTGTACAACTGTGCACTACCAACAATAAAAGAATAATTGTTCCCAAGTACACGAAACCAGCAGCAATTACACAAAAATCTCTTTTTAAGAAAAAAGAAATCCATCAATTAATTTTTTTTTTTTCCTTTACAAAATACAAAAAAAAATTTCACAGTTTTTGCGCATCCCCTTTTTAATTCTTTAATAAATTAGGTGAATTTTAATTTTTTGTATTTTTTTTTTTTAGAGAAACTTAACCGTAATAGACTTCAATTAGATTTCTATTGCATTCCTTTTTTTCATTGCTTTTTGTTAGAAGATATATAATTCTCTTTATATTCTCTCAATTTTTTTTTTTTGGATCCCTTTTTTTTTTGTTTCTGTCGTTTCCAACCTACAATCAGTGAACGAAAAAAAAATGAAATTTCAATTATTAACTTTAGCTACCATTGCTACTACTGCCTTTGCCATCAACTTGGAACAAGTTAGATTGATCAATGATGATGAATTGATTGTTCAAGATGCTCAATACAACTACCCAGCCATTGTCAACTTGAAAGATGAAGATGCTGAAGTTGAAAAAACTACTGCTAAGAAGGATAAATCTACTTCTTCTACTGTTATTGAAATTTCTTCTTCATCATCTTCTGCTTCTACTACTTCCACTAAGAAACACGATATCACTTCTACTTCTTCTAGCAAACACAAGACTGAAACTGCTTCTGTTACCAAAACTGGTGCCGGTGAAACCGTCACTGCTCTTGTCATTGCTCCAGTCTTAGCTGGTGTTGCTATGTTGTTGTAAGAGAAATTTTACCAAATTAAAAGTATGCTACACTCTCAATTTGAATTTTCTACCACTACATTATAAAGGGACAATCAAGATGGAAAGAAATTGATATCTAGTTCTTTTTTTTTATTTGTTTTCATGTACTTTTTATTAGCTTTTTTTTAAAAATATACACGTTTAATTAATTTATTTTGCATTTACTAAAGTTTCTATTGGTTAAAGAATAGGGTAAGGAATGATGGACGCAAAAAAAATTGTCCACCCTATTACTTGACCCACGTTTATATCAATTAATTGTCTCATACACAAATTGAACAATATAACCCATTGTAACTGCCGTTCTCTAATATCAGTTGAGTCTGATAATATTTTTTAAAGATGTATTGAAATTTTTTTTTTCTTTGTACTCTTTTAATACGAAGTTTGTACTTTCAATATTAATCATACAGAAAAAATGTATTCTACTTTAATCAAGCACGTGACAGAAAGTCACGAATCAATACACGTGACTAATTATTTTTGTTGATCCTTTACAGGGCCGGAGTAGGATTTTTATGGGGCGGAATTGATGATTCATACACGTAAAAATTTTCGTCCTCTTTTTTTTTTTTCCATTAGTCCTGAGAAGAAGAAGAATTGTTAGTCAGAATTTTCCAATACCATGGAGAGAGAGAGAGAGACAGAGAGAGAGAGGGAAAAAAAATTCAGAATTTGAAAAAAAAAAAATAAGTATTTTACTCCACTTGTGATTCATAATTAACCAATTATTATTCATGTCATCAACCATGTTAAGAAGAACTCCAAGTGTGTTGAGACAGTTCACTAGAGCTAGAAGTTCTAGTTCTACATCTGCTTTGGCATATAAAAACTTACATCGTAATCAAAAAAGACCACCATTACCAACTTTAGAAACTCCAAATTGGTCAGCTGATACTGCTGTTTCTTCTATTTTATATGAAACTCCAGTTATTTCTAAAGCTCCACCAAAACAACATGTTTTGAATTGTTTAGTTCAAAATGAACCAGGTGTTTTATCTGGTGTTTCTGGTACTTTAGCTGCTAGAGGATTCAACATTGATTCTTTGGTTGTTTGTAACACTGAAGTTAAAGATTTGTCAAGAATGACTATTGTTTTGAAAGGTCAAGATGGTGTTGTTGAACAAGCCAGAAGACAAATTGAAGATTTGGTTCCAGTTTATGCTGTTTTGGATTATACTAATGCTGAAATCATTAAAAGAGAATTATTATTAGCTAGAGTTTCATTATTGGGTCCTGAATATTTCCAAGAATTAATTGCTACTCATCAATTACATATTGATGATGCTTCATCTATTCCAGATTTAAGTGCTTGTGAATCAGCTTATCATCCAAGTAATTTAGCTCCAAGTGAAGCTTTAAGACAAAAACATTTACATTTAGATCATATTTCCACTTTAACTAAACAATTTGGTGGTAAAGTTGTTGATATTTCTGATAGAAATGTTGTTGTTGAATTAAGTGCTAAACCTTCAAGAGTTACTTCTTTCATTACTTTGTTGCAACCATTTGGTATTTTGGAATTGGCAAGATCCGGTATGATGGCTTTACCAAGAACTCCATTAGAAGTTTATGCTGAAGAAGAAGAAGGTGCTGTTGATGCTGCTGATATCGTTGATGCTTCTCAATTACCACCAGGTTAAATGATACACAGCTAAAACCATATGTGTTGAATTATTGTGTACATAGATGTATAATGTAATGAATTAATTTTTTTTGTTGTTGTATTGTTAATATATATTTCCATACAATTCAAAGATGAATAAGTCAAGAGAGAGAGAGGGAGAGAGAGAGAAAGGGACATAGAGACGTGCATACCCATGTGCACAACAATGTGATAGGTGCGGTCAAACCGGTTCTACAAACATCTTACCTGTATCGGCTCTTTCAAAATAACTGTAGTCGCTTGAGCTAATTCATCATGCTAGTTAGATCATACGTGAAACTAATTTCTTCAACAGCTGATAACTTTTCCCTAATTTGAATTTTTTTACAATATTCATTATGATAACCAACAACAACTACTACCCTATGTTTACTACAGATAGGTTCTTATCTTCACATGAGAATCCTCAAGTCAACGCGTAACATGAAACATATTGTGTCAAAAAGAAGGAGTATAGCTAGAGGCAAAGCAGTCCCCTCTCCCCCCCTTAACAATGTCATTAACTATGAAGGAAGAAAGAGTCAATTGAAGGTAGTAGACAATGGTTATTGAATTCCTTCCCCCCCCCACGGAGAACAATAGAGAGGCATTTTAATGAATTGACTTTTTAAGGTTCCAGCGCATAGAATTGCAATCATTTAAACTTTTTATCCAAGAAGTAATTTTGATTCATTGAATGATAGATTGATTAATATATTGAAAGTTGATACTTTTATATGCTTTTCTTTTTGGGGGATCAATGGTTATTCCTTCTATATTTCGGGAAATTGCCCGTCTAAATATTTAATTAGCAAATCTAATTTCTGTTTATGAAAGTTTTGGGCGGCTAGATGTGCCATCTATTTTGTCAATGCTACCATTCAGTCAAGTAAAATGTCATTGTAATCTAGAGAATTGTTCTGAAATAATACCGAATCGATAACTACATACTCCCCCTTAAAAAATATACTATTTTTCATTCACTCTTATCCCCTTACTCCCTTATTAATGAAGAAAACAATGAATGTGTTGAATTAACAAAATCATTTATATAGGTTCAAACACACAAAGGAATTCAAATGCATGTAAGTTGGATGCTACATGAACATTAAAGGACATATAAAAACCGTCGATCAAATTTCTGCCGTGACATCAGAACAAGTTGTGTGATTGTTTTTTTTTTTTTTTGTTTTTATTTTTTCTCTCTCTTCGGTTTTCTGTTCCATTTTTTCTCTTTTACCAAAAGGTTACAAATATTTTTTTTTTTTTCAGAAATTTGACTTTGTTGATTCGTTCGATCCACCATCTGAAATATCACTTTACTATTCTTAGTGCCCTCCATTTAGCATAACGTACTCGATATTATTAATCCATAAATATAATTGGTAATCCACAGGAATGAGTACAACTCCTTTAAAACGCGAGTCGGATGCACTGTCCCATAATTCAATGCATAGTACAACACCTCAGTCCATACCGTCGTCGACAATGCAACAGTCCCAACAAGCACCAAATACTACGACACACCCGCCACAACAACAACACCAACAGCAACCATTACAATCATCTCCTCATCAATACATGGGACCAGGTCAACAGCAAGGACCACCACCTCCTCATGTTTCACAGCAGATGATGAGTCCGTATCATCCAAATTATTATCAACAACTTCCACCACCTCCACAAGGACCTAATGCTTATTATAATGCACAACCAAATTTTTATCAAGGACAACAAGGAGGTAACAATAATCAATATCAAGGTCAAGTGGGACCTCCACAACTACCTGGACCTCATTCTACACTCCCACCTCCACCACCACCACCTCAACAACAACAACAACAATATCAACAGCAACAACCACTTCAAGTAATGCAACAATCACCACCTCAACCACCACCTCCTCAACAACAGATACCAATTCAACCACCATCTGGCACAGGTCAACTAAATCCAGCACAACAGCAGATGGGACAAAAACAAGTACAATCAAATCCCGCAGTACAAGATTCGAGAAAGAGACTACATTCACAAACACAACCAACAAGTCGAGCAGCGGCAACATATCCGAGAAAAAGAGCTTTAACAGCTTGTGATACCTGCCGATTAAAGAAAATCAAATGTGATAATGTTCGTCCTCGATGTGGATCATGTATAAAGAATGGAAATATGAATTGTCATTATAGAACAGATGATCAACAAAAGGACTATTCAAGTTATGATCCAGCATCTTTGAATATTTTAAGTAAATTAGATGTTATTTTAAAAGACCTAAAAGATATCAAAGGTGGTAATGTTGGCAGTAGAGGAAGCGTTGATTCAAATACTAGTGGTTCAGATTCAGGAAATCAATCAGATCAGAAAAGTAAAAAATTTACATTTGATAAATGTATTTGGGATATGTCAATTACATCCATCATGAAATGGAGATCATTTTTAAAAGAAATGAAGGAAACTCCTGAACATGTGGAAATACTTAAACTGCAACTATTCAATGATTATGATACAAACAATGGAGCTATGAAAAAGACAAAATGTTCATTACAACAATCTTTGGAGAATTATAATTATCTTGAGAAACTTATTGCCAATAATTTTTCAAATATTATCAATTCATTTTTTGTCAATACATATACAAAGATTCCAATTTTGGATACATATGAATTTTTTGATACTTTAGAAAAATATCAACTTTTAGTACAAAACTTGCCAGAATTGACATTATCTAAATTACTTGAATTATATGTTAGTGATGAAGAATTACCCGAGGAAATTCTGTATATTTATCGTGCCCAAAATACTGAAATGAGTCCAAGTGTTATTTTGCTGTTTAATAAGTTGATTCATGCGATTCCTTTAATTCTTATGGTTTGTGCCCTTGGTATAATGAGTGTTCCCGTACAATTAGATAATCTTACAAAATTTAGCAATTCCCTAGAGGAAGCTGATTCCATAGAAGTGGGGTGTTTATCTGGTGCTGATGCATTTAAAAATATACCAGATAGTTTCCCACGAAGAAGAATGGCAATTGCTTTTATGTTGAAAGAATATGCTCAAGTTCTTTGTAGTACATATCCTCGAATTTTGAAGGAAAATTCAATTGCTCAAGTACAATATCATTTGCTTATAAGTCAATTGTACTTACAACTGAATTCAATTTTATTAGCACATACCCATAATGTTTTAGCAAGTCGACATATGATTTATTTTTTACAAAAGAAAAAGTACCAAAAACAGGAATATGCTGAAGCTAAAAAGGAAACTATTGAAAGACTATTCTGGACATGTCTAAAACTTGAATGTGAATTAAATGTAGAATTATCCCCATTAGTTCCTTTATCTGGTATAACTCAAGTTGAACCTCCAACTTTATTTCCAAAGATTCCTGAGCCATTATCAGAAGAAGCAAAGAGTCAATATAGTGATAGTGTTATTAAATTGGCACAAACATATGATGATCAATATACTTGGTATTATTTTTTGACGGAAATTGCTGTCCGTAAAGTGGATAATAAAATGTTTGATGAATTTTATCCATTGGAAAGTAGTTTAAATAATGTTTGGGATTCAAGTAAATTTTGTGAAGAAAAAATTTGGGTTTCATTTATTAAATATTTGAATCAATACAATGGGATTATAAATTCTTTATCACCAGAGATTAGAAGTTTTGTATTGCAAGAAACAAATGTTGAACAAATCCATCGTCGAATGAAGAGGAAATATGAAAAGAAACAACTGGATCAGAATAATAATGGGAATAAAATTGAAAATGATATTTTTGATAGTTTAGATGATTTCTTGATTGATGATGATTTATTAGTTCGTGCTCAATCTGAATCCATCATGTTTATTAAAACAAGAGTTATTGTTTCCAAATTATTATTGTTCCGTCCAATTGTTTATTTATTTCTCGAAGATAAGATATCATTTATTGAAATTATTCAAGCTGTTAGTTCAGTATTGGAAGATTCTGTTAATACCAGTTCATTAACATTTAACAATTTGAATACAATAGATTCACCAAATTCATCACTTGCCTCTAGTTCATTTCATTTATTAAGTGATAGTAATAGTTCAGATTTAGAAATGGATTATTTTAATCTTATTAATGCACCATTATTTTATCAAAAACAACATCCAGATGAGGATTTTTCCAATTTAATTGATTATGATTTGAAATCACCTCAAGGGGATAATAATTCAAATAATGAAGAAGATCAAGAAACAACATTTACAATTAAAAATATGCCATTAGCAAGAGCAAGAATATTAAGAATTTTCATTCAAAATCTTATTTCATTACCAAAATTAACATTACCTAAATTAAGTACTCATAGACATCCTGGACTGTGGTATTATTTAAGAAATTTAATTGTTGGAAATGTATGTCAATATCTTTTATTTAAAAAAATCCAAGAATTAATACTTAAAGCAAGTACAGACGTTGAATTGCAATCGATTATAGCTATGCAATTACAAAGAGATAAATCTAATAATGGATCAGGATCAGGAGGAATGAAATCAATGGAAGAATTAATTGGATTAATTAATATAGTTATTGATATAAAAGGAATTATTGCTAGTTTTGAACATTGTGTTATTATTATGGAATATTGGAAAGATGAAGTTAAAGATTGTAAAATTTATCAAGATTTTCTTAAAAAAATTCTTCTGGATTTACAGAATACTAATAATAGTAATAGTAGTAATAATACTACCGGGTAGTATTAATTCTTTAGACCATTAATATTAGAAATGTATATATATATATATATATATATAGGGACTATATTGTCTTTATTAGACGAAAATTGTAACATTATGAATTTTAATTAATGAACAATTATATCCCCAGTGTTGGAAGATACGCGTTAACTGAGTTCAATATTATTCATATAGGTGTCAATTTTATGCGTGATTCGGAGTTTTCGACGATATCAAAAGTAGAAGATTTTGAACAAGTATTCTTTAATTTAGTATACTCATCAGATGAACTCACATTATTATTAGATACATGATGAAATATCCCCCTTCCTCACCCCCCTTTCCTCCAATATCAACTATATCCCATCAGGAATGTAAATGAAACCAACTGTCGTTATTACGAACAGCATAATCACATTTTTTAAAATCATGAACTTAACAAACAAAGCGAACAAAAGCCGAAAGCCGAAATTCGAAATTGCAAAATAAAAAAAAAAAGACTTATAAAATGTAAATGCACCACAGAACAAGGAAAAATTAAAAATAAAAAAAAAATTTTATCTAAAAAATCAGCGGATATAAACAAACAGTGAGAAAGAATAAATAATCACAGTGATTACTTCTATTATCATAAAGTAAAAGGAATCAATTAGAATTGGATTCGTTAGTGAAAAATGAGTAAGAATAGTTTAGATCCAATTGACAAGAATTGGCTGAATAATGATTATGAAATTAAAGAACAAGATAGGTTTCTACCGCTCGCAAATGGTATGTAATCTTACACACACACATATATATATTATTATTGTTATTATTACATAAATACTAACAATATAGTGTGGTTAAGTTGGTAGAGTTATGAAAAAAGCATTACCTGAACATGCTAAATTATCTAAAGAATCAAAAGAATGTATTCAAGAATGTGTATCTGAATTTATATCATTTATAACTTCACAAGCGGCTGATAGATGTTTAGTTGAAAAAAGAAAAACTTTAAATGGTGAAGATATTTTATGGGCTATGTATACTTTAGGATTTGAAAATTATTCAGAAACATTAAAAATTTATCTTGCTAAATATAGAAGGGTATGTAAAAGTATTGATATTTAGAACAAAACATGGGATTTAAAATTTTTGAAAGATGATTACTAACATAATTGATTTATTCTAGTATGAACAAGAACAATTGTTGATAAATCCACCAAAAAAGAAAATTAGAAAGAAGAAACCAAAAAAGAATCAATTACAATCAGAAGAAGATAATGAAGAAGAAGATGATGAGGGGGAAGATATATCACCACGATCACTTCAACAACAACAACATGAACAACAGGAACAACAAGGTATGCAAAATTATTCTGATGATTTTTTAGAAGATGATCAAAATATCAATGACCAGTATTTTCAACCAGAAAGTGATTATTTCAGTACAGTAATCGGAACATCAGATAGTAGAGAAAGTAATGATAAACAACAACAACAACAAGTACAGGAAGAAGAGAAATCACAACTAATAGATTCAATTTATTCAACTTCTACAACAACTTTGCAACCATCGTCCACTCAACCACCGCAGTTGAATTCACAAATTCAACTAGGAGATTCTTCACATCGTCAAACATCATCTTCTTCAATCTCATCCTTAATCTCATCTTCGTCTAAGCAAAGTAAAAAACCAAGTATATCATCTGATTTGTTACACGCGACAAATGAAGAGTATTATCAAGATCAATTTATGTAGTATTTGTACATAGTGTTTATTGATAATTAACTTAAAAGTCCTGTTTTTTTCCTCCTCATACTATACAGGCTCATAAGTCACGTGATACGATCATCATGCTTATAATTTTCTAATAAACACTACACTGCATTAGAATTAACACGACAGTAATGAAAAAGAAACAGTGAAATGCATTGCCAGTAACCAAGAGAAACCTCGATAGTGGTAGCGATTATGTGCCTTGATGATTGTTACCTAAGCGATGCAACTTGAAACAAACAAACAAACAAAAAAAAATTAAAAATAGTAGTTAGTTACCGAAAGGTGTAAAAGAAAAGAAAAGAAAAGAAAAGAGATATGCAAGTAAGTAATTAAGGATTTTTATTGAGATCCAATGTGGCGTAAATAACAACCTTAACGGAAGAACAACGATAACGGAAGTACTACAAAACAATATATGAATGAAGAAACACAGACACGAAAAATGAAAAATGAAAAATGAAAAATGAAAAAAAAGTTAAGATATCCTTTTGATTTTGTATTGAGTATAATGACATGAATTCACATTTCTTGTAAAAGTTGACGCGTTCTTGTACAATTTCAAATTCAGTGAAATAAAATATTGGAATTTCATTGATTGTTCGAATATGTAATTTGTGAAATTTTCAAAAGAAACATGAGAAATAATATGTGAAAGAAAGAAAGAATCAAAAACCACCAACTGTGAAAGAAGATGAAGGAGAAGAAGAATCAAGGCACGAACCTAATAAGCCTGAACTAAACTTTATAGAAAAAGAATGAAAAAAAGAAAACAACCAGCACAATAAAGAAAGTTATAATATGAAAGGGGGTTGAGAGAAAACAATTAATTGCATAAAAATAAATATTCTTTTTTAAAAAAAGGGTTTACAGTTCTAAAATTATTACTAATTGCAACTAGTCAATTTCCTTCTATTTCTCCTTCGGCCCTTTTTCTTGTAAAAACCATATTCTAAGAAATATACTAAAATTAACATGAAATATATTTTCATAACATAGTAAGGTAAAGTAAAGTAAGGTAAATCATATTTCAAATCAAACCCAGCAGATCTTGCATGAAATAGTAGTCAAGGTAACATTAAAATTTATGTAAAATAGTACCCAATTCTGTGTAATTACAATTTATTTGTGTACGATACACAGAACTAATTCATTTCATTAATTAACCCTTTTGGGATATATTTGGTAACAATGACACGACTTTATTAAATATTATTTTAAAAGTGTGTTATGTAAGCAGTATATTTGGCATTTGTGCGTTTTTTGTAAATGTATGGCGTGCGCTTACCAACAATCTCCTTATTTTTTTTATGTAACAGAAATAAATTTTAACATGGTCTAGGTCTTGAGTTGTTGTTTGATAAACATTCCACTTTCTTTCAAAAGCAAACGCAACAGCAATGACAACAACAAAGACTGTGAAATCTCAATCGAGTACTAACAGTACATTTGAATAATCTTTGATGATTTTTTGCTTTCAATTAGTCAAGACCAATTAATTCTATGAAATGAGTTTTTAGTTATTTGAGAATCACAAAAATATGAAAGACTAGTATACTTTTTGAGTTCTTTCTCTTTTTTTTTGTTCAATGAATTTTGTACATAATAATGTAATATCCATGTACTGTATATGTACTATATCTACGTGCATATTGTATGAAAAGTACAGCTGTGAGTAGGATAGTAGTATAATTTTCGATTTACTTAGTTAAACAATTAAGCACAGAGACAAAAGGAAACAAAAAGAGAGAAATCCACTGTACCACAAGTACACGACTATCAAATAACCTGAAACAATCCTAAAAAACTCCCCTTTTAAGTTTCATATTCCACAATATATACAGTATCCTGACACACTATCAACTCACAATCTTCCTTTTTTTTTATAATTAAGAAATCCTTTCTCTTCTTTTTTTGGTTTCTTTCTTTCCTTTGAAGACGAAAAAGACATCATCCTCATCACCATCAATAATAATAACATACCCGCCTCCCTTTGTTTTCTTTATTTTGTTTTGATAGTTCATTGGCTGTTAATTGCGTTTGTTTATATATAATTCCATTTCAATTACTTATCCATTATTAGCTCAAAATCAATCTCCTGGACTCATTGTATTTTGAATTTTGTATTTTGTATTTTGTATTGCCATAATAATCTTGCGGAAATTCCAAGATTTTTTTTTTTCCTGTTTTTGTATTTAAATTGAATTGAGTAAAAACCACACAACCAAAAGTAATCAAGTGAAAATTTGTCAATCATTTTTTTTTTTTATTTTATTTTTAATTTTTAATTTGATTTTTAGTTTTTAGAATTTATTACCACCAATATTCTTTTTAACTTGTTGCAGTAATCAAACTATTTCAACAACTATTAATCCTTCCTCATTATAATTATATTACTTGGAGTACCTTTTTCCTTTTTCTCCTTTTTTTTTTTGTTCTGGTTTCACCTTGTTTCGACTTTCTTCGAAATTTTATTTTTTTTTAATATTTTGTTTTGGTTTGACGGTATTCTGATAATTCAATTAGTGCATCCCCTAATACAATGATTAAAACGTTTAGGAAAAGTAAAAGACTGTCAAGTGAGTCAAGTGGTTCCCCTAAAAAGACAATATCTCGGGTTTCAACTTTATCAAGCAATCAAACATCTTTTGATGCATCTTTGCAATCCCCGAAAAAAGTCATCAAAGCATTATACGATTATGAACCTCAAGGTCCCGGTGAATTGAAGTTTACTAAAGGTGATTTCTTTCATGTTTTAACTGATCCTAATGATGAAGAGTATAAAGAGGCAGAGGCAAATGGTTGGGTGGAAGCAACAAATCCGATGACACACATAAGAGGCATGGTTCCTATAAGTTACTTCGAGGTCTTTGATCGATCACGCCCTGTTGCTCTAGCCAGCAATCCACCAACAAATAATATCAATTCTGAAAAACCTGCAATGATTTCTCCAAAAGCAGCTGTTCCAAAACGAAGTTCAAATCAAACATTATACGCCGTCACATTATACGAATTTAAAGCTGAAAGAGACGATGAGTTGGATGTGGTGCCAAATGAAAATTTAATTATATGTGCACATCATGATTATGAGTGGTTCATTGCAAAACCGATAAATCGATTAGGTGGCCCTGGTTTAGTTCCCGTGTCATATGTTAAAATTATCGATTTATTAAATCCCAATTCAAGCTACGCTTCAATTGATACTTCAGATCGTTCTCAAGTAATGAAAGTGATAAGTGGATTTAATATACCCACAGTGGAACAATGGAAAGATCAAACTGCAAAATATCAAGCTTCAACTATTCCACTTGGTTCCATATCTGGTAGTAGGACACCACCAATGTCGGCCACTTCACAATATTTTGATGCACAACAAGTTATGTCTAATCGTTCGAGTCTTAGCTCGATTACTATCTTGGAAGCAGGCGTAGACAATTATCAATTAGATCATGGTAGATATCAATATTTGATAACAGCTAGATTATCCAATGGCAAGATTAGATATTTGTACCGTTATTACCAAGATTTTTATGATTTACAAGTCAAATTGTTGGAATTGTTCCCATATGAAGCAGGTAAAATGGAAAACTCAAAACGAATTATCCCTTCGATACCAGGTCCTTTAATTAATGTTAATGATTCAATATCAAAATTAAGAAGAGAGAAATTAGATTATTATTTATCGAATTTAATTTCGTTACCTGCTCATATTTCTCGATGTGAAGAAGTTTTACGATTATTTGAAGTTTTGGATAATGGATTTGATCGTGAAACAGATGCCATCAACAAAAGATATTCCAAACCAATTAGCCAAAAATCCACTTCCCATCAAGATCGATTATCCCAATATTCTAATTTTAACACTTTGCAACAACAAACTAGAGTATCCGACCCAACCACTGCAAATTCCAATGACTCTACCACACTTAGATCTAGAGAATCTTCAACTACAAACATTACTTCCCCACAAGACTCGGCATTGTTGAAACAACCTAAAGTCAAAGTCAAATTTTATTTTGATGATGATATATTTGTATTATTACTTCCGACTAATTTACGCTTGCAAGATTTGAAGACTAAATTGTTTAAGAGATTGGAATTGGAAGATAGTCAGCAACATAATTTTGATGATGCTAAAACTTCTAATTCAATTCATTTATTTTTGAAAAATGATTATGAAGATTTCTTGACTGAGAATAATATTTCAAATATAAATATGAAGAATGAAGTTCATCAAGCTAAATTACAAGAATTTGAAGTTGATGATGATGAAAAATTCCAAAGTGTTTTATTTGATAAATGCAAATTAATGATTTTGATAGATTAAAACTAAAACCACATGACTTTGCTAGAAATGTTTGCCTAGTTTTGATGTTGTTTGTTGATTGATTTATTGGTGAATGTGTTGTTTATAAATTTTTATGATGAATGTTCTTCCTCTTCTTTTGGTTTTTATATTTTTGTTTTGTTTTAACCTCTTAATGATGATCTTAAAATTGTGTTTCTATTTTGTATTATATATATTTTAAGTATATTAGAAATCTTTATCCATATCTTGTTGATACTGTAGGTTTAATTGATTACTGGTAAATCATAATTTCGCGATGTTATTATTCGGGGGGGGCATGCCAAACCCAGGCCAGGAGGGGACGAGACGGGACGAGACGAGACCGAACGCGGTGGGATGGTACCAGATGCGACCAAAGATGAAAATCAAGAGTTACATACTGTACAAATTAAGAACAAGGAATACAAAAAAAATATAAGAATTATGCATACACACACGAAACTGAAACAGAAGGAAGAAGGAAGAAAAAAAAAAAAAAAAAACAGAATCCTCCCTCAAACACACAATTCCAATTCAAGACATAACCATCTACTAAAAACGATTCCCTAATCCACCTAATACTTACTATAAACTGGAGGATCATAAATTATGCTTAGAGGTGTTCTTGGATATTTAAAGTCGTCTATAGATAGAGCTCCATCTGAGAATTTTGATGACAATAAACGACAATCACAATCCTTCTCCACAACAACAACAAATAACAACAATAATCAAGTTCAAACCGATAAAGATGAAGATCATGATGTCACATCAGAGGATACAGAATCAAGTGGTATACACGATACTATTGAAGACATTGTACAAGAGAATGATTTAAGTAACGGAGCAGACGAAGAAGAAGAAATTGAAGTGCTACATGATCTTACGGGGAATTATAACTATATTAAGAATATTTCTGACGAAGTGATAGAAACACAAGATACAGAAATAATTCAAAAGGAACAACTATCTGATGATGAAGAGAGTGACGCGACGCGTAGACCACTAGATCAACCAGTAGGAATATCTGCACGTTATGGAAGTATTGCTCGTCCTCAATTAAGTATAATTGAAAATGATTCTATATCTGGAACAGAGAATGGATCTGAAGAAGATGATGAACAAGAAACTTTAAGACTTGCAGAATTATCACGTCGTGAACAAGTCATGAAATCTTATGAAGAATTCAGTAGTTCTACTCCAGATGATGATGATGAAGATGATGATGAAAATAGTTATTCTTCTTCAGACCAATTTTTACCGAAAGATGAAATTTCTGTACTACAAGATTTCCAAAGTGATGAAGATGTACCATCTGATCAACAAAAAATTTCATTGAAACTGACGGTATCTTCATCTCATGATGAAAATGTTCAATCTGGGGATGCAAATTCAAATAATGCAGTTTCAAGTGTGTCAAAAAAAAGAAAACATGATGAAGTTGTATCAAGTGATGGTTCCGAAATTGAATCCGACGTTAGTAATGATGAATCTCCCGAACCCAATGATGATGCAAACTCGCCTGTATCTGATCAGGAAGCTCAAGTTCAATCTCCAGGAAACAATCAACAAGCACAATCTACTGAGACTAATTTTATGTATCAAACGACACAACATCATTCACAAGAATCAACACAAACATCAACATCAACCCAACCAAGACAAAATCCAGATGGTTTGGAAGAACCAACTCCACTGAATAGGACACCGTTACAATCATCAATGACCTCACCTCCTATGACAACTCAACTCGTTGGTGATACGAATACTACAACCAGAATTCCCAGGAGAGTAGCCAATCTCCCTGCAAGAATTCCTTCAGAAGCTCTAGCGCAGATTGCTCTATTTGAACAATGGACTGGGATAAAAACTCAACCGAAAGTACCAACAACAGCACCAGTAAGAACACCACAGCATCCGAACTCTGAGTCAGAAAAACCCACTGCACCAGTATCGCCCCAAAATAAGGCTACAATAAGACAGGAAAGAACACCAGAGATAAGAAAAAAACGTAAATACACTTTGAAAACGCAGAAAAAACAGAGACTTACGTGGAAAGAAGACAATTTAAGATTGGAAGAACGCTTACGGTCAAAAGAATTATCTTCTATAAATGATCAATTACCAGGAGCAAGTGTTGTACCTTCTAGTCCACATGTTGTTCTGGAGAGCAATTCACCATCAAGAAGACAGTCCCAAGTTTCTTCTAGTGTCACTCCAGCTAGAGATGAAGGTATTCAAGTCACAAATACCCCCATAGTTGAAGAATCCGCAGAGAATCATATACAAGAACAAGAGGATTTGGTAGATGAAGTATCGGTTCATCTGATAGTAGCAAATGAACTATCCGTTTCACCAGAAAAAGAAGTCCCACAAACTACACCTAGTGTAATACAATCCCAAGAGGCACAACAAGATTCTACCAGGATAATTGAAGAACATGATGATTTATCAGATTTAAATTCATCACCTGTGAAATCATCGGTTGTTCATGAAAGAGGTGTAATTGATAGTACTTTGAATAGAAATATCGAGTCAAGAAGAATTAATTCTACGGAGAGATTAGTTGAATGTGTTCAAGAGAATATTGAGATATCTAACACTGGTAATTTGGATAATATTGAAACTAATAGTGCTCAATTTACAAATTCTATGAGGCAACTAAACAGTCGATCACAAGTAGAATCAGAACAGGAAAGTGATAAATCAAAGGAAGAAACAAGTGAACTGGAAGAAGAAGAAGAAAGATCACAAGAACCTGATGCAAATAATACAGGAGAATCGAATCCAAATAAGGATGATTCTAGTAATGATTCCAGCGATGATGAAAGAGGAAATGATTCTTCGGTTGCAGATAATAGACACAATCAACTTGACGATGATAATATTCAAAACAACGAAGCTGATGATTACCTTCAAGATGGGAGTTCATCTCCAATTCTTCTGTCGGATAACTCTGATGATGAGTATATCAATGCTGAACTTTCTGAGAAAAGGAATAATCGCAAGAGCTCACCTCTGCTTTTTGTGGAAGATGACAGCGAAAGTGAGAAGAATTTAGCAAGTGTATCACCTCCAAGTTTCGAACATATTGATTCCATTAGCCTTGTTCATGAAAGGAGTCTTAATGAGAATGACACATCATCTCCTATACCACAGCCAGACGAAATGCTTCCTGATTTCCTAGATGATTTAAGTGACCAAGAGGAAATAGATCAAGCTGAGATAGATCAAGAGGACAGCTCTTCTGGAAGTGCCAATTCAATTGCACAAGCATTATCCGAAGTCGAACCAGATCATTTAATTCCAAGAAGAAGGGAGGTTGATGAAGTGGAAAATTTCCCAGATAACGGAAACTCTCCCAAAAGAAGAAGGTTAGATGATATCCATATTACTAATGATACTGGTGCTGATGATAATCAATTAATTGATAATCACGACCAGCATCATGAAGAAGCAGTTGATATTCCCGAACAACAACTTGTTCAACCCCAGGAAAGTCACAACACAGAGAGTATACTGGAGGAACAGATTGCACCACACGTTGATCTTTCACTTAGAAGAGTTAATTCCCTACCAAGCCCCGAACAAAATCTTGAAGATCCAACTGGTAATGATCCTTTCCCTGATTGGAAATCTGATGATTCATATTTTGACAAAGTTCTGGTTGATGTTGATTCACTCTTAGAACAATACGGAAGACCACATGTCATTAGAACTTTGGCTCAGCAATTTGTTCTGACAGCTCTGGAAGTTTTGCAAGACAAAATTGAAAGGGTAATTGCAAATATTGATACTTTATTCGAGCACAGACCTACAACTACTAGTCCCGAAGTACGCAATGAAAGTAATCAAGAAACAAGAATTGAACAAGACACTCAATCTGGTGATGCTGCAACAGAAGAACAACCAACTGAACAATATATCACACCACTGATACCATTGTCTGAAGTGCAGAATATGCTTTTAATGCGAACTAGATTACGGCCAAGTCCTGAGTACTTAAGGAAAGTTGCAATATCCAACGAAGAAATGGAGGCAGCCTACCAAGCAAACATTTCTAATGCTCGACAGAAAGATGGAATTACAAATTCAAATGATCACACTCCACCAAATGAACAAATTGAAAATCAAGAAGAAGACCTTCCAAATGATGATGATATTGTTGCAGCTGAACATGACCAAATTCAAGCAGTCGATATTGAAGTAAACCAATTACCAGTTTCCAACAATGCTACCACTGTACCTACATCAGAAAATGAAAATATTGAATCAGATAAACCTCTCCAAGATGAAGTTGCAACAGAAGATACTCCAGAGATCTCCAAAACAACCTAGTATACCAATAGTAATTGAAGTCATCGAATTTCTGGATATTGAGACTGAAGATCAACTGACCCAATTGTCAAGACCACGTCAATCACAGAGTTCAACAGAAGTTACTAGTCAAAATACTAAGCCACAGTTGATAGTATCACAAGCTTCTACTCAGACTACTCAATCGCAGGAAGAGAATCCGATTGTTCAATCAGGTCAACCTGCTGAACCTGCTGAACCCACGCAAACTTCACAACAAACTTCACAACAATTCCACCAGGTGAACACTGATCTAGATTCAATTACACCTAGAACTGTTAATGAAAATGATGAACATGTTCAAACACGAATTCCTGAATCCCAGCAGGAAGGAACTACAGTTGCAGATACACAAGAATCGTCAATTTCACAACGAAGTACACAAAGCAGGGTAGGATTTAGTCAAGATAGTACGGACTCGTCAAGTTCTAATAAGCATTTGAATAAAGTTAAGAGAATCAACCCGGCCCTGATTATTCCTGCTACAAGGATCCAAAAATCAAAGAATGTTTTCCGTTTGTTGAATAGTTCTGATGAGGATTCTGATATTGACGAGACTATGGAGTCACTAGCCGCCGAAGTTGAAATTGAAAACTTGAATCTGAATAGAGAGCAACCTAATGAATCTGGCAAAGAAAGTAATTCTTTGAATGAAGGAGAGGAAGCTGTCCAAACATCGAATACTACAGAAGAACCAAGACCTGTTGTTGCTAATCAACAAGCTCCTGAAGATTCCGATACTGTGATGGAGCCTGCAGATGCGCCAGCTCAAGTTGGTACTGGAGCTAGTGAAAAAGATGACTCTGATAGACTGGAAACCGTAATGGGCCGTACTACAGTTCCAGATGGTGAAATCATTGACGAACCGATTGAAATAATAGAAGCGGTTGAACCGACTCCTGTTCAATCAAGTGAATCACCAATTAATATCAGTACAGCCACAAGAGAAACACATGAACGCGAGGTGGTTGCTTCGATTATGTCACAACAGCCTGTTGGTGAATCTATACCAGGAATAGGTGGTCCGGCGATGAATGAAGGACAGCAAGAGAGCACGTACACACCACCTGATAATGACGAGAGTGCAATTGTAAATACTGTTCAAATGGGTATTAATCCGAAAAATAGTCAGCTACAGCAAAATATTGTACCTGAAACTGCAGATCAAGAAAAAGATCTTCTCAGAAAAGCTGTTCAAGAATTGAAAATGAAACTTCGTGAGGCAGAGAGAACCATTGAACAAGAAAAGAATGAAAAAGAAGTAGTTGAACAAAATTTCAAAGAAGCGCAAAGTGATTATCAACTGCGATTCAAAGAACTTTCTCAACAGATAAAGAGCTCAGAACTCAAGTTTAATAGAGAAGAAGTTGCTAGACAACAAGCAGAACGTGAACTCATAAATTTGGAACAAAAAGTAAATGAATATTTTGAAAGTCAAGGACTAGTTGACAAACAATTTAACCAGCGAGTTTCTGAACTTGAGAATCACTTGATTGGTGTCCAATCCAGCTTGGAAACTGAACAGAAGAATAGAGAAAGAATTGCAAATGTTCTTCTGAGAGAAAGACAAGAATGGACTAAGGAATTACGTGAGACTGAAATGCTTATTCAAAAGGAAAAGACTGCTAGACTAGAAGTTGAGAGTCATCTTCAACGAGCCAGACAGGAAAATCTCCGTCTTTCCATTGAAATATCCAGAACTCGCGAAGTCGTGAATGGTAAAGAAGAAACAAGTCTCATAAATGTATCCGAATTGGAACAACAATTGTCTGACACACGTACCGAAATTGAAAAGCTTAAGAGATTAAGACGAATTGATGAAGAAGAGAATAGGAAACTTCAAGTGGCCAATGATAGCTTGAGGAATCAACTAGCTACTGCAATTTCAAATGCTAACAATGAAACAAATTCAAAGATACAGATTAAAGAGAAATTATCTCAGTATGATAAGAAGATTAATGAATTATCTGCGGAATTAAGTGCTTCCCAAAGTGAGTTACAAAAGGCTAGTATGAGGGGAGTATTTGCTGAGCAGCAAAACGAAACATTAAAGAATGAGCTAGATGCAGCTACAAAAGAAGTTAAACAACTAATAGAAAGACTTAAAATTACCATGGAAGCTCACAGCAGTGTAACTCAAATTTTGAAATCTGTACTGGATGCCAAAAAAGGAGTAGAACAAAAAGTTGAAGAATTAGAGAATCAATTAGCAATAGCTATTGAAGATGCACAAAAAGATAGGACTGCTTGTGAAAATGCTGAGAAGAAGCTTGCCATAAGTCTTGAAAATGCTAAGGAGTTAGCTGAGACGCAGTCCATTGTAGCTGCTGACAAGGAAGTAGCCGCCAGAGAAAAGTTTCAATTGGAAATACAAAGAATAGAAAGTGAAAGGGACCAAGCAAGAAGGGAAGCTAAAGAACTAACTGATAGACTAGAAGCCACTAATATTGCTTACAATCTGGAGAAGGAAAAATATGTATCTAAAGACAGGGAACTTCAAAAAGCAAAAGAAATGCTTTCGCAAGTAACCCGCCGAATGCAAGCTGCAGCTGAAGTCCACCGACATGAAATACAGGTACGCGTCACGAGAGAAGCAAATGCTGTTAATCATGCTAATGTTCTAGCATCTAACTTACATAAACTTCAAATAAAGTTCAAGGAGGTTGAAGAAGACAACAGAATCCTTCAACATGAAGTTGCGAATTTCAATACTACTATGCAAAATGTGATTGAAAGTCGGGACGCGGTTGCTCGAGAAGTAAATGCTTTACAACAGAATATTTCAATGTACAGACTTCAACTGGACTCTGAAAGAGCTTTAAGACATTCTGCTGAGAAATCAAATGAGGAAGCTCAGGCTACTTTAAAGCAAGTGACTGATGAAAGAGATGAACTTCTTGGCCAACTCCAAGGTGCGACTGAAGCAAGGTGGAACTCTGCGAGAACAGCTGCAGAAGCTATCCGTGAACTCGAGTCATACAGAGCAAGAATGGATAAAGAAATAATGGAACTTCAAAAAAGGGAAGCAAGTGCTAGAGAAGCTCTAGACCTTGAACAAGGTGCAAGGGAAATTGCTGAAAACGCATCTAGGAGAGTTAATAATGAATTTAACAATATTAAGGACCAACTAGTAGCTGCTAGAAATGCTCTCGAAGCTGAGAAATCTTCAAAAGATATAGTTGAGAATGCAAGAGTTTCGTTGGAAAAGGACCTCAATGAACGTACCGAGGAATATGAAAAGGTAAAAGAGGAATTGGAAAAATCCATTGAAAATCTTTCTCAAGAGGTTGAAGATGCAAAGAAGGTAATTGAAAATGAAAGAGTTGAAAGAGAGACGCTACAGAAATCGCATGATCAGGCTATTGAATGTTATAAAGAGCAACAACGGGAACTTTTACAAAGAATTGCTAGTATGACCGTTGAAAACATGGCCATTCAAAGAGACTTTGCTGAAAATACTGCTGCGAATTTGTCACGAGAAGAACCTGTACATCTCGAAATTTCCGAATCGGACGAAGTAAACAATGGTGATGCTATGGAAATTGACAATGAGAATGAATTAATCGAAGATAATGAGCCACAAAGCTCAATTGCTAATGCAGAATCTGTTGAGAAAGAAAACCCTTTAGATGAAGTTGCAGATCAACTCGGAGATGATGAATCAAAGAAGACTGGGGACATCATGATTGCAGACATTTCTGACGATTATGACATGCAAGATTACATCAATCTTAACACACTGATTTCGAAAGAAGACGAGGATCAAAATTCAAAGGAATCAGAATCACAAGAGTTTAACTCTGTACAAGATGAACCCAATAAGGGAAATGAAAATGATGACGAAATCATGAAGGAGCGAGAAATAGTCAACATTGGACAAGAATTGGTCATCATTGAACAAGAATTGGTCAGTATTGGACAACAAGTGGCCAGCATTCAACAACAAGAAGAGGAAATCAATAGTGAACAAGAAATAGTCAACAACAAACAAGATAATGATGGCAGCAAGGAACAAGAAGAGGTCAATAATAAGCAAGATGAAATCAACGGCCCATCAGTTGTAAAGGAGGCTACCACGGAAACTAATGATCCTGCTAAAATTGTTAAGGAAGAAGTTGTTCAGAACCTAAAAGAATCCATTGATGAAGAAATGTATGATACTTTAGAAGATAGTGATCCTGAATTTGCAAAAGAAATGGACTTAGGATATCAAAAACATCATTCAATCCGTTCATCGACACAGATAAATCAAGTTTTGGTCAATAGAACCATGTCTGCTGATGAAATTCAATCTCAAAAATCCGACGAACGTGTTTATTCTTCAAGTGTTGACACTGAAGCTATTTCCTCATCGGCTAAAAGTCAAGGTTTTGCTACATCTACCCAAATTTTTGATGAACAACGTACAATTGCTAAACAAACCATTGATCTTAGGTTGAATAAATCATTATCTACATCTGATTCTGCCTCTGTATCTGCATCTTTGGAAAGCGAAGAACATCAGGAACAGATAAATCCAAGTAAACAACAACCAGAGGAGGAGATTGATGAATTTAAAGAACTTTCCTATATTGAACAAGAGTTGGAATCCCGAAATGATCGACGTACATTGCCAAGTGTTACACCAAAGGAATCAACAGAAGACTCAGGTGAAACCGATCACAATCAATCAACCAATGTTCTGGAACCAGCTACTCATGAAGCAAATGAAATTGATCTTCCAATGGTTACTGAATTGGATGCTACAATTGCTGGTTCGTCAAAAGGAACTGATCATCTGAATGAAGAGACTAGTCCATTAGAGCTGGTATCAGATGAACCACCTGTGAATGTATTCGAAAATGTATACCATTCATCCCTTCAACAAGAATCGCAAGCTGAAGATGACAAGGGAGAATCTGTTGAAGATTCTGAGAGAAGCAAAATTGTTCGTGAATTAATTGATGGTGTTGCAGTTGATGTAATCATGTTATCTCTGGATTCGGAAGATGATGATGATGATGATGAAGTGGAGGAAATTACAATCAAAGAAAGTGAAACAAGCGTCAAAAAGTTGGTCCATACTCCTAAAGAATCGAACACAACTGATGATGAAAATATCGCTGAGGCCGGTTCTCGAGATGACAATTACACTCCGCCAATAGCATCCTCATCAGGAGTATCATCTAGCCGTGAAGAAAGTACAGGTTTAACCAGTAGAGAAGGAAGTGCAAAATTATCCAGTATGGAAGATGAAAGTAACCACCCATCAAATGATGCAGAGTCTGAAAGTGGCAACAAGGACGATGGAAATTTTGTTCTTCTTTCAAAGATCAAACGTGCATTTTCCCAGAGATACAAGGAAGTTGAAGGTTCAGCCCCTCTGGGTGAATCAGATGTCGATTTAGCATGTATGGTTGATGACATTGAAAAATTCAAATTCCGCTCTTGGCATAAAAAAAGTTTTGAAACAAGCAATTCTGATACAGGTAGTTCGGGATCAAGCAGCATTGAAGAAGATGAATCCGAAGATTCTGAAGATGGAAGTACAGGGAAATGTACAAGTGAAGAAGTAAAACGCACTAAAGATGGCTTGGATAGGTTTAAAGGAAGCAATGGTAATGATAATGATAGCAAAACATCACATATAAGAAAACCTAAACCCACTGTGACAATAGATGAAATAGAGCTTGTCCCTTTTGAACCCAGTAGTCCCAACACACGAACTATTGAAAAATTGAATAATGTGATTGATGATTTGCTCGATAGTACTATAAAGCTGTCTTCCAAGTCATCACAAAGCCAGGAAGAGACAGCTCATTCTAGTCAGTCATCTACAACAGCTTCTTCAAGCGTCTATAATGTGCCATTTAGTCCAACCATTAAAGCGAACAAATCTAATAGAGCTAAGGCTAGAAAGAAACGTCGTCAAGCGCTTAAAAATCGTTAAGTAGATATATTAGTTACATATATTATTATTATTGATTAAAAAAATACATCGGTGTTTAATTATTTATGTTTGACTATCCTAGTAGTTCATCCAAGAAATCAAGTTCTTTCTTGGAACTATTTCCTGCTGTATCAGCTGACTCATTGCTTTTCCCTTCTATACCTAACAAGAAATCAATATCACTATCTAGATCAGTAGTTGCTCTATCCTTAGATATCTTATCATTTAATTTACCAAGGTCATTATTGTTGAAATTGTTTATATCAATAATTTTAGCTTTTGGTTTCTTTTGTTGTTGAACATCATCAAACTTATTTCTTATGTTATTATAAAACAGTTGTTGTTCAACTAATTTCTGACGTTCTTCATCTTGCTGTTTTTCTTCTTCAGTAAGTTGACGTATATCTGATTTAGTATTATTTGGTTTTGATTTATCATTAATCATTGAAACTGTTGATTCACCAATTACAAATCCATCTAATTTATCATTTGGGAATATAATTTATACTAGACTTTATTTTCTCTTGTTGTTTCTTAATGTATAAATCATTATAATCATCTTGATTTCTATTTAAATCTTTATAACTAGTCAATCCATAATCTTCTAAGAAATTATCAGACATTTTATTCTTCAACATTTTTCTATTCTTTTTTGGTTTAATTTCAAGATTATCCATGAATTCTTGAAGGTTGAATTTAGCAGGTTCTTTAGATTCACTTTTCATTTCTTTGTGTTTATTCTCCTCAGATCCAAGGTATATCCCATCTAATTCTTCTTCTGTTTCATCATGTGAATCACTGTTTTCTTCTTGTTCCTGTTGTTGTGCAATATCAGTTAAAATTTGTTGTTTGATTTTGATTTTTTGTTCAATTGTTAATTCTTCATTTTCAGATAATTGTGGATAAAAATGATTAATTAAAGCTTCATCAACATCAGAATCCCATTCATCTTCTGAATCTTCAAGAATTATCTTTTCTTGATTATCAATTGTCTTTTTCTTTGAACTCCATTTCGGACGTGACAATCCTTGATTTTCTTCATTATCATTTTTGTTTTTCTTAGGAAGTATATCATGTTTCTTCATATACTTATATTTAGCTTTCTTATCCCATTTTGAATTCTTCAAAACCATGGCTGGTGTGTGTAATTAGTATATGAATGACAGTATGGTATTCTCTATTTTTTTCATTTTTGTATTTCCGCTTTTGGACATGAAATTAAATTTAAAACGAGCGAAAAGAAAAATTTTATGTGTGACAGAAATTTACTACGTGTTTATCAAATAATTCATTAGCAACCAAAAACCATGTCTGACAAATCTGATAAGCCATCTGGATCTAATTCCAGTGGTGTTCCGTCTAAATCCATTGAAGAATTGTTGAAATTGTTGGCTTTAGGACAAGAATTAACTCCAGCACAACAAAAGGAAATGAAGGATTATAAATTCTGGAAAACTCAACCGGTTCCATCATTAGATGAAAAAGTTACCGAAGAAGGTCCTATTGATAGAATTAAAACTCCAGCTGATATTAGAGATGATCCATTGCCATTAATTGAACAATTTGAATGGAGTACTTTGGATATTGATAATGATAAAGAATTAGATGAATTGTATCAATTGTTATATGATAATTATGTTGAAGATGTTGATGCTAGTTTCAGATTCAAATATAGTCGTGAATTTTTCCAATGGGCTTTAAAACCACCTGGTTGGAGAAAAGATTGGCATGTTGGTATTAGAGTTAAAGCTACGGGTAAATTGGTTTCATTTATTGCAGCCACCCCAGTATCTATCAAATTAAACAAATCTGGTAAGAGAATTGATTGTGTTGAAATCAACTTTTTATGTATTCACAAAAAATTAAGAAACAAAAGATTGGCTCCTGTTTTAATTAAAGAAATTACTCGTAGAGTCAACAAGCAAGATATCTGGCAAGCTTTGTATACTGGTGGATCTATTTTACCAACTCCTATGACTACTTGTCGTTATGAACATCGTCCTATCAACTGGTCTAAATTAAACGATGTTGGGTTCAGTCATTTACCTCCAGATGAAACAAAGAGCAGTATGGTTGCCAAATTCACGCTTCCAAGTGCTACAAAATTACCTGGGTTGAGACCAATGACTGAAAAGGATATCACTACTGTGTTATCCTTGTTGTACAAATACCAAGAAAGATTTGATATTGTTCAACTCTTCACTGAAGAAGAATTCAAACACTGGATGTTGGGTAACAATAGCTCCAGTGGTTCCAATGTGGTCAAAAGTTATGTTGTTGAGAACGACAAGGGAGAAATCACAGATTATTTCTCATATTATTTATTACCTTTCACTGTTTTAGATAATTCTCATCATGATGAATTAGGTATTGCTTACTTGTTCTATTATGCTACTGATTCAGTTGACACTCCACAGTATAAACAAAGATTGAATGGTTTGATCAATGATGCATTGATCACTTCTAAGAAGTTTGATGTTGATGTTTTCAACTGTTTGACCTGTCAAGATAACACATATTTCATTGAAGACTTGAAATTTGGTGCTGGTGATGGGTTCTTGAACTATTATCTTTTCAACTACAAAACTTTCCCAATGAATGGTGGTATTGATAAAGAAACCAAGGATGTCTTGAAAGATCAAACTAGTGGTATTGGTGTCGTGTTATTGTAGAATAGTTTTAATACATTGTGAAATTAATTGCAAATTTGAACTGGAACATTCCTTTGAAGTGAGCCGCATTTGGCAATCTTCTCTTCTTCTTCTTCTTCTTGTCTTTATGTGTGTGAGTGTGTGTGCGCGATGTTAAAATTTCGTTCTTCCCGTTTTGTAAGCAACAAAAAGATTTTTTAGAATTTTTTTTTTTTTTTTCAATCTCATCCCATCATTGAACTTTGTACAAACTATAACCAACAATGATTTCATCAAGTACATGGGTTCCAAGAGGATTTGCCTCTGAATTTCCTGAGAAATATGAATTAGATGATGAAGAAATGGAAAGAATCAATGCAATGGCTAATTTGGAACTTAATGATGCCAGAGAACAATTAGCAGAAGCTGAAGCTGATGAAGAACAAGATGACGATGAAGAAGAAAAACCAGCCACTACTCAATTAAAAGAACAAATTGAAATAGATGATGACTTGAAAGAATATGATTTGGAAAATTACGATAATGATGGTCAAGATGGCTTAGAAGGTGAACAAGTTACTATATTCCCAGGTTTATCAAATACAGATGCTAAATTACTACAAGATGAAAGTGGTGAAGGTGATCAATATTTATCTTTACCAACTGAAGTTGATGTACAAGAAGAAAAGAAAGAAAATCAAATCTACCCAACCGATAATTTAGTCTTGGCTACTAGAACTGAAGATGATATTTCATACTTGGATGTATATATCTATGATGATGGTGCTGGTGCTCCAGCAGGTGCCGAAGAAGAAGAAGAGGATAAACTAGATGCTGATGTTGCCAATGGTATGGTTAGAGAATCAAACTTGTATGTTCATCACGATATTATGTTACCAGCTTTCCCATTATGTGTTGAATGGGTCAACTATAAACCAGGACAAGGTGAAGCATCCGATAACAATATTGGTAACTTTGCTGCTGTTGGTACTTTTGATCCACAAATTGAAATTTGGAACTTGGATTTTGTCGATAAGGCATTCCCAGATTTGATCTTGGGTGAACCAAATCCAAACTCATTTGTTGCTAAAAAGAATAAGAAATCAAAGAAAAAGAAGTCAACTCAACATATAACTACACATCATGTTGATGCTGTTTTGTCATTATCACACAATAAAATTCATAGATCAGTTTTGGCATCCACTTCAGCAGATAAAACTATTAAATTATGGGACTTGAACAGTGCTACTGCTGTTTGTTCTTTTAACAATATTCATCACAATAAAACCGTATCATCTTCACAATGGCATCCTCAAGAAGCTTCAATTTTGTTAACTGGTGGTTACGATTCTACTGCAGCTCTTACGGATGTCAGAATTTCTGCTGGTGACTCCTCCAAACACTACTCTGTTGTTGCTGGTGAAGAAGTTGAAAACGTCAGATGGGATGCTTCCAAACCAGAATTGTTTTACGTCGGTACTGACAATGGTAATGTTTACAGTTTTGATATCAGACAAGAATCTAAACCTTTATGGACTTTACATGCACACGATGCAGGTATTTCTTCATTGGATGTTAACAGCTATGTTCCAGGTATGTTGGTTACCAGTGCCATGGGTGAAAAAGTTGTCAAACTTTGGAAATGTCCACCACAAGCTGAATCAGGTAAACAACAAGGTCCATCAATGGTTTTATCAAGAGACTTTGGTGTTGGTAATGTGTTGACCACTAGTTATGCTCCAGATATCGAAGTTGCTGGTAATATGGTTATTGGTGGTATAACAGGAGGCTTGAAAATGTGGGATACTTTCAGTAACAGTTCTGTCAGAAATAGTTTCAAGGATGAATTAAGAGCATTACAAATTCATGCTAGAGAAGAAGCTAAGAAATCTGGTCGTGCTTCTAGAATTGCCAGAAAATACAACAGTAATAGCACTAACGAAGAAATCATGACTGTTGAAGCTGGTGGATTGAAAGATGAATCCGACTCTGATAGTGACGAAGGTATTGAAGTTCCAGGTGGTGACGAAGATATGTCAGATGAAGAAGAAGAAGACTATTAAATAGAGAACATGAAGTAGACTGTTCGTAATGTATATTATTAATTATCGCCAAACTTATTAATTATCATTTACTTTATAATTTGCTAGCAAAAATTTCAATCAATTCTTCCTCTGGAGTTCCACTAGAAATATTATCAGCAACAATTCCATCAATACTAACAGTTGGGGTAATATGAACACCAACTCCTCTAAGATATCTTGTAAAATATTTAACATCAACGGTTGATCCATTACCATCGTTATTTGGTTCTTTGCTTGGTTTAATAATCAATTGCTCTAAAATTGCCTCCTTCGGAATCTTGAAATCAAATTTGGTAGCTGCAACAACATCATAAATTTGTTCATAAATTTGATTTTTAGTTAAATTGATATTTGAAGTTTCATAAAATTGTTCTTTATTTTCAAATAATATCTTAGAGAAATCCCAAAAAGTACTAATTGAATCAATTTCAACTTCAGCTTGTTTTTCACGTAATAATTTAGCATAAGCTAAGGAAAATTCGTTCAATAATACAGAATTGGTATGCCATGGTTGAATAACATTGACAAAAACAAATTGAAACTTATCTGGATATCTCTTTTGTAATTCGGGGATAACATTTCCATAAAATTTCAAGAATAATTTGGCACTAAATGGACAATTGTAATCTAAATATAAGTTTACAATATGTGGGGCAGTTTTGGATTGGGACAATGTCTTGACAGACAAGTAATAATGAGTAGTTGCGTATTTAGGAGAAATCATTGGTGTTATAGTAGTTTGTTTTTAAAAAGAACAGTAATATTAACGGGATTTGATTTCAGTAGTAATTCTCCTTTTTTGTTTGAGATTTTCTCCTGAGAGTATTGTACCAAGAGCCACAACTGGGGGTTGCCCTCTTTTTTTGTTTCTTCTTCTTAAGTTAAAGAACACACCACAGAAATTTGTTGTATTCTCCCATAACGAATATTCTAGAATGTATAACACGATATATTTCTCTGGGGAACTATGAATATAACTCAAACGAATCAATTCAATTCGGGAGGGGGTAAATAAACTGTCATTTATCTCTTTGTGTCACGTGCCCAGTTCGTGTATAAGGGGACGAAAAATTTAACAAAGTTCACAGATTATTTTGTTTTTTATTTAGTATCTGAGCCAATTCATCTCCACATATTAGAGCTTGCTTATCTAACAACTATTGCTTTTCTTCCTCACAATGAGTACTGCAAAAATAGACCACAAATCAAGTGACACATCACATCACAGTGTTCCACCTGCATCAGAGAAGTTATCTTCATTAGATGAGAAAGCAATTTCATTATTTCAACAAGCAGTTGAAAGAGAAGCCCAAGGTTTGATGTCAGATGCAGTGGATCTATATAGAAAAGCATTTCGTATGAATGATCAAGTTGATAAACTTTATCGATCAGTTCATTTACCAAAAGCCATACAGAAGTTAAAAGCAGAAAGGGGTGATAATTATCTTCAAAGAGTTGATGAACATCAAGTTTCTAAGATTAACGTTGATAAATTAATTGCAAGTTTCCATAATATTGATGCATCTCCCCCTGATCCACTAAGCGCTGATTCAGATGGTGATCATAATGCATTGACAATTAAGTTTTCCGATTTAAATTTAAAACAAGAAACAATATTCACTAATCCGGTGTCTCCATTAATTCACTTACCAAACGAGGTCTGGGTAAACATAATGGAAATTCTTCTACATACATCACCTGTTTCATGGATGAATTTATCAATATGTTGTAAGAAATTTGCCTTTTTAGGATTGGGACAACCAACAATCTGGCGTCAATTGGCACAACTTGTATATTCCAAGCAAGTATATGATTCAACTCCTAATCCACATTCCGATTTGGCAACAATTTCAATCAACGATACATACAAATCCATTGTATCTAAGTTTCCATTTATCAAATTCAATGGATGCTATATCTCAGTAGTTAATTATTATTCCGAAGGGGGAAAAGCTGAGTTTAGTTCAAGTTGGTCTAATCCAGTTAGAACTATTACATATTATAGATACTTGCGATTCTATCCAGATGGAACCGTATTAAAAGTATTATCTGTTTTACCTCCTCAACAAGTTGTCAAGTTCTTGATTAAAGGTAAGTCTACTTTGCCGACAATTTCAGAAACTGGTGTTGCAGTATATCAAACTGATGAAAATAGACAAAGTCATAAGATACAAGTTGGATCCTGGTCAATGACTCCAGATGGAAAAGTGCATATTATTCTCGAACATGAAGCTATTAATTATTTGGTCTTCCATTACTTTTACGAGATTAAAGATCTTGGATCTCATAGACATAATAAGTTGAAGTGGCTTGAATATTATTCTGTAAGAAAACCTATGGAAAATGAAGACGGAGAAGAAGGTGAAAGAGCAGGTGAAGTAATGGACTTTTCAATTAGAAACGAAAAACCTTTCAAGTTTCTGAGAGTAGGAAGTTATACTTTAGACAATTGATGCCATTGACAAGTTTAATGTATAGTTTAGTTTTGGTTATTTTCTTATAGAGTTTGGTATCATAAATCGAACATACGTGTGGGTCGGACGCGACTTGTAGGAGTTTCAATTGCTCTGGAAAATGAACCAATTACTGGCCTGTTCCTTAGTAGATTATAAAATACTGTCTTGCCTCATGTGTGTTATTTCCGATGACTGGGTATTTCTCGACACGTTTCCAGCCAATGACTTCTTTGAACAACTATTTTGCAGTCAATGTCAACTCGTAAAAAGCTAAAAACAACTTTGGCAAAAAAAAACCAATTGGGCATTGCACACGACTAAATGAAAGGAAAATTTTTTTTTTTTTTTTGATTTTCCATCGAAAAATCTTTTCACTCTTAGTAAAAATTTTCTCAACCAATTTTCAAAGGTAAAAATTGATTTAAACACCCAACCAAGTGACTAAAGAAACAAACCATTATCCCCTATAAATATGTCACGTTTCTTTGTTTCAGGATATGCATCTGATTCTTCATCTGAAGAAGAAGATTTATTGAGTACCTCCGAAGAAGAATTATTATCATCATCTGGAGATGAATCAGACAGCTCATTTTTCAATGATGATGACGAAGATGAATCTGACGAATCAAGTTCAGATGAAGATAGTGGCCGTCCATCAGGTCCAGCTTATTTCTTGAAAAAATCTTTCTTGAAAGGTTCAGCTGCCGATTCTGATAGTGAAAGTGATGATGAAGGTCGTAAAGTTGTTAAATCAGCCAAGGATAAATTATTGGATGATATGAAAGCTTCAATTGAAGTTATAAATTCAAATAAATACACTAATAATTGGAGTACTGTTTTAAATGAATTTGATAAATTTGGAAGATTCTTAATCAGATGTAATCAAACTAATATTGGTACCCCAAGATTTTACATTAAATTATTGACTAGTTTGGACAATTCTATTACAGAAGCTATCAACAATGAAAAGGATGATAAAACTATGAAAGCTGATGAAGTCAGATCTTTCAACACTTTAAGACAAAGAATCAAGAAACAAATCAAAGAGTTCCAAGTTTACTATGATTTGTATAAGGAAAACCCAGAAGAATTTGATGATAAAGAAGATGAATCTTTGGAATCTCTTCATACTGCTGCTATGGAAGGTGGTAAAGATGAAAATGAAGGTGCTAATCTTCAACCAAGCAGAGTTTTGAGTCCTATTTTCCACACCTTGAAGGTTATTTCTGAAAGTCGTGGTAAGAAGAATGTTGATAAAAATGAACAAGTTAGTACTTTGGAAAGTTTATTGGAAACCCATGCTGCTACTGGATCTCCATTTGAATTGATTTCTATTTACCAAATGTTGTTATCTATTAGATTTGATGCATCTTCATATCAAGCCTTTATGCCAGTTGACCAATGGAAGAAAAATGAAGAAGATTTGGGTAAATTATTAGACTTGTTGGAAGCTAACATTGATAAATACCAAGTTTCTGAATTGGGTACCACTACTGACGATATTGATATTGAACCAGTTGCAAATGCTAATGGTGTTAAAGTTCTTTTCGGTTCTATCACTTCTTCTATTGATAGATTGGATGATGAATTTACTAAATCATTACAAAACACTGACCCACATTCTACTGATTATGTTGAAAGATTAAAGGACGAAACTACTATCTACAATTTGATTGTTAGAGGTCAAGTTTATGTTGAATCCATTACTCCAAAGGAATTTGTTCACCAAAGTGAGCAATTGGCCAGAATTGTTTTGAGAAGATTGGAACACGTTTACTACAAACCAAACCAATTGATTAAAGCCAATGAAGAAGAAGCTTGGAAGCACATCAAGGGTGACTCATCTATTGTTGCTAAAGGTTCGGCTCCAAATGTTGTCATTGATGGATTATCTAAATTCTTGCAAGAACAAGAACACAAGATTTACGGTAAGCATGCTATACTATTCTCTACTTACTACTATGCTGTCAATAACCAATATCAAGAAGCTAAAGAATTGTTCTTGTCATCACAATTCCATGTCAATATTAATTCTGCTGAATCTTCATTACAAGTTCAATACAACCGTGCTTTGGTTCAATTAGGTTTGAGTGCTTTCAGATCCGGTCATATTGATGAATGTCACAAAATCTTGAATGAAATTGTCAACTCTCAAAGAGCTAAGGAATTATTGGGACAAGGTTTCAACTCCAAATTCCCTAACCAAGCTACTGTCGTTGAAAAACAAAAATTGTTGCCATTCCATCAACATATTAACTTGGAATTATTGGAATGTGTTTTCATGACTTGTTCTTTGTTAATTGAAATTCCAACTTTGGCTGCCATCGCTCACAACCACAAGGATCCAAAACGTAAGAATCAATCCTTGAAATCCTTCAAGAGTAAATTAGAATTCCATGATAGACAATTCTTTACTGGTCCACCAGAAAGTATCAAAGATCATATTGTTCATGCATCTATTGCCTTACAAAAGGGTGACTGGTCCAAGAGTTATAAATTGTTGTCATCTATCAAGATTTGGAAATTATTCCCAGATACTGAAGATTTGTTAACTATGATGAAGAACCAATTACAAATTGAAGGTTTGAGAACTTATATTTTCACTTATAAATCAGTTTTCACTAAATTGTCCATTGAAAAATTACTGAAAATTTTTGAACTTTCTGATAAAGAAATTGTTGCTATCTTGAATAAGATGATTGAATCTGGTGATATTAATGGAGAAATTGTTGATGAAAAATTCATCAGCTTTGTTGCTTCTACTACTGAACCACAAAGATCTAAATTACAAGAATTGGCTATTGTTTTGAATGAAAAGATTCAATTATTAACTGAAAAGAATGAAAAGACTCAATCTAACGGTTACGGTAAGAAACAAAACCAACCACAACAACAGCAACAACAACAAAAAGATGGCCAACAACAACAACAACAACAATCATCATCTACTCCACAACCTCAATCTCAACCACAACAACAATCTACTCATACTACAGAAGAACATTCTAATAAATTCAGATATGCTAACGTTAACTCCAATAATGATGAATTCCAAGCTACCGCATAAGTTTCTTACAACACAAAAGAATAAACTAGAAAAAAAAAGAGAAGAGAAGTATATAGACATACTTATTATTTAAGTATTAAATATGTCTATTAAATATTTTGTATATTAATTTAACACTTTCATATTTTTGCAGATTTTAAATACTTTTTGCATTCGTTGGTATAATCTCATCTCTCGATTATTACATCAACTTAAAAAAAAAAAAATTTTTTTTTTTTCAACCATTAATCATTAATCAAATACAAATCAACCTATCATCTAGAATAAACCATGCCAGAAATCATTAATAACATACCAGAGAAGACTGTTTCAGTAAAGAAACTTAAAGTATCAGCATTATGTGAGTTATGTCATTCACGTAAAGCAGTTATGAAAAGACCTAAAAATTTAATGAAATTATGTAAAGAATGTTTTTATAATGTATTTGAAACAGAAATTCATAATACTATAACAAGTAATAAATTATTTTATCCTGGTGAAAAAGTAGCTATTGGAGCATCAGGAGGTAAAGATTCTACAGTACTTGCATCTATTTTAAAAACATTAAATGAAAGATATAATTATGGATTAGAATTAGTTTTATTATCTATTGATGAAGGTATTGTTGGATATAGAGATGATTCATTAGCTACAGTTAAAAGAAATCAAAAACAATATGAAATGCCATTAGAAATAGTATCTTATAAAGATTTATATAATTGGAGTATGGATGAAATTGTAGCATGTGCAGGTATTAGATCAAGTTGTACATATTGTGGAGTATTACGTCGTCAAGCATTAGATAGAGGAGCTGAAAAATTAGGTATTAAACATGTTGTTACTGGACATAATGCAGATGATGTTGCAGAAACTGTATTAATGAATATTTTACGTGGTGATGTTGCAAGATTAGAAAATTCAACAAATATAATGACAACTTCAGCTGGTTCACCTATTAAAAGATCAAAACCTTTTAAATATACTTATCAAAAAGAAATTGTCTTGTATGCACATTATAAAAAATTGGATTATTTTTCAACTGAATGTACTTATGCTCCTGAAGCTTTTAGAGGTACTGCTAGAGAATTATTAAAAGGTTTAGAAAGTATAAGACCTTCATGTATTATGGATATTATTTATAGTGGTGAACATTTAGTATTGGCTCCAAAGAAACCAAAGAAATCAACTGCTGCCTATAAAAATAAGAAAAAAACTAATCAAGAACATGAAGTAAATTCAGATGGTTCTGTTAGTCTTGGTAACAATATTAGAAAAGATGGTAATACTTGTGAAAAATGTGGGTATCTTTCTTCAAATAAGATTTGTAAAGCTTGTATGTTATTAGCTGGTTTGGAAATGAATAGAGCTAAAGTTAGTATTGATAATAATACTGCTGTGGATGGTGCTGCCAAACTATCTAAGAACTTGGAACAGTTGACTTTTTAGTGTGTATACATGTGTGAATCATTTATTAGTCTTAGTAGATAGTAGATAGTAGATATTCAGAGTCAAAAATTCAATGAAGTGTGGCTATGAGTCACGTGTAAGTGACGGAACTGTGTAACCGCTTGATCGTTTTTTTTGGGGGTTTCGTCCTCTCCCCCGCCAAAGATATAATTAATCTCCTCAAGAATTTCAACGAATTTTTAAAGAATTCATTTTTCAAATTCTACAATTTATTGTTGAACAATTAATAACAAAACAATGTCATTTGGAAGAGCAGCTGCTGAAAGATTAGCCAATAGATCAATTCTTATTACTGGTGCTTCATCAGGTATTGGAGAAGCATGTGCCAAAATTTTTGCTGAAGCTTCAAATGGTCAAGTTAAATTAGTCTTGGGTGCAAGAAGAAAAGAAAGATTAGTTAAATTATCTGATTCTTTAATTAAAGAATATCCAAATATTAAAATTCATCATGATTTCTTAGATGTTACTATTAAAGATTCAATTTCTAAATTTGTTGCTGGTATTCCTCAAGATTTTGAACCTGATGTATTGATCAATAATAGTGGTAAAGCTTTAGGTAAAGAAGTTGTTGGCGAATTAAAAGATGAAGATATTACTGAAATGTTTGATACTAATGTTATTGGGGTTTTCCGTATGACTCAAGAAGTTTTACCATTACTTAAAAAGAAACCTTATGCTGATGTTGTTTTTATTGGAAGTATTGCTGGTAGAGTTCCATATAAAAATGGTGGAGGTTATTGTGCTTCTAAAGCAGCTGTTCGTAGTTTCACTGATACTTTAAGAAAAGAATCAATTAATACTGGACTTAGAGTTATTGAAGTTGATCCAGGTGCAGTTTTAACTGAATTTAGTGTTGTTCGTTATAAAGGTGATACGGCTGCTGCTGATGCTGTTTATGAAGGTACTACTCCATTAACTCCTGAAGATGTTGCTGAAGTTGTTTTATTTGCTTGTTCTAGAAAACCAAACACTGTTATTGCTGACACTTTGATTTTCCCAACTCATCAAGCTTCTCCAGATCATATTTACAGAAAACCAAAAGCTTAAATAAGAAGTACATACAGTTAGAGTACTACTGTAGTTTATATACACCTTTAATTGAAATGATATTCTCTATTATTATTATTATTAATATTATTATTGTTAAGTATACAAAAACCCCTTTTGATGATTTCGTCAAATTAAAAACCTACGAATAAAAGAAAATAATAATGACTAAAAATATAAAATTAATTTACATGTTTTGTTAAACAACCTACAACCGTATTACACATAAAATAATCTAGTAGAAGGTAGTTGGAGCATGGTGTTGGAACAATTTCTTGGATTTTTGGACTCTGTGTGGCAATGGGAATTTCAAGTCTTTGGTCAAGAATTGTTTGACGTATTGTCTCTTAACATCAGAAGTAGCAGCCAATTCAACAACTTTCAAGATGTGAATGTTTCTAAATCTAGCTCTGTGTCTAGCAGCCAAATCTTGGTACATGGTTTCAACAGCACCGACTCTGGTAACATCTCTGTATTCTTTGTACATGTTGTGAATACCGGATCTAGATTCGTATCTCAACCAAACACCGAAAGTCTTAACTTTGGTTGGTCTAGCTTCAGAAATAACGTTAACGGAAACAATTTCACCAGAGGCTTTCTTAACCTTGTGCAATTTTTGCAAGAAATACCAGTATCTTGATTTAGCAACAACGGTATTTGGAGCAAAAATTCTCATTCTGAACAACTTTGGTTGTGGAACGGATTCGGTTGGTAAACGACGACCGATAACTTGATATTCGTTTAATCTAGACATTTCTATAATGTAAAAACAAAAATGTTAGTAATCAAAACTAGTTGATGAGATGATGACGATGATACTTGAAACTGAACTTAAAAAACTAAAAATCACCAAATGATGAGATGACATCTTCGATAGATCATTTAAATATCACCCATTAATCTGCTTCTCATAGTCTAATCAAATCCTTTTGTATAAACTCATCTTGAGAAATCTCTTCTCAATGAAAAATTTCCTTAAATAAAAAAAAACTTCTAGTAATCTCTTCAATGTAAATCTTTTAATCTATCTATATCATATTAATCAAATAATAACCCTATTCATTGATTCATTCAGTTCAAATACATCTAGTACTACTATGTTGTTGTATTAACATACTCTTTTAGTTGTTGTTGAATATACCCTATCTAAATGAAAATTCAGGAAATTTTTCTAAGAATTTTTTTTTTTTTTCCTTTCAGTATAGTGTTTGAGAGAATCAATACTGTGTGTAAGACAAAAGAGAGAGTGAGAGTGAGAGTGAGAGGGAGAGTAGGAGAGAGAGAGAGCAGAGAGCAGAGAGGCTCGCACTGCTAGGGCGAACCTCACTCGAAATTGCGTACACCGTACCACGCACTCCCACCGTGCACAAACCAACAAACAAATCAATGAAGAAAAAAATTGTGCTCACAGCAAAAAAATTCCACCAATTGTAGCTATGTACACGAATATTCAATGTTTTCCTGTATGTAATATAATCATAAATCATGTGATAGGGCTATAACCCTAATGACTTTTTACAACTAAAATTGATTCACTTTCTCGATTAGATAGATAGATAAGCTTTCTTTATTTTTGGGGGGTTAGATATGAGAAATTGATAATCTAGATTATACCGTTATTAATAAACAATGCATATATTCATATAATAATAGTTAATATTTCTAAATAGGTTATATTCTTAATGATGATGATGATGGTGGTGGTGATGATGTATCTATAAATTCTTTTTATGGTTCTTTTCAGCAGCAGTTTGACTGTTCTTTTCTCTTCTCTTTTTAGCCAAAGTACCACATTCAGTACCTAAGAACCAATCCCAGAAACTGAAAGAACTAGCATAGTTACCAATGAAATAATGATGATGTTCATCATGATGAGCAGCACCGGCCCAAAGTGGGAAGAATTTATTTAAAGACCATGGGAAATCATAACCAGAATGAGAATCAACGGCTTGGAATAATCTTAAAACAACCCATAAAGTAATAGTAAATAAATGAACTGGAGGAATAGATTCTTTAACAGAAGCTAAGTAAGCATACAAGATTGGGAAACCAACAGTACCAACACCCAAAGCCATGACTTCAGCTGGATGAGCATATTCAGCAGCTAAACCAAATGGAGCAGCATATTTATGATGAATCTTGTGAATATTTTTGTAGAACCAACCCCAGTGGAAAATACTATGGAAAACATAATGCCAGAAATCTTCACAAATGAAGAAAATTGTGATTTGTAAAGCTTGAATTTTCCAACTTGGGAATGGAACACCAAAAGTAATACCTAAAGTAGCACATAATGGATGGAATAACCAAATTGGTAAAGCTTCAACCAAGAAATGTTGTTTCAAGACAGATTTAAGACATTCCCATTGTTCTTGATTAGTTGGGATCTTAGTTGGTTGAATCTTGTATTTGTTGAAATATGGGGTATTATCAATAATAAACCATGGTAAACATCTACCGAAATACATAACTTCATGAACAATGAAAAATAATAAACCGGTGGCTAAAACATCATTATCCATCCAGATATAATAAGAAGCCCATAATTTTTCAATGTATGATAAAGCAGCATTAGTAGCATCAACTTCTTTTAAAATAGAACTGAATTTGGTTGGGTGAACTTCGATTAAACTGGCTAATGCTGAAGTTTTATTAGCTGTGAATTGAGTTAATACATCCATTGTTGAATATTTGGATTATGAAACAGTTGAATGAACACTGGTGGAATAATATAATAAATATTAATGAAGAAACAAAAAAGAAAGGGAAAAAAGAAACAGATCCAATTAGAGGAAAAGTAAAAGAAAGTAAACTGCTAGATATTTATAAACTAAATATATTTCTATATTATCGTTTATGATTAATGTTTTGGTATTTCTTTTTTTTTTTTTTTTTAATATTTATTTATTATGTATTACAGTTGCGAGTGATCTGATGGTTTTTTTTTTAAAGTGAATTCCATTCAACTACGACAATGATTATTTTCTGTATGTATTGTATTGGTACAAAAGTTCAGTAGGCTACATAATTTTTATTCTACAGGTATTAAAACCAAAAAAAAAGTAGATTATGCCTTCAGATGTGCATCGTATGATTTTGACTGCGAGAAATTTATTTTTTCAAACTCACGCGTGAAGTCGTGTGTGAACCAAAGAAGAACAAACGGAATTTTGCATATTGTGTCGTTGATGGTTTCTTTTGTCGTATAGAACCAAAAGACAAGATCGTATTGCGCTTTGTTAATGTTTTGTCGTCGTTTAATCTGTTCCTCGTCGTATAGCACCTGTCCTCCTCGTTTGTTCATTGTGGATGTGTCTCATAGCCACACGCGGAACGACTTGCTCCTACCACGAAGAGAGAGAGAAGGGCACACGCAAATAGAGTTTAAGTTACACTATGGAAATGTACATACTTAACCACCGTACAATCTTAAACGATGATAAGCACTGCAGTGGGAACGACTTACATGAAGAAGAGAAGAGACAGATTATTTAATTGTATCAAGATCTGTGTAACAATCATTTGGACTTGACCTATCGGATTAAACATGATGGTCATAGAAACAGTGTCTTCTATTGCTTCAACTGTCCCTGTCATTCGTCTCCACGTATGCGTCACCGATGGAAACAGGGTCACAGCCCGTTATTTTCTGTTTTTTTTTATCTAATCTAAACGATACACATTTGGTTTCTTTTTCTCTTTTTTTTTTTTTTTTGTTTGTGAACACCATGGGGTTATTGATTCCCATCAGTCATGACGGTTTCTATTTTATATTTCAAAAATTACGATAATCATATGCATATGCGTCACGTGTGTGATGTCATATGGTGAGGAGATACTAGACAGAGAACAGACTGAAATATGTAGACAATATATATATATTATTTATCACAGGTATTATTTTAATATCAAAAATGGATATCGAGTTCGAGTTCCAATGAAAAATTTCAGTCACGTGGGATGAAGTGTAGATCTATGAACAATTTTCATCTTCTTATCATAATGAATTGTGGGACATCCGCAGATAAGTGGCTTTGGGATTTATAAAAAGTTTTAAATAAATCATTGTAAAATATATGTTGTTGGGAGTGATACCCCTAGGAAAACACTTACAATTTATAACGGATAATATAGAAAAGGAGATTAAGGATTTAAAACAAAGAACAAATATATTATTAATATTTTGCTTTTTATTGCTTGGATGGATTATTTACTTGATGATTGCATTGCAAGACATCAAAAGTGGTAAAAGAATTGAACAGACTTAGAATTAGTCCTAAATATAACTGTAAAGAATTAAAGAGGGACAAAGAATGATTCCTAGAGTATTTAGAATCAATTTACTTCAAAAAAATGAGTACAGAATATCCAGAGGCTATATGCAAGCAATCAATGGTGTGGATGATATTATATTGGGTTTATATATGCCTATTGTTGCCGATATATGCTTCTATTATTACCAATTACTATAGAAATAAATATACCAGTGCATTGACCTATCGAATGTTATATCATAAATAACTTGTTTATTAAAAAAAAATTATATCTTTAAAGTATTATTTTCATCTATACATAATCCCTCTATGTGTTTACACACTTTATCTATTGACCGACTCTTTCTGTTGGTAATATATCAACTAATAAACTACCATCAACAGTTGGTAAATTCAAACCATTAGTTTGCTTATATACTTGAATATTATCAAAGAATTTATCAAACAAGAAAGCAGTATCTAATGGACCACCTTTAGCTTCTGGATGGAACTGTGTTGAGAAAATTGGTTGATATTTATGAATCATACCTTCATTACTTAAATCATTCAAATTAGTGAAATATGGTTTCCAATCATTGTTTAATGTAGCGGCATCAACAGCATAACCATGATTTTGAGAAGTGATATGACATTTACCAGTAATTACATCTAATGCTGGAATATTATGAGCTCTATTACCATATTTCAATTTAATTGTTTTAGCACCACTTGCAAGAGCTAATAATTGATGACCCAAACAAATACCAAATATTGGTAAATCCTTATATGATTCCATAGTATGTTTCAAGTTTTCAACAGTAGTTGAACAATGAGTTGGATCACCTGGACCATTAGAAATGAAAATACCATCAAATTTATTAGCGATTTTATGAATTGGGTAATCATATGGGAAAACAGTTAAAGAAGCACCTCTTTCAACTAAACAACGTAAAATATTTTCTTTAGCACCACAATCTAAAACAGCAATATGAATACCTTTTGAATATTCTTTAGGACAAGCAATATGAAATGGGGATTTGGTAGTAACTTGTTGAACTAAATTAATTGCACCTGGATCTTCAAAAGCTGCATCTTCATCAGCATCATATTCTTCACCAATAGTAATTCTACCCAAGGAAGAACCTTTATCTCTCAAATAACTAACTAATTGTCTAGTATCAACACCAGTAATAGCAGCAACTCCAGAACGTTTACACCATTGTTGTAAACTTTCAACTGCGGTCCAATGACTATATTCTAAAGCAGCATCAGCAACAACAATACCAATACATTGAACTTTTGGAGATTCCATATATTTTAATAAATTAAATTGATCTTTAGCAGTACTTGAAGGAACACCATAATTACCAATTAAAGGTTGTGTAAAACATAAAATTTGTCCTTTATATGAAGGATCAGTCATACTTTCAGGATATCCAACTAAAGAAGTTGTGAAAACTGCTTCTCCACTAACATTTCTATCAGCACCAAATGAATATCCACTGAAAACTGGACCATCTTTAATAGTTAATGTGGCTCTATCTAATTGTAATTTATTATTTGTAAATGCTTTATTAGCTGCAGTAGCTAAGAATCTTCTAGATGCTGAAAGCATGATGATTTCTATTGATGAATCAAATATACTCTTTTATTTAAAAGAAAGAAAGAAAGAAAGAAAAAAAAAATTGGGAAAAAGATGAAAATTTTTCCTTCGTCGAAATTTAAATGAAAGAAATTCGTCTTCCCGCGCTTAAGGAAAAATTTTCATTGGAAATTACCCAATTTGGAAATACCGTGCGGCTTTTACTGATTACGTAAAAAGAAAAAAAAAATTGACTCATCTCAATTAAGTTGTACTTACATCACCACAGTTACATGGATCATGTGATTGATGTAGGAGTTCCTGCCAATTCTATCTATTTCTGTATATCTATCTATCTATCTATCTATATCATCCTACAAGAATAGGTATATCTACTTTGACTATGTTATCAGCATATTCATCTTGATCGTTATTGGTACCTTTATATCTAACGGCAACTTGTAAACAGTATATTCTACCAACTAAGCAACTTTGGAAACTTGGTAATAAATTAACATTGTTTTTATTGACCGTAATTAATGGGATTTCTAAATCTTTAGTATATTGGAAACTTTTATTATTCAATTGTCTTACTTTCCAATCCCCTTCATGATTCAATATATTTGGATCAACTATAGTTTGGAAATAATCCTTGACGGTATCTTTTTTCACACCTAATGTTTTAATTGCTTTCAAGTATAAATATCCATCTCGACTCAATGAAATCTTATTGTCTTTAACAAATGATATATAGTTAGATACTTGATCTTTTATAATTTGTAAATTATTCTTAGTAATTTCAACTGGGTCTCTTATAAATTCATCTTGATTTTCTGGATTAGTATAGAAAAAATCATACCCAATTTCAAATGGTAATGGATATTCAGAACTATATGACCAAAAGACAAGATTAGTATATACTGATTGTATTTGAGGTGCACGGATATTTGAATCAGATGAAATGAATTCCAATTTCAATTTTAAAGTATCAATCAAATCTTCCTCACTTCTATTATATAATTCATCCATATGACTTATACTTGGTCGAAGAGAATTTTCTGGTGTTAAATCATCTCGACTTCCATTATTATATTTCATTAATAATCTTGGTGATGAATATGGTATAACTTGATCTGGTACTTCAACATACATTGTCAGTTGTCCAATTTTAACTAATGATGATAAAATCATTTTCTTCTTTTTACCAAACACTTCAATTGGGATTTTATTATGAATATAATTCCTATGTGGTTCTGATTCATCAAAATCTCCTGATCTCTTGATATCTAAATGATCTAAAGGTGAATTGTTATTATCATGAATGATTAAATTCTTGTCTTTTATTTCATCTGCCGTGAATTCCATTTTAGTCAATTTTTCATCAATTTCATGTTCAATTTTTAAATTTTGTAATTGAATATCTTTCCAAGTTAATTTCTTCAAATATTGTTGCATAAATTTCCCACCAACTCCATTAACTGGGTATCCACCAACATGAAATTTCTTACAATATTCAACTTGTTCTTTTAAATCAGGAATAAATCGAAGGAAATATTGTGAACTTTTAGAAATTGCATATTCTGATTCTTGATCATCTTTATTAATTTCATCATGAGAAAATGGTTCTTCTGAATTCAATCTATCAATAAACTTAGCTTCAATAGTATATGAAACACTCAAATCATCAAAACTATAATCTTTTGTCAATAATGGTGTACCTCTTACGTTCAAAAATCCATATCCTAAAGCTTTATTTAATTGTATCGATTCACCTCTATTGTAAAAACAAGTTCTATCTACACCCATGGATGGTGGTGGTAACAAATGTGGTAATAATGAATTAACACAAGCATTATCTAATAATCTATGAGGAAACTTAAATGTGAAGAATTTCTTGTATTTCACATTAGGTTGTAAGATTCTATCATCTGGTAAACCCATGATTGTTCCATCAGCTGCATCATTTGAAAATACTTCGTATTCAATACCTGCACTATTGGGAACAGCAACATAACCATAAGAAGCATTCAAATCATACATTTTTAAAAATTTTTTCATCAAAATTTTCAGAAACTTGTGATTTAATCCAACAGCATTTGGATTTCTTTCAACTTCTTTAATTGTACCTTCCAATGATACAGTAAATAATCCAAATTGAACTGGCTCATCAGAAGTGTTGGTAACAGTAACATAACCATTAACAAAATCACCACTAGTATATTCTTTTAATCTAGTTTCTAATTCATTTGTTACATTAGGTTGTGGGATTTGTTTAGTCACATATATCTGAATATCAATAGGAGAATGAGGTAATTTACGTAATTTATCAATATTATCAAGTGGAGAATGACCATAAGTTTCATGAGTAACATCAACATTTTGATTATGAACTTGAGTATTTATATTTGATCCAATTGGCAGTAATTCATTTCTACCATTCTGATGATTAATATTTTCATTATCTTCAAATAAATATTCATCATTTTCTGCATCGTCTCTTTCTTGAGCTAATCCGTATTCATTTAATCTATTAACAACTTCATCAATAGTACTATTGGTAGAATTATTCACATCTCTTGATGGTTGAGGTGATAATGATGGAGGAGTAGGTGATGAATTAGTAATATCTCCATAAACTGGAGGTAAACTTGATAAATCTTCTCTAAACTGACGATCATCTCTTTTTAAAATACTTTGAAACATTTGAAATGATGGTAAAACATCAAAATATTCTGTTTGTGCATGACTTGAAACTGTTGAAAGTGCAGCAACAGGTGTAGCTGATCCACTATCACCATTTCTCTTACTAGATAATGATTTTTTTCTGCTTGATGATGATAATGGTGGTGGTGATGACAACGACGAAGAAGAAGAAGAAGAAGAAGGATTAGTTAATAAATCGATTTGTCTTTGTTGTTCAGGAGTTGGTCTATATGGTACATTTTTCTTCTTCTTTCCTGATGATAATGAAGTACTCGAACTTGTGCCTATACTGTTCATAGTATGAACTCTTGATCTTGAATTTTGTGGAGTCAAGGATATTGGAGAAGAAGATACTGATTCATTATAAGATGGTGGATCTTGAGATGGACTCTTCTTGAATGCTTTATTTGAGCTTGAATTCAAATTTGGTAAATGCATTATAGTTAGTTGTATCTAGCAATAATATAGAAATAAAGTAATAATAATAATGATATTAAAAAAAAAGTCCAGCTTCTTCTATGTGACAGTTAATAATCTCTAATCCTTTCGTCTTTCTTTCTTTCTTCTGATGATTGATAATTCATTTTGCGTTTCTGATTGATTGTTGGATATTTTTTTTTTTCCTTCTTTGTTGTGTCGGCGCGGGAAGAATTTCTCGCACGGCAAGATTTCCATTGTGGTCGACGTAGCCCCCTGCGGGTACTCAACTCCGATCATGAGTGAAATCGCCGCACAACCAACCAATCAATCAACTCTACAACTCTACAATTGGTAGCAGACTACAAGTTTAATACACACGTAGAAATATATTCATGAATAAAAACTATACAAATGGGTTCAACTATTCAGATAAAAGTTAGTATTAATTATTCAATTATCAAATAATAACAATTTCATTCAAAATACAATTAAAAGATCAGACTGACATGCAAATCGAAAAAGTGAAGGTCTTTTCATAGCTTTCATAAAGAAAACTCAATGGAAAGATGAAATTGGTTATATTATCATCACTAAAAAAAGTAAAAGTTAAATGTATTGGAAATTTTAGAAATAATAATAATTAACATACTTGTATTTAATTTTGTTTGAATTGAAACAAGATCTGCTTAGGTGATCTCTTTGGTTGATGAATTAGCTAGAAGGAATAATAATGTATTCATTAGTTAAAATGTTGTATCAGGAACCACGGCCGGTCAAGGCCAGATTTGTCATCAATATTTAAGGATTAACAGTCCTTAAACACACAGTAGACCGTCGTGAAAAATGTGGTATAATCATCATAAACATTAACCAATTTCAACACTAGTTATACTTCCAAAGCCAATCATCAATACCAACACCAACACCAAACAGTTGTTTCAATAAAACAAAATTAGGAAATTAGAAACACTATTTATAGGTTTTTAGTGGAATCTTCAATTAAATAAATCAGACAGTAAAAACTTTATCTTCAATTAAATATCAGACATATGCTTGTCTATTTTTTTGAAATAATTTCATCATATTTATTAAAATCATTTTTCTTTTTCTTAAAAATAAAATGATCATTGAAGATTCATTAAAATCCAAAAGATATAAAAATGTTTCCTAATAGAATAAAAAGTTAGTATTAAAACTATTAATTCTTCAATTCGTCTTTCGTATCAATATTAGATCAGAAATGCATGAATGGTAATTAAAAAAAGGTTGTCATCAACGGGAAACCCGAAGTTCTGACTCGTCATCTAGGTAATCATCACGTCTAATTAGGATTTAGAAATATATATTCCACAAGTAATTAAAAACAATACATACTCTTTAATCATTAGTTAGTAAAAACAAAAAAATATTCCCACTATTATCGATATTGACAAGATAAACCTGCAATCAAAATTATTAAGAATATTATAAATGAATCAGTTACGGTGGGTTTCTGAGGCCCACCTAAAATGCATTGTCACTCAGGTATTTGAAATCAGTGCCCAGTGCAATAATTCATCCTATTCAAGAATAAAAGTGATCATAATAATGATTAAATGTTTAATCAAGCTATGAATAAACAACATACACTTTAAATAATTTGTTAGTAAAAATAAAAACAATTCAACATGAATTGATGGATAATTTCAAAATCACTTCCAATTCTCTAATGAGATAATATTAATAAATCAGGAGCGTATGGTGCAAAAACTTTTTCAATCATAAAGATATCAGCCAGTAATTCCAGCTTTGTTTTTGTTAAATCATCATTGAAAAAACATAACCTCAAAAATAAAAATGGAAATGAAATTTAAATAACCAACTAAAGCAAATAATTAGAACTTAAACATACATTATCTTTATCACGATGTTAGTAACAATGATCAACAGTATTTGTAGTTATTCATTTTTGGATTAATAAATGATTAAAAAGTCAGAAAGCCATGCATAAAATAATTTTCTGATCATTCCAAGCTAAAGGTCACAGACTCTAGTTTAAATGATTATTCGTGTTCATCCTTAGTTTAACCCATAATCCTATGAACATCTAATAATGTAATAAACATACAATTTAGTAATTATTCTTCATTACTTGGTTAATAGTTATATATATTAAAAGAAAGGAAAAGAAAAGAAAAGAATATAAAAAGTTGATGAAAAAAATTTTCTTTCATTCGTTGATGGCTTGTCCTTTTATATTCAACAAGAAAGGAAAAGAAAAAAAATTTTCTCCTTCTTCGCGTGTATCACGTGACACGGATATATATGTATTTTTTTTGGCATTTAAATTAGGGCTACGGGGACACATGGCCTATTTAACTATTTGGATTGAACTGATTATTGGTGTTACTATTAAACGGTTGACCATTCTGTAGTGGAATGAACCCTTGTGGAGGTACTAATGGAAAGCCAGGTGGAGGAATAGGCATAGGAAATGGGAATGTTCCTGTTGGTGGTATTGGATACATTCCTCCTGGTGGGAATTGTAGTGATGGTTGTTCAGTTCTTTGTTTTTTAGCATCTGGTTCATTTGATGTGGAAGAATCAATATCACCTTCCATTTCAGCAGCACTGCGTTTACTTGGATCTTTCAAACTCAATTCAGCTTCTTTTGATTTTACATATTCGGTAACTTCTTTCTCTAGTTCTTTATTTGGAATCAAAGTATCGATGAAAACATCCTCTTTACCACAATTAGGACAATGGAAATCATTATCAATTAAAACAGTTTCTAATTCAGATTGATTGTAATTGAAATTTTTCATCTTTTGTAATTTGGATTTCTCAGTACAACATTGAGTCATTACAATTGGTGCAGTTAAAACTTTCTTTGTTTCAGATAATGGATCCAAAAATTCCAATTTATTATCTTGTTCAACAGCAGCAACTAATTTCTGTTCATATTCACGTTTGGATTTTAAAGCAGCGTTTTGTAATTTCTCTTGATAATTCTTCCATGTTTTAGAATCAGCCATAGCAACAGCATATTCACCATCATCAGTAATTAAAATTGCATTCCCATCGGTATCCACAACATCACCATTTTCATTAGTAGTTAATGAATTTGCTTTACTTTCAACTTCTTCTCTTGAAATAGTTTTCAAATAAGATTTTGGAATACCTGTTGTTCTCATGATTTTCTTACCTTCGAAATTTGGATCATTATTAGTTGGACAATTCTTAATCCAATGGTCCTTTTTACCACACCTATAACAAATATACCCTGGAGGAGGATGATCATCTTGTTTAGCATTTGTACTTGGAGCTGTTGGTTTATGAAAAACCATTTTATGATGAGATAAATCTTCTTGAGTTTGTTCCCAAGCATTACTTTGGTTTTGAAACATTAATTTAATTCTATCCTCTTCTGTAGCATTTTCATCTAATGGTTGTGCTGGTGCATTTGTGGCGGCATTATTAGCCAAATTATTTGCATTTGAAGTTGAATTGATTGCTCTTCTATTTATTCTTGGTTTACCAGTGATATATCTCATGGCATTGTTGAATTTACCCAGTTTTAAAAAAGCCGGTGATCTTTTAGCTAATACATAACTTGATCTGGGTATAATATCTTGATCTAATTCATATTCTTGATCTGGTTGTTCTGAATGATATAATCTTAAATTGAAATCTTGACCTGACCCCAATTGATTCTGCAAGATAATTTCTCTTTTCAAGTCAAAGACACTGATGGAAGTCCCATCAAAATGAATCACGCTTTTGTTCTTTTGATGCAAGAACTTGTAATAAACAACAGAAGACATGTTCTATCGAGATTTTGGTTGTTGATCAGTCACTTGATTGTCAGTGGAAAGAGATTTGGAAAATTTATCAATCCAAACAAAAAAACAAAAAAACTAAATTCCAATCGAAACAAAACGAAACGAAAAAAAAAAAAAAAATTGTTGATGGGTAAAAGATGAACTTTCAAAAACCACAACAACCAGACAACTGTGAAGTCATTATGAATGTATCTTATTCATCTTCTAGTATAGTTGGTCATAAAGATAGTTATCGTAACTATCGTGTTAAACTACCATTAACTTATCCCTCAAAAACAACTACTAATTCATCATCATCATCATTATCACCAAATGATGAGTTTCATAAACAAACAGCAGCCATTAGCAATATCATAAAATTTCCATCACATTCATTGGTCAATGCAGCTTCTGTTTCAGTTTTAAATGATTTGAAAACAATTGTTTTAACACCATTAGAATTTGAAACCAATAAACTTGGGTTTAACCTCAAGAATATCATTTTTGATTTACCACATCCAATTATTTCAACTAATTGTTTTACTGTTCAATATCATGAAAATGATAATATAATTATTGATTTTATTGATGAAAGTTATTTATGTATTACATTAAAGATATCTGTGGATAATTTCGTAAGGAATCAAAGATTACCTTTAGATAAATTTGAAACTTGGGGACAAATTTCTGTTCCTTATTCATTTGAATTAAGATCAAGTCCATTTTATTTAACACATTTAGATGATTTGAATTTAATTGTTTCATTGAAAGATGGTGGATTGTTACATTTTAAAAGACAAGAAGTATTAGGGGAGTTTACAGTTAATAATTTTCAAGAACAAACTCAAACATTGTCATTTTTTGGATTATTTGGTAAAAGCGGTAACAATAAAAATAAAGAAATTGTATTGGAAGGTATTTCATCAAATTCCATTGTTGACGCTTTGAGAATTAATGACTTGGTTATTACTTTATCTGCTAATAAAGTGTTGAAAATTTGGCAATTGGAAACTCATCAAAATTTGGATATGATTTCTCTTACTGATGATGAAACTAATAGTTGGTTAACCGCTATCCCTTCCAAGTATTTCAAACATATACATAATGATGACAAACATTATATTACTTTTTTCATTACTACTGAATCTGGTGATTCATCCAAAAGTATGTTTGCTTTCAAGATATTTGAACTCGATGAAGAATCATCGTCTTTAAAAGAATTGACTGATTTTCTGTTTCAACCAGAAGTTCCAAATTCGTTGTTATCATCATCGGATATTTTCTTTCATGAATCCACTTTTCAAAATACCATTTGGTTTATTCAAGATTATGATGTTAATATTGCTGATAATTCTTTAGAATATCATTTGTTGTGGAAATCAAACACTTCTTCCATTTTGGTTAAATACTCTATTAGTTTGGCCACTGGATCTATAACATCGATCAATATTTCCCATCCAGGTACTTTAGAAACCGGTGAAGAGGATATTTCTGCTTATCATGATAAGGATTATTATTATAATAAAATATTCAATTCTGGTTATTATGATCGGTTAATTGTAATGGCAGCCATAAAGGTTTTGGGCCAACATGGTAAAACTGATGTTCTGTTTGATTATGGTCTTCGTCTTGCTGCTGAAAAGGTTATAAAATCACAAAGTACCCCTGAAACGATCAAGAACAATTGGTTTAAATTGCAATCATTATGTGATGAATTTAAGAAATTAAGTGATGAGGTGTTATCGTTGACAGTATTCGAAGATAGAATTTTAACTTCACATGTTAATGGATATGGTATTTTCCGTCCATCTAGTTATTTTGAAAGTTTCCAGAATAAGACCTTGTCCAGTCCTGATGGTCAATTGATGCGTATTTTTGACAAATTCAGAACCGTCATTTCTAATAGAAGCTATCACAAATTATATGAAGAATTATTGAAACTGAAGAATGTCACTGCAGATGATGTGACTAGATTATTTTCTAGTTTTGTTGAGGGTAGAATATCTCCTGAAGAAATCAGAACAATTCTTGGTGAATTGGAAAAGATTCCTGATTCCGTTGAACTTGTTAAATCATTGATTGGAAATAATGGATTTGAATTGATTAGTAATGATCAAGATTATACTATACTTGGTGATTTCAACAGGATTTCGTCTATTACAATCTTCAAGAATATAATAACTGCTCATGAGAATTTATTAATGGATTTAGTTGTATTATTGATCATTTGTGAAACCAATGAGGCATTAATTGGATTTTTAAATGAAATTCGTAAAGCATTATGGAATTATAACGTATTGGATACTGTATTTGATACATCATTAGATGAAAATGAAATAGTTGAAACTACATCCATGGGAAGATTACAAAGTTCTACATTTTGGGTAGCAGTTGCTATGGGTAATCATAAACAATTGTATTCATTAATAAATGATTGTAAATTAAATGAAGCATTTGATTACTTGTGTAATAATATTTTGAGTTCAGATAATTATTTAATTGATGTTGTTGTTGAGTTGATTAAAAATAGGCAAAGTTACTATTTGAAACCGAAATTTTTAGATAAATTAAATCAAGATAAAGTTATTGATAGATTTTTACTGGGAGTTATTTATGCATTTGCTAATGATGGTGATTCATTCTGTGAAGTATTCAACGATTATGATTTTTTCAAAGATATGCAAAAAACAGAGCAACTCGAACCATTAGAGGAGACTCCAATATTGTGTGATCATTTGTCGACATTTTTCAACAAACCAACAAAATCACAATATTTCAATGCAGTTGCTGGGTTGGCTGATGTTTTAATGATTTTAAACAACAAAGGTATTGAAATACAGGCTAAATCTATTGAAATTGCTTGTAAATTTAAATTATTGGCCATTGAGAATGAACCATCTAAACAAATTCAACAAAACTATTATGGTAATTTATTAGACTTGTCATTGGAGGTTTCTAATTATGATTTAATTACCAAATGTTTCAATAATTTGACTACAGTTCATTATTTCAAAGGATTTTTTACTAGATTTATCAATCAGATAGCTTGGGAAGACAAACTAGATATTATTTTCCCATCAACTAGTCAAAATTCAGATTATGATATTTACAAGAAATATTTCTCCCTTGTTGATGATATTATTCTCGAGTGTGCCAATAATGCATCATTATCAAGATCACTAAAATATTATGAGTATTTATATTCCTGGAGATTAATTGGATGTACAAATGGAGAAGAAAATCAGTTAGGAGATAAAAGAGGAGCAATTGAAGCATTGTATCTATTTATAACAAGATTTATATCAGAATCTGATAAATCTACTGAACGTAAAGTTAAATTAAAGATTTTAGAATTTTATATGATTATTTTAAATGTTTTCAAAAGTTTTACTGATGATGAAGATAAATGGATATTGAAATATACTGGTAATCGAAGATCAATAATTAAATTGGATGATTTGAAAATAGAATATTTAGAATGGTTGAAAATTTTAGATGATGATTTAACCCAACTTGTCTAGTTGTTATATATATATATATGTATAGAAAACTTAATTAACCTATATTTGCTTTCATATTACCTGCACCTTTTGGATTTTCATCTTTCCAATCATCCCATTGTCTTTTCTCTAATTCTTCATCTTCATTCAATTCATCTTCATCCTCGTTATCTTTTGGTTTATCTTTAACTTCATCTTTCATCATTTTACCATTAGCCAATTCATAATCTAAATATTCTTCAACTGTCATACTTGGTAATACTTGACCAGTACCAAAAACTTTTTCTTTTAATTTATCTCTTTGTGAAGTAATTATAAAAGGTTGTAATATTTTACCTTGTTTATTAATTAAATCAGATACTTGATATGATAATTTTGGTTTATTTTCTAATTTTGTAGTAAATCCATAATCATTTTCTTTAGTATATTGTCTACTACGATTATCTTCTTTTCCATCTTGTTCAAGTTGTTGTTGTTGTTCGGGATTACTAGATGAATTAGGTCTATTTTGTAAAACTTGTAATTCCATTGATATTGATTCCAACATATTAAAAGATTTCAAAGTAAATAATTTCAATTGATCAATATAAATTAATCTAATTACTTCATCATCAAATTTATTCAATTCATTTTCTGAATTATTATCATTATCATGATTCAAGATTTCTAATTTTTTATTCAATTCTTTTTCTAATTTATAATTTTCAATTTTTTCAAATCTTTTATTCATTGCTCCTAATTCATAATTTTGACCTTTTTGTAAAATATGAAACTTCTTAGATTGTTCAGAACTTAATATCTTATAATTATTTAATTGTTCAAGATATATAAATATAAAATCTTTGGCAATTTTCAAATTTTCAATTTTATAATTCAAATCAATACCTTGATTATTACTATTCTCATCTTTATTTAAAATCCTGGTATGAATATCACCAATATAATACCATACGTTTAAAAAAGGAATATAATTAGTTGAAACTTCTTCAATTTCTTCATTATCACTAAATAAACTTAATTGATTAACTAATCTTAAAATTAATTGAAATTCATTATTAATTAAATGTAATTCATGTTGATATTCTTTTGAATCTGGTCTTAGTGATGTTGGATTATTAAGAAATTTGCCATATCTTGATATAGCCAATTTATATCTTTCTGAAACTGTCAATTGTTGATTATCTTTCTCCATTCTATCCTTGCTGTAGTTCTTGTAGTAGTGGTAAATAATGTGAATGAATTGAAATCAAATTGAATCAAATTCTGTCTCTCTGTTGTTGATGATGATGATGATGATAACTTTGCTCTCGGTCGTGTGCGTGTGTCAATTATCAAGAAGAATATCGAACAACAAGGAAAAAAAAATCATCAACATCAACATCAATACCAACAACCACCATCATCATTATCAACTACAACAACTAGAAGTATCATCAACAACTAGTAAACAACTTATTAACGAATTGAGAGAGATGTCAGCCCCAGCGTATTATGAACTTTATAGAAGATCAACCATAGGAGTAACATTAACCGATGCATTAGATACATTAATTTCCGATGAAAAAATTCAACCACAATTAGCAAATAGAATACTTAATAATTTTGATCGAATTATTGCAGAAAATTTAAAAAATGAAAATAATTTAGCTAAATCAAAATTAGTATTTAAAGGAGATTTAGATACTTATAGATTTTGTGATGATGTTTGGACATTTATTATTAAAAATGTCATTATTAAATTAAATGATGTATCTAAAGATACAAGTAGTAATAGTAATAGCAATAATAATGATTCTTCTAATACAACAACGTCAAATAGTAGTGGGAAAGATAAAGATAAAGATTCGGGTGATTTAGAATTAAATGTTGATAAATTTAAAATAGTTGCTTGTAATTCAAGAAAAGCTGGGGATATATAAATCTATATATATATATATATATGTGTGTGTGTGTGTATCTTATTTGTTGAATGAAATGACTGCCCATTTACCTGAACTACTCCATAATCTACCATTTTCATTACCTTGATCTTGATATTCTTTACATAATTTCTCATTAACACCTTCTGGTAATCCAACAACAACATCTGCTTTACAAGTACGTAAAGATAATATAGGTAATCCAGAATTAGCCAAATCTTGTATAGCTTTATTAAAAGGAGTTGTAGTTGGCCATTGTAAATCCCCAGTTAGTTTACGATAATTTAAATCACCTTTAAATATAATCAAATCTGATTTTTGTAATTCTTTAAATAATGATTCAAATTTAGGAATTTCCCAATAATTTAAATCTAAAGTCCAAAAATAATCATGATTAATAATAATTTTACCTGATTCATAATAATTTTTAATTTCATCATGTACTAATTTAATAGCTTGTGGATCATTTGTATGAATTTCATTGAAAAATTCAGAATCATTTAATTGATTTAATAAATCTTGAAAATCTTTTGGCATAGTATCACTAACAAACCATGGGATTTCTTTACAATGTAAATGAACTTCATTTACAATTTTAGAATCCAATAAAAATAAAGTTAAAATTAAATCAGCAAATAATTCAAATCCAGAATTATCCAACACAATATCAACTCTTTTATTATCTTTACCATCTAATTGTTTCCAAGCTTTAGGTAAATCATTAACTAAAATCTTTTCTTCATTTTTCTTACGAACTTCAGCACCTTGAACTGATTTAATATCTTCAAGAGTTACATTACCTGCTAATAATGATAAATCAGTAGCATTTCCCCATAATGAAATATCAATAAATTCTTTAAATAATAAATTCAAAACTTCTTCATCAGCTTCACCTAATTGTTTAGATAAAATTTCATATCTTTTACATAATTCTAAAACTCCATGTTCTGATTGTTTAAAAGTTTTAGTTTTTAATCTTTCAAAAATATCAAATCCTTTCCATATTTGATCTTTTTTACAAGCTTCAATAATCCAAACATTAACTAATTGATATAAATAACATTCTAAATATAACCAAGGTCCAGTTTTCCAAGTAACTTTTCTAATTTTATTCAACTTATTTAAAGATTCATTATAATATTTCAAATCTTGATTCAAATTAATTTCTTCTTCGGTAAACTCCCTAACTATCTCATCATTAACTAAATCTTTATTAAGTTGATTCAATTCATCAATTAATTTCTTACCACTAACCGTAGATCCATTATTATCAATTGCATATTGAACATCAGAAATCATACCATCAATAATGGTTGGCCATCTTTTATTAACTGTAGGATAAGCAAAGGAATTCTTATCATCATTATAATAAGGTCCAGGTAATGACATAATTGACTACTGGTTGTTGTTGTTGTACAAGTTATTTCAAGAAGAAAAGGAGGTTTGGAAAGTCTGTTTTTTCTTCAACATATTTCGGAAAAACCAAAATTCTTATATTTATGCATGTGCACGTGCATGTGCACGTGAACCGGATCGGAGATTTAGACTCCTAATGTGCGGAATACCTAATTAGGTAATCCATCCTAATTCCCCCCCCCCAGATATTATGGACACAATTCTTGAATATAGTAATGGAAAGAGAGATGGTTATTGTTATTATATTGAGTGGATATAAGGTAATTGAAATGAGTTACTGATATGAATTATAATTACAGATGGTAAATATGTCAGATTATGTACAGTCGTTGCAGTTTTATTTCGCGCTAGTTTGAGCATAATTTTCAGATCAGTGAGTCAAAATTATTCGCACTATTTGCAAAGAAAAGTTCATATTAAGGCGGTCAATATTTTTGATACTAGTGCGTAAAAAATGTTCATATTACGTGACCTCTATTGGTTCATACTGAAAATGTATGATATATGGTATGAACAAAAAAGGGCAGTTAGTTTGAAAGTATTATTTCCGCTGGTGTGAACAGTTTGAGTCCATTTACTATGAACAATTAATCTCCCTTACTATGAATTAAATTGTCGCACTAGTATTAATAATTTCTTTGAACTTGGTACGAACTGAAAATAGAAACACTGTACATTAATTATGCATGGTTATTTTTTTTTTCTTTTACTGAAGAATTATCACCAAAATTTTGTCAGAAATCTCAACCAAACTCTATTCCAGACCCTGATTTAAAATTGATTGACTTATTAATTAATTACACAGAAACGCGTTTCTTTATTTTACATAAAAAACAATAGAACTATACGACTAAGGCGGACAAGATATTGAAGTAACAGATCAACAACAAATTATAAAGAAAATAGTAATAAAACAAAATATATTCAAATTGAAATATACATATATAAAACAGATAGGAAATAAAGCAAAAAGGAAATAACAGATATAAAATCAATCAAGCAATCAATAGCTTACCTATAACATCTTCCTTATTCTTTGATTCCAAAGTTCAAGCATATATATATATATAAAAAGATAAGTAATAATTCAAACAAAATTTAACAAATCAAATAAAAGAAAAAAACTAAAAGGGAAAAATAGTAATCAAATAATAATATACAATACAATACAATAAAACAACAACAACATTCACTTCTTCTTGTTCATGAGAAGTAAAGAAGAATAAACAATGATTTCATTTCAAACTGTTATCCAAAAGAAACAATTCTTTTTGTTATTGTATGCTTGTTTAGTTAGAATTTTTTTTAGCATATTCAGCTTTTTCTTTTTCATATCTCTTTTTATCAGCTTCGGCCTTGTTTTCATATGGAGTCTTATCTTCTGGAGTTAAAGCCTTCCATTTTTCACCTAATAATTTACCAACTTGACCAAAGGAGATACCTGGGTTTTCAGCTCTAACGATATCTCTGTTTTCGTTAGCGAAAAACATATAAGCAGATAAAGATCTTTTTGGAGCATCTGGATCCTTCTTCTTTCTGGGAGGCTTTCTTTCTTTCACCTGGAGCCATTTTTTATAATAATATGATAATAAGCTATTAATGAATAGTTAGTATTAAAACAAAATCCAAAAAAAGAAAAAGAGAGTAGAAAACCTTAAAAAAAAAAATTGATAAAGAAAATGGGAACACCCATATAAATATTGTTTTTTTTTTGTTCTCTTTCTTATTTCATCGTTCAACGTGAAGAAAAAAACATAAACAATCCACAAACACCATAAACAACAAAATAAAAAAAGAAAAATCCACGCGACTTCCTGCATATACACAGCACACATAGTGGATGGAATTAGTTTCCTTTCTCTAGTGAGTGGCGTAAGTAGATTAGCAAGGTCGTGCAGGACACCAACAGAAAAAAATTTTCTTCTTTCTTTAGAAGAGAGGAAAACCAGCAATTATTGTTTGTTGTTGTTCCCATCCTCACACAAGTTTTTCTTTTTGGTGTTGTTGCTTTTCTTTTAATAGGGGGGAAACTGGATTTCCTCCTATTTTTGTTGTTGGTGTTTTTTTTTTTGTATGGGAGGAGAAATTTCTATTAGACCAATCAATTCCAATTCATACAGATTGCTTTTCCTTATAGCAAAAATTAAACCCAACCTAGTCCTTCTTTTATTTTATTTTATTTTTTTTTTTTCAACATTTATTCAATGGGTGTATAAGTTTCCAAGTTGTTGTTGTTGTTGTTCAATGATTGTAAGATTTTTTTTTTTTTTGCAACCCATTGTAATGGTTGTCTCACTCTTGTATAGTGTGTTATAGTGAGAAAATTGTAGTGATGGTGGTTTCCTCTTGGATTAAAAAAAAAACAACAACTGGCGTCTTCTTCTCTCCAATGATTTAAAAAAAATTTTCTCAACACCATTGGACAAATTCAAAGATTTCAACAACGTCGACATGATTGGTTGATTTGGATTATTGATGATAATAATGGGTATAGTTGATGGTTGTTAAAAAGGAAAAAAGTTTTTTCTCATTATCAATTTTTTTTTCTCTGTCATAGTATTAACTCCCATACATAGTAAATTAATATATGGGTGTATTTGTATATACATACTTTTGTTAAGTTAATGAGTATTGGTTAAACCAAAAAAAGAGAGTGAGAGAGAAAAAACAAATTTGTAGTGGGAATTACTTTAGTACACCTTTTTATACTACAATTCTCTCACTCACACACTTTCACTAACTGAGGGATTTTTTTTGTTCGTTCGTTCGCCGTTGCTGTAAGAAAAAGTGCGAAACGTAAACAACCAACAACATTTTAATTAACTTAGTAGTGTACTTGAGTAGGAAAGTGTCACCATTCACACGACCACACTCCCGCCTTGTTAGTAAATTCTTACATAATCCACAACTTGTTCAAAAATATGACACTACACTTGAATTATCAATTGATCAATGTATATCTATATTTGGGTGTATAGATATCACACATTTCTTTGTTAATTAACCAGTAATAAGCAGTAATAAGATATTATCTTCTGTTGTTTCTTATTTGATATACAACTTGGACTTCAAGGGTGTATGAGTGAGTGTAGTGAGTGTCAACAAATTGTATAACGTAAACAAATACAATTCATACAGACAACCATTCAGACAACCATTAGACAATCCCACTGAAAGATAGGATTATCCATTAACCAAAGATACCCATTAATCAAGATGATTAATTTAGTATCAACTGTATTAATGATCAAGAAAACGATTATCTTTTATCTATCCTTATAATCATTTTCTAATTGTGTACTCTGTTGCTTAAATAGTAACTATTAAGCTTATCATAGTTACTATCTATCAGAATATTATTAAACCACCAAATGGTTGCAAAAAAAAAAGAATGATAAAATTCTCATCATCTTCATCATTTACAACCAATATATAACATCCATGTTACGCTTCTACAAATAATACAACACTATCTTCTACACTCAATATCAACATTATTTAAACACAAACAAACCTCCAAAAAAATTGTTAAATTTAAAATACACACACAATATATATATATATAAAGTAATAATAAATGATAATAATAATAATAATAATAATAATAATAATAAGAAGGAGAATAAGATTAACAAATCTTTTCCTCTTTAGACAAGTCTTCATTCAATTAACATAAAGAAAAGAAACAACAACCCTATTATTCTAATGTTAAATTTAAATCAAAATAAATGATAGCTACATTATATCATTAATCAAATTCATCTATAACATTAGAAAATTAAACAAACTCTTTTTATTTTTTTTTTTTTTCAAATCTTCTTTTCCTCTTTATCTGTGTTCATTATAATGACTGTCTATAATTTTTTTTTTTTAATTTTTCATCGTTTAATACCATCCACCACGGTATTGGTTAGAATCTTGATATCCATATTGTGGATATTGTTGATATCCTCCATATTGTGGCATCATATGTTGTTGAGGAACTGGTGGTTGTTGACCTTGACCTTGTTGAACACCTTGTGGACCTTGACCTTGTTGACCTTGTTGACCTTGAGATGAAGATTGTTGACCATCAGATGCACCTTCAGAATTAGATGCAGATTGGGAAGATCCTTGTTGTGATTGACCAGCATTTTGTTGAACAGGTTGTTGTTGTTGTTGCTGTTGTTGTGGAGGATAAGAATAACCTGGGTATCTATTATTAAATTGATTTGGATTATAATATTGTTGTTGTCCTCCAAATCCATTACTACCCATACTAGCTCCTCCTTGTTGACTACCGGCTGATGGAACTTGTGGTTGAGCTTGTCCTTGTTGACTAGCACCTTGTGAAGAGGTTGGTTGTTGACCTTGTTGATTTCCTTGCTGTGGAGCCCCAAATCCAGTTGAACCTAATCCACCAGCATTGAAATATGGATTATTATAATAGTAGTTATAATAAGCTGGATAACCAAATGGTGTTGGCATTTGTTGTTGCTGTTGTTGAGCATTCAATGCAGCAGCAGCAGCTTGTTGTTGTTGTAAAGTAGATTGATTAGTAATTGGACTATGAGATGAATCAGTAGATCCAGCTTGTTGAGCATATTGTCCATATCCACCACCAACACCAGCAGATCCACCCAATGTAGCAATGTGGTTAGCAGCTGGAGATGCAGCAGCAAAAGCTTGTTGATTATATCCACTGTAATCAAATCCTGGGTATCCACCAAATTGAGCACCTGGTTGAGCAGTTTGTTGTGGATATTGTTGTTGGAATTGATTGTAGTAATCATATTGTTGCTGAGCAGTTTGTTGCTGAATTGGAGCTTGTTGTTGTTGTTGCTGTTGTTTAGAATATTGATTTTGTTGTTGTTGTTGTTGAGGTTGTTGTTGATAAGCAGATTGTTGTTGTTGTTGATATCTTTGTTGAGTTTGTTGTTGGTTGTACAATCCATAACGTTGTTGATCTTGGATAGGTTGTTGTTGCTGTTGTTGAGTTTGTTCAGGTTGGGAGGTTTGTTCAGCAATAACTTCTTCTCTTGGAACTTCAGCGTCTTTAGATTCTTCTTGGATAGACAATGAACCGAATGAAATACCAACTGAGTTAACTTGTTGTTGAGAGGTTGGCAAAACAACTTGTGGTTGTTGTTGTTGTTGTGGTTGTTCAACAATAGATGGTTCAGTAGTAGTAGCAGCAGTGGTGGTGGTGGCAGTAGCAACTGGACTTTCAATTGGTTCTTCAGATGGAATAGATTGACTAACTTCAGCAACAGTTTCTTCAGCAATTGATTCTACTGGTTCAGAAACTTGTTCTTCAACAACTGGTTCTTTTTCCTCTTTTTCTTCCTCTTCTTTTGGTGGTTGTGGTTGTGAAACTGGTTTTGGTGCTGGTTTAGCCTTTGGTTTAACAGTCTTTGGAGTAATAGCAGAAGCCCAGGATCCTTGTTTTGGTTCAGGAATAGCAGCTTCTTTTAATACAGGTTTAGCTTGTTCTACTGGAGCTTGTGATTCCTGTGTAGTTTCTTCTTCTGGTTGTTGTTCTTGTTGTTCACCATTAGTTGTAGTAGTATTGTCTAATTCAGCCACTGTTTCTTGTTCTTCTTGTTGTGCTTTTGCACCATCTTCTTCCGCATGTTCTACTGGTTCAGATTCTTCAGTAGTTGCTACTGATTTCTTTGGTTTATCATTAGACAAAGCAGCAGCCCAAGAATTGGTAGCAGGAGTAGTTTCTTTTTGTACAGGAGTGGTGGTAGTAGATGATGTAGTAGAAGTAGGCTTTGGTTTTTCGGCAGATTTTTCTCCACCTTTTTTATAATTAGCATTGGCATGTTGTTTCTTTGGAGGTCTAGTTGAAGAACTTTGTGGTTTTGATTTATTATAAGGTTTTCTATCAGATGAAGGGGCAGTTGAAGAAGTAGATGCAGAATTAGTTGAACCATTAGTTGAACTATTATGATCTTCAGTTTCTTTTTCCTTCTTTTTATGTTTTTCTTTCTTAATTGGTTCCCATTTAGAAACTTTATTATTAACTATTAAATCAATGACAATTTCTAATGAATTATCATTTTCTGACAATAAACCTTGCAATTCATCAGCTTCCCAATCAGGAAACATCTCAACCAAATTTGTCAATTCGACAGATGTGCTGCTACTATTGCTGTGGCTATTATTGAATCTTTTCAGTTGATTCTTATATGATTTTCGAAACGTGGACATAGTGATTCCGTTATTATTTTTATTTATATAAATTCTTCTTCCTTTTGATTAGGGGGTGATTTTTCCGGTCTTCTTGTTATAAAGATTACTGTTATTAATTAATAAAAAAAAATCAATTAGCCCTGTCTCTTTCTCTCTTCTTTTCTCTCAACAAAATTATGAAAAGTTTTTCTTCTTCTGTTTTTTATGGATCTTTGTTGTTTCGATTTTCTTCAATAAGCAAAAAATTATTTCGAGATTTAACGATTAGTTATTGATGATGATTGTTTGATCGAAATAAAAGTTACTTGATTTGGATTGATTAACTGAAAGATTTAAAGAATATATTTCCCTACTCGAATGATGAAAATGGAGAGTTTTTTTTTTTTTTTTGGGAATGTGGTATGCAATTTTTTTTTTCTTTCTCACTCTGTTTTCTTGTTCAACGAAGAAAAGTTTCATAGTCGTGTGCAAATGGACAAGATTTCTTTGATGAAAAAAAAAAGAAAATTTTTTTTTGCTTTTCTTATTTGGCCGTAAATTTCTCTCTTCTTTTTTTTTGCATTAACAGCAATTTCAATTGAAATCTATCATGAAAAAGAGAAATTTATTGATTTTGAATATTAGAATTAGTCTACAATTATGTATATTAGATTGAGCATTACTAAAGAGTATCAAAATCTGTCAACCAATGCAATTGATTTTGTCTTATGGGCTTTTAAAAGCCAAAGTAAAAACAACAGAAAAATTTTGCCACAGATCGGGCGAAATCGTTTTGTGGTTTGCCGTTTCAGACATTTTTTTTTTATTTTTGAATGACTTCATTTATTTTTGGCCCGTTTCGCACACATAAAAGTCGTGTGACAGCCAATGGCAACAGTGGAAGTCTTTTTTTTTTTTTTACAACCAATTGTACATAGACGTCAAAAATCAACTCTCTCTATATATATTTTATTACAACACTTGTACTAAATTACTATCTTCAATGGCTGTAACATCTTTTTTACTAACCATTGGGTCAATCAACTCAACAACTGTTCTTTCAAATAGTTCATAAATGACATCTTTCAAATCATCTCCAGTTTGTTTGAAATCAGGATATGAATTGACTTCTAATAAATTAACACTTGAATCTCTATTAACTAAGAAATCAATACCAAAGATTTCAATTGCATTATTCATTGGTTGGAAATTCATCTTGTCAACACTTGTAGCAGCAGTAAATAACTCCTTGACAATGTCACATATTTGATCAAAGATTTCAGTCTTCTCTGAAGTTGAAACATCTTGTAATTTCCAGAATGGTACAACTAATGGATTATCACCTTCCTGTAAACAGGTGTTGGTCAAATGACCCTCCATTGAGATACCTTCTTCTTCTTCTTCAGCATCAGTTGGTAACTTAAATGGAGATCCAGCAAATAATGTCAAAATATTCTTGTAGACAAACACTTTCAAATCACCTAGACATACAACATAAGTACGTAAATGAAACTTCTTATTATCATAAGGTTTTAATAACAAAGGATCACTTTTATATTCTTGAACAATGAAATGACGAAGTTGTGATAAAATAATCCCATTGTTATCACCATCTTCCTCCTCCTCATCATCACTACCTTCCTCAAAAGAATTAAAGATATCTTGTAATTGATCAACGGTTCTAAAAATTCTAATACCTTGACCTTTATCACTCATGCTAGGTTTTAATATCCATAATTTATCACCCTGATTAATTTCTTCTCTCAATTCATAAGCATCATCCAATGCATCATCCAAAAATTCAGCATAATCAACTTCTAATTGATAACTTTCAGGAACAGCTTTTTTCAATATAGATTGTGGATTTTTAGTAACATAATGATGAACAGTATTTGCCAAATAATGTTTTCTTATAAGTGCTTTACGATAAATATATGAAGGAATGAAATAATTATTATTAATACCAATTGAATCAATATCAATATCTTCATAATCACCATAATGGAAAATAGGCGATTCAGAAGAAGATTCAATAACTGATTTATCAGTTGTGATTTTATAACCCAATTTTTTAAATGGTTCAACTAATGGTTCATAAATGTATGATTCTTCAGGAATAGTAATCAAAAAAGTCTTTTCATTATCCACCACTTCTTCATGTTCATCTAATTTAATTTCACCTTGTAATGGATCAATGAATTTGAAAGCAGCCTTTAAAGGAGTAACACTAATACCTTCTTCTAACAATACTCTACTATCAGTATGGTTTTTATCCTTAATTCCATCTTTATAAACTTGTTTAAAATCAGGAGTCCATGAAAATTGTGATTGCCCCTTTTCATTAGGTTCATCCATTGGAGAATAAATAGATTTCCAATAATTTTGTAAAATTGGAGCATAAGATATTTTAGTTGATTTAATATTTAAAGAATCAACTAATGGAATATTGATTGAAAATAAATCAATTTCATCAGATTCTTTTAATTTAATATATAATTTTTCAATTAATTTAACTGATATTTTAGCAGCTTCTTTTAAAATATAATAATCATGATCTAAATTATTGAATGCATAACTCAAAGCAATTGATTTTATACCATGAGTAACAGCTTCCATTGCTGCTCCAACAGTACCACTTGCTAAAATGTACAAATTACTTGAATTCTTCCCAAAATTAGGACCACTAATAACTAAATCAATTGGTTTTTGTTTAGTATTTGAATATAAATGATGAATTCCAATATCAGCACAAGCAGCAGGTGTACTATTAATTAAACACCATTCTTGATATTGTTTATCATTATGATATTTTGGTTCAGGATGATTAAATGGACCTTCAAATGAATTGATTTTATCATTTGGTTCTAATGTTGATATTTTAGTATAAATATAACTTGAAGTTAATGTTTTACCAGCAAAATGTGCTTTACCAATCCATGATCTTTGTTGATCTGGTACAACTATTGAAAGATCCCAATTTGTATTAGTGATTATTTCATCAACTAAATATTTCATATATGGACACAGTTTATCATTCAATGGTCCATCATCATTAGTTAATAACACGTGCATTGTATAGTGATTGGTGTTGTCTCAAATAGAAAAACGATGAACAAAAGGGAAGGGGATGTAGGAAAATTTCCACAGTATTTATTTGGGTTTAGTTCCACACACACACACACACAGCTGTGCAAAAAAATTTACTTTACTTTACTTCTTCTCAATTCTCCTACCAACGAAGAGTGAGCAAAAGAAAAAAAAAAAGTGAAGAAACAACGAAAAGGATCTTCAAAATTAACATTTTTCATTCTCTTCATAAACTCAACCGACTATCATCACTACAAGCATAACCAACAGTTGTCATCTTCATTTATTATCATCATCATCATCATAATCATCATCTTTATTTATAGAATTTATCCACCATGTCAGTATTCTTAGGAAGTACATCACAATTTTCAAAAGCTAAAATAGATCCAGAAAAGATTAAAATTGCAGAAATTCAATTTGAAGCAATGGCATTTACATTCAATAAATTATTAAGAAGATGTGAATCTAAATGTTTATTACATCATTATGGTGAAGGTGAATTAACTAAAGGTGAACAAGAATGTATAGATCGTTGTGTTTCTAAATATTTAAAAGCCAATGTTTTCATGGGTGATTATCTACAAAAAAATTTCAGATTCAATCCATATAATTCAATGCCTGAATATAAAAAAGTTCAAGATATTATAGCTAATGGTGATACCAATAAATAATAATAGTATTACAAAACAATAGTATTGATTTGTTTCTTTTAATTCCATGTATATATTAGATCTTTCTTTAATGTACAATTAATGATTTATTTTTTTTTTTAGAATTGATGTTACACCTATTATATAGAGTGACGAGAAGTGCCTCCGTCTTTAAATTACTACTAAAAGGGAATATGAATAATATGACTAAAATTGTGGGCAGCTACAGGGTGAGATAAGATTCACAAAGTGCGTTTTAAATATCTATTATACTATACATTTCTTAAAATTGTATTCATTACATTTAAGCCAAAGCGTTTTTGGTGTGGAAGATTTCCAAAGCTTCAGCAATTCTTTCAGACATGGTCTTTTCACCTTCTCTGACCCAGACTCTTGGGTCGAATTTCTTCTTGTTTGGTTTGTCAGCACCTTCTGGGTTACCAACTGGGGTCTTCAAGTATTCAATGTTCTTGACAATGTAGTCACGGATACCAGACAAGTAAGCAAATTGACAATCAGTATCCAAGTTGACCTTGACAACACCATTCTTGATACCAGTGTTGAATTCTTCTTGAGTAGAAACCGAGACACCACCGTGGAAGACCAAGTACAATGGTGTTTAGCGGTAGTACCAATTTGTTTAGCAGCATAAGCTTGGTGGTCACCCAAGATTTCTGGTTTCAATTGAACGTTACCTGGTTTGTAAACACCGTGGACGTTACCGAAAGCAGCAGCAATGGAGAAGTTTGGAGCAATTGGGTGCAAAGCTTCGTAAACCTTGAAGACGGTTTCAGCAGAAGTGTACAAAGCATCTTTTTCAACGTGTTCGTTGTTGACACCATCTTCTTCACCACCAGTGATACCAATTTCCATTTCCAACCATTGGTTCATTTTAGCCATTCTCTTGAAGTATTTGGCACAAGTGGCAATGTTTTCGTCATCAGATTCTTCAGACAAATCCAACATATGGGAGGAGAACAATGGAGTACCGTTTTCAGCAAAGAATTTTTCATCAGCTTCCAACATACCATCGAACCATGGCAACAATTTCTTAGCACAGTGATCAGTGTGCAAAACAACTGGGATACCGTAAGTTGGAGCAATTGATCTAATGTAGTGAGCAGCAGCAATTGAACCAGCAATGGAAGCGGCTTGATCTTTGTTGTCAACACCCTTACCGGCAAAGTAAGCGGCACCACCTTGGGAAGTTTGCAAGATGATTGGGGCTTTGTTGTCTCTGGCAGCTTCTAAAGCGGCAACAACAGTGGAAGAAGAAGTGACGTTAATAGCTGGGATAGCGAAACCTTTTTCTTGGGCATAGTTGAACAAATCAATGACATCTTGACCGTAGATAACACCGGATTTCTTTAAAACTGCTGGAGGAGCCATTGTAGATCGATTAATAGTTGTTTTTGATTAGGTAATTAATTAAAGTAAATTAATTGTGATGATAATGAAAAGAAAGAAGAAAAGAGATTAAAAAAAAATTGGATACGACGGGGGGTTGTAAACTTATTTATATAATTTATCTGAAAAAAAAAAAAATGCTAATGTGAGGGAATTGAATTGAGGTGGAGTGGGTTGTTGTTGTTGTTGTTGTTGCTGTCTAATGTGAGTGCGTGCACTGTGACACAAAAATAATATTTCTTTTAAAAAAGAGTTGAATGTTCTCCGGTGTTATTACAGTAACAGCTGTATGGAACCATAGAGACAGAGAGAGAGACAGAGAGAGAGACAGAGAGAGAGACAGAGAGAGAGACAGAGAGAGAGAGAAAAAGCACACCACGCACCTGGCCAAACCACCCAACCGCCACGCACCACGAGAATTCTCAACTAAAAAATTTTTTTTTCTTTCTTTCTTTCTCTCTTGCTCTTTGTAATTTTGTCTCACCACCATCTGATGATTCCCATTCTGTAATGTGTAATCAAAATTAGAGCCTGAAAAAATTTTTTTTTTTTTGCATTTCTTTTTCATTTTCTGATTGATAAACCCAACTGTGGAATTCTTTGCTCCGAAACCTTCATCATCTTACTTTTCCCTCTCTCTCTCTCTGATCTGATCCTGGCTTACATTGCAAAAAGAGAGAAAGAGAGAAAAAAAAAACAACTTTACGTCATGCTACACCTTTTCTCTATTCATTATGTAATAATACAAAATACTTCAGAATCAATTGGTTCATTGTAATATTTGATGGTTTCATCCAAATCCGGGAAATCAAATTTTATATTCTGTACTACACGATGTAGAATTTGGGAACAAAAAAAGTTTGGGGTAATCAATCTCCTTTGTTCCTAGCTCCCGTTTCGAATTCTTTATCCCTGATCCTCATTCTCCCTCTCTCTTTCTCACTCACAATTCATGTGTTTTAATCGAAACGCCCTTAAGTCCCTTTTGACAATTAAACCTCCGAGGAATAATCTGTGAGACATGATTCCGTACAACCCCGGGTACTTTACTCTACCCCAACTTAACAATTAAAAAAGTTGGATAAAAGAAAAAAAAATAAAAAGTTAAAGTTTTACCTATGAAAACTTCCTTAATCAATTGGTTAGAATATTACTATATTATGAGTAATATCAACTAGTTTTATTGGCTACAAACCTCTACCACTACTCTATGAAAACGTGACTTTCAAATTTTGCAGGTTTTGATTTATTGATTCTTTTTTTTTTTCACTTTCCGGACTATAAAGTAGTGTACATACCAGTTATTTAGGACGAGTGGAGCAAGGTCACGAGGTCGTACAATACAACCAAAACCAACAAGAAAGAGAGAGTGAGTGTGTCTGAACCAGTAGCAGAAAAGAGAACAAAAAAAAAAAAACAAAACAATCTTCCACCCAATGAAAAAAAAAAAAAATTTCGTCACCAGACTATACCAATACAACTGAAAATTATTCATGGAAAAACGTTTCACAGCCAACGCAACTTTACACAAATAAGTTTACATTAAAATCATATCATAAAGTCACGCGAGTGAGACAGTATTCATTTTAATTTTAGTTCGTACAATCAGATCAAATATATTTTTAATTTTTTATATTTAATTTTTTTCATTTGGCCCCAATATCAGAAATCATGAGTCTAATAACAGAAATCAATGGATTATCATATCATCAATTTAATATTAACGATCAAGATGAATTCCAACAAATATCAAAATTAATAGCCCTACATTTATCAGAACCTTATTCAATTTATGTTTATTGGTATTTTTTGAACAATTGGCCCCAATATTGTTATACTGTCAAAGATCCTGAATCATCAACCAAGAAAATCATTGGAGTTATTATATCTAAAATAGAACCTCATAGAAATGTTCGAATGAGAGGATATATAGGGATGTTAGTTATAGATCCATCCTATAGAAAAAGGGGAATAGCTTCAAATTTAGTCAAATTAACTATTGAAAATATGCAAAAACATGATGCTGTTGATGAAATCATGTTGGAAACTGAAGTTATAAATCAAGGTGCATTGAATTTATATGAAAGTTTTGGATTCTTAAGAACAAAAAGATTATACAGATATTATTTAAGTACTCATGATGCTTATAGATTAATCTTACCAATCAGTGAAAAGGCAAGATCAAGAATTGCTTTCTTACCTCCAATAGTATAAATAAAAGCAAGATACTGTATTTTATATGGCGAATGCACGTAATTATTCTTTTTTTTTTTTTTTATTTGGCCACATGTACACGTATTTCTTATGTTAGCGACGCGGTGAACCACGACTAGACGCGTGTCACAATTTTTTTTTTCTTCTTTTTAAGTTTCATCGACAAAATAAAAAAAAAAAATCTCAAGTTTTACAATTTTTACTTTCTTTTCACTTTCTTTCTTTTTCTTACCATTCTTTTAATCAACTAATCAATCAATTGATTTAATTGTTTAACTAATTATTTATTTATAGATTATATTATCATTTTTGTCATGTTAGAAGGTAAATTTGCTGATGCTTCTTTATTAAAGAAAATTGTTGAAGCCATCAAGGATTCCGTCAAGAAATGTAATTTCAATTGTTCAGAACACGGTATTACTGTTCAAGCTGTTGATGATTCTCGTGTTTTATTGGTCTCATTATTAGTTTCAGTTTCTTCATTTGAAGAATATAGATGTGATAGAGAAGTTACTTTGGGTGTCGATTTGGAAAGTTTTAGTAAAATTATTAAAACTGCCAATAATGATGATATGTTGACTCTTATGGCTGATGACTCTCCAGATCAACTTGTGACTGTTCTTGAAGATCCTACAAAAGATAGAATTAGTGAATATTCTTTGAAATTGATTGATTTTGATTCAGAATTCTTACAAATTGAAGATATGGAATATGATGCTGTTGTAAATATGCCAAGTGTTGATTTTGCTAAACTTGTAAGAGATTTGAAAACTATCAGTGAATCTTTACGTCTTGTTGTTACTAAAGATTCTATTAAATTCACTTCTGAAGGTGAAAATGGTTCTGGTAGTGTCGTTGTTAAAGGTAGTTCTGAAAATGGAGATAGTAGTGTTAGTATTCATTTGGATGATCCTGTTGATTTAACTTTTGGTTTGAAATATTTGAATGATATTGTTAAAGCTTCTACTTTGTCCACTAATGTCACCATTAAAATGGCTGATAAAACACCAGCTTTATTTGAATTCAAAATGGAAAGTGGTGGTTATTTGAGATACTACTTGGCTCCAAAATTCGATGACGAAGAATAGATTTATTTAGATGATGTAAAACAATAGGAGGAAATAGTAGTTCTTTCCTTCTTATTTGATTGTAATATAGTGATTTAATTTTTTCTTTTTTTTTTTGATTATTAATTTTTAAATTGTTCCCCATATTTATCTAACTGATTTGAAACTTTGTAGTAGTTCTTCTTTTTTCATTTATTTCTTTGATTATACTAATATACAACTGTACACATATTGTTTAAATAAAATCTTTAGCTACTTTTCTTATCATACATTTCTTTACCCCATTTATATAAATCTTTTTTTAATCTATCAGCTCTAACCAAACCATTTCTCAACAGGGTTAAATTTTTAATATATTCATGTTGTCTTTGAATACTAACTTGAAGATAATTTATAAGTTCTTCTTTTAATGGATCATTAGCTTCTAAACTCTGTTGATAAGTTTCATATCTTTTTAAAGCAGTAGGTAAAGCAAAAAATGGATCAGCTGAATTTTCTTCATCATCTTCAAATTCATCAATACTTTTATCTTTTGAATTAATTTTTTTAGTTTTTTCTTCATCTAATGAATGATCATAATCTTTTAATCCTAAATTCTCTTCCAATAAATAAAACCAATCTTCACCATTTAAAACTTGCAATAATTTATTTAACCAATTTAAATTATTTTGTTCAATTTCAATTAATTCAATCAATTCATAAGCTAATTTTGATAATGTTTGCAGTTTATAAGTTTTTGAAATTGCCGGATGTGTGATTATTTCAGATGGATGATTTAAAGGGGATAATAATTCAACAATTCTTGATTTTTTCAAAGGATGAATATCTTCTTCATCTTCTTCATCACCTTCTTTTATTCCTTCTCCATATTCTAATTCTTGTTGATCTTGAGTTTGTTTTTCACCATATGTATCATTCCATTTTCGTTTATTTCGTAAATTATCACCTTCGATGCTTTCATTGGTTAAAACAACGTATTTCTTACCATTATATTCTGCAGTTTTAGGTTTTAAGGTACTCACGCCTGGTTGTAATTTACTTGTTGTAGACAACGACGATGACGATGATGATGTTAATTTTAAACCTCGATTGTAAACAGGTAATGTTTCTGTACCTTCAATTAATGGTTTATCCTTTGATGTGGATTCTAAAGTTTGTGCATTTCTACTAATTAAAGCTTGTTTAAATCGGGATATCACCTCAAGGGATGTACTATCTAACATTGTTATTATTGCTGTTGTGTAGGGGAATTTGATTAAAGGGGAATTTTGTGGTAAACTTTTGCTATTTCAACAATTTTGATACAACCAATGTTTTTTTTTCTTCTTCTTCTTCTTCAGTCTCTCCGCTGTAGGTGCTGCCACTTTTCTCTTTTTTGTTTATTACACACGACCAGTAGTCTGATTTGCTAATAAAAACTTTGCAGCACTTTATATGTTAACTAGTAAATGGGGGTGGGGGAGGAGGTTATGCAGGAAGTGAGTTTATAACAGTTTTATGATTAAAAAAGTTATATAAAGACAAATCAGGTGATCTCATTACACGTGCGGGTATTAATTGTTGCAACCATCACAACTAGTATTGCATCATACTACTAATATGATTAATCCAAAAAATATATATAGCAACACTGACCCGATAAGATTCTTCCCGTACAATACCCAATAAGTTGTGAAGTAAAATATACATTCTTTCAAACCGACAATCTTTAGCCGCAATTACCTTTGGTGGCAAAAAATATATAGACTATTCCTCATCGAATCACGTGACAAAGCAAGATTAGAAAGTGAATTTAACAAACTACTCATATGATAACTTTCCAAGGGAACCACTTTTTAGATAGGATTAATAAGAGCCATAGATCATTAAACTCTATAATCACGTGTCACTATTAAACCGTCAGTTCTATTTTTGTTGTATGTGTGTGTGTGTGTGTGTGTGTGTGTCAGAAAATCAAGGGGAAAAACTAGCAGCCTTAAACAAAAAAAAGAGAGAAAGGATCCTGTGCTCCATGGCTGTAAGATTTTTTTAATTTTTTTTTTTTTTTTTTGGTTGTCATTTTCCCTTATCAACCATTTGATTAACCAAAATCTATTCTTCTTTCTTTTTTGATATTACCAAACTATCACCAATACCTACCTCCAGTTTATCATTCAACTAATAAGAGAAGAAAAAAAAAGTATCCTATTGATTGATTTTTTATATTTTAGTTTCAGCGAAAAAGTTATCGTCATTTAATAGTAATAATAATAAGAAAAACCCCATAAAAAAAAACCAAATCCCACAATTCGTTAGTACATACATCTAATCCCACTTTAATAAATATATCATCCACTTTGAATAGTTACCGTCTATGTCAGAGATATCATATCTAACAATCAATAATGCCCATAATGGGATGTCCATTAAAATCACCAAACCAGTTCGATTTCATAATCTACCTGAATTCAAAAAATTCCTACAACAATCTTATCTGATTGATAATGTCGATAATTTATTTTTATTGACATCATTTGGTATTAAATTAAATTATAATTTAATTAACGATATAAATGAAGTGTTTGTGTATGATAAGAGATTATTTGCATCTAATGTTGACCCTTCTTTAATCAATCATTATTCCCAATCAGAAATTCAAATTAATGAACCAAAGAAATCTTCTTTGGGGAGTAACAGTAACCATGGACCTTTGAAGCAAAACATCACAAGCAATTTGAAAATCAATCAAGGTTGGGCAAGAGCTGTATCTCAGTATAGTTTAGTCATGGAGGAATATTGTCGACTGTTGATTAAACAAATCAATGTTATATTTAAATCATTAAATACAATATTTCAATTTGCTGGTAATTTTACCAGCAAATTGAGAAAAATTTTAATAACTTCTTCAATTATATAAAATTGATAAATTATAAGACATTGCATAAATCATGGGTTCAGAATTATCGCAAATTACAACTGTTTCCTAGTTTCAAAATAGGTAACACCACCGTTAAACTAAGTGACTATTTAAAGCAAGAAGAATTGAAATCCGCTTCTGATTATATTGAAAAGCATTTACCAACAATTGTTAAGAAATTTAACGATTTGAGTAAAGATATTAATAATGTGAATGATGATAAAGTGAAAGTGGACAAATTCATCGAGAGTTCGAGGAATGATTCTATTAAAAAGTTTAAAGATTTAGATTTGCAAGGTGCTTTGGAAACAATTCAATCAAACACTAAAAATATCGCCGATGATATTGAAAATTTAAGTCCTGGTGATTTACAACAAGTTTTCAAAACTCATCGAGACGTTTATTCTGCAACAATTTATGATAATGCTAGGATTATATATAAAGATCTACTTGAGTTGGAAAAATTCAAAGATAAGCTTATTCGCAATAGTTGTCAATTGTTTAATACCATTGCTAATGTTCAAATGAGAATGGTCAATGTTAAGACTGAAATGAGAAAGTTAGCTGAAGATGATGCTTCTAATGATCAACCCGAAGACGTTGGATCAGAAAATGACGAAGAAGGAAAGGTTAGTTACGAAACAATTAACAAAGTCAAGAAGCACGAAGATTATTTATCCCTTACAATTGACATGCCATTATTATTTGGATTTGCCCTTATTGAAAAACGACGTCAATTTGAATGGTCTGATTTCTATTCCAAGGGGATAATAAACAACGCAAGTGAACAATTCTCTACAATAATTGAACATGAAAAGCTATTTCGAGGAATTTGGTGGAAAAAATTTGGGACATTTTTATCATTGATTGATAACGAACCAGTGGCAACAACATTACCACATATCGATGTCACTCTTGTTTCAAACAAACAAGATAGTTTTAGTATATTACACGATTTGCCAATTGAAAGGGATGATATTATCAAATATATTTCGATAGTGGAGTCCTCTCGAGTGTCCAAGAATTTTGTTGAATTATTAAACAAAAATTTTAAAGATTTGATTAATTGTACTAACAATATGAAAAAAGTAACAAGGATAATTTCATCGTTAAGTACATTCACATCGTTTACGGATAATGACAAACTGAAGCATTTAGCTGATGAGGAAACTACTGATGAAGTAATTGATTTTGATTTGAATCTCATAAAGGGGTTGAAATCACGTATTAAGAAGCTTGAGAATTTGTTACATCAACAGCAGTATAGGAATTTGAATAATTGGCCAGTTATTCGAAATGGATCTAGCGTTTCTATGGATAACAAGATGAGTATGATTATCCAACCAAAAGCTGTTACACCACCAAGAACAGATCCAACTCAATTGTTGCTGCGTCGTGCATCCACTAAGGAGGCCGCCACCACTACAGGTGCTGGTGCTGGTGCTAGTACAATTAAACAATCACAAACGTTAGATTCTTCTGTCATCGACAAACACCTTGACAATATTCGACTCAAGAGATCAAACAACGAATTGCAATTAAAAAATGAAGAGTTATACGAACAAGTTAAATCCAAAGATGAGAAAATTGGTCAACTTGAAAAAGAGATCGAACTGATGAAAATAGAACATCAAAAGAAAATTGATGAGTTAATGAAACAACTAAATGATAAAGATGAAGAATTCCGAGTTTTCAAATTGGAGAATAAAATGGATCACAAAGAAGTTGAATCACTTAACAAGAAGTTGGCGACTAGGGATAGTCGAATTAGTGAATTGGAATCCAAGATTAGTCATTTTACTGATTTGACCACAACATCATCCAAAGAAGTTTCTGAATTGAATAAAACCATCACCAGTTTACGTAATGAATTGAATGATGCTATACATATGAAGAATGACTTATTATCCAACTTGTCTTCTAAAGAAGCCGAATTCACCAAAGAACGTAACCAATTTACTAGTGATATGAAGAACATGCAAACCAAATTGGATGAAGTTAGTGAAGATTATGAGAATTTAATGGAATTAACTCAAACCAAACAAAAGAGACATGATTTGTTGATCAATGACTTGAATAACGTGATTATAAACCTTATGAATGATATTAAACGAGTAATCCAAGAGATTTTCCAATACTTTTTGGAGTACTGTTTTGTATTGGAGTCCATGGGGTTGTTGTTGGTTAAAGAAGACAGTATATATAAGATTAAACGTGTTAAGGGATTAAAATCAAAGAGAAGCTCAAGCTTAGGTGAAGAAGACATTCTGGTTATGCTGCTTGATGTTCCAAATTCTAATGTTATTGAAGATATCGAAAAGGAGATGAGTTGGGTAGGCGGTATTCCACCATTGAGTTCAATATTGCCTGATAGTTATTCTTCTGGGAATGAAAGTGATTCTGTTGTCGACAGATATAATGATCAATCATTGAAATTAATTCAAGTATTTAATGATTTGTTTAAATTCGATTCTGAACAGGGAAACAAGTTTGACAAATTTTTAACCACAATGGCATTTAAATCCAATGTTCAATTACAAGAGGATAGTAGTAATACAACAAGGTTTTTCTTGAATGCGATTTCTAAAAGGTTCCGTGATGTTGAAGGATTTGCCAAACGTCAAACTAAGGAGAACAAAGTTAAAGAACAAGAAATGAAGAAATTGATGCATAAATTCAATAATAAAATCACCTTGAATGGATTTCAAGAAAATGATTTAGTTTTATTTTTACCAACAAGAATAGATCGACCAGATAATGAAATGGATCATGAAGATGAGAAATTCCAACCATGGGCAGCATTTAATATTGGAGCACCTCATTATTTTTTGAAAACTAATGAAATTATTGGTAAAGATTGGTTTATTGGTAGAGTTCGAAAAATTCTTGAATATCAAGTAACCGAAGAGAATTTTTCAAATTTGGATATTAATCCATTTCAATTAAGTGTTGGAGTTACTTGGTTTATGATTGAAGCTGATGAGGAGAAGACATGAAATCAACAATAAATTGTATGTATTAATCAGTTTCACTCTTTGTATATATATATATATATATATGTGTGTGTATGAGTATATATAAAAAGATTATTCAGGAACATTGTTGAACAAATAACTGACACTTTCCCCATTATGCAATCTTCTAATAGCTTCAGCTAAAGTAGAACTTATATCAATAATTTCAATTTTATCACATTTATCCATTTTATCTTGAACAGGTAAAGAATTTGTACAAACCACTTTTTCAATATTTGAATTATTCAATTTTTCAATAGCATCTTTTGAAAAAATCCCATGAGTTACTATACAAACGACTTTTTTAGCACCATTTTCCAATAAAACATCAGCAGCTTTACATAAAGTACCACAAGTATCAGCCATATCATCGACTAAAATACAAATTTTATCATTTACATCACCAACTAAAACCATTCTTGAAATTTCATTAGCTTTTTGTCTTTCTTTATGAATTAAAGCAAATTGAATATCTAATTTATCAGCTAATGAAGCAACTCTTTTAGCACCACCAGCATCAGGAGAAACCATAATAATATCTTTTGAATCATAATTTTCTTTAATATATCTTAAAGCTGTAGGTTCAGCATAAAGATTATCAACAGGAACATTAAAAAATCCTTGAATTTGAGAAGCATGTAAATCCATTGTAATAACATGATTACATCCAGCAGTTTGTAATAAATTTGCAATTAATTTTGCTGTTATTGGAGCTCTTGATTTATCTTTACGATCTTGTCTAGCATATGGATAACTTGGTATAACAACAGTAATTCTTCTTGCACTTGCTACTTTACATGCATTTATAATCATAAGTAATTCCATTATAAAATCATTAATTTTATCATATCCACATCCTGTTTGAATTATATATACATCTTCATCACGTACTGATTCTCCAATTGCAACGGCTGTTTCTTGATTAGTATATTGAAATGCTCCAATTCTAGCAATAGGTACTGATAATTTAGATGCTATTTTTTCACATAATTCAGGATGTGAATTACCTGCAATTAACTTAATTGAATTTTGACTATGTCCGTGCATAGGGGAGGTATGTTGGGTTTTGACTACGAGATGATGATGATGATGATGACAATGATGATGAGTTGATTGGAAAAGAAAAAAAAAAATTAATTAAAAATTTTTGTGATTTGTCGTACACATGGGGTCGACGACATTGAATAAATGTCGTGTATATACAGTTGGTAGCGCAAAAGTAACAACATCACGTGATTTTTATCATTCATTTTATACACACACATATATATATATATATATATATATATATATATATACCCTTGATATTTGTACTGTTACAATTCATCAATATTGTCAATTACTTGTAAGTAGAAATAATAAAAACTCATAATTTGTAAATGACCTTCAAATAATAATTTCTCATTAATAGTATGGATATTTGAATTTTTAGAATTGATATTTGGTTGATATCGATAAATATTTTCCGATAATCCCCAATAACTCTTAGTATCAGTATTACCAATAGCTAAATAAGGAGATACAATTATAGATGAATCATTTGAAGGAAATATTAAATCTTCAAATAAATATCTTAATGACCCACTATAAATTTCCCAACTTTTCCCATCAATTGGAGAAATTGGAGCAGGTTCAAGTACTTCATTAATTGTATAATTAAAATATCCATTAGTTGAATCAATTTGGAATTATTTCTTTATTATTTAATATAAATCCAAGATTATATTTTGAAGTAATTTTTAAAATATCTTTGTTTAAATTTTTCAATTATTGGATATTGATGATTGATCAATTGAAATTTCTTGAATTAATCAACATTGATACATGATCAGGTAATGCATTTGATTTAATTTCACCATTAATAATATCCACAGCTTGAGAGGATTTAATTAAATATTCAGTTTCTTCATTTG